GATTTTCGCCAGATTTTCGCCATTTAGTGTCTGGGAAGGGAATTTCGCCGGCCTGGCGAAAATGGTCAGGCCGTCAGCCAATTCTTACATGCTCGGGTGCTCCCACCCGCCTTGACGAATCTTAACCCTGCTCAGAACCCCGTACTTTACCTTTTCCTGCACGTTTTCAATTGACTCTCTAGAGACAACGAAACAACTTGGTCGGTACATGAATTTTTGGTGCCGGGACACTCTACCGGCCACAACTGCCGCTGGGATTTTCGCCATTAGTGTCATTTTCGCCAATTAGTATCTGGGAGCTCCTATTTAGTGTATTCCAAGATTTATTTTCGCCACGATCACTGGGACTCGGAAGTTTGGCTGCATGCAACAAGCTTGCTCCTAGTAGTAGGGGCCCTGACAGGCACTATGGACGCTACATACTTAGCCACGTGGTGAAAATGACGCGTTCGCAGCCGTCCGTTACAGCACAACAGCAAACGCGCGCGCCAAAGGAAGTATTGGATCAGTTCCGCATACAAATGCAATGGGTTTATGGTTCCCCATGCAACATTTGACATTGACAGTTGCCAGAGTACTGTAGTCTGTGCTGCACTTGGGACGACGCGCCAGAAATATCTTTCTGAAAGAGTCAGAAACAACTTGCTTGTTACCCTTTCGAGCATTCTGACCTCAACCTCAAGTGGCCTGAAGCAAGCCATTGCAGCAGAGGGCGCTCTGGTCGCGGCTTTGAAGTCTGGATCGGATGGCTTTGGTCGTCAGGTTATGTATGCTTCGTATTTGTACTGACTTTGTGAAAGTGGAACTGCATCATTGAACCAGCTGAAGTGTCAACACAGAATGGATGAGATTGCATCCTGGCAATTTGTATGTTGCCCGATAGCGATAGGCAGGAGGGCGCCCATGAGCTCAAGAAGTTGAATAGAGATGACCTTTCAGTGACAAGCTCTGCTTAGAAAACTGCAAGCTGACTAAAGACATCAGGAAAAACTTCCCAAATGTCTTATTTTGTCTGCCCGCACCCGGGCAGCTGCACAGCTAAGATACAAGCTTCATATGCCGGCAAAATCCTGGCCCCCAAATTAGGGTTCCACGTTGATCTTTGCTGGAGGGCCTGTTTGAGAGCTCAGCGCTGATGCTAACATCCAAGAGGTTAGTTCAGCTGCCCGGCAAAGGGTTTCGGTAAACATGGTGCCTCACGAGGAGCAGGCAGATGGGCCTGGCGAAAGAGCTGAGGCAATCGAGGAAGGTGGCAAAGAGTGGCCTCTTCTATCGCCAGTGTATCCTTGCCTGCGCTGAGCTCAGACTTCGAATCTGTTTGGTCATCTGAGCCCTTTCTTGAAAATCCTACAGTATCTGCTCCTTTCAGTATCTAACTCCTGAACTTACTGTTTTGTTTGATATATTGAAGAAGCTAACGCAAGCAGTCAGAGGGGTTTGGCCAGAGGGAGATTGCTCCGCAGATAGCTTGGTGACACACACGACCACTGGTATGCGGCTGCCATATACATTTCTGGATATTTCAAGCGACTCCGTGATCTCAACTCACTGGTTGATTGATAGCTTGACCTAGATCAAAGACCTCATCACGGCTTCTTTTGGCGAGTACGTAGGTGTGAACCTGACATTTGTCAAAAGGTAGAGCGTCTCGCAAGTGGATCAAACATTACTGCTCATAACATGTGGTGGTAAGGTTGCGCACAAGCAGAATTGATAGTCTAGCTGCGTCGCTGAGAACACCTCCCCAGCATATCGAAAATAACTGAAGAACAAAGTAACACGCAAAGTTTAGTATGAACCTTTTTAATAATCTACAGGCAGAATAAAGTGCCAGCGGAGAACGGCCTCACATTTGGCACTCGCCCTCATTTCCTCAACCAAAGCACCACACAACTACAATGTGAACTCATTTTTCTCTGTGCAAAATATTTCACCTTGTGGTTCCCTGTCCTTGACCAAACACGTTAACAGCTTCGCCCTTGGCGCCGATGTCAGCATCCGCACCCCCGTCCACTATTTGGACGGTCACCGCGTCCTGTATGCGGTCGGCTGCCAGGTGGCACTCCTTGACCACGAGCAGCATTCAATGCACTTTTTGCCGGACCTGAGGGGCGCCAAGATCACGTGCTTGGCGCTGGCGTACAATCGCAAGTACGTGGCAGTGGTGGAGAAGGGGGCCGCCGATGAGGGAGCTCAGGTGAGTGACGTCAGCGGTGCATGGGTGACGTCAGCGATGGTGCTTGGATGTGTCAGCATAGGGGACAATGGCGGTGGGGCTGTGTCCGGCAACATCGGGAGAAGTGTGGTACAGCACAGGGGCTTGCGTTCTGGGACGAATCGTACGCAACACGGCTACTGTCGTGGTTTTCAGGTGGGCATTGTATGTGCAGAAAGCAGGACAAAGAGCTTCGTCGGTTGTTGATGTTGGGAGAAGCGAGTGGACGTTATGATTGCATAACGCGTCCGTCAGTGAATGCGGGGCACTTCTCATAAGCCCTGTCATGGGGCCCCTAGGCTTCAAATGTCTGAATCGATCACTGAAAAGAAATGTCACTGCTAAGATTACCAAGTCCATTTGATGCAAGCCTCTTGTTGAATCGGTTTGCTCTCTGCACAGCATTGCACCAGACACCGAAGGCTTCGCTTGCGAACTTGAACCGGGAGGGGCCCGTGTGGTTCAAATGATCCGAAGCTGTTAGACGATCGTCCGACTTTTGCATCCTATGGATACACACTTCATCATCATAAGTAGGTCAAACGGACTTCCGCACAACGCACAACGGCCCCCACATGTGAACATGAAGCCTCCTTCCTATCTCCTGCAACAAAATCTTACAACCCACTCCCAACATTCCAGACCGGAAGTCAGAAGATCAAACAAATGCGCATTATATTCTCTCCAGATCTCTATCTACGGTAACCAGGGCAAGTGGAAGCGGGTCAGGACCATAACCCTGACTGCGGAGGTGTGCCCTTCCAAGGACGTAACCTGCCTGTCGTTCAGTTCGGACAACAAGTACCTGGTTACCGTTGGGGGCGACCCGGATTGGACTCTGCTGTATTGGCGATGGGCGTCTGGGAAGGTAAGAAGTCGATGTGCTTTTTGCCGGCACACTTTGTCATGGACTGCTTTCTGGGGCTCGTAGTTCTGGTAACTGACCGGAAGAAGCAGTATGCGTGAGCTCTTGTTCTCATCCGTTGAACAGTAGGACTCTTATGAAGGGGGGACTGATGGAAAACGCAAGTTGGTGAATAGTAGTCAATCACACGTGCGGAACGTAGCCGCTGTGAAGTAAAGCAGTATCCCTTCACGAGAACGATAGGCATAGGCAGCTCTAAGGCCTTCATTGAGCAATGCCTGCAGCATTGCTTCTTCATTCCCACTGTCCGAAGGGAGTGTCAGACCGCCGGGGCTTAACCACCGGGTGAACGAAGCCGTTTGCGGGACAGAGGCAGATCCCAGAGCACAACGATTGGCAAGAAGAGGCCTTGGACTAGTGTCTTACCGGATTTTGAGCAGCCCGTAAAATCTCCGAGAATCATTTCTCACTTTTCTCGGCCGTTAGCGCGCTCCAGAGGAGAGTTCGCAAACATGCTGAATACAAGGAAGCGCAACGTTCCTCATCTGCCAATCCCTGCGGAGAGAAGATCCCGTGCGTCTTTAAACGGCTCGCCCATTACAGAAAAGTAAACGTCCTATCATTTCTTCACACTCGACCCTTTTTGGCCGCAGGTCGTGGGTTCGTACAAGATTGGGAATGCCAAAGATGACCCGACGGTGAAACGGCTGTACTGCAATCCTTGGGAGCATAGCACCGTCGCGGCCAGGTAAGCGGGGGTGTGAAGTGGGGAGCAAAATCACAACCCACCATATTGGTCAACGGTACAAGCCTTGCAGGAAGGAGCACAGGAGAAAGTTGTTAGGAAACTTGAAAACGTAATAAATATGTGGACTGAAGACGTACTTGAAACAGAGACTTCGAAGGGTTTCTATGAATGCTTTAGAAGTTTCCTTAACGTGCTTCTCCGCAGATTGAAGAAGCGCTAGTTTTGCAGTACGCAGGAGAGCCAAGGAAACTTCCCTCAGGCTCTAACTACACACCGTTGCTCGTTCATTGTTATATATCTCCGCCTCTTTCTAACAGCCCAGTTTGCTGACGTCCGGAACGTCCGAATTAGCTTAGGATATGGGCTCATTCCTCGGTCGACGCTTTCCTTCGCAGTGGCCCAAAAGAGCTTCGGATTTTCAAGCTCCCAAAGGAAGAGTCGGCGGTCAAAGTCACGCAGCCGACGTTCGTGGTAAAGGGCGAAGCGCCACGCTTCAAAGGGGAGATTACGGACCACGTTTGGCTGGTGAGCTGGCGGTTGGTTGCGTCAGAGTACGTGATTATGAAACAGTAATTCACAAAGCTAAATCGCTTGGATGCCGGTCTTGAACGCTCCGGTTGGTGAGCCGTTCCGATCGGTCGCTGCGATACCGTACAGCCCCGTAAAATGCACTGAGCACGAGAGTTACTAACTTTGAGCGGACCGTTCAAAGCAACAAGCAGGAGACGATAATAGACAGAACAAAGATGCATATACATTTTCCTACAATCATCCAACTTTCGAGCAGATGACAACCTACTACTGCACTCGCATCTTTGGCAGGGGCGCTAAGGTACTAAGAAGCTTCGAACGCAGGTGTTTACCTCCTACGTCCCTACGTCATCCAAACCCTCACCCGTCGTCATTCCAATGTGCGCGCGCGGTTGCAGGAGCCAGAGAGCCTGGCCTTCAGCACTGACGTCGGCTCCGTCGTCATCGTGAGCCGCGACGCCGTGGCGGCGACGTTCGAAACCCCAAACCCCTGCACCATCACCGCGCTCGCGCGCGTCGGCAAGGGTTTCCTGGCCGCGGACCGGCGCGGCCGCTGCAACCTGTTCGAGCTGGTGAGATTTTGGAGCTTCATCCGTCTGGGTTTGATTCTTCGTGAATCTCCATAACTTCTTGTCGGAAACAGGGTGTAGCCTTCCTGCTTGCACCCTGTTTGTGGAGGTCGGTCTCATGCCCCATAATATGAAGGCTCTAAAGTTCGAGGGCTTCGAAAGATATCCTCGACCCTGCGATCTCAATGACGTCTCCATCGCATTGGTCATCCTCTTTATGATTAAGCACAATGTAGGCCCTCCCGCCGTCGAAGCTGATGGTTTCAAGCTTCTGGAGAATGTCAGCCTCTTGGAATCTTTGTATGTTGACCCGCATGCGACATTACACAACAACCCTGCGTTTCCTCTGCAGGTGGTGTCGGACAGTGGGAAGCCGTCCTACGTCGCTTCGAGCTCCTACCACGCTCTCAAGGATGGCCAGGTGTGGATCTTTTTTCGACATCGGATCCACTGCTGTGTCCCTTTGTTTTCCAGAACACTGATTTCCGTACTTTTTCCGGTTCCTTCGGCCATCCGCTTTCCGTTTGCGCCCGGCTCCTCCACAGTTTTGATCGAGGTTTGCTTTGATTTCTCCCCTTCTTTCTCTCCGTATGCCTGGTATCTGGATCCGGAGTAGCTGGGCAGGTAGTGTCTAAACTCCCGGTCGTATTTCGATGTCAACCTTCACATAACATCAGTTCGTTTTCCTTCAGAAAAACGATCGTTTGTTTCTTTGGTCCTTGTTGCATTCATCCGTCTATACTCGGCCTGCGAACGATTCCCGACCCTTGCTCTCTTTGCTTTGGCGAAGTGGTGTTTCCGTCCGCCCTTCCGTCCTTTCCCCGGTCCGTCCTCACCGTTCCAGTTCCCTCGATCTGCTGCTGCCTTTGGATGAAACGCTATTGGAGTCCAGCCGCGTGCGTGCTGGACTCCAATGAGCAGGCGTACTGGTTTCCGTTTCCTCCCGAACCAACCTGACCGTTCCGTTCCGCTCGTTCCGCTGCAGAGCATCCGCAGCCTGCGGATGAGCCCCCTGGAGGAGCAGGCGGCATGCGCGCTCGATTCCGGGAACCTCGCGATGCTGACCGTCGCGGGGCCGTCGGTGGCGGACTGGGCCTTCTCGTTGCTTTACCGGGGCTTCCACCAGGTAAACGAGCTCAACTTTCCAAAAGAGACTTTGATTTCCACCGCTTATTTCATTAAATAAGTTGCGGAGGCGTTCCCTGGATCTATTATAGACAGATACGTAAAGGGCCAGGGGGCTGCTACAAGTGAGTGAAAGGAAGCTAGCCACTTGCGAAAAAGGATGTATGGGTCGTCAAAGGTAAAAATCTTGATATGGAGAGAAGGAGAGAAGCGGCGGGAATGAAGCCGTGCTGCAAACGACTTCAGCGCAGGGACAGAAGCAAAGATGCAGACAGGGAGAGGGTGTTTGGCGTTTGCGCTGCCTGGTTTCTGCTACCCCCGTTAGGAATTCGATTCGGGATTATCTCTCGCCGTCGTGAATCCTGCAACCACATGACGACGAAGCTGAAAGGGTGTAGATGAATACTGCAGTCCACCCCGTCTCTTTACTCCGACATATACCGAGCCAGACTGTTCTTTCTACGAGTATGTTCACCAAGAATGTGTGGGAAGGTCAGAAGCAACACGGTGTTGAATGTTTCGGTCTTAAGGCCTCTGAGCTCTTCCAGCATCATAAATATCTCAGCCGATGCTTACAACTGCCTCTGCCGTTCGCAGGGGCCCTCATACGGTGTCGACGTGGCGCTCCAGCGGCCGTTGATCGCCACCTTTGGCATGGATCAGACCGTTCGCATTTGGAACTTCGTGGACCGGCAGTGCGTGCTGGCGAAGCAACTAGAGGAGGACGTTTTCTGCCTTGCGCTCCACCCGTCCGGACTGTCCGTAGTGTTGGGGTTCCGTGACAAGCTGCGCCTTTTTCACGTACTTGCGGACGATCTGCTGCTCGTCCGGGAGTTTCACATGCCGGGTTGTAAACAGGTGAGGTCGTCCGATTCCTTCTGCTGAGTGTCCGGATTGCGGTCGGATCACGTTCGTTGGGTTTGATTGTCCGAAGGCGTGTTTTTGGGTGTCGGCATTTGCAATGGTCGAGCAACCAACCTGGTTCCTAAGAAAACCACCCTCTTCGTCACCTGAGATAAAACTCAACTAGAATTTCTTTTTCCACCTCTTCCAGGTCTCCTTCAGTCACAGCGGTCACCTCTTTGTTGCTTCCAACGCCACCACCAGCCAGGTGTTCAACGCGTATACGTCGACAACCGTGGGCACCCTACGTGGCCACACGGCAGCCGTCCGATCCGCCTCCTGGGCGGCCAACGATCAACGGCTCGTGACCGTCGGATTGGACGGAGCAGCGTATGAGTGGAAGATGGACAGCTACGCGCGCGACCAGAGCACGGAAAACGTCGTCAAAAGCGTACAGGTGAGCGCGTAGGCTATGCAACTCGGATGGCTAATGTTGATGGATGGCTCACATCAGCAATATGTGATGATCAAAAATGTGATCGTTTGCGAGGTGTTCAGTATCTGCTTCTTACGTCTGCAAACGGTCTGAAAGGCATCACTGCAAACTGACTGTAAGAAGGCGGTAGCTCCTGAGAGTTTCTCGACAAGGTTGTGGTTGACGTGAGTGACGAAGCAGCTCAAAAGTAAAATGAAACTCTTCGCAGTTCATCAGTTTTGTTGAGAATACGTTAAGAATAGTTCTGCGATACTGGCATACATTTTGCAGAAATTATGTTCACTTCCACCTTGTCTTTGAAGCAGCCTCAGAAAGCTCAGCAAACAACTGTAAACATTCTTTGAGGTCTCAACAAATAAGTCGACTTCCGTGTGACTAAGCAGTAGAATCACCGCATTCGGGTAGATACAAGGCGTGTTGTTTCATTGTACGTGGGATATGTACCACAATGAAACAACACGCCTACTTTCTGAAAAGCCTCCGTCATTGTGTGCATCAAATATGGGTTATAACAGGTTATAACAGGGTTTAGATATATGGGGTGAAATTAGTTTTTCGAAACTCAATGCTAACATATATCTGAACCCTGTTCTCCCCCCGCAGTACTCTTGCGTCGCATACGGCCGGCCCGGCGGCCCCCCCTTCTACGTCACCGCCGGACGCGACAAGATCTGCCGGCTGCGGCACATGATCAACGGCGCCTGCGAGCACGAGATCAAGATCGACGGCTGTCAGATCACGGCGCTCGCGCTGGTGGATCACAACAAAACGCTGCTCGCCGCGACGGACGAAGGCGCGGTCCGGGTTTACCCATGGTTTGGGAACAAGCACCCCGGGGAGTGGTCGGGGGAGAAGCCCGGGCGGTTCGAGGAGCTGCGGCTGCACCAGGTAAGAAAACCTCAAACGCTAAAACCCTAAAACCCTAAAACCCGGGGAGGCAGGATTGTCTCTCGCCTTGTACTTCATCTCTGTCTGGGCCAGTCGATCAGGCTTTCTCTTGCAGCGTCTAATAGAGCAGCGCTTATTAAGACAGGTAAGAGATAGGGGTCGGGAGAGGACCGGGCGCTCTTAAGGAGCTGCGGCTGCACCAAGCGATGAAATGGGGAACGCCAATTTATTTCACGCTCACTTCTGTCGCCATTCCCAGGGCATTCTGCCAGGCTGCGTTTTCCGGAGCGTCCCGTGAGTGGCATAAACGAAAAGGGCAGAATGTGGATAAGTTCCATCAATGCAGATGCAAATGCAGTCCCTACAGTACTTCTAACGAGCTTTTTGTGAATGCAACTGTTGGACCATTTTGTTCGACTCTCAAAACTAAAGTGCCCTCGAACAGTGGATGTTCCAGCCTCTCCAGGGCCAGCGCACGGCTTTACGGGTCCTTCACGAATCACACGTGTAGACATAGGACCACCTCTGCAACCCTAAATGCTAAGATTTGAAGGACTGCAAGAACCTTCAGGTTTTCAAAAGCCCAGAATGTCGAAAGAAGGTGAATGATACGGACTTGTTGCTAATATTCTCATCGCGCAGGGTGCCATTACATCCATGTGCGTCTCCCCCGACCAGTCCTTCCTCTTCACCACCGGGGAGGACGGCTCCGTCTTCACGTGCGACATCCGGACGGAAGCGGAACGCTCCGCTCCGCCGCGGAGTTCCGGCGAGCGGTGGGCGTTCGGACCGGACGCGTGCCTGGTGAACCGGGAGGACTGGCGAGAAGTCGTCGGATCGGTGGACGATCTGAAGGGGCAGATCGAGTCATTGCAACGGCGGATGGAGTACCAGAGCATGGTGCAGGAGAACAAGTGAGTGTTAACAAGGTTTGCTTCAAGATTTCTCTTTTACGGATTGTAAAGAATTCAAGTCTCGGAGATCCGAAAGTTCCTTGTTCTGTTTGCGGAGTACCGGACCTTAGGGCCCAACGGAAAAGAGGTACTTGAGTAGAACTTGAAGGGGCATTTCGAAAAGTTGCGGGGAGGTATCAAAGCATGTCGCAGGAAAGGAAGTCGGGGGTTTTTAGTTTCTCTTGCGGGGCTTTCGGATTTCTGGGGTTTCAAAATTGACCAGGTAATCAGCAGCAACCCGGCTAGGGTAGGTGAACTGCAGAATTTTTAGGAGGTAAAAGCAGCATAAAGGCAGCATAATCAGAGTGTGTGCGGAAACCGAAAGGTGGTTTTCCCTGTTGGTAAAAGACTGCTTTGAAAAGCAAGAATCCACTAAAGTGTAAACACGGCCGCTTTCGCATGCTTGTAGTGTAATAGCGTCCGTTGCTGAGAGGGGTCCCGAATATGAGCTAGAACACACTGCCAGACTGGGCCGCTCGCTGTAACGACGGTGAAATCGATTATCTCTATTGAAGACAATTTATTGCCACGCTGACAACCACTTACTCCCTGTTTCGGTCCACGTCGTTCATTCCGCTGAGCCGCCTTCCGTTTTTCAGGCGGAAGGAGCAGGTGGCAGCCGCCGAAGCCGAGACGGAAGCGGTGAAACGATCCGCCGAGAAATCCATTGACGATGTGAAGGAGGCAACGGAACGGCTAAAGGAGGTAAGCCCACTGGTTTCACATAGGAATTTTGCAAAGGATGAATCCAGCCTGTTTTGATGAAAACGTAAACGAGGCAGGAAGAAACGCGGTATTTTTTTTGGTTGGATTGCGGAAACTAGTCCAGCGCGAATCCGACGCAGAGTTTTCACGGTGCTCGACAGAACTTGAGCACCGCGCGGATCGATCAGGCTTTCAACGCTCAAGTTTTGAGAAATCCATTCCAGTACTTGAACACCGGCGCGTTTCGCACTCTCAAAGACTTCTGACCTCTTATACCTCGAGCGAACGTCTGTCAGAGCCCATCAAAAGCCTTTGCAGAAACGTTCGTTCCGCAAGGATTCTAGTATCCACGACATGTTAGACATACCTAGATCTTATCGAGAGAGCTTAAATTCGTTCCAAGCACTACGAATAATAGGTCAGAAACGGAAGGATCAGTTTAACAGAGCATCCTATTCATCCATATTCTCGCAAGTAGGACCACTTGCGGCCTCCACAAAGACTTGCAGATTTAAGTAGGGCTCAGCTATCTCTGCTCAACCTTTTTCAATTTTATCAACTCTAGGTGATGTCTCTTGTAAGCCCCGCTAAACCCCACGCCCGCAGGAGCGCGCGGCAGCTGCGGCGTCTCAAGAACACGTGTATTTTTGACTACAAGTGTCCTGATGTCATCGCCCCCTGTCTTGAGGTTGGATTCTTTCTAACTTCGGTAACCAATCCCGCTAACCACTCGCGCGCAGGACCACGCGCGGCAGCTGAGCCTGCTCAAGGACGCGACAATTTGAGTAAAGAATCGTGGGGAATCAAACCTTTCGACGATTATCCTCGCTAGTCTGTGACGTAACCAGCAACCGCTATCAAACCCGGCAGATGCCATAAAACCCGCCAAACCCTGCGCGCAGGACCACGCGCGGCAGCTGCGCCTGCTCAAGGACGCGCAGCTCAAAACCTCGGCGCACGTGGAGGCCGAGCACGCGGCCGCGCTCGAGAAGGCCGCCGAACGGCTCGCGCGAGCCCAGGGCGAGCTGGAGGAGGAGCGCGCGGCGGCCGTGCGCGCGATTGAGGGCGGCCGCGCGCGCGCCGCGCAGGATATCGCGGCTCTGAAGGAGGACCTCGACGCGGAGAAGGCGCGCGCGCGCGCGCAGGTTGAGGACGCGCGGCGGCTCGCGGAGGAGGCGCGGCGCGAGGCGGAGGAGCGGAGGAAACAGCTGGTATGGGGCTACGATGATTTTCTCCCACATCTAGATTGCAACACAAGATCCACAACTGCGGCAGCATTCGCTTTCAGGAAAACTGCTGCTGCTCCTTTGGGAAGCCCGGATTGCTCTCATGCGAGACTTGCAGAAACACCCAAAGAAGGGGAAAGAAATTGTCTTGAAAATCGTTTGAATCTTGAACCACTAAACCAGGGCCAGATTGTCACGACCAATCCGTTAGCTCGGTTCCAAACTCTTTTCATCATCTGCATAAACGATCCAGGCCAACAAGAGTATTTGTGGAACAAATAAGATTGGATCTCTAAGGTTTAGGGCTTTTGAAGGTCGTTGACTGAAGGGAGTCGAAGGCTTGTCAGCAAGGCATTGCAATAAGGTCAGCGGAGTTAGAGAGGGGCAGATCGCAACAATTAATTCTTCCATAGTCGTTTTGACCAGGCGCAGCTACTGTTTGCTTTCGTTCAAACGCTTTTCTACTCGATGACGTTCAAACTTACCGGACGTCATACTCAAAACGATGCCTTCTTGCTGACGTCATATGTAACCCTCTCCAGGACGAAGAATTCGAGATAGTGGCTAACCGGAACGATCTCCGGCGGGATGAGCAGCGGATCGAGGCGGAACGGAAGGAGTCCGAGCTGCGCGCGCGCACGAGCATTGTGCGCCGCGACCTCGACGGCGCGCTGCTCGCGAAGAGGATCGCGCAGGTGCGCGCGCATTCCCATCTCTACTCACTTTTCCAGTCTGCGCTACTTCCTGTTCCTCTAATTCCTCATTCTCTGCTACTTCCTCCTTCTCTGCTACTTCCTCATTTTTTTGCTACTGAGATAGTCAGAAGCCAAAAACACAGTGTGGGTTAGGCAAAGCGCGCAAGAGCTGAACTGCCTAGATAACCAAAAACTCTGCATAAAGATTCTTATGTTTGGTGTGACTCCTTAGGACTCGTGTCCACCGCCTTTGAACTGCGCCCACTACCACCGCAGATCGCGTCAAAGGAAAATGTGATTCCCAACCGAGTTCCTTCCAGACCCTGTCTGAAAGCCTTCGTTATAGTTTGAAACCCCGTCCAACCCGGTGTCCCCATCGTCCGTCAAATCGCCGCCCAAACCGCCGTCCTAACCACCGACCTAACCCCTTCTTTCCTCAGGACGAGCTGGCCAAGCGGGAGGAGGATCTCGCGAGCGCGCGCGCGCAGCTGCAGGACGCGGCCGCGAAGCACCAGTCGCTGCTCGCGGTGCTGGCGGAGCGGGAACAGTCGCTGCACACCATGGAGCAAACCCTGCGTAAGCGGCCTAACTGGCTCCTAACCCAGGCCAACCCCCTCTTAAACGTACTGTATCCTCGCAAACCCGCTTTTGAATCGTTTCACCTTGCTTGGGGACATCCTTAACTCACTGAAAACGCTTCGAAAGCCGCTCAAACCCCTTCCTTGATACTTGTTGTCTCTTGCTGAATCTTTCTGTCCCTCGGGCCCATACCAATTGGGCAAGACTGTCTTTTGGTAGGTATTTTTTGCGAAGCTAGAAAGCCCAAAGCGCAACTAAGTCGACAAAATCCATCAACGTTGGCCGTAAACCTGCGACTTTGAAGCTCGTCCTCAGTTGTTTCCAGACGGACGGACGACCGATCTAGTCTGCGGGTGTTCTTCACGTCATCACCTGACCGATGTCCTGAACGTCTGTGAAAGAGTCAAGTTGTGTGTGACGAGTTTATTTCTTGGCGCTGCTCGTTCACTCGTTCATTTCTATCTTTTCGTTAGATCCGTCAGATCTCTCTTTCGTCAAACCGGCGCCAACGAGACCTTGGAAGGTCACCGGTACCTAGCAAAAGTTTCTTCTTTCCCTCGTACTGTGCGCGGCATGCCAAGATCATCAACACTAAACCCTAAAAGCCTAAAACCTCAAAACCCTAAAACCTGGATCATTACGGGTATCCCGTCCCCTCATTCGCTCGCGTCCAGATCCTTCTTCGAGTATTTGTGACTGCTTTGCTTTTTACAACGACTTGACACGCTCGACAGCGACGAGAATAGTTGACTGTATTACACTGCATTGAAGTGTATCCAATCGTTGATTTTGATACCAAAGCTCAAGAGCTTCTCTTTTTGCAGACCGCATTCGCAGCGCCAACAAAGACTTGGAGGTCCACAAGTATTTAGCCGACCACAAGTTGCGCGACGCCCACTTATCCGTCGCGCCTCGAGAAGCCGAGCTTGCCCGGTTGAAGGAGGAACTAGAGGCGCGAGACGAGGAACTGCAGAAGAGCGTTTTGGAGCAAGACAATCAGAGAGTGGCCATACGAGATCAGGTGGAACGGCTCGCGGGGCTTAAGAAGGAGGCGGCCGCGCTGCACGCGACGGTGAAAGCACGGTGAGGGTTTGGGGTTTCAGGGTTTGCAGGTTTGGTTATTCGAGTGCCTTTGGGAGCTGATTCACAGGCGGTTCTGCATGTCGAATTCTGCATCGGTGCTTTAGAATGTATAGCTTTGGGCTGGGTAGGAACCGCGCTTTGGAGTGTTGAAGGCTGAAACGACCGTCAACGGGACGTAAGTGAGGGGAGGTGAAGCAAATGGATGAGGAAAAAGTATTACACTATACGCGCCTCGCTAACCCGCTTTTGGCACGGCCCTCCCTCCTCCAAACGCCTTTCTTTATATTCGCAACGGACGCCGCCCCGGAATTCTTAGACATCCTCAAATCACATAGCTTATGCATAAGAGTGCATCGCTGATCTCGCCAGGGAGTTGGCTATCGCCCACTTCGAGCACGATCTGTCGATGGCCAAGACGCAAGTTAACGTCCTCCAAACGCCTTTCTTTATATTCGCAACGGACGCCGCCCCGGAATTCTTAGACATCCTCAAATCACATAGCTTATGCATAAGAGTGCATCGCTGATCTCGCCAGGGAGTTGGCTATTGCCCACTTCGAGCACGATCTGTCGATGGCCATGACGCAAGTTAACGTGGAACGGATAGCAGTTGGCACTTCTCATCACTTGTAGCTTATGCTTTAAAGCTCGTCTCGAATCTTCCCCAGGGAGTTGGCTATCCGCCCACTTCGAGCACAATTAATCGATGGCCATGGGAATTCGGATCGAACTGACGCTCTCTCCGAAGCCCAGTCACAAAGATCAATTGTGATTATCTCCGATTCAGAAAATTCAATAGCTTATGACTCACACCGCAGTGCTTATTCCCGCAAGGATTTGCCATCGCCCACTTCGAGCACACCTTGTCTATGGCGATGACGGAAGCGGACCCGAAATCGACGCGCTCCCCGAAGCTCAGTCACCAAGATCTTTTCTTTAGCTCCGTTACACCAAGCTGGATATCATGCATCGCTTTTTCCCACAGGGAATTGATTATCGCCCACTTCGAGCACGGCTGTTGATAGCCATGACGAAACTGACGCCCGAGAGACTGACGCCCTTTTCAAAGCCCGAATACTAACACCAACTTTGTTTCCCTCAAAGTTTTCAAACGCAATAGCTTAAACTGACAGCGCATCGCGTATCCCCCAGGGAATCGGTTATCGCCCACTTCGAGCACGATTTGTCGATGGCCATGACGGAAGCGGACCCCGAGGCGAAGGAGCGGCGATTGCGTGCGCTGTACGAAAAGCACTGCGGACATAAGAAGGATGGGGACGATGACGTCAGCCCCGAGGCTATCGCCGAGATGCGCCGGCAGCGGTGAGTGTTTCGTCTAGAGATGAATCATAGTCAGTGACTACAGTTTGCAGCTGCTTCTGCGTTCCTGGATGGTCAGAATATCACTGTGTTGCCTCACATCTTTTTGACGTATTTGCGATCAGAGCTCTTGACAACCGGCATGCTGGTGAGAAAGGTGTGTTCGGAAAGATAAGGGAGATCTGTGTTGAAGAATGATCTGAACAGGTTTGGGGAAGGCGCAGGTTATTGGTTGTTTGTCAGTAAATTGCCGTTGCTTGCAGGCAGTAGCCGAAGCACAGTTAACTTTTCCGACCGAAGACCGAGGGAAATCGTCGGTTTAGAGGGGTTTAACGGATGGCGGCAGTTCAAAACTTCCCCAGGCCAGCAGGCCGCAGTTCAATCTAAAACATAGACGCGTTTCAACCATCTGCAGGACGTATTTGGAGCACACTTCCAAGTACCAGCAGAAGGGCGCGGAGAGCGCGGAGAAGAGGTATGCGCGCGCGATGCGGAAGGCGCGCGACGAGAACCAGCTGCTGCTGTCGGAGAACATGGACCTGCGCCAGGACAAGAAGGCGCTCGCGCACCAGCTGCAAACGGTGAGGGGCGCGCGCGCTTATGAAACTGGGTTGATCTTGATTAGGTTTCTGACTAAAATATGTGCCAGGACAAGAAGGCGCTCGCGCATCAGCTTCAAACGGTGAGGCGCGCGCGCCATTTCGGCACGGAAACCTTGGGGGAACGCGTATGGTATAGTCGAATATCATTAGGAATGAGAATCTGTGCCAGGACAAGAGGACGCCTGTGCACCTGGTGCAAACGGCGAGGCGCACGTGCACTGTCGGATGAAAACCTTGAGGGACGGTCAAATTAAATCGGAACTGGGTTGTCATTTTGATCACGTGATTCAACGGGTATCTTTACAAAACCCCTGTTACTGCTCGAGGACGATTGAGATTCTTGTGGACTCGGAGAGTACGTTTCTCAGAATATTGATTCAAAAGATGTTACACAAATGAAGTGCTCAAGGGATCAGGTCTTGATCAGGCAGGATCTACTTGTGTTCAATCCTGTCTGGTCAGAAGCTGTCAGTCCTTCCACTGTCTGCGAGACGCTGAGCCACGTCAGGGTTTGCAACGGCTTCCTCACACTATCTTCGCTTAACCTTGCAGTTGGAAGAGAAGATCAAACTCCACCCTCAGCTCTTCAACCCCCACGAAAGTCCCCGGTCGCACACGGAACCCTCATCTAAACCCTCCCTAACCCCCCGGGTGGGCTCCGCACGAGTGCCCCGCTTCACACCCGCAGCGTTAGCAGCAGCAATTGCGGTTAGGGAAGGGTTAGGATCAGCCTCCTCAACCTCGCGCAGCGGGCGCGTGGTTAAGGGCAGCGTTAGCCGTTCGCTTGTATATAACAACGCTGTGGACGAGCTCGAAGACGATAACTATACGGGGTTAAGCGCCCGGTCAAGCGGCGGGTCAAGCAGACCCGCGACGAGCCGGGAGGGCGTGATCGAAGCGCAGCGGAAGGAGATTGCGCGACTGAGGGAAAAGCTGAAAAGTGCACATCGGGGGAGCTTAACCGAGAGCGAAATTGTAGAGGACGAGGAAAATGGAGGGGCACCGTCGAGCTTAGAACTAGAGGGGGCGGAGGCTAGTGCCAAAGAAGGGTCGGTTATTAGAACTGGGGCACAGACGGCGAGAGAGTGGACGCCGGCAGAAGGCGATGGGAGAAGGAAAAGTTTCAGGGCTGTTGGACTGCAACCAGAGTTACTGATCCCGCTTCTTGACATAAAAGTTGTTGCTTCCGGGGGGGTAAACTCTGGTGTTCAAACGGCGCGGCCCTCGACAAGTCGGTTGCCAAGCAGAAAACCGGGGGATAGCGTCTTGGATGGAAACACGGAAGGGGGGGTAAGGGTTTCGAGGAAATTGGCGATCGGAGGGGGCTTCTTGACTAGTCGACGGCCGTCAAATAGCACGCAAGCGCAGCACGGGGATGGGTTGGTGGGAAAAGCCGCGACAGAGCGGCGGAAAAGCATGCCTGACATCAAAAGATTCTTATAAAGTAGTCTGGATAGGGTATGTGCAGGGATGCAATTGCATTAAGCGAGGTTGATCAGGGCCCGTCAAGTTGCACAGTCTTAATCTCGTGCAGTGCGCTGCACGGCAACTTATATTTACAGTGAATAAATGCTCGCTCATTCATGCCGCTTTGATTGTTACAGCCTTCATTGCGCAGCGCATGGTGTGCAGCTCCAGAGCTATGAAATCTGACTACATTGACCTCAGTCATATAACGTGGTATACTGACCAGTGGCCTGGGGCCCGTGTGCCAGCATGATCGAACGCGCTGCACCTATCAAATGATCGAGCCTGACGGCCTGCTGCATGTGCATGTGCAGAACGATACTTCTCACTCATATCCGGTCATAGATTGTACATGCTCGTGTTTCGTGCCTTTGCATGTTACACATGCTGATTCTTGAATCCTGAACATCCATGATGCTGGGAGAGCACGCGCCGATCCAATCTGACTGTTAAAGCTAGAGTTTGCATTATTAGACCGACCTCTGCCAATGAAAAGCTCTGAAACATGTTGCTGATTGCATATGTTGCAAGCAAGCAAATTGTTTGCCCAGATTGAGCATAGTATAAGAAAGCAGGACTTTTCAAGGCTGACACTTTGCATGAGATGTGACACTCAGAGAAACCTCACGTTGCTATGCCTACTGCACAATTGGCTCTGTTGTTGTGCCGTGACTTGACCAGATTAGGTTGATTGTTGTCAGACAAGATGAAACTTGGCAAGCACGTCCTGTTGACCACCAGAAGGACTTGCCGGAGAATGAGTTGGTAGCAGGAGTCTGACCAGAGGAGTTCTTCTCGCTTCAATACCAGGTGTCTTCCAAGCTCAGGCCGAACGTTAACAGACAAGTCATTCTTGACTGTCAGATGGAAGTTGACTCTCTCACTGCTGTCTTCCTGCAAGTGCTCTTCAAGCCTCTCAATGCCTGTCCCGCCTGCTACAACGTGCATCTTTGTTTCCAGCTGCCCTAATTCAACAGTAATGTAACTTTTGCCAAGTTTTGGCCACTATCCCATGCCTGCCGTACATTTTCAATGCAACAGTCTCACTCCTGAACTGCATAGCCCCTGGCCTACAGATTCTGACCTAAGACTTATTACCAGAACAGCGGCACAGAGCGTGGTCGATACTGCAAATTCAACTGCCAAACAAGCAGTTGCACAACCTATTGAATTTCCATCAAGTCATTTTAAGACAAGGTCTATGCACGAACATAAGTTCAGAGCTTTCCACTGCGTAGCACAAGCGTTCAGAAGAGATTGCAAGCAGCTGCAGTGGTCACATGGAATCTGGAACGAGCAAAGCCTACGAATCAGGTGCCCGTTGAGAACAACCAGCTTTGCTTCTGAAGTGCGCAAGTGTTTGCAGCAAGCAATGAGCTCTACAATGCTCATTGCAACATCTGATGGAACCAAGCAGATTGATGAACTTCTGAGAATTGGTGGTGTTAGAAAACACCAGTTTTGGTTTGTAGAGCCGCACTCAGTCCACCGCTTAAGCAGAGGTGAACTTGGTGACGGCCTTGGTCCCCTCAGAGACAGCGTGCTTCGCCAGCTCGCCAGGCAGGATCAGGCGGACCGCGGTCTGGATCTCGCGGGAGGTGATGGTCGGCTTCTTGTTGTAGCGCGCCAGCTTGGATGCCTCGGTGGCCAGCTTCTCAAAGATGTCGTTGATGAACGAGTTGAGGATGCTGATGGCCTTGCTGCTGATGCCGGTGTCGGGGTGCACCTGCTTCAGCACCTTGTAGATGTAAATCTTGAAGGTCTCCACTCCCTTCTTGGACTTCTTCTTGCCCTTGGCGCCCTCCTTGGCCGGCTTCTTCTCAGCCTTAGCGGCGGGCTTCTTCTCGGCCTTAGGGGCCTTCTCGGCAGCAGGGGCCTTCTCGGCAGCCTTGGGAGCCATGGCGAAAGTTGGTTGGGAGGGCGGAAGACTTGAAAACTTTGGTTGCAAGTTGACGGCGATGAGAACTGTTGGACAATGAGCTGATCACAGCTTCTTTTGTATCCAGCTCCCAAGCTCAGCGCCAGTCTCAAGCAGCAGCTTGCTTCTGATTGGTCCGAAACTGGGACCATGGACTGAGATTCCCAACAGCCTGCTTTCGGCCGTTAGATAAGGCTTCCAATCCACAGATTCAATGTTGCACGGTCCGATAAAAGTTCGGCGCCGAAAATTCAAACTTACTCGGACTGGCCCGAGTCATGGAACTTCAGAGTTCAGAGAGCTTCTGAGTGTACCGGGCGTAGGATGCCGGTAAGTGATTTGGCCGGTTGGTCTGTACCGATGTTTGCAGGTTGCCGTTGCTCGCCTGAATCTTTCCTTGGAGGTTGCTTCCGAGCACCCGGGAAAACTTTCAGAGGTGCCCCGAGTCCCGAGAAGGATTTACGAATCCACGCGCTGCAATTGGTCAGAAATAGGGGCTCACGGATTGCTCAAGCGGAAACAGCAGCCTACCTTTCGATAGGCAAGTGCTCCGATCGAACGGCTGAGGGCTCCTCAAGTTCGGATTTTGAACTTGCGCCCCATTTTTGAATTTCCAATGATACAGTCTGCATTCAAGCTACTCAAGCACCCGAAAGTAAGTCATGTGGTGTCAAGAGAAGCCCTGGGGAGACCGTCAGAGCAGCATCGAGACTTCAACTTTCTGTGGCTTCGACAGACCGACTTTCTAGACTGCCTCTAGAGTAGGTTCTGCCTTGATGTCGAAAGACAGCTCAAGTCTCGACCGACAGTGTCTTCGACAAGTGACTCCCGGTTCATCCCAATTGCCCACCTCAGCTTATCGGACGGTCAGATCTGGCCTGCAAAACTCATATCCTGGTCCTCGCTTCTGATTGGCTCCCAAAGTAAAACCTACTACAAAGAAGAACACCAGAGCCACAATTCTGCACAAGCAATTTCATTCGCAAAGTTTCTCCTCCGCTCCAAACAGCAAAGTTCCCTCCTCCTCCAAAAGCAGTCATCATGTCTGGACGTGGCAAGGCCTCCGGCAAGAAGGCGGTGAGCCGCAGCGCCAAGGCGGGGCTCCAGTTTCCTGTGGGGAGAATCGCCAGGTACCTCAAGGCTGGCAAGTATGCAACTAGGGTGGGCGCGGGTGCTCCCGTGTACCTCGCCGCTGTCCTGGAGTACCTCGCAGCTGAGGTTCTGGAGCTGGCTGGCAATGCCTCCAGGGATAACAAGAAGACCAGGATCGTCCCCAGGCACATCCAGCTCGCAGTCAGGAACGACGAGGAGCTGAGCAAGCTGCTTGGCAACGTCACCATCGCGGCCGGAGGAGTGCTCCCCAACATCCACAGCGTGCTGCTCCCCAAGAAGACTGGCGGCGGCAAGGCTACCGCCGAGTAAATGCGCCTCGGGCGTGCGGCCTTGTGCCAATCACAACCAAACTGGTGTTTTCTAACACCACCAAACCAAAGAGATCTTTCACTCCTACTTGCCTGCGCAATTCTGCTTTGCTGATTTTACTGCCTCTTCAACATCAAGGACAGAGATCAGAAGTTGCTTAGTCTCTTTGATCCCCAGCATTAGTTGCTTAGACTCTTTGATCCCCAGCATTAGTTGCATTGTCAGGTGGACCTGCCTACTTTAGTTGAAGACCTAGAAAAGGCTGCTCTTGCTCTTGCCTTGTGTGGACCTATGCTAGAAGTCTCTGCAAGCCAGGGCGTAGCTAGGAGAAGAGACTGGAGATCGTTTGTGCCGCCGTTACGGAAGTGTCTGCTTGATCAATGGCAGGTGTCAGTTGTACTCGTAAAGGCCGTTATGTCGAAGATTGGTACCTTATTGTCTTTAAGATGCAGAGAGATTCCAACACATCCCGGGCAGTGATCAAGGCCTTTCCTAATACAAAGTGCCAGTTGTCAGAAGCAATCTGACTCGGACCACAAACAGATGGTGGCCTATACTTGAATGAAGCAAGCGTGCCTCCAGGATCTGACTTAGATCTCCGGGTCTCTTGTTGTGGGGGTGTGAATCTAAACACTCCAATCTGGCTTTGCTTCATTCATCATCAAAGTTCCACTCGTCCAGTCTCTTCCAGACGACGCCGTCCTTCCGCTTCATAATGTCTTCTGACCAACCACCTCAGACGCAAACTTTCATGGGTCTTGGGTTCTACGCAGCTGGGCTCCTCGTATTTGAAACAGAATTCAGTGTCCTGTTGTTTGTCCTGTTCTGACGAGGACGGAGTTTTGAATCTGGCTGTGCGTCCATGGCACATTTGTGTCCATTCCTGTATGGTCGTATTGCAACTTTGATGTTCTCCTCCGAGCCCCTGTAGAATGACCTCCATAGAATCCCGCTTTTTCCATATCCTTGTGAGGTTAGCATCGTGGTTGCATGATTGTGCGCGGAATGAAGGCGGTAGGAGTGCTATGGAAAGCATTCTCATGATGTAAACTGTACACAGCTGCATCGTGCAATGTATCCTGCCGCAAATCCAATGTCGTGGAATGTTTCATACCCGGTTTCATATCATAGCATCCCTTTCTGAAAGAAACTGCATGCTGGTCACGGATACATTGTGCGCCGCGATTGATGATCTGCCAGAGGTGCACGTAAGATTGGATGTTTCTTATATGCTTAGCCGCAGAAACTTGCTAGCGGCGGCAGCTGCCACTCATGCATGAGCAGATGGCTGTTCTAGCTGAGCAGACGTACCTAGATTTTGCACGGGGGTACTACACTTACCAGATGCACGTACAGGCCACCGTCATCTGACATGGACGCATGTACTCACTGCAATATTCACCACTGATATATACGCACGAGATCGTACTAATGCATGACGGCAATGATCCGACACGTAACTGCAAGGCCCTGCCAATAATTTGCATACTTGCGTGGACGCAGGTGTCCGCATCCAGGATCTTAGTACGTGAGTCAACCAGCGCAAAACGTACTGGGCTCGCAAATACACACATAACTCAACTACGCTGACATGCAGCCTAATTAAGCAACTCCCATGGAGACGAAACGCGAGCTAGGTCAACCGATTGCAGGGACTGAGCTTTGATTGCCAAATCAGGATTGGTGCGACCTGATCAGGGGCGGCGCAGATCGTGGTTTCCAAGTGACATGTCTCGTCAAAGAGTTTCAAAACTCTGCATGACTAATCGGGTAATTTGATATTGCGTTATATAAAACTTCCTTGTAACGCTCCTGGTTATTCTCAGGCTGTTTACTTAGATACGTCTAGATCCCACCGTCAATCTGGTTGCTCCTCTCAGTCAAACGTCTGCATTCGCTTTGTCAACGCCTTCGAGCATGTACTCAAATGCTTGTCATATGCAGATCGGATCGGTTTCAAAGCTGTCTCTGAACTACTGTAGGCCTCGAATTGCCGCTTAAGTGCCGGCAGAACCAGATGTGAACAACTCTGATCATCGGCCAGATTCGCTGCTGACGGCCATCCACTTCGAGGAGTACATTCAGGGGTCTTGTGCGAATCGGGCGAGGAGGTGATATACTAATTCCTCCTGTTTTCAGGCGGCATCGTCTGTTCGTTTGTACGACGACAAGGTCCCTAGCTACTAGTAGATGCCGGCGCACCTCTTTTTCTGGTGACGAACTCAGGAGTAGAAGAGCCAACGAGAGACCGTGTGGTTGTGAATGAGTGGATAGACGGACCGTTGAACGAATTCGGATAGAAATGGGTGCCGCCTAGGCGCTGGTTTTCGCGGCGGCGTTAAGGAAGATGGGCGGCAAAGATTGAAAAGATTCCCGGGTTGAGATTGGAGTCACGATGAGTGCTCGTCTCAATGTCTGGCCGCGCCCGTAGGACTTCCGTGAATTATATAGCTTCCTCGACAGCATAGTCAGGCCGCTACATCCACGTGCCTCGAAGTTTGGAGTCATCTCTGTATTCTGGGCTCTGCAAAGAATGTAGAAAGGTCAGATTATTGTACGGACCCAGAGTCATAGCTTTTTTGATAGGATCAGCCTGGACCGAAATTTTGCGTCTGATCATGAAAGGGCTCCCCGTTTGTGCAACGAAACAAGACACCAGATATCTGAAGCTGATGCAAGTCGAAGCCGCATTCATATCCACGGACCATCGGTGTGTCGACGACGGTATGTTGAGTATGGCGAAGCTGAGTGGGGAAATCGACCTTTCGTTTCCAGTGAAGAGCCTGTAAAGACGTCGGCAAGCTAAGGTATGAACGAGTTGCGGCCTTGGATCGACTGACAATCTGACAATATGGCTCGACCCCAACAATTTGCCAGATAACATTGCACTGAGATGAGTTTCCGACTCCATTAAAGCATTTTCTCGCCTACGTACTTCTAGCGCTGGTCACTCGCTGTGCAGCAAAGGGATTTGAGTGGGCTCGTTTAGTCAGGCAAAGGCTTCTGGGACACGTGCGAAAAGTTACTGATTTCGTAAGTACTGCATTAATATCTTCTCTGCCCGTCCTTGAGAAACTCCTTGACGTGATTCCGGTATGCTTGTCATGCCGACATCTTCGTCCAATGCCTCATCACTCTGGGCGGCCAGCCTTTGCCGTCCTGCATCTTGCTCTGGTCAGACTCCGTTTGAAACAGCCTCGAGTGCGAAACCCGATGTATATATCATCTGGGCTGTTTGAGACTTGTCAGGGACCTCGTTCACCTTTGACTACTACCTTCAGTGAATGGTAACAAATGGCGACAGCCGTTTGGTTTGAGCCGTTGAAATAGTCGTCAAGGGCTTCCTTACTCTGAACGATTGGGGTTACGTGCAACCCACAGTGCTGACGAGGTTTTCTTCTGCTTTTACTGAATGGTATTAAAACTTGATCGTCTTTCAAACCCATCAGAATCCCATATGGGCTGAACGGTCGAAGACTCATTCAAGAAAAGGCTCAACGGATTGATACCTGTCCAGATTCTGAGAAACCCAGTTGAGCTCAGGTTTTTATTCAATGATTACTGAGTCGAAGCGACATGATCCCGCACAATTCTTATATGCAAAGCACGACTTGGCGGATCCACTTCCTTGATCGGACTGCAACTTTCATCTGATTTCATCAATAGTTTTGCTGAAGTCACACCAACTGCGAGCGCACGACCTTTTCTGAATCGGAATCCGAAGACTGTTTGAACATATGTCCGCCCTCTCAACCGAACAGTCTGACTTCATGCTGAATGGTCTCCGACTCTATCTTCTTCCTTCTCCCGTTCTTCTCGATTGCTTCCTAGAGACGTAGACGCTGCTTCAATCAGTACTCTCAACCGACACAATGCAGGCGATTACTCAACCAGTTTCTAAGAATCTCGATGCCGACTTTCAATGGGCATTCGAGACCTCGAGATACCACTGCCGGCCGAAAGGCTAAGGCTGTTATATTCTCCGAATCTTATTATTGGGTTTCAATCTCCCGCCTGAGTCTCTTCGACGCCCTTACCATCAACGCCAGTACGAATGCACAAATCACATCTCTATCTATCGTCACTTGAAACTTTAGGTGCTACTTTTCTAGCTTTAAACCCGACTGACCAATAAACGATCCGGATTGGAAGACTGGTTATGAACGATAAAGCGGAAGAAAGGATGGACTCCCACCACTAAAAAAGTACCCCAAGATGCCAATCAAGCCTGCTTTTTCGGAATCTTGATAAAGAGAATATTTTCCCCGAGCCTCTTCAAATTACGTGATCGGAGCGAGTTGGCCGGTGGTCAGAAGGCTGTCTACCGATCGGGCGATTGAAAGCTCAGCGTCCGCTGCCGACCTATCATTGCCAAATCTGAATACAGTTGCACCTCAAAAGATCGAAAGCTCTGAACGTCTTTAACACCACAGCTTCAACCTTGGGCACTTGGTTGGTGTCACCTTTCCTCTTTTCCGGCCGCGGCCACTGATCGAGCTCAATCGGTCACGCATGCGGCGCTGGAACTCTTCACGTCAACACTCTGCACGTCAACATGGACGAGCGGCCCGCGAGGGCCCGCGTCGCGAAGCCCTGATAAGCAAACTTTACTGAATTCAAGGCTTAAGCGCGGCGCTCGACGCGCCGTAATTACAATCCGGACAGGCCCAGGTGGGCTGTCGATCTGTTGATTTCCCGAACAATAAGGGGCGCAAGACGCGCACGTGAGCTGCGTGAGCAGAATCTGATAGTCGGGGCCGGGGTCCATGTCTCGGGGCCGGGGTCCATGTCGCGGGGCCCGGCAACCGCCCCCCAACCGCCGGGCTTGTCTACTCATTGTACGCTCTCGCCGTGGACCTTTGCAGGGCCGACCATTGAACCCCCATTGAACCTATCGTTAGAACGAGGGCGAACGTGTCATTTGTAGCGCCTGAGCTAGCTAGCTAGCCGAGCTCAAAGAGGCACATTCTCACGGTTCATACAAGAAGGCTTTGGTGCGGCGGCCCGCGGCCCTGCACTGCGCGGCCGCCGGAAACGACGGTCGACCGTACCAGGGGCCCGCGGCCACGAGTTCCAAATTTTCTGGAGCCGATCATCGATGATCAACGCACCGTCCGATAAGCGATAGACGTCACGCGGTCAAACGAGTATCAGCTGGCGGTTTGGCGAAGTATGAAAGACGTGGAATCTGACTGTGAGGCAGTTGTCCGTGCAACTGCAACCTGCAGACTCGTGTACACATTGTTCTGGCAGAACCGTCGCTTTCTTGCTAGCTTGCTCGGGTTTTCAACCTCTGAAAGGTGAGCAAATGCGGGAAGTGCTCAGCAATGCTGCTCATTCAGGCTGACGATAGTGTTGCTGCAAGAGTAGGTTGCTGCTTCCAGCTAAATGCAAGGTGCTCCCCAATCAGAATAATCTCTTCCTTGCAGAAGGTTTAGCTAGGGTTGAGCTCTTTCAGTACCTCCTGATATCATACTTCGACCCTAATCTGCAAAGAACTTACTGTTGCACTCAGCAAGTTACAAAGTCAGCTGCAGATCTTGCCCTTGGAGGGCCGCATTGTAGCATTACAGATTTATACCTACTACTGCCTGAGCGTGCAAGCCAAGGTCTCGTCACACCAGCTCACGACCTCCGTCAAGAAGCCCTAAAAGCACTGGAGAGACATGCGGATGCCGATTGTCTTATTTTCAAAGCTGATAGTGGAAAACATTGACGACCTCGGTGCAGTATTTGATCAGAGCTGGCGGTCGAAGGTTCAGAGAGGAAGGCCGATTGTTCAAAATGAAGAGAGTCTCCAGCAAGAAAGCTGATACAAGTACACGGGGGCCGGAGTCAAGGGGAGCTAGCGTATAGAGGCCAGTGGACGAACTTTTAGGAACTAGCAAAGAGCTCCTCAGGCTTCAGCAGTTCGGACTCCAACCAGAAGGTCTGAAAGCTCTGAAGGCCTTTGAAATTGAAGCTATTGGAAAGGGTTTTACAAGGAAGGAGCTGCGGTGGAAGAAATGAAAGCAATGGCGGCGAAACAAAAGGCAATCCTTATTGCAATCTTGCAAGTCGCTCTGCTGACTTGTTCTGTCAGAGCTCAGCCTCAGGTCACACTGGCTGAAGATGGTAAGGAAGCCTTTAACTCCGCTCTTTACAAATTAACAGAGACAACTATTTGATTGTAAGTGAGAAACGACCATTTCTCGCCCCTGACATGCAAAGAGCTATGGCATGAAACTTTTATGCTGCAAAGCCTTCGAGAATTACTTAAAACAGTTTTACCCTTCTCAGACTCTTCAGTGACCTCGTACCGCAACCTAGATGGCCCTTATCCTCACTTGTGCACCTTGGAACTAAACAAACCAGGAGGAAAATCTGCAAGTTTTGTCCCCTGGTCTGCATGCACAGCTCTCTATGCTCCCTTTCCTTGCAGTGCGAGCTCTATTGGCCTTTGAAGCAGCAGTTGGGAACCCTTCCCTGTTAACTGCCAGCTGGCAAGGAAACAACCCGTGCGTATCTTCCTGGGTTGGAGTCTCATGCCAGATTCTGAGCGCCAGCCGAAGTCACACATGGACCGTAGTTGGACTGTGAGTTTTGCCTCTCTTCAAACTCAATTCCAGCTTCAATTATTTCTTGTCAGAAGGTGTTACCCCTCTCATATCCTGGTAAAGTGGTGAATCGGTAAACGAGGGCAAAGAAGAGCAAGTTTGCTTAGCAGTGCTTCTGCGGATAGTCAGAATAGTACGGCTTCATATCTCTGCCATTACTAGGAGTGTTGCCGAGCTCTTAATGATCAAGGCTGCAGCTACTGAGGGTCTTCACAACGTCCATCCAAAATCAACAAGATCGCTGACAATCGTCTTTGTTGCATGCAGCAATCTGAGCGGTCACGGTCTCCAGGGTTACCTCCCCATCGACTTGGGCAACCTTGTGCAACTGCAGAGCTTGTAAGTGCCCTGCGCCTCCGCTTCCCACGTCCCTTTATGGCTCTAATTTGACCAGAAGTACTTTTCAAGAGAGCAGCCCCTTCACAGTCTGCTTGCAAATCTCCTTGCATGTGCAAGAAGCTCGAGAAGGTCGCCCGCATACTGTTGAGGTCCATGCATGATCTTTGAGACCTGTTGCCTTGCCAACCTTTGACCTAACCAATCTGAGCTACCCGCTTTTTTTGCAGGAATGTGTCCAACAACCAGCTCAGCGGCCCTATTCCAAGCGCGTTGGGCGGGCTGACGTTACTGCAGAGCCTGTGAGTTCAGCTTCTCCTTCCGAGCAATTTTGGTTGGTCGACTTCGACAAGTTTTGAAAGTGTGGCAGCGAATCGTTGGAGCTCCATTGCTTCAAGTACTGTCCTCAGAGGCAGACATCCAAAACCGGGCAGAAAACGAAAGGCGGTGCGTCTTTCTTTACCACCTGGCAAACACCGCTAAGTCTACCCCTGACCCAATCAACTTGTTGCCAGATTTCCCTATGCCTCTCCTAAATGTCGTTCTGGAATTCAAGCTGTGAACCGGAATGTTCCCCTTTCTGGCTGCAGTGACGTCAGCTACAATCAGCTGAACGGCAGCATCCCAGCAGAGCTTGGCGGCTGCAAAAACGCCACCATCATGAACCTGGCCCACAATCAGCTGACGGGAAGCGTGCCGGCAGCGCTTGGCAACCTGACAAACGTTAAGCTAAGGTGGGTTCTTCTTCCTCAGGAGCCCCGCTCGAAAGGATCAAAACCAACAGTCCATTTTGCTTTTCCTTCTTCTTTATTCCAAGTTTGTTTCGATATAAGGACCCTCTGAGACTAAAAGTTGGCTTCTTTGAAATCGTTCTCTGAAAACACTTCTTATCTCATCCTCCGTTCTACAAAAGAGCCTTGACGACTTGGTTTTGTTTCTGCGCAATGAATTGGACGGCAATCCCTTCTGCGTTACATTTGCGAACCTTTCGACTTCTTCTGCTTTCAGGAACCTCTCAGAGCTTCTGTCCGGTTCTTGGGCACGCAGACTCTAAGCTGCCATGGCTGGCCAAACGAATCCCATCAGCCTGAAAACTTCACGAGCGGGAAAGAAATTGGTTCGCCCTTCGTTCTCTGCCCGAGCCGAAGCAACTCCCTCACTTGTTTTGGGTCGCCGAAGGCCTGCCAGAGCAACTTCTGAAGCCCACGTAACATCTGCCCAAAAATGTCGGAAGTAAACCTAAGACACGTCTTTCCGCGCAGTCTTGACGGCAACTCCCTCTGCAACACCATCCCCGGCGCGCCGTGCCTCCTTCAAACCGCCGCCCCGAGCGCGTCGCTCGCGCGCAAACCCAGCTCCGGCAAGAAATTGATAATTATCCTCGTACTAGTTGGCTCGCTCGCCGCGGCCGCGGCCGCGCTGTGCGCGTGTCTCTTTGTCGTGCTGCGGAAGAAGAAGTCGCGCGTGGGGACAGCGGACGACGATGAGGAGAAGTGGATGCGCTTCGACATCCTAGGTAAGTGTTTGTGAGACACAAACACGCCCGAGCCCGCTGCTCCGTGTTTCGATCAGAAACGGTCACTAGCCGGCCGCTAACCAGCCAAGTCGAAGGGGTGGGGTCCCTGTACGTAGCAGATTAGCAATGATCAAAACGCGCGGTCGGAAGACGACTCAAACTACAGAGAAAATGTCTTGACGACCTTTGATGGCTGTGATAACGGACCCTAAGAACGGAGCCTTATCCATCCCTGGAAGTTGCCTTGAACGCTCTGGACATTTTGCCTGTTTGAGAAAGTAAAGGCCGGGTGATGCAGAGTTCCGAAAGAAAACCTCATCGAAGCCTCAGCTACTCACCGAACCTCGCAACATTTTTAGAGAACGGTCTCAGCTGCGTGGCCCGGGGCCTGAACCGAAAGGTCACCACCGGAAAGAGAAATCACAAAACCTGAAGCTGCGGAACGTACCGCTGCATAAGCGAGCCTGTGGTTATGCCAAAAGTCACTCACTAATATCGTGACGTCAATATTCTGCAGAGAAGGGCCATCTGAAGAAGAACCGCAAGGACGAGAAGCTGCCGCCCCCGCTGCCTCCCCGGTACTTCATGTTCCGGGACATCGAGGCCGGAACCGAGAACTTCAGCCGGGCGAACTACATGGGCGACGGGCCCTACGGACAGTCGTACCGGGCACGGATGGACGTGAGTGGAACTCGGGCCACTTAAGACTTGTTCAAATGCTCAAATACTTTGTACGCAGAAGGAATGCACTTCGGACGGTCGCTCTCAGGGGATTTTCTGTCGCTCCCTGATTATTTCTGACCTTCTCTGCCGCCGTCCTTATTTTTGAGGCACTCGTGACTCTTTTTCCTGTTCGAACGGCGAATTTTACTTGTAAGTGAAGTCCATCTCTCACTCCGACAAGATGCTTTGGCGACGGACGTGGCCATCAAGGTTAACCAACCCGTCAGACTCAAATCTCTGTCTTTGCTTTCTTGTAACTTCTGGAAACGCCTTCAGATCGAAGTCGCTCGAAGAGCGAAATCTTGCTGCTAACTTAAACCCTCTCCCAAACCTCGCAGGGCGGCAAGGAGGTTTTGGTCAAGCGCCTCGACCGCGCGCTCGCGTGCAGCGGCCGCGACTTCCGGCGCGAGGTCGACGCACTCGGCCGCGTCGCGCACACAAACCTCGTGAAGCTGATCGGGTATTGCATGGACGACGGGATGCATATGCTCGTGTATGAGTGGCTCGACAACGGCAGCCTGTATGACCATCTTCATGGTGAGAAAAAAGTTTTTCTTTGAAAGCGAAAGCGCTTCTGTTAGCAAGGTTGTGGTTGATGTTTTGGGAGCGGGTCTCTCACGTGGATTTGAATTTCGTTTGGTCAGTGCCGCACGCTTGGCAATGCATTGTTGAAGGATCAAGCCGAAGCACTTAAAGAGTGGGAAGAGAGACAGCTTCAGAACACCTAACTTTGTCATCGGTTTCAGAATATTCTGAACCTGGAATAAATCATAAACTAGCGGTTCCAGATGCGGTTTTGCCTGACGCCTTCTTTTAAGAAAGACCGAGAAGAGGTGAAAGATACGGCCTGAAAAAGCGGTGACACAATTCACGCGAGCTTAACGAGGTTTACACCACGATTCCGTTTCCTGAACGTCCCCTGCTTCGTCCCTCAGGTTCCTTCATGAAGGAGTCGCCCCTCGACTGGCCCGCGCGCGTCAAGGCCGCGGCCGGCGTCGCGCGCGCGCTCGCGCATCTCCAGGACGGCGCCGTCAAGCCGCCCATCATCCACCGCGACTTCAAAACGTCGTCCGTCCTTTTGGACGCCGACTGTACGGCCAAAGTGTCCGAGTACGGGCTGTGCAAACTAGCGGCGGACGAAAACGACGCGCACTGCAGCACGCGCATTTTGGGCGCGTTCGGGAGCGTCGCACCGGAGTACATCATGACGGGCCAGTGTGACGAAAGAAGCGTGGTCTACACTTTCGGTGTGTTGCTGCTGGAGTTGATGACGGGACGGAAACCGGTGGACATGCGCCAGCCGGTCGGGCAGCAGAGCCTGGTCACGTGGGTGAGTGCCACGTGGCGCACGGTGCTTCGTCCTCGGACGAAAGTCGCAGTCATCGCAAGCAGAGGCCGCGAAGATCCTTCTGAACGTTTGTCCGTATGCGATATCAGTCTGTTGATGCAGCGACTCCGACCCTCTACTTGTTGAATCCTACAAATCCAATATGGGCTTCTTGTGATGCACCGTGTTCTTTTCAATTACGGACGCGGCCTGATTTACGCCGCTTGCATTGGTGTGGTAATGATTGAAAAGACTTCCACGTGACTTCCACCTTCGGGTTAATTGACTTTTTTTTCTGAAGGCAGAAGCGCTCTTGCCGTTCGGCCGTTTGAAGCAGACAAAAGTCTTTTGCGGCCGAAACAGATTCCTACACAGATTGCAAACACAGAGCTTCCCCTGCGACACAAACGCACCCGTTGGTTGCTTTCGGACGCCTCCGGACGCCTTCGGACGTTCACTGACCCTTCGCTTCGGACCGTCCGCAGGCGGGCCCCCACCTGAACAACCAAGAGAAGCTGGCGCAAATGATCGATCCTAAACTTCGTGGGCTGTACCCCAAAAAGGACTTGGCCAAATTCGCCGCGGTCGCCGCCATGTGCCTGCAACCGGAGCCGGACTTCCGGCCGATCATGACGGACGTGGCGGCGACGCTCGAAAGCTTGCAGGTGAGGAAAAGGTCGCCGTAATATTTCATGGGAGTTGAACCAGACGGGCAATGGGATTTTTGATGAGAGAAAGGAACCTCGGGAGCGTGCTGAAAGGAAGTCTCTTTTCGTGCGGCAAGGGGTGGCTGAGCGGCGGCAAGGACGGAGTTACGCTGTTGCGAAAGGCGGAGTCCTCTCAAAAGACCGCTTCTCAAACATCCAGCAAACCCCTCCGCGCAAGGTTGTGAAGCTGATTGTGGGTGTTCTTGACTGTCTTTCAGGCCACGCGCCTTCAATAAGTGCGACGCCTTGAGCCAAAACGCTTGCACGATCAAAGGGCGAAAGAAAACACTCTACTCGGAGTGAAGCTTGCCGATCCTTCTTGACGGAATCAATACTGACCCTCACCCGGTTGTACCTTCCCTGCAGTTGTACGAGCCCGGCGTGTCCCGGTCAGAGTCAGGCGAGCTCCCGATCAGCACACGACCAAGCGGCTCGAACAGCCGGCCGCCTTCTAGAGTCAGCACGCCCCGGGTTACCGACCCGATCAAGGTGGGCGATCTCGGTTCGACTTGGTTATTCTACATATTGTACACACAAAGAGGAAAGACGTTCGTTCTTGGTTCTGCTTGGCTGCTGCCGAATGGCATTGCATCCGTGGAATCGTCCAGCCGGCCTGATCTAGAGAACAGATTCGTTTTCGGAATTAGCTTTCTCAGCAATGATTTATCCCCTGGTCAAACACTTAAGTTCGTTCTTTCTGAAGCGAATTTGCTGTCGGGGTCGATACCTTGGTTCCAACGGCACAACTCGAGCAACTTACAGCGCATCAACGGACTTCGGCGCATTCCCAAAAAAGTGCAGTTCGACTCTGGCACGAGAATCTGTATGTCCATTTGATCCTGTCGCGGAAAGCATCAGTCGCTGATTCCAATCCCACGTTGTATATGCAGATCCCCCTCGTATATTAGTCGAGGCAAGTCGTTCTCGTTGCGCCAACAAAGAACGTTAGAGCGTGCCGGCAGCGCGAATCGTGATGGAGACCCGGCTTCGACACGCGCAACTGCGAAAACCGCTGTTCTGTAACGATCGAAACAATAGCCCCCAATTTGGAAATGCGCGTAACATCTCCCATACAAGTCTGTCAATACAGAGGGAAGTGATTTGGGGCACTGGAAGTGGACGGATGCCAGCCGCACTGGCAGTACGAGGCGCGAGCGTACTGAACATCAGCAAAATTCGACAAGACTGGTGTTCGATAGCACCCGGAGATGCAGAAACATTCTTTAGCCCGGCTTGGTTTACATCGCCAGCCGTAATCGTCCAAAGAACGTGTAGGGGGATTAGTCTAGCAGCCTTCGAAGAGGCTCCTTGTTAGTCGTCGTTTCTTGCTGAAAGGTTGCTGGAGTAGCCATATGATCGGGTAGGTTTGAAGCTCGTGAGAGACGGCGGCGGTAAACGCAACGGAGAAAAGATGATGTTCGCTTACAGTTGCCTGCGAACATTTTGGATCCTACTGAAAGGGTCAGGCCGCTAAGGGCCGCTTCGGACATAGATAAGCTAGTTTGTCTAACCCAACAGGGTCAGAGGAGACCCTTGAAGAAATTGAGGGCCTGTTAGGCGGCGCCAGGATCGTCCCAGGCATACTAATCAAGGATCAGAAACCGAAAGGACGGTTTAATACGTCAGGTACGACAATCGAGATGATGTAGAGGGGGTGATGCCGTGTCCTGTATGTAGACTAAGGTACTGAGTCAAACAAACACTGTAACAAGATTCATCTTGCTGCGTGGATCACTTCACGACCACTGATTGGTCGTGACTCTGTTCTGTACGACATTTTCAGGAAAGGATTTCCGGAGCGATTTGTAGCCCTTCAACTCAGCCTGTGATCGGGAGAGTCGGCTATTCGTCGGGCCATCTCAATTGCCCCCGTCCAACCTTCCAATGTCATGCATCTTGAATTAGCGCGCGCCTAGCTAGTATTGGCCAAGCTGGATAGTCCTTCTTATCTTAGTAGTACGTATAATATCACACATCCTGCGGGCCTATTGTATCGCCTGAAGCCGCTGCATGCTGCACTGATCAGTGCGCTGCCACCGTATGGACTAAATAATGCAGAGCGCCTCCAGATCATAGCCGTCGCGCGCTGGTGGCTCAGTCACTTGCACCCAGCGCGATCATGCCTTTTGGTCAATGATCAAACCATGCAGCGCCGCGGCGGTACAGGACGTGCATACAACTCAATGATCATGTTACTGTTCGAGTTGTGGCGGCAGGCGCCAATTGACTAGTTGACTTCAAGTCACTGAGTGAGCTCAGTGCGGCGCAATTAATCATGTTGCACTAGACCGCATGCCAGCACAGCGTCGAATATAAACATGGCGCGGCCGCGCATGCCAGCCGCCATATATCATGCACGCGGTTCCATTGAGAATCGCATCGCCGCAGGTGCCCATGCACCGTCCAGTTGCAATGTACCGTACGTATGTGCCAGGTCAGTGCATTGAACGTGAACTATGAAGGAATGATTGCGCTGCACGTTCAGGCGCAACTAGCACTGGCATTCAAACGCAGCTCTAACGTTGTTATGCTTGCAATCTTGAACTCAGGAACTGCATCATTTTGTGGCTGGCCTCTATAGAGAGATCTCAATTGGCGGCCCAGACGGACGTGCGCATATGACGGTGCTTGTTTGGTTCCAGACTGAATGGCAGCCGTATTTCTACCACGCTTTTTCAGCTACCAACTCAAGCAACATCTCAAGAAACATGGGATGTGAAGGGATGATATACGAAGTGCTTGTAAACTCAGCGTTGTGACTACAAGCCAAAATAACATCGATCTGCCAATATGCAGACTCCGTCCAGTGGCAAAGTCCAGTCTACTCTACACTCGCTCATTTGACGACAGAAGGTCGAATCAGGTAAGCGTTCAACAAGAGACAGCATTCAACGAAGCTATGATACAATTGTTCTTAAATAGCAACACGAGTTACATCAACGCCTCGTCTCCTTTGTCAGAATCACTTTCTGCAGACAACAAGCAAACACGGTTCTCCATCAGGATTTTTGTTTCTTCTACGTTTTGTCAAAAGAACATAAGTGGCTCTCGCAAAAACCGAATCTCAATGGACGCAGGCAAACATAACAAGAATGATGCGAGAGTATGCCTGCACCGATAGTCTATCACCAATTCAAATCGAGGGAGCTAGCCGGTGCCCATGAAACGTTAAGAAGAAGTTCAAAAGAACGGACCTTCCGATGACCTCTTCCGCAAAATCTCGAAGATTCAGACGGCATACTCAGTAGTGCGTTTAAGCTTAAGAGGGCAGGATAAGGACAGAAAGGGCAAGATAAGGACTTATTCTAGGCCAATTTGCGAAGACAAAAATCGCCTGGGACCCTCTGAAGGCATGCAACAAGGATGGATTTCAGCTTTGATTCGGATTGGCTCACCTGCAACGCTCCGTCATGTCCATACACTCTTTCTGCCGACGTCCCCGTCTCCTCTCCTTGCACCCAGCTTGCCAACACTGCAAACCCACCCCCTTCGGCTTCCCCGACTTTCACCCACACCCCAGCCGGCAAGAGCACGTTCACATCACTCTCCCTTAGCTTTCTATCCACCTCGACCGTCTTGTTAACCACGTCAAAACCCTTGCTAGTCGGTGTGAAAATGTGCTGGTCAGCGCTCCAGGCTCCCTCGATCGTTGTCTTAACCAACCGAGGGTCATCCGCAAAGCCGCGCATCTTTCCCCCGCAACTAGAGAGCGACTCTCCTTTCTCAAACGCGCTGTCCCACCGCTCCCGGGCAACTTTGACCGATGTCAGCGCCGGCTGTGCTGACATCGAAGGTCGCTCAAGGGTCAGCGTAACCCGAATCCTTAACCCGGAGCTATCCACAAGACCGTGTTCTACTTGCCATTTTTGCCCCCCCTCCGCAGATGCGGTTGGCCAGGAAAGGGAGTAGGAGCCATCCGGTAGGAAAGCGATTGGTCCGGATGATTCTCGACCGTCCGCTGTTTTCTCATCAACGGTGTGGACGGTGGCGGCATCAGCTTCGCAGCCAACTGTAGGAAGAAGCCGGGCCAACCTGCAACAAGCGATTCCGCAAGTGCTGAGCATGTTTCTCTTGATCACTCATGTGAACCTCAGCAATTTACTTGTTTACGTAATGGGGTAATCCACCTCATGTACGTCGACAGAACCTGCAAAAGGACAAGAGGATGTTTCGAGGGATCGTATGCAGATTATGGATGGGCATCGGCCTTCAGTGGTGCACACAATCTTCTCAGGAAGAATGAACGGAATGAAGCAGGGTTTAAATTACTCGAAATTCTGATTGCAAACGTCCTCTGGCCAGTTTAACCCCTCAGGCCTGCCATTCTCTCAAGTTGCTAGACAGCCAGAGAGTCTTATTATGCAGCAATGGATTCCCAATGCATGAGTCATCGGCCAGCCTAACTGGGTTCATGGTGTGGAAGGCGTCCTTAGCAGTGCAATGCCCTACAATCTGTTGCTCGATGGCAGCAGTTGAAAGGTGGCCCCAGCTTTGTCCTTGCAAGCACTGGGATGAGTATTGGCATGATCTAAATGAACCAGACTTGAAAACATGGGAGGCAAATTATGCAATGCTCATGAAATGCTGCGCTGGAAGCAGCGTTGATGTCTGGACTTTGGGCGCCACAACTACGTGCAATTCTAGTGAGGAATTACCTGTACCGTACTACACCAAGCAAGGGTAGGACACAATGGTCAGATAAAGTTCTCGAACAGCAGCATATGGTCAGGCACCATATGGTCAGGCATGGTGAGAAACAGGTGGCCAGCAATATTTTCAGAAACGCTTACTTGAAAAGGACAGTCCCGTCCTCCTTGCTGCCATAGGAAGAGCACTGCGTCTGCCAGTCAAAGAGGCGGATCTCCCACTCCCTGAAGGCATCAGGAACAACCGCATATGGCAGCTCCACCGCTGTGCATTCTCCCCAAGAGCTCCCACTCGCAGAAGTGAACGTAACCTCATACCCCTCCCACTCACCACTGACCTTGTCACAAAATGCGCCCCAGCCAGGCAGGACAGAAGCCGCAGGTTTGCTGACCTCAGCGCTGACAGCGCTGGAGCCGGACGCTCTGCAGAGGGCAACTTTCTTGACCAGATTTTGCTGTCCACTCATGGAATGAGTATGAGCAGACAAATGCCGCTTTGGCTCTCCTGCCAATTGACAGCTAGGATTTTGCCACCGTCTCACTAGACAAGCCAGCCGCTGCTGGCTTAAGTGCTTGCACCCAAGGCATTGTTGACTCCGTGCCAAGCCCTTGGGTGCGGAGGCAGAGATGGAGGCCCTGGCCGCTTGCATGGCTGCTGAGATTGGCTGCGCTGCGCTCTTCTAAATTCTTCTCTACCTTTCTTTTCTATGTCCTACTCTGAAGACCTCTGATCCTGCAATTTGGGTTAGCTTGAGATTCGGTTTGGGGTTAAATCCCAGTCATGTGCAAAGGCAATTCTCTAACCAACTTACCGTTACTATAGTTATACCTGTAGATCGAAAGAGTGGGTTTATAGTGGGTTTATAATGGAACCCTGGCACGGGTTGAGCAATCAGAAACCCTAACCAGCCACGTCCTCTTCTGGAGAGAAGACGAGCCGTTCAGAAGCTTTGCAGCTTGCTTCATTGAGCGCTTTTCAGGTTAACGTTTCTGTTCAGAAAGTTGTCTTTGGAGGCGCTGCGATCATGGGGCAAAACCAATCAGGGCTTCCCGGGCAGACTCCTCCAACTGGACAGAAGGAGGAGAAGAAGGAGAAGAAGAAGTTTGAGCCGCAGGCGCCACCATCGAGAGTCGGGCGCAAGCAGAAGCGTCAGAAAGGACCGGAGGCGGCCTCACGCCTTCCAACCGTGACGCCAGCTACGAAATGCAAATTGAGGTATGTGGAAAGCCAGCTGCTTTTGATGTGAGGTGTTTTCGAATAATCAGGAGCTGACTGATAAGGTTTGTGATCAGATTGACGGCGGGTGTCTCTACACTAATTGGTGGATGTATATTCAAGCACCTCAAGGTATGTCTATCTTGATTCATTCCGGTTCTGCATAGGCCAGATGCTGTCTATTGCTGCAAATTTCAGACGTAGCAAGCTAGCACCACAATATTAGGAATACTTAGCTGAATAAAGCTTGTACGGAGGTGCAAAAGCCAGATTTCCTGATTCTGCATGTTCCAAGCAGCTCTGGGGTTTCGATTTGGAGTTTCGATTTGGAATTCCCGATGTGTGGGTCAAAGAAGATCAAGGTTGTTTTTACACAGAAAGTCGCACCCATCTGATTCTGGAGTAGGGTTTAGGAGCTGGCGCCAACATGCAGCAGATCAATCAAATGTTGGGGTCAAGATTTACTAGAGCATGAGTTTAGTGTTGCTTTGTTCCTCGAGTAGAAGTTCTTCTTCGGCCTTTTTGCTGCTCTTTGCAAGATTGAGGATGCCAGCTGTGAGAGCAGGAATGTCTGCAGGCTGTTCACTTAGGAACGGAGTTGTAGATGCAAACAGTCCAAACCTTTGAATGATGTAAATAGCGCGTGTGTATGCCTTTGGTATGCACAATTGTTCTGCTCTGTGAACTCTCACCAAAAGTACGTGGCGCATCAAGCAGTTGTCGCTGGAGACACTCTTCACATCTATTTCACTGATCGGGAAGCAGCAAGGGCAATTGGACTCGTCTTCCAGAATCATAGATTTTCGATTGGCTGACCTCATTCCAAGGATCAGCAAGGAGTTCTTACAGCAGATGTTCTGTCCGGAACGGCAGCAGAATTGCTCAAAAGCCAGTTCTTCACGCGTACTCATCTTCCTCGGCAGGCTGCTGAAACTAGAGCGGGTCAAGGACTACCTCCTGATGGAGGAGGAGTTTGTGGCCAACCAGGAGCGCCTGAAGCCTCAGGAGGACAAGAACCAGGAAGACCGCACCAAGGTGGACGACCTGCGCGGCTCTCCCATGAGCGTCGGAAACCTGGAGGAGATCATTGACGAGAATCACGCAATCGTGTCGTCATCTGTGGGACCTGAGTACTACGTGAACGTTCTCTCGTTTGTGGATAAGGACCAGCTGGAGCCGGGGTGCTCGATCCTGCTGCACAACAAGGTGCTCTCGGTGGTCGGGCTGCTGCAGGACGAGGTGGACCCCATGGTCTCGGTCATGAAGGTGCGCACGCCTAGTTCCTTGTACTTTCCTTTTCTGCTGTTTCAAACTCTTTTGGTATTTTCCGTCCCTTTCTGCTTGCGCTTGCTTCTTCCTTTTTCTGCCCCTTATTGCAGTTCTCATGGTTTCTTCCCTCCTTTGTTCTTGCCCAGCTACAGTAGAATCTTCTCTTCACTTACTGCCTTGACTGCCCTTTCGCGGTCTCCTTTAATTGAGTACAAAGGATGCATCTTCTGGGCTTTCAATGAACCATACTTCAAAGGGCAGTCAGAACCCTCACTCTTCTCAAGACCGGAGACTTGCAGTGCAGCTTTGCGAAGGCGGTGGCACTGCAACTTAGGCATTTCCTACGCAGGGTGGATCCGGACGCTGCCATCGTGCCTTTGACATCCTTTCTGGCCGTGTATCATCCTGCAAACCCTTGAGCACCGAGGAGGCATTGGAACCTCTACTGTCAGCAGAGCAAGGGCTTTCAGCTTTCAGACTACATGCTTCCAAAGAAAGGTGCTTTTCAGTCCTGGTAATCCACTAAGAAGGAGTTCAACAAGCGAGAAAAACTGTCAAGTCTCATCATGCGGTGTGAACGCATTCGTCTGCAGGTGGAGAAGGCCCCTCTGGAGTCGTATGCTGACGTCGGCGGGCTGGAGCAGCAGATTCAGGAGATCAAGGAGGCCGTTGAGCTGCCGCTGACGCACCCTGAGCTATACGAGGACATTGGGATCAAGCCACCGAAGGGGGTCATCTTGTACGGGGAGCCAGGGACGGGGAAGACGCTCTTAGCCAAGGTACGTAAGATTGGAAATGGGCTGTGTTGAGGGATGCTTGTTGGAAGCAGCAGCTTTGCAGGCGTTGCGCGCCTCTGCGTCTTGAGAGTGTGGATTCTGGACCTCTGCAGTTTCGAAACGTCTAGTGAGGACGCTTATCAATCATTGGGTCGGCTCATCAGGGGCTGTTGGTCTGGCAGGATGGAAAGCAAGCCTACGGTCGGGTCAATTGTCTGCTGCGAATCTGCGCACATCACTGTGTCATCTGCTTTGTAGACTGCCTCGTTTTGTTGTCTGACAGAGCCCCACTGCCTTCCCACTCCTAAGTGGATGCCACCGAGTCTGCCGGTTTTATTGATGCAGCTGGACTTCTCTCGTGTCCTCTGACCTGGCAACACACCAGGAACCATTTTACTTTTTACTTGACCCCGGGCCCTTCAAGCTTTTGTTGACTCATGAAGTTCGAATCCTAAAAACTTGTTTCAAAACGAATCCCGCAGAACCGTAGACTGTGCTCTAAATCCGAACCAGCAAAACCTGGAGCCTTGTTCTGAAACATTCTGGTCTGCGCTTGCTCAGGCCGTGGCCAACTCGACGTCCGCCACGTTCCTGCGTGTGGTCGGCAGCGAGCTGATTCAGAAGTACTTGGGGGACGGTCCAAAGCTGGTGCGCGAGCTCTTCCGAGTTGCTGACGAGCTGTCGCCCTCCATCGTCTTCATCGACGAGATTGACGCTGTGGGGACCAAACGGTAGGTCTCCTTGGTTTTAGGTTTTCTTTCTTTTCGTTCGGAGCAGCGCACAATTGCCACCATCTGTGTACAGTTGTGCGCCGTTTCCGCAGTGCGCCGTTTCCGCCATGAGTGAAATAGGTGGATGCATTGCCAACAAGCAGAGATTATTTTGTGCAATACACAGCCTAGCGGGTAGCGCGGGTTCAATTACAGAGCCCAGGACTCTTTGCGTCGTTCCTTGACTTATATCGAGCGATAGAATATTGCTCAAAAAACATGGTGAAAGTCACCGACCGCTTCTACCAGGTATGACGCGCAGTCGAGCGGAGAGCGCGAGATCCAGCGCACGATGCTCGAGCTTCTGAACCAGCTGGACGGCTTCGACGCCCGTGCTGACGTCAAGGTCATCCTCGCGACCAACCGGATAGAGAGCCTGGACCCCGCACTGCTGCGCCCCGGGCGTATCGACCGGAAGATCGAATTCCCACTTCCGGACATCAAAACGAAGCGGAGAATCTTCAATGTGAGCCACGCCTGCTTAGTGAATGCTTGGGTTAAGGCTTTGCAGTTGAGCGGTATTTGCAACTTGCAAACCATTTTACGGTCTTGGTTTCTGACGCTGGCGAAGCTGATTGCTTTCAAGCAAGCATCTGTCTTGTTGGAGTGCTGGCCACTGCTTTGTATGGTGTAAACCAAAAAGGCGCATCCTGAGGTCTCCTTTTTCTGTCGGGCAGATCCACACTGGCCGGATGACGCTCGCGGACGATGTAAACCTGGAGGAGTTCGTGATGAGCAAGGACGAGCTTTCGGGGGCCGACATCAAGGCGGTGTGCACTGAAGCAGGGCTGCTCGCACTGCGGGAGCGGCGCATGCGGGTGAGGCTACTTGTTATTATTTTTCAGTTCATCAATAATAAGCTGCATGAGTACAAAGGGCAGTCTCCTAGGCAGAGGCAAATTGAAGTTCCTAAGTTGAGTACACAAGTACTTTGTACCCAAGCTCATGCCCCGGTTCGACGTCAGTACTCACAAGGGTCATAAGTAAAGAAATCGAGAGTACTTGTTTTGAAGCGCGTTCGTCGATTTTACTGTCCTCCTGCTTTCGATTTTCTTTCTCACTTGTTGGAGCGGTTCTCCCTGTGTTGGCTTTTTTTTTCGAGAAGCTTGTCATATAAGAAAAATTACACTTTCGACAAAACGTCTGTGAATGACCAGTTCTTCTTTCACTTCTTTCAAGAAGAAGCGGATTGCTAGTCTCGGAAACCAAAGTATTTTCTTATAGCCTCTTTGATTCGGCGTTTGCAGGTAAATCAGGCCGATTTTAAGAAGGCCAAAGAAAAAGTCATGTACAAGAAGAAGGAAGGTGTGCCGGAAGGCCTTTACATGTAAAGGAGCGTACATTCTTTTAGCCGTTCCCTGAACAACTCTTCTTCAGAATCCTGCGAATGGCCTTCTTGAACATCTGCCGTGTCTTTGGGGGCCGCCTTGATCTCTGTGCGCATGGTTTCAAAGGCCTGCGTCAAATCGTCCAATCGCTATCTAGGCGGTCTGCATTGTGCAGCTTCAATATTACATATATTAGTTTGAGAACCTACAGCCTAGCAAATGCTTTGGCAAGTGCCACCTCGTGTGAATCTTGTAAGCATGGCGCTGCGTAGATTCGACAGGAATGAGCTTGGCTCACCGCTATGGCTGGCCCTCAACAATTGTATTGGTGACTACATACGGACTTTCAAGACAGCCTCGCTTGATTGTTGCCAGAGTTGAATGTCAATTGGTTCAACGATCAGCTCCTGACGCCCAGCTGATTGAAAACCGACAAGACACAGAGGTGTTGGGACATCTAATGGCCATGAGTCGATTGTACATACACTTGACCATATGTTCACGACTTACCGGTATAGTAGCACGCCATGTGTCAGTGTCGAGCTAAATTTTGCACTTAGTAATATTGTACTGCATCCTAATTCAGGCGCACTCTAAGCTTACGACAACTGCGGCCGCTAGCAGATACTAATTGAAGAGTTGCTACCTACAATTTGCAAACCACGGCCCTCGGCAGTTAAGGTTCAATCCCAAAATCTTACGCTTCAAAGCAATATGTATGCACGAGCTATATAAGACAGCTCACGCGCAATCCGACCGTCCCCGCAAGCTAATTTTTTATATGAGCACGAGCCGGCCTTGGACAGAGCTTCCGTGTATATAAATCGTTTTCTGCAGTGTACGGTCGCCATGCTCAATGGCATGCGAAAGACTGCTGGCTGGCGCTTGGCCTGACTCGGAGCCTAAGACTTATACACCATGAGAGCTCAGTCAGATATTTAAGTAGATTGCATGGAAAACCTAAAACCCGAGGAGGCGGCTGTCGAAAACTTGAAAGCAGCAGTAGATCGCGACAACCTTTCGGCCATAGCTAACCCGCCAGAACTAGCTGTGGAAACACGAGAGAGCAATGCATAGCTGAGACGGTTCAGTGCACATGTGGAATAGGTACTTAAACACATGACTTCACACAAATGTACGTCAAGAGAAAAGGAAGTGAAAACTGGTTAGTTAAAGGTTAGGGCTTTGGGCTTCAATGCTTTGGGCTTTGGGCTTTGGGCTTTGAGCTTCTAAGCTTCAATGCGTTGGTTTCAAGTGGAAAGGAGGGAATAGTCACAAATTAGGGTTTTGAAGGGTTTCAGCTCAATCGTTGCACATGCGCTTTTAGGGTTTCAGATTTTAGGCCAGCTCTGGCTTGAGACCTTGCCATTGGCATTACTGCAGCATTGCGTTTGTCTACGCCCTTCCAAGCACGCTTTTTAAGGGCACCACATTGGCCATCCCAGACATTGAACCTCAGGCCTGTGCCAGGTTGCAGGTGTGCGGTTCAACACCTCTGCCTCTCTCTTTCTGGTGGCAGATGTCGGCAGCGTTGGCCGTCAGGCGTTAACGTCACACTGATGATCAGCGGTTTAAAGCTGCCTATATGCTGAGTAGATTCAGAGGGATGGCATCCACCTTGATACCCTCATCTTTCAAGCTCTGCTTACCGAACTCCAGGCTTCCCGCAACGAGCCGGCTTGCCTGCGCAAGTGTCGAGAGCACACAGAGTTTGGCCTTCATTGGAAGGGCAAAATGGCCACCTGTGATCGCTTTTCCTTCAACACAGTACAGGGGATCTCTGCTGTCCTTGCGCTCTTCGTTTATTGGCAGAAGTGAACGCCTCTCAACAGCAAATGCAGCGCTGTCGAGAAGTGAGAGCAAGCAGCGTTGTGTGACAACAAGAGCACTTGCAGGTAGGACAAGAAGCTCGGGCGTCTGAAAGTGGTGGCAGTCTGCGGTTATGTCTTGACCAACAGACCAATGCGCTAACAGAAGTATCAGATGTCAAGGTACATTTAGGCTGGTCGAGAGGGCTGGCCTTGAGTCCATATGTCTGGCAGGTCTGCCAGTGGGAAACCTTCCGCTGCCACCAGAATCCAACGACTTGCAGCATTGAGTGTGCGCGTTCTTAAGCTTTCACTTGCGTTGGTTTGGTCTTTGCTTCGTGCAACTGCACCACCACTTCATCGCTAGAAAGTGACCATTGCTTTCGCGATATATTCAGCAGGGAGCTCTGAGGATGGGCCTGGGACACCCGCGGAACTGCCAAAGAACTTTGACTTCACTGCAGAGGAGCGACTGTACTCATGGTCAGCCCCCTTGCTCCTGAAATTGACCACACTAGTATGCTGAGCATGATCTTGATGTTGGAGTAAAACGGCACACTGACTTGCTGAGGCTGATCTGCTTTTGACTGCAGTGTATTCCTTTCTGTGCTTGGCTGCGGCAATGGCACCAAAGGGATCTGGTGTCGTCTGCAATAAAGATCCTGGGTGCGTTTAAAAGCCTCGTTCGTTCGTGCTTACAAACAGCTCGCTTGTTAAAAATTCTCAATGCGCTGATTTTATCTGCCTTCTACTGACATCAGAAGACCTTGATCGTGTCGTCAACGCTGATAGAGTGTGAAAAGGCCCCTTTCTGGATCTACATTCGCGGACCTCTTGCCATACATGCCCTTCTGGAAGGTTTCGCGATTAGCCCTACTGTTTTTGACCCCCTCTCCCCCCCCTAACTTCAGGTGGAGCACAAACGGGTACTTTAAGCCAAACGAGAGCGACAACTCACAAAAGCCGTTTGTGATGTCGATGCCCCCCCCCAACGTGACCGGCGCGCTCCACATGGGCCACGCAATGTTCGTGACGCTGCAAGATATCATGGCGCGTTATCACCGCATGCGGGGCCGTCCGGTGCTGTGGCTTCCGGGAACAGACCACGCAGGCATCGCAACACAAGTGGGTGTTTCGTCTTTATCGGCTGTGTTTGACTCGAATATCTCATGAAAGTTTCGGGTTGTTTCGGATTCCGTGGTGCCAGGTATCGGGGTTGTCTGCTTTCGAGGAACCGACTTGTTCAAAAATCGAGGGTGTGGAGGGTTTCAGGGCTGCTTGTTTTTCTCGTGATGGAGTTGTCAAATCTTCGGGGCTCGGTCCTCTCAGTGTTCACAAAGGACAACTCGTAACAGGATAACATGACCACTTGAATCTGGATAAGTCGAGCGTCTGCCCAACCACGATAGATTGGTTCTCGGGGTGTCTCACATGGGAGAAGCTTTTGACAGTGCCTTTGACACTTGCGACGGTTATGGGCGGCTTGTCCAGGTCTTGTCACATATCTTCGTTTCTCTTGCTAACTTGTTCCGCTCCTGTAAACATACTCTTGTCCTCCTTTATCTGCTGTTCAGACCAACTTTTCTACTCTGATGTCGCGCCTGAATATACTACTTTCTTTCCGATCTAGTTGGTGGTTGAGAAGATGCTCGCGGCAGAAGGCGTCAAGCGGACGGATCTTGGACGGGACGAATTCGTGCGTCGTGTGTGGGACTGGAAGGCCAAGTACGGGGGCACTATCTGCAACCAGTTGCGCAGGCTCGGGGCCTCGTGCGATTGGTCGCGGGAGCGCTTCACACTCGACGACAAGCTCAGCGGTGAGTCTCGCCGAGTCTTGCTTTTTACGGTTCTATGACTTCGAGGTTGGGCTTTCAGGAGGAGACTTGCTACCTTTCGGGAGAAGGCTCGAAGGTTAGGGCAAGTCGTCACGGGAGCGCTTCCCGCTCGACGAAAAGCTCAGCGGTGGGTTTGGCTTTTCACCATGCTTTAGTGTTGGCCTCTTAGGGTTCATTAAGGTTGGGTCTCAAAAGGAGGGTTCCTGACAAGGAAGAAGAACCTGAGGGCTCGTGCAATTGGTAGTGGGAGCGCTTAGCGCTCAACATCAAGCACAGTGGTGAGGTTTGGAACCTTATTCCAACCTATCCATCTGAGACTTCTCCGCTTTCAGGAGCGCAGGGTTCTGAAAATGCTTTGTTATCAAACGCTCTCAAACGCTCCAGGCCAGATTTCTATGCTGACCGTCCCCTGTCTTTGCAGAGGCTGTTGCGGAAGCGTTTCTACGGTTGCACGACAAGGGGCTGGTTTACCGCGGAAGCTACATGGTTAACTGGTCGCCGCACCTGCAGACCGCCGTGTCGGATCTGGTTAGTGCTCAACCCGCTGGAGTAACCCTTGAGTTATTTTCAGCTCCGATCGTCGACCGTTGTTTGGTCTAGTCGTAGCGGAAATTGTGCTGTCGGGAAAGTTGATCTTCTCAATTGCCCTGATCGTGGAATTGACCATGAAAGCAAGCCGCAAGGCAACATGGTAGTACAACGACGTCCTTGAACAGCAATTCGGTCTGTCGTAGACGTCCGTCGAACTGGGAATCGAAGAAGCGGGAAGAGTTCTAAATAAGGCAAGCACCCTGGCATAAGTGGCTGGGAGGTCTGAGCAGGTTCGACTCTACCATTGGCTCGAACTGAAGCAGCGAACCTTTCTCTGTGGCATATCCCACGGTTTTGTGGAATTATTGAATCTATGTACGTAAGATCGGATGCCGCCGAACAACAACGGATGATGACACTGGCAGCAAGCTTTGCCGAAATCTTGCAAATGAAATATCTTGGCGTCGTTGAAAAACTCCGAGAAGGTCGAAAAGGTTTCTCAACTTGACACCCTGAGTTTGCGCTCATCCCTCGTGATCCGTACAAGTAAGCTTCCGTTACCATCTTAATCCGCATTCTGGTCGCCAGAAACTGCTGCTGTTGAAAGCAGGCTGTCCAGACCTCATCTTGGCAGAATATTGCATTGTGCGAACAACTGAATGAACGACGAAATGTATCCTCCGATTGCTTCGCAGGAAGTAGAATACAGCGAGGAACCTGGGAAGCTGTTTTACTTCCGGTACCCGATCGCCGGCGGAGGCCCCGACGATTACCTCCCTGTGGCGACAACTAGACCAGAAACTGTTTTGGGCGATACGGCCGTGGCAGTGCATCCGGAAGACGAGCGGTATACAAAGTTTGTCGGGAGAAACGCCGTCGTGCCGATGAGCGGGGGACGGGAGATCCCGGTCATTGCTGACGAGGTGAGATTCGGAGGACAGGAAGGGTCCCTCGCAGAAGCGTGCCACGTGTCTTGCTGGAAGCAACCTAACTTTCACTGTGCCGGAAGAAACAGCCACAATCCCAATTCGTGACATTACTACCAACCGACATGCCGATTGATAACCCCCGTTCTCATCCAGCAACTCCCTTCGTTCTGCTACTTTTGGCAAAACTCTGGTTCCATTAAGTCGAGGCGAATGCGCCGGGAAGAGCCGGGTGACGAGATTTGCTTGTCGGAGCCCTGCAGATACAGCGTTTCGGAATCGTTTATGATGTTAAAACCCCTTAGCCTTGAAGCTCGGCTCCTCAGTGTCTGCCTCTTTAGTGCAATAACAACTTCTGCATACGCTGACCTCTCGTCAAAGGTTGCATCTCTCCTAAGCTCCGTATCTCAATTTGTTCCCGCTCTCGTTCCAGTACGTCGACCGGGAGTTCGGCACCGGCGCCCTCAAGATCACCCCGGGGCACGATCCCAACGACTACGCAATCGGTCAAAAGGTCGGGCTGCCGATTATCAACATCATGAACAAGGACGGCAGCCTGAACGAGAACGCGGGGAAGTACCAGGGAATGGACCGGTTTGCGGTTCGGAAACAGTTGTGGGCGGACATGGAAGCGGAGGGGCTGGCAATCAAGGCGGAGCCGTATACGCTACGTGTGCCGCGGTCGCAACGAGGAGGAGAGGTAGGAGCCTGGTTTCTTCCTCTTCCTAAGTCCTGACGGGTTATACTGTGTTTTCAGCAGCGCTGCTTTTTGATGAGTGTTGTCTGCATTGACTGGGCTTTTCCGTCCTCGATGAGGCGGGAGTTAATTTCCCTTATGTTTGCCTCACTCTTTTTCGGCCCAAGCCCAGGTTGCCTGTCCCTTACTTCGCATGCTTCGTCGTCGAATCTGCGGGTATGGGCCCGCTAAAAGGTCTGGCTGCAACCATACAGCCGGAGTTGGTCGAATACCAAACGCTTATCGCGCTTGTAAATGGCAAACCTCTCGTTGCCAGCTTTGTGATGTCGTCTGCCTGCGCTGGCCAGTATTTTAACAGCAAACCTGACGACAGCAGCCACAAGAGAGTCACAAACGTTCCGCCTGAGCTTTGCCTTCCAATGGCTACTTAGCTAAGCAGGGGCCTTAAATTTCGCGCTGGGCACTCAGCGGCCAAACTCAATTCGGTTTCCGCTTACGTATCTCTCCATCTCAGGTGGTGGAACCGTTGGTTAGCAAGCAGTGGTTTGTGAGGATGGACCCCTTGGCGAAGCCCGCGCTGAAAGCAGTGGAGACGGGGGAGATCAAGATCCTGCCGGAAAGGTTCGAAAAGGTGGGTCTCAGATACCTCTCCTTTGCTGACGTCATGCGGAGCTCCAATATGTGCTCAGAGACTCTTGGAAATCGAAGCGGTTCTCTAATGACCGGTGTAGATTTATCCTGACCCTTTTGATGAAAACGAAGGTTTTGTTTCTTAGAGCATCTGCAAGGTCGAGCTTGTATTCTTCAACCCTTGTCGTCCTGGTTTAGCGATCCAACACGTAAGGAACGATTCAGGGTCGTTGATTCATGGTTCAAAGGCCACAGTTCTGATTTTGATCGTGGGATAACCAAATCACGAATGGCCTAGAAAATGAGCGCTTTAGAGTACCGACGACGAGGCCAGTTTCCGGTCTCTTTCTGCTGTAATTTAGCTGTATCAATATAAGTCAAGAAGAGATGACATACAACTGCCCCACCGCAGGTCTACAATCGTTGGCTGGGGAACATCCGCGACTGGTGCATCAGCCAACGAGGGATCTGCTCTTGCTTTACAACCATTTCGTTGTATAAGAAACTCTAAGATGATTTGACATGCGAATGCCAACGCAGATCTACAACTTTTGGCTGGAGAACATCCGCGACTGGTGCATCAGCCGGCAGCTGTGGTGGGGCCACCGCATTCCGGTGTACTACGTCAGGGGCTCCGACGAACGGGACTTTGTGGTGGCGAAAAGCGAAGCGGGGGCGTACGAAAAGGCGCGGGAAAAGTATGGCGCGGACGTGCAACTGGAGCAGGACCCGGACGTTTTGGACACCTGGTTTTCGAGGTGGGTTTTGAGGGTTTAGGATGAGCATGTTAACCTGCGGTTTTGGGGAGTGCAAGGCGGTGACATGCGAACGGCATGCACTAAGTACATTCTGGGAATCCATCGCCAGGACTCATAACGACTTGGACACCCAGCTGATTTGTCTACTTGTTTCGGTCTTACGTTGAATGCATAGTAGCTTTTCACGTGTCGGTGGTAGAAATCGCGAGGCAGGGGGCTGGGGAAGCTGCCAAGTACCGTTTGGACTTCAAAGTAAATCAGGAACCCAGATTGTTTGTAAGTCCGGTTCACTTGTAAGCTGAGTTTAAGAATGTCACCTTGTTCTTCTCGCAGTGGTCTGTGGCCTTTCAGCACGCTCGGCTGGCCCAACGAGGAGTCGCCGGACCTACTCCGATACTACCCGACCCAAGTCCTGGAGACGGGGCATGATATTCTCTTCTTTTGGGTGGCGCGTATGATTATGATGGGGATTGAGTTCACTGGGAAGGCGCCGTTTGAGACCGTCTACTTGCACGGTCTTGTACGAGACGCACAGGTAAGCTGCGGATCTTTCTCGGTCGTCATCTGTCATTTCTTTCCGTCCCCGGCCTCCGCGTATGCAGCGTCAGTTTGGCCCCGGTTGGCGGCTAAAACCGCGGTACACACTAGATACTTGAGATTCTGTCGCCGTAGTTTTAGGTCTTTGTCAACGAGCAGATAGAAGACGCCAGGCTTACTTCATCTTGTGCACTGTGATCAAGCTTTCAACGGAAGCGCGGAGGGGCGTCCCCCAATCAGAAAGATTCTCAATCGCATGTTGACCAATGCCTTAAGGAGACATGCGCTCTTGTTGAAAGAGTCTCGCCGCCGCACTCAGGAGTCCTTAGACCTCTCTTGACGCACCGGCACCCGCTTGCAGGGCCGCAAGATGTCAAAAAGTATAGGGAACGTGATCGACCCGCTCGATTCGATCGCCGAATACGGGACCGACGCGCTGCGGTTCACCCTGGCCGTGGGCACGACGCCAGGACAGGTACGAAAAGTTTCCAACTCTAGGGCTTTATATTTAATCGACTGAGTCCCCTGCTTTTGGCAGAAGACACAGTATGAGTTTTATATTGGCTGCATTAGTTCGATCAAGGCAGCTGATGAGCTGTTAGCTAAGTTGTCCAGGGGATAAACGCTTCTCAGTTCCTGCCGTTGTTCAAGTCAGTCAACGAGTGCAGAGGGGCAGAAACGAGTTTGTTCATCTTACGGCCATCTTTCACAACTCAAGAAAGGAGTCTTGAGCAGTTCAAAAGTGCCCTCGGAAGTCTTCCGCGTCGTGACGTCATCTTTTGTTGAACTTGTTACTTCGCTCTTCCACGTATACATTGAGTCTCAGTCACGTGCATCAATTTGCATTCAAACGAATGGTTGAGACGTGTACGTAGTATCCGTTTTCGCGCTTTGAAAACCAGCGCTGTGTGTCGAGTCCCTGGCAATCTGACTTGCCCAATCCGAAAGGCCCTGTTCCCTGGCCCCCTCCCCAGGACGTCAACCTCTCCCCCGAGAAGCTCACCTCCAACAAGGCCTTCACCAACAAGCTCTGGAACGCCGGCAAGTTCATCCTCCAAAACTTGCAAAACATCTCGGACCCGTCCGAACGTGCCGCGCTCTCGACCGTCCGATTCGACACTCCCGAATCGCTGGCGGGGCTCTCGCTCGCGGAGCGGTGGGCAATCACGAAGCTCCACGTGTTGATCGACCATTCGACGCGGTGCTACGAAGGGTTCGACTTTGGGGGGGTCGGGAGGGCGACGTACGACTTCTTCTGGAGCGACTTTGCTGACTGGTAAGTGTCCGCGTTTGGCAACCAGACGAGGCTTTGGTCTTTCTGGTTGTGGACCCCGCTTTGGGGGCGTTGGTGAGCGCAGCAAGCGTTGGGGGCGTGCCCGACGAGGTTATGTCTTACGCGTTAAAAACGTGTTTCCTACCAACGGTCAAAATATAAAGTGGACGGCAACTCCTACAATAGTTTCCACAGCCACAAGCATGCCCTTCCATGATTTCCAAGCCTCCCCCATCGCTACAATGCGTTCCTTCGACCGTTGTCCTATTCGTTCTATTCTTTCTCCTTTTCGCATCTTCTACGACTTGTCTCACTTTTCCCCCCCAAGATACATTGGGGCGGGTGAAGTTCACCCTGTTGCTGAAGCTCGTTCCCTTTTCAGGCGTTTGTCTGTTTTGTTCTCCGGTCACCATCCTCTTCAAGGCAAGCCAGGCGGCTTTACCAAACCGTCCGTGAATACTGAATGTTCGATTCCTCTATCTTGGCTGCATCGCCATTGCCTTCTTTTTTCCAGGTACATCGAGGCGAGCAAGACGCGGTTGTACCAGACCGCCGACCAGCAAGCCGCCGTCGCGTCGCGCGAGGTCCTCGTATACATTTTCGACAAAGTCCTCAAGCTGCTACACCCCTTCATGCCGTTCGTCACCGAGGAGCTCTGGCAGGTAAACTGCGCGCGTGCGAGCACAATCTTTAGTAGTTCTGGCACTTCGGGTTCTTTGTTACCAATTTGCATTGAGAGTCCATGACTGATCTCCGATCTGGTGGCTAGCGAAGCTGTGTACTGTCCACTTAAAGAAGGGTTCAAGCGCGTTGGTTGGGCTTTGGCAGGTGTCTTTTTCAGGGGGAACGAGCGGGGGGGTGTATACTACGTCCGGGGGAGTGTCGAACGGACGCCTTAAGATTATCTGTTTCCGCTGCTCATCCGCTTAAGGAGGAAGGATGTCAAAGACTGCGTCGAAACGTTGGCGACATCTACTCGACTTCATGGAGGCTTTGACAGGCGTCGCTGAGTCTGGAACAGTGTAATCCAGTGCGCACAACTTATTGGTAGGCACGCACAACGCGCAACCCCCCTGAAGTCTGACACGTCAGATTTTCAATGTAGTCGGTGAAGAACGAGCCCTTGGTTCGACCATAAAACCTAAACCTTCACTGCATACCAATCGGAAACTGGAATTCTCGCAGGCACTCCCTCACGACGGCAGAGCTTTGATAGCCGCGCCATGGCCGGCGACCGGTCTTCCCCAGGACGGCGCGGCAGTCGCCCAGTTTGAAACCCTCCAAGCTCTGGTAAGTTAACTGGGCGAGGTCTGATTTTTCAATCTGTGCTTCTCGAAAGGGGAAGGGACCGCATAGCAAGTGCGATTTTTAGAAAGATGGGAAGTGCTCAGCCGGGAGGGAAAAAGATTGGCAAGTGCACAATCTGAAGGTCGCTGAACCGCTCTACTCAAGAAAGTGTGAAGTCTCCGGTCGCAATCTCCAAGAAACGCCTCCCTGCTATTCGACGAGGATCCGAAAACTTCCTGTATGAGTTTGTCAATCCTCGATCGTTATGGAGCGTTGGAAAGCTTAAAGACAGAAAGTTCAAACTTGAAAGGCCACTTGGACGTTTAGTGGACTTGACGGGGTCACCGCCCGGTTCCGTGCGCCCCCGGCCACCCACAGACCTGACGGACCGAAAAAACGCCGTTCTTACGATACATGGTAGTGAAAGGCCTGTACTACCTTGTACGTCTGATGCGCCACGGCCGTTGATGCATGATGCATTGGATTGCCCTGGGGCTGGAGATTGTTTGCATCTTGTGTTGTAATCAGTGAAGTTGGACTCTTGTTGGTACAATCAATTCGTCAGTACATGTCTACAAGGTTTTTGTACTTTCGCATGTGCGCGCCTCGAGTCCTCCTGTAGTGTTTTTTTTAATCTTTTGGACACGTCAAGGCGTGCTGACTCTCTTAAGCTTTTCAAACTGATCTAAGATCTAAGATCGTATAAATATACGAACCGATACGCACACCTATCACGCTCAATCAGACATCTGTCGTGCTCATTTGGACGCACTTTCCCGCAGGTCCGGTCCATTCGGAACGCGCGGTCCGAGTACAACGTTGAACCTGGAAAGCGCATCCCGGCCATCATTGTGGCCCGTCAGTTGGAGACACGTGGCTTCCTATCCGAAGAAGCGACGGTGCTGACGTCACTGACAAAAGTGGATCCAGACGGGCTCGAGTTTACGGACGTCGCGCCCGGTTAGTTGGGGGTCCAGTCTCAACTATTTTGCGTTCTTGATTTGAAGTGTGTTTTCTCCGTGCTCGATGCATATGATGTGCTTCTTAGCGGCTTCTCTTTGTCGCTCTGGTAAAGCGTAGGTTCTGGTGGCTTGGGCTCCTGCACCAGTGAGTCGCTAAGGATCGGTATTCTGAGAATCGACCTTGAAAAGCTTCCTATTCTTCAGCCTTCGTCTTTCCTTCTGTGCCTGCTTTCCGTGACTATTTTGGGGTTGATTCTGCTCTCAACGATCACTGAGATTTGTGGTGTAGCGCTTCCCGGGAATGCTCGAAGACGGCAACAGGAAAACCTTTGTTCAGCGAGGATGGCGCCGTCTTTGATCTTTTACCTTCTTTTGAACTTTGTTGACAGTACCATCACTTCTCCAGAACACCCATTGTGTCTTACATATCCCATGTCCGACAGCTGGCGCAGCGACGAGCCGGTCCGCATGGCCAAAATGACTTTGCTCAAGGTGGCTCATCCAACCTGACAATCGCTTATGCTACCTCGCATCCTCTTATGTCCGCCAGCTGGCGACAGCGGCGAGTTCGTCCAGCTTGTGATTTCCGAAGGCCTAGAGGCGTTCCTCCCAATGGCGGGCCTAGTGGACATGGAGAAAGAACTAGAGCGGCTGAAAAAGCAGGCGGCCCAGCTGGAGGGGACCGTTACCTCTCTAACCCAGAGGCTGTCGTCACCCAAGGCAAGTGACTTCGCGCCACGTGTTTTGTCTGGGAACGCAGATATGGTCACAACGTCTGCTTCATCATTTTGATTTTGTACCCGGTTTAGTTGACCGTCAATGTGACCCGTCCGTTGTGTTCTCCTTCTGCTTTGTGTGGTTCAAATTTGAAGATCCGGGCAATTCCTCGCATTGGATCTAAGATAAACAACGAGCCAAAGCAGACGGATCCGTCTGATTGAGTTTCATGGCATGCAAAGCCATCCCATAATTTTTACGATGAGTCGCTCCTCAGAAACAAGAGCCAATCACGGGTGTCGCAAGATAGTTCCTTACTCAAATCTCGTCTGCTCCTGCTGTGCTTGCTTTCCTGCTCGTTCCCCAAAGCTTCCTGCGCTTGGCTCTTTTGTGATCCGAAAAGAGCTCACTGACATCGGATATTCGCCCCCTGCAGTTTGTCGAGAAAGCTCCGGCCGCTGTCGTGCAAGAGGCCCGGGATAAGAAGACGGAAGCCGAGGAGAAGTTGGCTTTGCTCAAAAGTCGATTAGAGCAGATGGAAGTCATGAAGGCTCCGGCTCTCTAGTGCTTCGAGATCTGGCTGTGTTGGTTCATGAATACTACCAGTGCGGCTTTATACATTCTTGAATGGTGCAACCAGGTAAATGACGGGGCAATGTGTCAATATCGGACGTTCTGTCGCCATTGACGTATATTCCGAGTCTACTCTATGTACTTCTGTGCAATACCAAAACCAAAAGAAGCAAACTTTTGAAATTGACGAGTATTGACGCAATCTGGACAAAAAGCTCATGTCGATTCTGGTAACGACCGAATCAAATTCCGCTCACTGGCCGGCCGCCCTCTGCCGCCCCGCGCTCTCAGTCTACCCCGGGCCGGGCTAGCTTGCATAAGTTGGCAGGCACGTACTGCACTATCTTCAGAGCTGACGGTAAACCGCGTATAGTACAGTACTATAGCCTAGCTACTCATCTTTTGTATAGATTGCTACGTCCATAAAAGGCGTGCTATAGCTGCCGGACGGCCCATAGCCGCGGACTGTAGGAGTATATGCAGGAATCGCGGCATCGAGTCCTAGCTTGTTGTTATCATCGATCGACAGGACTCGAGCATGCAAGAAATGCGCCATATCAACGATCAGACGAGGCCCGACTCGGATCGATGCCAATGATGCAGGGGCACATGCGCGCAAGTGTTCAATGATTTTCAGAACTTGTTGCAGGCGTTATTGTGCAAACTTGCCGCCCCGGGACAGGGGGCCCAGGCCCGGCCCCTGCCATGCAGCTAGGTATCATTGGCCCGCCAACGCTGCCAATGCACGTCGTGCGGCCGGTTAGTTCCGCATCAATCGTGAGCATATCGTGCCTCGGTGTTCCGCAATAGTTTGCAAACAACAAAGTATCCAAACTACCGTGGCACTGCCAGGAGTTAGCTTGAAACCACGACATGATATTTTCGACGTCCAGGATCGGATCGTTACTTGGAAACATATGTGCGGTAGAGTTGGGACTCCGACCCCCGCCGCGCACTTGGATCCTTCACTCAAGACTACTCTCACAGCCGTTCGGCAAACGTGTTCACAGGTAACGACTTGGTGACCCTGAACGACGCCGCCGTGGTCCGAAGTTGCTCTTTCCTCCGCTCCCATTCGGCCTCTGGACACATGACGTTGATTGAATAAAGCTGGTCGTTTTGCGTTGCATACACGCTGACGTTATGTCGGTACCACTCGCTGGTACGTACCGTGTACTCTAGTGTATAGTATTTGCCCTCTGGAGTAGCGTCCGCTTTCAGCAGGTCCGCTGTTTTCCCAGATCCTTCACGGGCTATGACGTTGTCGAGAATCTTCTGTCCGGCCTCAACCGGACTGCCCAGCGATTGCAATCTGCATTTAAGACAGCACAACGTTTTATTCCAGCTACTTTTTGTGGGCTGCCGAAAGCTCGAGGCTTCGAGAGCCAATCTTGACGTGAGGATTCCGACAGGCAACTCTACCTTACATACGTATCCCTCACGTAATGTTCTGCTATGAATGCCCTCAGATCCGAGGGTCACAGCGTATGCTTCTACAACCGTTGAAAGACGACACTCGCCTTCTGGACGTGCTTCTTGATTATGCGTTTAGGCGCCAGCGAGAAGAAAAAAGCAGGAAAGGGAAACAGAGGTCAAAAGACGTCACTAATCAGCTTGCCGGTGTTCAACTGCCATGCTAAATGTGAAAAGCAAGAAGAGAAGGTGACAGAGCAATCAGCTGGAAACCGTGGACTCCAGTTCGCCTTTTGGACCCCACATAGGCTATAGCCCCCTCCTACGAACGGTTCAACTCCTCCATACATATTATCCTGAGCCGTTGATCTTTGGTGTGATAGCCAAGACCATAGTCCACAAAGGCGAAGCAGCCTCTCCAACCACCGAATATGAAACAAGACCGAGACCGAACCCTCACCTAAATCCAGGTGCGATTGGGGCGACCACAACACTGACGTTCAGCTCTCCCGAGCCGGCCGCCGGTCCGAACGCTACAATAGGCTCCGTACGATTGCGCCCGCCGTTTCTCCGGATAGGTGGCAAGTCCAATGAACGGCTCTGCTCGGCCCTCTCCACTGCTCGGTACAACAGGCGCTGATCGCCAAGCCACTCGGCTGGGTAGATGAACTCTGTGTTGGAAGGCAATAGACGATTTTGAGGGGGCGTGAATGGACACTAGATATATTCACTGATCCGGCGTGGAATTCAAACCGGTCGGTTAAGATTGTGCAATCAATAAGAGGAAAGAATCGAGAAACGTTGTATGACACCACTATTGCCCAGTACACTAATTTTGGCTGCAAAAGTCAACGTTTCGAGACTTTTCTGATGAGAAGGAAAGGGTTTTAGTCCCAGGGCTTCGATTGGCAGGATTCATGTACTTGCAACAAATAGGATGCCAAGTCAGATAGAGGGACAGGAAGAATATTAAAACCTTCGGGCAAAGAAGCGGGGACTTAATGACGTCCTTGAATTCCAACACCAACAGTTTCATGCTTAACACGGCAAGCACTGGTGCCCTGCCACAGAAACGAAAAGAGGACTATCGTATTGGATCAATTTGAAAGAAGTAAACTTCAGTTGCCCTAACACGATCTCTGGTCTACCTCCCCAGCTTTTCTGGTGAGGTAGAGCTGCCAATTAACTTCCAAGGAAGGACTACTAGTTCTGCAAACGTTTAGCTCTGATACGTCTCTCACAGGGCGCATCGCAGTCCCAAACGGATACTACATAAGAGTAGTCTTGTGCTTGGACCAGCAGGGTGCTCCATGGGCATTGTGAGCGGCTGAAGTCCAAAGACCACCTCAGCTTGCCCAAAAGAGACTCTGCAACCTTATCATCAGCACCAGAGAACCAGCACAGCATCTGTAAGGAAGAATGAAGCATCAACTTGGCTCAGCGCCGCATGTTACTCACCAAAGCCCTGTCCAGATTCTATGCAACGCTTGAACCCTTTCACCGGGAAAAGGGTGTCCAATTTCAACTGCCGGGAGGCCTCAGGATTGAGACCCAAAAGTCCACTGGTCACACCACCCAGATTTCCCCCCAGCGTCACCGCCAAACCTGTTACGCCACTGTAAAATAATCGCCTCCGAGAAGGCAAGTTCCCGCCCCACATTATGAACTCAGTTAGTGATGTCGGACGAGCGTTTGCCTGACTCGAGCTCTCCTGACTAGGTCTCTCTGAGGTTTCAACGGGCCGCCCAGACACGCTCGCCGCTTCTGCATCGTTGCTCACATCGTTTTCCGAGTTGCTAGCTCTGACACAAGCTGGTTTTGATTGGCTTTCATTTTTTTGGACTGCAGTCCGCCTTTCCTTTCGTCGCAAAGGACATCTGAAACGCTCCCGCTGCCCTGATGCTGCGCGTGCCGTCACCTGTTCGCAGCCATACGCTTCACGCAACTGCGCGCACATTCTTCTTGGAAGTGCTCCATTGGTGGTGCGCGGGAACTTGTCTGTTCTCCACTCTGATGCCGGCACCACCCAGGAGGCCGGCCCCAAACGGCTGGCAAAGCAGCAGAGGGCACAAGCCATGGCTGCAGGCACTGGCGCCTGCTCTCAGCTTTTAATTTTAGCCTCCTTCTTTTAGGCTTCTAGCCTGACTGTACAGGTCTGCATGTGCGCGCCGCTACCGCGCGCGAGACACCCGCGCGGCGCCGTCGCCCGCGCCTGGGGGACCCCTCCCGTTTCTGCTCTCCAGTCTGACTCTCAGATCCAAATTCAATGATTCACAATGGAGAAATCTGCAGAAGCTGAAAGCGCTCCTAAGAATGCGAGAATGCAGTTGTGAATGCTGTTCAGAAAGCGTCTCTGAGCAGGATCTCCCACTGTTCTTTTCTGATTTGACGCTTTATTGAATTGATTGCCAGCGGCGCCGTTTGGGGCTAAAAGAAGCATCCGGTGGGGACCTTGACCCATCTTTCCGGGCAAAAAAGACTTGGGAGGAAATGGAAGAAACGGAAGCATGCTGGGAAGGCCTAGAACGCTTCATGGAGTGGGCGATGGTTCACCCTGACCTCGTCGCTGTTTTTGGCAAGGGCGGCTTGAGAAGGATCGTGGCAGCTCGCCTACATTCTTCAAGCGAGCCGATCGTTCACGAATTCGCAGAACACTGCAGGAGCACTCTAAAGGCAAAGCTCGTTGAGGAGCGCTCGCTTGCTTGGCAGCAGTCATGGACCTTGCCCAACATTCCGAGGAGTGAGGAAGAAGAGCAGACCTGGGTACAGTCTGCTCCAAATTGTATGCCCGTGCTACGAGCTGAATTCAACATTAGAATATTTGAATGGCTGTACGGAGAGAGTCTGCCCAAGTTTGCTTTTGACTTTGAGAGCGATGAGTACGAAGAACGGGACTGGTTCACAATGCAATCTCCTGCAAGGCTTCTAGCCGAGTTGGAAGTTCTTGCAAAGATCATCCGCAAGCCAGCGCAATGGATATTTGAAAATACTCTCGATGAGATCTCTGTCAGGGATGGGCAGGGCCCGGGGTTTGCCACGGTACATTTGCTTGGGCTATATGCACCAGGACACCAACTGGTTGGTAATCACAATGAAGTTCTGAGCTCAATGCAAGAAGCGGGCTTGGGACCTGCGGACCTCATGCCGCTCAGGGAAACAGTACTAGCGGACCTTCAACTCGTTTCGGAGATTGTGGTGGAGAAAGACTTGCGGTATGCTAACCAGTTTGACATGTTTCCGGGGTTGGAACAAGTGGCAGGCTATCAGTTTGGCCTTCGGAGGCACGAAGGTAAGCGTACATTACAAGCGTTGCTCAACAAGCTACGGTTTGAGAGGCTGAGCGGGATGAAATTGGATTGCGATCTTGGATTCACCTGCAGAACCAGCGATGGAGAGGAGTTGGAGGAATCATGTGAGCAGGTTCTTGAGGAAGCGATCACTGCCATTGATGCCGATCGATCCACATGCCGCAAAGATTGTGATCGTTCTCGATATCGCATTGAGTTCAGTAGGGTTGGCAACAATGAAATTATGTACATTGACCTCTGGGGCCCGGAGTGGTAAATTGCAGGTTCTATACCTTTTGCTCTAGATCAGCATTTGTAGCTTTCTTAAAAATCAACGCTGGACAAGGGGAAAACCGTGCGTCACATAGCTAAAGTGACACGGGAGTGACGCTATGTGTGCCCTTGAAGCTTATTTATCCAAGGATTTCTCTGTAGCTTGATCTCTGATCTCTACTTCTAGCATATTGCTGCTCACCTCATCAAGTACGTCCCAGGAATGATCAAATTTGGCCTTGCAGAGGTCTGGCCTCCAAAATTGTGGTGATGTTTGCAGTCGCGGCAACGTGCGTAAAGTGGCCAAATCGCCCATGAAAGTATCATAGGGCTCCCCCATTCCAGATGATTCCACCATGCTGGCTTTTGGCAAATGTTTTCGAAGTCCTTTTAAATAACAACAAAGCATAAGTATAGCTAGCTTGCCAATACATATTGCATGCCAGTGGGCGGCCGTCATGCATGCTGTCGACCTCTGGCATGTCCGACACATGCATGCCACACACTTGATGGAATTCAAGTCCCGACCGTCACGATCATAAAATAAGCTTCATCAATGTAAATGGTGATATAGAAAACGTAAATTCGCGCTATAGTGATACAACTATTTCCACGCAGTGAATTCCAGTAATGCTATGAATGATGATCGTTCCGCCCGGATCTAATTTTTAATAAGATCAAAGTACATGCTAGCTCTGGCGCCGATTGCTAGACCGCACATGCTGCAATAATAGCTTGCGTGCAGACGCCGTACTTGCTCGCGTGCCAGTCGACCATGCAGTATTACATACGTCTGCATCATTGCAACTTTATTCACAGAACATCCAATGATCCTGCAAGAAACCTACTTCAGCACGCACTTTACGGACTAAGCCGGCGCGCGTGATAATCTGCTTTAGTACGGTTTGAACCACATTGTACCAAACTGTAGTGGACATCTTTGCACTTCAGACATCACCCACAGCAATCGAGCGCCAATTGTTGTGTTTTGTGTTTCCTCAGATTCTGATTTGGATCTGCTCATAATAATATGATAATATGTCATGTACATGCGCAGACCTTGCATTCCACCATGGGCTTTCGAGCTCACACTGAGATCACAATTGTAGAGCCACTGGACCGAGTTAGACACAACTCTCAAGCTGGCTCAAACAGCTTCTTGAGACGAAAGCCAATCTCTTCACTGCCCAAGCTCGTCCGCCGCAGCTCGGAGCCGCGCGCTCCATTCTTCAAATCTAAATGACCATTGCGCGCGCTTGGCCGCATGCACAAAATTTGCCACCTCTCGATGCACGTCCCCCAGTCCGAGAACTTCGTCCTCGTCCTTTACCCAAGTGTCGAACGTCCGGAGAACTTCTGGAACGTCCTCTGCGGACGCCCACGGAAGCGCCTGCGAAACGATCCGCATACATTGAGCACGCCATCTGGGCGACGTGTTGGACTTAGTAGCAGCTAAAGCGTCGCTGGAAATTGCATTCCCCGGAATACTTATCAAGTCTCGGCCGTCAGATTAAGCAATCACGAGACTTCAAGCATTCAAAGGCTCCACCAAAGCGAGAGAGCTCGCCAACACAAGGACCGCGCAGAGTACGGCAATGAGCAGATTTTTAGCCAACAATTATGAAGCAAGATGGATGCGAGTGAAAACCGCGCGTGCGGGAACGCGACGCTCGCCTGCCATCCCCCGTGCACGACAGCGAGAACGAAGCAGAGCGAAAGCGATCCGTCATTTGGGTTGAGCATGTTCCCGCGCAGCGTGTGCGGCTGAAAGATTGGATCGTGCACGATGGAAGTCCACGTCATAAGGACCTTCCACTGCTCAGTTGCGTTGGGAACGGAGGCCAGGTCGAAGTCACACAGAGTGAAGCTTTCGGGGGGGTATTGCTGAGCGGGCTCTGGGGGGGTGCTTGTGACAGCGGGGCTTTGCTGGGGATCATCGGAAGCGCTCCGGCTTCCGGGGAGCACTGCGGCATGAGCGGCGCCCTGTGTATCGAAAAGGGGGGTCGCGGGACCACCAGAAATGACCCCCTGCCGAGCGAGAATGTTGGAGGGCCGGATATCGCGGTGGAACATCATCAGGCAGTCGTGCAAGTGGAGCTGCGCCAGAATGTCCGCTCCCAACCGGCACACTGCCGGGGGGGGTAAGCGTCTCACCACTCTGCGCACTTCGAGGGGCCCCCCCTTAAAAGTTTCCACCGCTGCCTGCGCTTTTAGTCCCCCCCAGCTCCCCCCCGGCGAAGTTGTTCTCGACCCAACCCTTTCAGAGGATCCGAGGGTGACCTAAGCGGCCATCTAACTTTTCGAGCGCCTCAATATGTGTGTTGACGAACTTGCTCCGGGGAGACTTGCCCCAGACGCCATGCCGCAGAATCCTCCGACCAGAACCGGAACCGGAAGCGGGATCCGGAGCCCCAGCTTCTTCTTCCACCGTCTAGACGACGGACTTACGGCTGCGGCCAAGTGGACTGCCAACGATCCGAAAGCGCCGTTCCGGTTTTCCGTCGTCCTTGATTGTAACAACGGCGCCGGACGGAAACGCTTCGACTGGTGTTTCTTCGGTGTCCGAGTACGAGCCAAAGGGATCTTTCGCAGTTTCTTGGGGTGGTTGTGACGACGGGTTCCCAGGTGCTGCTGCAAGGTGCACCAGACGAGATGGTTGAGAGACTCGGTTATTCCAAAAAAGTAACTCCTTCACTAATTGGTGTCCACCAAGAACCTACGATCTTCCTGATGAAGCAAAGGTACGTCAAGTTGAAGGTCACCGACAAGCTCCGACATTTCCAAAGATAACGCATTTTCAGGGCAGCCTTCACGAGTTCACTGCCGTACTCCAGAAAGAGTGGTCGCTTCGCAGGATAGGTTCCACAAGAACATTTTCTCAAGTACCTAAACAGACGTTTGTGCCACAGAGGTATAAATGACCCAAGTACGCTTCGTTTCAAGTCCAAGCAAGCTCAAAACGACGTTTGTTCCAGAAGCAAAAAAGACTGAAGCACGCTTCGTGTTTCGAGTCCAGGCAGCTCAAATAAGTCAACACGTCAGCCCTTGCACAGTCTACACCGCAGCACAACGGAATAAACCCCGGGCCCAGTCAGATCAGCAGTCTTGTTTCAAAGATCAAACTTTCTTCCGTAGAGACGGCTGAAGTCACAAGAAGTGTTGGAGTCAATTGACCGAGTCAGCGAAATTGTTTTCCTTGTCAAGGCGTATTTTACTGTAGGGTAAACAAGATACGTTGAGATGACCGTTGTTTACTTGAACAAGCTATCTGCTCTCCTAGAAACAAAATTGAGCCGCAGATGCTCAAAGAGCGCTTAATCACCCTTTGAGCAGAGAAAGCAGACTAGCAGATTGCGAGCAGCTTCCGAGTTCAAGTTGCCAGTCTATGATCTTGTGGTCCAAAACTCCTGAATGTCAGGCTACGAACCCATGCTTTGCACAAAGTCTTGAAAGGCTTGAACAGAAGGTAAAAGCAGTTTTGCGATGCACTTATAGATTCATGCGCATACGAAATTGTTTCCTGAAGAACAAAGCTGAGAAACTTCACTTGCATCTTTTGATGAATGCTCGTGACGTGAGCTTTTCGAGCTTACCCGTATGCTCTTGCTCGGCTTCAAGTTGTCCACACTTTCTGCAATCGTCAAGTGGCAGCTCGGACTCCCGTCCTACTTGCTGACACTCACAGTTGCCCTTCTGACCATGTTCACCAGAGTCCTTATCCGCAGCACCATCTTGTGAGGTCGGGACACGGTTTGACTTAGCGTCCGGACAAGGACCCCTCTTCTCATGACCACTTTCTGAACATACACGTCCCTCAGCGCCTTCCTTTATTCCTCTCACAGAACTTTCGCCTTTCGACCGCTTCTCTAGTGCTGTCTGCGCTGGGTTGGAACCCTCCGCAGGTCGCTTCTGTCCACTTTCGGCCGCCATTGTTCCTAACGCCGACTTCTCGATTTGAAGGATCATACTGATGCAGCCGCGGCCTCGCGGCCGGATCCGATCGCGTGCCAGGCCGCTCGCGGCCGCGCGGAGTCAGAGGTTTCAAGTTTCAATACACTTCCGAAGCTTTCAGGTTTACAGCAAGCGCGGCCGCGCGGTCATGGCGCCGCTTCTGAGGATGCAACTGAGGTGGCTAGCTAAGCGTGTATTAGAAGAAGTGACCATGCAAAACCCGCGGGGCAGAGTTTGATCACCACAGCTAATTCGATGCTTCAACTAATCGCTCTGGCATTGATATGTCGGTTCAGTTTGATTGCGCTCGCCCCCGCGACGTACGCCCCTCATCAATACTAGCCTAATGGTCACTATACGGAGCTGACGTTATGAATTCAGCACGACGGCCAGCCCCAATTCGATAGCTATATAAGAATCGTCTTTGAAAGCGGCATTTTTCGATTGCCGTATATAACTCTTGGCTTTTGAGTCCTCGGAGCCACTCAAATTCCCATTTTCTTCACAATTCTGGCACATTTCGATCCTCCTCCGATCATCACTGAGTTGCTCGGGCTGGCCCAACGTAGTTTGTAACCAAGCTGCTTTCAATCTGCTACTTGACTATAAGCCTACATACGATCGAGAGGAGGACCGCTTGCGATTCCCGCGAATGCTAAGTAAGCAGTGACTGCATGAGCTGATATTGTTCAATATGAATAATACTTCAACTAAAAGGTTCGGTAATGACAGCACAGTGACACTGCGCCGGCCGCCCGACTCACTTAAATGCACGCTGCCATATGCAGCTAGCGCAGATCATCAAATGATTCCTTGCCGCAACTCACCTATAGGTAATCCAGTGAGCAGCCTGCCAGCGCGGCGCGCCGCAATCATCCTAACATGATCGAAACGTACCGCGCGCGAAGTTGACTGCAGATTAGAGCTAGAGGGGCGCGCTAACTTAATTCTGTATGTATGCAGTCCAACCAGCACATTGCCCACTGAACTTTCCGTGCACCATGCAAACTTGTACTCAGGCTCAGGCGGGGACGCGCAATTTCAAATTTGCCCACGCAAAGTCTCATTCAGAAGACAAGTACGGCATTACCTCGCGAGGCGGCGGCAGCCCGGCTCAGCGGCTTCCACAATTCCACCATCCGTCACGTGCATATGCATGGTACTATAGCAGCTGAGATTGGATCCAAGCGAGAAAGATCTGAGCTGCTCGTACGGTGAAATTTGGGATTGGCTCTCGGGCTTCAAGTTGTTCTAATCCGTCACCTTATAGAGGTCAGAGCGTTTGACCACAAGCGGAACACCGAGATAAGGCACAACCTGAGTTGTACGTCTCACTTAACATGCTATTTACTCACGTATTCTCCTCAAGCCGTTTCAAGCCCAAACACAACGCAACACGATCAGAAGCGATGCTGAGAACCATCATTGCTGCTGCCACAAGTTTGCACCTGAAAAGTACAGATCCCTTACTTTCATACTAGGCTGTATGCGGTACTCTTCTGACATGACCAGCTTGCTATACCTAGAGTACAACTTGGCAGAAACCGCAACCGGTTCTCCTTCTGTGGAAAGAGGGAAAGCTTCTCGCCCGCTTTGGAACCGCTCGGTTAGGGCCACCCAGCTAACCCAAAACTCGCGCAAGTCAATGAGCTTGTTAGTCTTAACGGCTTCCTTCAGGCGGTCGACCAGAAGGGCCATGCGGGGCAGATAGTAACCGCCGACTAAACCGCTCCATTCCTTGTTAGCTGCGACAATGACGACAAGTACGTGTCAGAGGATGGTACGCGCCAAGAGTAGGACCGAAAGTAAGCGGCCAACGGACCATGATGTGCAAGCACGGGTACACAAAAGCCGCCATTTTGTTTTAATCGAAGCCGAATGAGTCACTGCGGCACGCCTTTCCGGGGAGGCGTACTCAAAAGGCGTGCATCCGTTCGGTTGCTGTGTCAGAGAAAGCGACAACGGCACGGAATACTGACATCGTGATTAAGCCTATGCACTCTAAGCATGCCGAAGCTTCTCGCTCGCAGCACTACAACCAGGGTAACAACACCATTCATAATGCCAGGCTTGCGCCTCTGCAAGAAGACGTGATCGGCGTCCGATTCGCAGTCTATATCACTACCATGGCGGAAGATTATGGAGGAGACTATGAACCGAAAGGCTTGAACTCAGAGGGAAACAGCTCGGAACCTGATTGAAGAGCAACGCTTCACGTACCGTAATCGTGCAGGGTGCTCGGCAAGCTGGCTGTCGCGTCGAACCACATTGTCAGCTGCGTGCGGGCGTTCCATTCCAACTGCGAGGTCGAGCGCAGCTTTTCAATGGTGCAGGTCAAACAGGCGAAGGAAAATAGCAACTGCGAAACCGGAGACTTCTTCCTTTTAGCTAAAGTGGAACCCTGTTAAAAGTGTGGTGTTGTGACCTTCACTACCGTTGACGTAAAGCTATTTACAGGTCCACTGTAGACGCAAGGTTGGGTTCCAAGATCCTACGGATACATCGGGGCATACGAAAGTTCGAACTGGCCTCCCATGAGATCTGACGTTTCAGATGAGTAAAAGCCATTTATTCGAGACAGGGATCCGCATCGCTTCGGAAACCCTCCCGGGTATCTTTCAGCAGACCTTCATCTTCGAACGTCAGGTCAGCATTCGCTGTGCTCAGTTCCATAAAACACCTCCCCATCCGCAGCACTTCCCTTATTCTGGAGACTGTCCAAAAGTAGCGTCTAGATGGAGTGCTTCCTCCCCGAGGATCAATGAGGTTGTAGCAGAATTTCCCGGCAGCTTCTCAAACACTGACAATCGTTCTCGGGTTCCGTGTTCCCTTAATGACATCCCAACCTTGACCACGCTTCAAAGTCGATAACTTCAATACATTTTGAAGTCATTGACAGGAACGGTCCACTTGGGACGCCAAATCTGTTCCCACTTTGACAGTGCACGTCAAAGTAACGGGTTATATAGTTTTGGAAGCTGAGACTCACCAGCTGTTTCTCTTCGTCAGTTTGCCCCCACGCTTTCGCCGCCTCGAGCCACGGGCCCAAGAGAAACTCCTCCCGCGTCCGTAGTACTTCCTCCATGTCCGAAATCGTCCGCAGCAGAACTTCGCCCTGTTTGGACACGCCGGCGGCGTCCGAATCCGCGTACGCGTCCAAGAGGCGCTCGAAGACGGCGTTCGCGAACTTGGACAGGACCTGGCGGGTGACGTCAACCAGGTCGTACCTGACGTCAGCAAAGGGCAATGTTGGATTTCGTAAGGGAGTCTATGGAAGGAGCTTATTCGGACGCTTTCAAGAAGGGGCTTCGGAATATTTTCAAAAAGGAGCGCCGGATGCGTTGAACCGCGATCGTTGCATGGCTGCAAATGGTTGGTGACGTAAGCGGAATGGTGCAGAATACGACGTCGTCAGCAAAAGACAGGTCGTGGCGTGCTCACGGAAAGACTTTGTCCTCGGTAGCGGACAGCAGGCAAGTCAACGCTGCGTGCACAGACGTACAACAACAGTAAACCAGAAAGGATCGGACCGAAACAAGGAATGCGTGAAAGCAAAGAGCGCATGGCCACGACTCCTCCATTTCTGATGAGGGACGTCATGGGGAGCTCACAGGAAAGGCCGGCTACGGTTCAGGTCCTGGACTGCGGGAGCACGATTCGCGGCAATACAACCGTTGCGGAAGAGAACGAATCAAACCGGAACAAACCTTCTGAAAATACAGACAACGCAAAAACGATTGGAAAAGATCACATCAAGGCGAGCTCACAGGAACGGCCGGCTACGGTGCAGGTCCTCGGCTGCGGACAGCAGGCGGTTCAAGGACTTTCGATTGCAGAACAAACCAGACCAAACCGGGTCAAGAAAAAACCCAGCGAACAAAGCTTGGGTAACGAGAGCTCAAACAAGATTCGTCACGAAGAGCTGACAGGAAGAGCATGACGTCATGGCGAGCTCACAGGAAGGGCCGGCTGAGGTGTAGGTCCTCAGCTGCGGACAACAGGTGCTTCCAGGCAGCCAGGACGTCCGCGGCGGGGTACCAGAGGTGCGGCGCAGGGGCGTGCAGCAGGCGGCGCGGGTTGGTGGGCGAGACGGCTAGGTGGGGAAACCATGTAACCACGTCCAGGTTGTGGTCCTGCGCAAAAGAAAATGGCTCATGAGTTGACAATGTTTATTGTCTCTTTTCAGTGTTTGAAATAAGAGTGTAGGCGGCACGGGTTGTGGGCAAGACGGCAGGTAAAACATACGTGAAAAGGTTGTTGGTAAGTTGATGTCGTCCCTTTTGAGATCTTTGCTCCTTGTCCGTTACTGAACGCTTTTGTTGATGCCAGTTGAACTTAACCTGCCGAAGCTGCAACTTGGGATGCCTATCCGCGAGTGTTCAAAACCCCTCCCGAGTCGGACAAATAGGGTAAAAGGTGGCCGGCTTTTCCAAACTGAGCCCGGCCTTCAATCTTTAAAACACTGCTCAGTATTCGACTGACTTCAGACTGAAACTTCAGCGGCCACGTGCATTTTGTCATATCCCCTCGAGTGAGTTGCACGCATCAAACTTCAGTCGTCAGTTAGCAAGATTAGGCTTGGGCGCATGGTGTGGCCACCGAACGCGAGGAGACAATTCGAACTCGCCAAAGTGCTCTCCAATTGGAAAGGCAAGGGCTTGCACGTCCTCACCGCATGCCCGTCGGTGCTGTTGTACACCGTCCGGCGAAGCAGGTCCCAGGCGGCGCGGGCGTCCGGATGGTCGCGTCCGTACCGCCGGACGGCGTACGAACCCACCCACTCCTGTACGGACGGCAAAGTCTTTCAAGGTTTCGCTTCTGAGAACCCGCCAGGATAGTCAAGGAGCGAAAGAAATAAAGGGGAAAGGAGCTCAAAAGCCAGGATGCTGTGGTTGTACGCCCTTGTGTTCCACAATCACTGTAGGAAAGACAGAGAGCGTGGAGAATCAAGGAGCGGGGTAAAGGATGCCAAAACGAGCGAGAAAGCGAGGCTGCTTCGGCCGTACTTTTTTGCTGGATGCGTGTTGCCCGACAAAATGATGTTTTCTCTCATGAGGAGAGTCTGGGGGACTTTTCGAGCAGACGAGAATAGGGGGTTGTTGTTCAGAGGAGACGAGGTTGGGGGGAAGTTCCTTAGAGGAGTATCTACGGTTCCACCCCCACACAGGCTGCTGTTGGCGTCCAAAAATAAATCGGGATACTCGATGAAGGATTTTCGGTCCTGGTGGGAAGCGGATTGTACATACAAACCAGTCAAGCTAGAGAAAGCAGAACGCACCGCATTAGATGGAACAGACGCCGTTTACACAGTCAAAACCCTCCACGTACATCAACTCAGCAGCAAGCAAAAGAGCAGAAATTTTGGAATGGATAGATGTCTTCGACAAGTACTGAAACCAATTAAGAAAGAGACTAGGAATGAATATGGAGCAGAGATGCATCCCAACCTCCACGTGCACCGGCTCATGCCGATACGTTATCTCTGACATCAGCTCGTAAGCCACCGGGTTGTGCTCGATGCCCTCCATGCAGAGGCCCACGCCCACCATGGTGCTGTTGGGCGCGTTTCGGGCGACCACGGGCCCGTGAACGACGGCCTCGAGGTCGCCGTACATTTCTAAGTTGCCCCCGAAGTTGTGAAGCATGCACCTGGAAAGAGAATGGTTTGATGCAGATACCTGAAATGCGCTCTGGATTGCAGCACGTAAGAGTGTATGTGGCTCTTGCGATGGCAACGTGCACGTTCCGCGGTGATCGAAACGAAGAGAGTTGGGGCCACAGATTTCCAGATTTAAACGGCGCCCTTCAAAATCATATGTGGATGCTCAATACTAGCACGAGAGCCTCTGTCTTGGATAGGTACAGGAAGCATCTTGCACACAAGCACTGCCTGAATGATGATTTTTGGACTTCAACGGTTCCAACAAGAAATCATAGAATCTACGAAAGAACAGCCCCGGATCTCGTGAGCAGATCCCGTCGGATATCCGACCTGGAGAAACCCGACTAGACACTTTACCAACTTCTACCTCGTGTGTCCAGTCAAAGTGAACGTTTTCCTCACCAAATGAACGGGACCCCGTAAAACGACTCGCTCCGCTGCCAGACCGGATGCACGTCCGCAAACAGGTCCAGGACGATCATTCGGTCCCTTGGGACAGCGTTAAGAAGGGCCTTCATCTGAGGGGGCCGCCAGTAGGCCGCGTCGTTGAAGAAGAGCCACCCCTGCATCAGCCAAATTGCCTGCGTGCCACGTGGCAATGTATGAGCCGTTGGATTAAAAAAGAGAGAGCAGCTTACTACTCGGTTTGGCCGCGTCGCTGAAAGAAGAGCCGCCCCTGTATCAGCCAGATTGCCTGCAGTGCCACGTGGCGGTTTTCAGCCGTTGAATGAAGAAAGAAAAGAAGGGACCGCCAGTAGGCCGCGTCGTTGAAGAATAGCCAGCGATAAGGCCTGCAGTGCCACGTGGCAATGTGTAACCCGTTAGATGGGAGAAAGAAGAGAATAGCTGACGACTAATTTGTGCTGTAGCTTTGGAGAACAAGCCAGCCCTGCGTCAACCGCACAGCCTGCCAAACTACCGGACAAAGTGTGAACGATTCGACCCAATTAGAACTGGGTTCGAAGATTGTAGGTCAGCCAACATCCGGCCGGTGGTTGACATATTACCTCAATGCGGACGTGGTCAATCCTCAACGGTGACTCTTGTGATTACTCAAATGCCCTGGATTGTAAGCTGGCCCGCCTTGAGTAGCTCGGTGTCATTCAGAAAACGAGCATATGAAGAGTTAAGGGGATTAATAAAGAGTATCGAGACAAGGCTTGTACTTTCGTCTCGAGAAGCTCGCGCTTCGCGGTACAATCGTGCCTTAGACCCTTTGAACAGGTTAAACCTTCTTTAACGACATTTGTACTTGCTTTTATCCTAGACCATAAACAGACCCCGCACGCCTTCGCCTTCGTGACAGCACAGTAAGCCGTTAGGAATCAATCTTTTCACGTCCTTCGAGATACGATCAACGGTTTGAATATCAATTGTCTAGAAATCCGTTCTCCCTCCAGACGTCAAAACCTATTGAAAGTAGTAGCAATCATGCTTACGGTAGGATCTGCCGCCCGCATGCCTTCGAAGGTCGACTCCGCTATCGCAGCAATGTAAGCCGGTTCATCCGTCGGGGGCGCATTCTCGTTGAACGTGTCGCAATTGTACACGTGATCCGTCCCGTACTCTGCGACTTGCGCCTCAATGAACGCCCGGCCGATGCGCGCAAAAAGCGGGTCGGAGCCGTCGAGAATGAAGTCGCAGCAGTATTTTGGGTCCGCCGTGACGCTGCCCCTGCAGACGAATGGAAATGTGCCCCGTGTCAAAGAGGTTCGACGCTCAGTAGGTGTTGTCACATGTTTACTGGGTCGCAGATAGACGACCAGATGACGTCTATGGAGTGCCAGGGTGACAAGTTTCGAACGTAGGGGTCAAGGAAAAAAAGCATCATGAAACGAGGAGGTTGGGGCTAGTATGATGAAAACAGAGTCTCATGGGATAAGGGCTTTAGAGCTCGTCCAATAATTCTACGGGGTATAAGTTCATGATCGACGAGGTTCGACGCCGATTTTCTGACCGTCAAATATATGGTGTCACGCCACAGGACAGCAGCTTGTTGCAACGAAGCCGCTGAGTTTGATGCTTCATTAAAGCAGTACTTATTGAGTCAGCAGGTGGAACTGCTGCGTAAGCAATATCAACGGTGTCGTAACCCTGTCGTCGTCCACAACTTAGCAACACCTCAAGACGACTCCAACTGCTTATGAAGATGCAAATGCGGGCCGTTTTCTTGAAAGACCAGAGACTTTGTCTTCGGACCTTTTCGTTAAAAAGGAGCGTGCAAGCAGAAACTCGAAAGTGCTTATCATCATCGTGAAATCTCACCAGTCTCCCAGTCGGCGGATCTTGGCGTCTGGGAAGTGCTTCTGCAGGGCGCCCGGTACTCCGCCGGCAAAGGCTGGAAGAACTGCGACGAAAACAAGATGGAACCTCTGGGAATAGGCTCTTTGTTTGACATTTATGCGTGACTGGAAGAAGCACTGATGAACTTCCGTCGCGTGATGCCCCATAGGGGTAGCAAAAGCGGACGGTCCGAGAAGGCTGTCAGGTTTGGCTCGTCCTAGAGAGCTCTTTAATGAGTGGACTTTTCTGCCAAAAGGTGCGGATAAAGCATGCCTCAGAAAAGTCTACCGTTGATGTTGCAAGAAGTCACCTAGCTTAACGAGGATCGACATGAAGCCACGTGAAGCGGCCAAGCCCTTTGCGTAAGCGAAGACATAAGTGTTCGTGTTCGTGTTCGTGTTCGTGTTCGTATTCCTGTCCCTGTTCTTTGGCGAACAAGTCCAATCCAAGGCAACAGCTTCGACGAGTATGTGGACAGCCTACTTCCAAAGCTTCAAATACTAAGGCGGAAAGAAAGAGCCTATCACTGTGTGAAGCTCGCCGAAAATCAGATGTTGTACGACAAGTGCTCTGCTCCTCTCAGCATGTGCTTTCTCGACTTCACTTCAACTTGCAATCAACGAAAAGTTGACCTTGTATGATGTTTCAGAGAAACCCACAATAAATGTTGCATTGACCTTTCTTCCAGAATTTGAAGTCCCTACTGTCGAAGCTTACCTGGCGTCATCCCGAGCTCCCTCATCCGTTGAAGTATTTTCTTTTGCAGTGCCAGCTGTCCATCCAGCCAGCTTTGAGGAAGTGGCCCGCCCCACGCTTGTAAGTTGGCCATGCGCGCCCATGCCAGAAAAGCAGGGCCGCCAAAGAAATTGCTGAGGTCAGCGTCTGTGAGGCCAAACTCCGGACTCTGCAATGCGACACGTGGGCAGCATCAGCGCTTGGAATGTCTGAGGAGATGCAGACCTGTAATATGCAACGTCAGAACCTCACTCAAATCTATCCAAACCAACAAACAGCGGTCTTTTTGCAATGGACGGTCGAATGAAATACTTTTCCAGTTGTCAGTATGCTCACGTTTTTGATCCTTCAGGTGTGTCAGGTGCTGTATCACTCTTAAAGATAATAAATGACTTGTCCATCACTCAGCTATCGTTGGTAGCTCAGAGACTTCGAACTTACGGTATAGACTTTCTGCCAGATGGTCTCCTGCCCCGTAAACGCCAGCGGCAAGTTGATGCCTTGTAGGGCCATCCAATCTGAATCAAGAAGAGGGAAAGAGTTCGTTTAAGACAAAGTCCACAGAAAAACGCAGTCAATGACAAGACACCACTCTGTGGGAAGTTGAAGGGATTAACTTATCATGTTTTGTGAGGGCCAAGGGTCAGTCCAGGTGATGTCAACTTCTTCAAAAGGCAAAGATGTAGAGGACCTGTCTGCTATTCAAGGGTGTTTCTGAAGTTCCCGTTACTCGTGCCCTTTGAATCCTTGTATGATTTCGCCACACCTTTCACAAGACAAAGAAAAAGACAGTGTGAATGTCACTCTGGCTAAAGCATCTGCCCCCCAATATAGTACAGTATATAAGAGTTTTTTTTCTCTTCAATCAAGAAAGAAACATTCTGTTGACCAAGACTTTCTCAACGCTTTCAAGACATCAGTGGTCGACAGCATCAAATTTAAAGTTTGCGGAAGCGACCAATACGTGAATTGCCCTTTGCAAGATTGATGGCAGGGTGGTGGCACCTCATCACAAGGGAAGAAGTAGGAACAATTGAGAATCTGTCTGACCTTTTGTGTCTTTTGCACATTCTCACCTATTTCCTTCTCCCACCGCGCCCAATCCCACCAGACCATGGAGTAGCTTACTGTGCATACGTTCTGGTAGTAGCTCCACTTGACAGGGCGGACGACTCTGACTGACTGCCCAACCTTTGGCAGGTTCCCGCTCAAAGTATGCTGCTTAATGCTCTCCAGTTGAGACCCCCCAGTTTTTTCCCAAGACACGTGCGCTCCACAATTGTTCTTCAGGTAGTAGTGCAATCCTGCTGCAATATCCACTCCTGATGACCCCCTGATTCTCACCTGGCTGGTCGTGTTTGTCAGACTGTATGACTGTGTATTCAAGCCCTGTTGAGCAGCTACATTGCTGATGTCAAAACACGCAGCGCCGCCACACTCTTCTTCTGAAAGAAACTCCAAATGAAACAATGCAGCCAAGTCAGGAAGCAGTCGTTTGACCAGAGCCTCTGCCGCTGCTAGCTGGACCTTCTCATTCTTCAATGGATGCAGAATGATGGCATCGCTCATGCTAGACAATCCAATAGCATGCCCTTCTGATCCTCCCTCAGATTGTGTCGCGCTGGGCAAAACCGCTGAATGGAACACGACCACAAGAAAGACTCCCAGCAGCCAAAATTGTTTGCCCGCCATGGCCGCGACTTTACTCAATCCACAAGGCCAGCTACGTGAGACTTGTCTTGCACGAATCTGATTGAGCTGCAGAACCATGCAGGCACACGTGAATTCTCACAAACTTAACATACGGTACTGCAGATCACACAGGGCGTTGCACAATGCATGCCTAGCTCTCGAAAAGGTTTTCTGAAGAAGCTTGCAAGGGTGGCGGCCCCCCTGCAGCGCTGCTTCATATTAGGGTTTCGAGGGTCTAGTAAAATTAGGGTTTATGCATCTGAACGCCACAACTTGGCACAAGTTTTGCAAGCTGCCTTGAAGAAACCAGCTTTCCTTTGAATGCACATTGCTTTTGATATCAGCAGCTTTGCAAGGGTCGACTTAGGGGCGCTTAACTAAGCTGAGGGTGTCAGTTACTGCAACCAAAATCCACAATGCAGGTGGTCGCACAGGACTCTGCTCTGATGGGGAGCGGCGGCATTGCCTTTCGAAAAGGCGTGTCCGCTTTTTCATTGCAGGCTTCTCAGGAGGTCAGATGCCCCATATTAACACCCGCATCATGCTCCCTCCATTCCCAAAAATACATGACGTCAGCATGGCTTGGAAACCCTCAAGGGCATAGGAACAACTCGGTATTTGACCTCAACCCTTCATCGGTCTGCGACTTGAACCAAAGTTGGCCAGCTCTGCTTAGGCGGTCCAAATGCAGACGGCGGCCTGGACCAATCAAAGCATCTGCTTATCCGAACTCCGACCCTGACTCTTCTCCCAACGGTGCCTCATCTCCATTCAGCTCTGCCTCCAATCCAAACCCAAACTCTGAATCCAGCCTACGAGAAGCAGTGCTCCAATTGAAAACCGAGCAGCAAAACCTGCGGTTAGTTTCAGAACAGCCGTCCACAAGACCAGCTTGGGAGGTCGGGGTGAGGTCAGCGAAGAGTGGGCCATCAAATGGGATCACGCTCATACGGAGGACAGTGCGGGGGGGGCAGACGGAGGATCATCCAGGGACGGTGGTGGTGAGAAATTCCGGGCCTTCCAGCTTGCATTCATTGGCTGTGACCCGTAACACAGGTTTCCCCATGATACACAAGGATGCTGCCACCGAGCGTGTTGCAGCACCAAGCAAGTTGTCATTCCTCAAAGAGACTCAAAATGAGCTTCGGGTCCAGTCCTCTCCCAAGCACTTCATTGAGTGTCGCCCTCCCTTGCTTCAACATTCTTCTGCACACGTGCTGAGTAACCCCATCCCTACGGATTGCCCCTTCCTTGTATGTCCGGCTGGCCTTGATTGGTTGTAAGGTACAGTGAAGGTTCGCAGAACGGTTACAGGCGCTGCCATTGAGCATATCACAGCAACAGACTGTCGACGCTCTGATAGATTCAGCTTCCATGCATCCATCTCCCAACCTACTTAAGTTCCACCCTCTCACTTCAAGCAGCTCCTGTATCTTCGCTCCCATTGGCTGGGTGACCCCACCCTCAAAACCTCCCCTTCTGATACCACAACGCGCATGTCTTGCACCCAAACATACCACATGTCTTTTGTCGCCCCACTTTGCATTGGCCCCTCAATACTGACGCAGGTCTTTGGCGACGTCAACCGGCAGAGCGTCATCTCAGCCGGCGGTGACATCATTGTTTGGGGACGCCTGCGGGGAGAGGCCCATGCTGGCAAGTTTGGGGATCGGAAAAGCGTCATCTGCGCACTTGATATGGCCCCCACAAAACTGAACATAGCCGACAAAGTTGCGTACGGACCAGAGGGGAAGGGGTCGCACTATCCGGAGGTTGCGAGCATTGATGCGGGGGGAAACATACAGTGAGGCTCTAGCTCGCTTTGGCATTTGTTCCTGGGTCTCTGATGTAAGAAAGAAGAATTATTTTCTTCTCGCATCTAATCGTGAAATGTTTGTTGTTGGAGTTGCTTCCGGAAGAAATGAAAGGATATTCGACATCAGTCAGGCAAATTTTGAGATAGCATCTGCCTGATTGATGAACATCAGGTTTTGATCTGCTTGCTGTGGTATGTCAGAGCTTCAGTCTTCAGGACCTGTATGAGAGGCTCTCCGTTTCTGCCCCTCCTCTTTATCAGGATAATTTCGCAGCCGCCCTCAGGATGGTTGCAGATTTGCAGTCACACTGTACTTATCACTGAAGAACACAAATCTTTCATCGAGAAGCTGACTGAGAGAAATTTTTGGAAGTTGCATTTATTCCACGCTTCTTTCGCCCCTTATCCACCATTCTCGTCTTCACATTATGTTTGACTCCTTATAGTTCACGGGACTCTGACAAGCCGCATCTCTTTCTCACCTTGCAGGATCGAGCCATCCCTCTTCTACCAGAATCCTGCCGGCCAAAGTGGCGCCAACCGCTCTAAAGACGGCCACACACCTCTGACCAAGCCCGCTTGGGCCGCACTGTTTACTGGGGCGTACATCTCGGTCGTCGGTTTGGCCGTGTTACTATGGCCTGTCAAGCTCTTCGGGCTTCTGTTCAACGTGAAGTCAATTAGCCCGGGGTGGATTCGAGTCGGGGGCGTGCTGGCCATGGTAAGAAGCGATCACACCTGACTCTTTGATTTCCAAGTCAGTACTCAGGTCGATGGGTTCTGAGATCGCTAAATCTCCTGCAGACTTGCCTGGTAGAAGCCATGACCTACAGAAACTCGAGAAGCCTCCAAAAGGATGATCCACCGAACCTTTCAATGAGTCACGACGAGTCAATTTTCGAGCCCGAACATCTTTCTCTCTTTGTAGGTGGAAGTTCGATGATACAAACAGGCCTCTTGTCAGTCCTTCCCGTCGACCCTTGGTATTGAAGAATATTTCTGCGTCTCTGAGTGTCGAATGCGTCCCAACGTAAAGCTAGGAATCGGGGCAGGTTGGTCTACAAACTGCACTACCGCTCCTGTTCAGAATGTGGAAGGTTCCATTCCGTAAGACGGTGATTTTTCGCAATTGAGAAGTAAGAATTGCGTCCTCTCTCAAGTTTTTAGTGCCTACTATTTGTGGACCCCCCTGCTGGCTCTACTAGGACTCCGCGAGGGGGCTTTTTCTGGTGCTTGTAATGATACGATCCCTCACCAAACTATTCAAGTTTGCGGCTTGTATCAGATTCTGGTGCCTACTATTAATCACCCCCCTGCTGGTCCACCCAGGACGCGCGGACGCTCTGATTGATCTTTGCTCAATCTAGTTGAGTTCGTCCAGCAAACCAAGCAAAGTTGCGTCTTCTTGCAGGTATTCGGTGCCTACTATTTGGGGACCCCCCTGCTGGCCCAACAAGGCCTAGGCGCAGAGGCGTTCTACTGGTCCACCGTCGTTGGCCGCGTGTTTCTCTTCACCGCTTTCTGCTTACTGGTCGCCCTTCGGCTTGCGCAACCGGGGCTGCTTGTGGTCAGTCCACTTTCCGTATCGTTTCCGAGATCCGTTTGATATTCAAAGCGATGGATGGAAGCGAGCATCGATCGTTGCGTTTGTCAACTTGAAAAGTTAACAGCTTTTCGACCGGGAGCTTGCTTGGACGCTTCTTGTGTTCTGCAACGAAATAAGGAGCAGCAAACTAAGATCGGCGTTTTCTGACAAGAAGGCAATCGTTACAGTTTGTAAATATCTTGCCTTTTAAACTTCTTGATGGCGACAATGCCTCACACACCGAAGGGATTCGAACCAGAAGGGACTCTCACGTCTGTCGCTGAAGTGACCGAGCCACTTCACAACGTTGGGGCCAATCTTTGAGGCGCTGTCCGTACGTCGGATGAGGCGTTTCGTGACTCTCTTACAAAGACCTGCCTGCTTTTTCTGGGTTCTTACACGCCTACGTCCAAAACTTCTATGAATGACTTGGTTGAGAAAGTAGTGAAGGAACTACGAAAGAAGGTTGGCTCGGAAACTGTCGCGCTTTTCCGACCTCCTACTGGTATCTGATCCGCAACATTAGCCTGGAGACCTCTGACCAGAGTCTTACGGGTTTATGGTTGAAGTTGAAACTTCATTTGATGTATCCGCTTTTTGACATGGAAAGACAAACGGAAGCGATCGCGGTGCAGGCCGTTCGTGTACTTTTAATCCCTCTGCGGTCCTTTTCTCATATTTGTTTTACTCTACAGCTCGGAGCGGTCAACCTGGCGGGGGCCTTTGCAATGTATCAGGCGCTCAACTTTGAAGATAAGAGCGAACGGGACTCGTGATCTGGAGCCACAAAATCTTGAACGGCCAAGGTCCAAAGCCCCGCAGTGTATTCGACCTTACTAACACGTACAGTCTGGAATTTGTAAGCTCTCCCCTCAATGTCAGCATCCACTGGATGCCCTTGTATCAACGACAAAGCCTTTCTGTCGGGAGAAGCATGGCAACAGTGACTTCGCAAGCTTGAACGGGTGCGTGGAGACGCGCTTATACGGACCATATATGGACGAGAAACACGTACGCGAGATGAGTTAAACATGTAAGATCTTTCACAGCTTGTAACTGTACAGATTGCCATGCAATCTGCATTGAAATATGGCCAAACAGTGACAAAGAGAAAAAGAACTTCATGGTCATTGAATGACGTAATCATTCCTGCACTGTGCGATACTGATTGCCACGTACATAGTCCGAAACTTCTTAATGATACTATCACCAAAAGCGGACGGTGCATCCGCTAAGTTCACTTAGCGCTGCGTCAAAGTCGTATTTTGTGATGCCACAGTAGCTCACTAAGATGTCGGTCAGCGCATATCAGTGACCAGAACTTGCATGAGGCCCCTAGGCCGAAGCATGCAGCAGCCTACAGCTCTTAAGACACATGCAGCTAGATCACCACGGCCCGATCCCCCAGAATTGGCCGCGCAGCCACGCCGACTACAATCTTAACATGACAAACTTTGAAAGCTCATACGCCCGGCCGGGCCTGTCCGGTAGGCCGGGCGCGTAGCTAACGGTGACGGTACCATCTCTGAAGAACGGTCCATGTACTCGGATCACTCGCCCGACGACACCCTCATTCCGGCGGCGATCGAGACCTTTGGTTGCCTTGGTGGCCAGTTCGATGGCCTTCTCCGCATGTGCACACAGCGTGCTGCAGCTCTTAGAGTTAGTGATGACTCAGAGTCAGATTGGCGAGGAGGCATCTCGATTGCTGCGCTATTACAGGCAGCGCATCTCAGTCAGTTTGCAGCGCAGTCAGGCCAGAGCTATTCATCATAGGGCAGCTCGTGCAGCACAGAGCATGTTAGGTGCGAGGCCGTTAGCGATGTCAGGGTTCGTAGGCCGTGGAGATCTCATTACGGCTGCTGCTTCCGGTCGCATCATTGACATTTTCGAGGTGCTGTGGCACTCACTGCTTGACATTGAGTTGGCTTCAATGGCCAACGTTCTATTGTTGATAACGATATTGTTATTGTTATTGTTATTGTTATTGTTATTGTTACCATGTTCAATGGGCTCACATGTGGTTGATAGGTACTCGCGTGCAAATCGGATGATGAATGGCCCTTGCACGCCAATTGCATATGAAATTTGCCGGATGCGCTGTCTAGTCCTGACAAGCCCGGCGGCCCCATGCTAGCCGCCAGCCTGTCCGCCTCAGCAACAGAGCTGAGCTCCTGTTCCGTCGATGTTATATTCGCGGAACCCGAGCTGAGCAGAACGTCGTCCGGTGACCGGACTCCATGAAGGCTAGCGCCATCCTGAGGCCGGCCGACGGCCGCCGCTCCCGCAGCCCGGCGGCCGGGCCCAGGGCGGCCGCCGGGGGCCGCCGGCGCGCCGCCCCCTCGCGATGTCCGAGCTGACTTCTGAGTTCTCGCCATTCGATAGGCATTGGTTCTTATCGGACGGTACAGTTGCTGTGTCCAGGCGGTTTTCATTTCAAACGTTTGATTGGTCAGCTGTTCTTGCAAAACCTATCGGCCAATGAAAGTTGAGCACTGCGGTCGTTTGAATTTGAGACTGTGCCCCTGAAATATCGGTGCTGAAACTTTGATACCTAGCACAGCAGCTTTGCCGCTCGCTTGACACTCCACCAAAACACCAGCTCTGCTACCAGACTGCACACACTTCAGGTGTCACACTGGCGCCACCAATACGAACTTGGATAAAGGAGGGTGCTTCTCCCCCATTCTTCCATCTGCTCTTCAGAAGCTCTCCATTCAGCAAACAGCCAGCTTCACTGCTCCCCAGCAACCTCTCGCTCTCCTAGCAATCATGTCTGGTCGTGGAAAGGGCGGAAAGGGGCTCGGAAAGGGAGGCGCCAAGCGCCACCGCAAGGTGTTGAGGGACAACATCCAGGGGATCACCAAGCCCGCCATCAGGCGTCTGGCGAGGAGAGGTGGTGTTAAGCGCATCAGCGGTCTCATCTATGAGGAGACCCGCGGTGTCCTCAAGGTCTTCCTGGAGAATGTCATCAGGTAAGCGGCCTGGGAATCTGGAACAGTGCAGTAGATTCAGGTCTTCTAATGAAATCCAGCGAGAGGTGTCAGACAAGAAGCCTGCTTCAGAAGGCCTCTTTGCATAGCTGTCTTGACCAGTAATGAAGGTCGGCCAGCTGCCTCGGTTGTGTCGCTTTCTGAGAAAGAAGTCCAGCTTCCAGCTTTCAGCTGCTTTGTATGACCCTACCTGCTCTGCTTGTAGACCCTATCTGCTCTGCTTGGTCATTGGCAGTTAGCACTTGATGAAAACATGAAGTGGCTGCTAACTGAACTTCTTACTGTCTGCAGGGATGCTGTCACCTACACTGAGCACGCCCGCCGCAAGACCGTGACGGCCTTTGATGTCGTCTATGCCCTCAAGAGGCAGGGGAGGACCCTGTACGGTTTCGGAGGTTAAGCAGCATCCTCAACCTGGATCGGAAGGACCTACCTCAGGTCCTGCCGCCCACAGCAACCAAACTGGTGTTTTCTAACACCACCTTTCTCAGAAACTTATCCAACAGTGCTGTTGCATCCTGATACCGAAGCCTGGGATGAGCGATTGACACAGTTGTCTGGTCACCTCAGAGTTTGATGATGCATAGGTCGATCAGGCATTTCTGGAGCAAGGTCCCCTGGGGGTTATGGATGCTTCATTTTAAGCCGCAGGTCCCTCCTGGCACTTTGTGTAGTGCATTTCCTGTCTCCGGTTTAAGAGTAGATATCAGCTGTAGCTACAACATGTTTGTTGCAGCATTGTGTGCTTCCAGATGGCCTCGTTGTTTCGGATGTTGTCACCTTAGAGTATTTGGTAATTGTCAGAGTCAACGTGCCTCTGCCTGATAGAATCTAAAGGTTACTGCCCTACTGGGGTGCCGCAAATGGAGAACGGACTAATGATAGATACCTGTAGCCAAGCAGCAGATCAGACTCTCACGTATGCAGTTGGCATACAAAGTGATCTCTTCTTTCTCAAGGCATCACAAGTGCAGGCATGCTAGCCTAAAAAGCTCCAAATGACTATGCTCTGCCCTAAGTTTTGGTTGCTAAAGCCTTTCACAATTGTAATTGGAGGTGCTCAGAAAGTGCGCACCTGTGGCTGAACTCTTGAGCAATGCAACTCAATTGATTGGGGGCTTTTAGGGCGAGTACACGTGATTGCTGTTGGTGCTGCGCTTATTGATTCGGCACCAATAAAGTCTACTTCTGGAGGTTTCCAATGATGCAATTGTCTCCTTGGATACTTTGGCGAATACGTCGGCGCTCATCTATGGATGCATGTAGGACTGACCATCCTTATCTGAGAACGATGGCGTGCAAGCTGCCCTAGGACAGCTGTCGAATATATGTCTCTCATTTCTTGCCCCTTGGCATCTTGATGCACACTAGCAGTAATTGTAGGTATGCACTCGAATATACGATGTCAATTTAGCATGTGGCGATGATGCATACTGTTACCTGTATGGTAACATGAACTGGATCCAGGATTAGATAAAGATCTTAGATCTGGCTGATACTTGCATGCATACACTTGATCACTAGCGCGGACTGTTTGCGCTGGAAGTACTAATCTGTGATCGACGGCGGCCTCGCAATGGATCTTGAATCGGGATTGGGTTCAAAGCTATGTAAGGTCAGACTCGCGCGGTCGACGAGTCAGTAATCAAACATTGAATGCTCATTGTCAACATGCAGATTCAAGGCTTGGCCAATGGATCGCTGCATATCAGTCTGTACACTGAACTGTGCTGGACACCAAAAGGATGATCTCGTCCTTATGTTTGTATCGTTGGCGGCCTAATTGTGGAGTACAGATTGCCCCTCAAAAGCCTTTCGAATGCTTGGTGACTGTTACCGATAGTACGGTTCAAAGCCCTCCGTTTTTGTTTCTATGTTACTATTGTACACAGTAAGGTTACGGCCAGGTTTTAAAATCTGCTCTTGACACTTCCGAACTCGGTTATGAAACAGAGCAGATCAAACAAATCGCGCGCGGCTTACAACTTCGACGTCATCGAGGCCCCCCCAGCCCACCCCAACACCGGCGCCCCCATCTCCTCCCCCCCTGAACTTTTGCTTGCCCCTCCACCCCCCGGCAGCACCAAAACCTTCCCCCGAGCCTCTCGCCGCATAAGCGCCGCAAACGCCTTATGCCCCTCTTCCAGCGAATACTTTTGCGACACCTGTACCTTAATGCTTCCGTCCCGATACCACCCCATCAGTTCCTTCATCGACTCGAGCAGCACTTTTGGGGCATGCTGCATGTGCGAACCCCAGTACAAACCGTGCACGGTTACGTTCTTAACCATGACAATGTTCGCCGGGACCGCCGGGATCTCCCCGCTCGCAAAACCAATAATCACGATCTGCGCCCCCCATTTCACCACTCGTAGCGCGTCCTTGAACTGCTTCCCCCCCACCGGATCATAAACGACGTCCACCCCCTTCGCTCCTCGCTCCTTCAGATACTTTTGCACCTCTTTTCTCAGGTCCGGGGTCTGCGCGGTGTCAACGACGCAGTCTGCGCCCAGCTCGCGGAGCATTGACGCTTTCTCGCCCCCCTGAGCGACGGCAATCACCGTCGCCCCGACCTTTTTCCCGATCTGAACGGCGGCCGTTCCGACACCCCCGCCGGCGCCCAGAACTAAAAGCATCTGGCCCGGTTGGAGACGTGCCCGGTAGATGAGTCCCAGATGCGACGTGCCTGCAGGACGAGGTGGTTCATTTGAGTCAGAGGGTAGTCCATTTAGCTCATGGTTATGGGGGGCGGCGAGGGGAAGCGGAGTGTACAAGCCACTTGTCGGAATCAGTTTTGATACCCTGTTTACAAATCAGCAAAGATTGCAGAGGAAAAAACCGCTGGACGATTGACACTAACAAGACGATTGGGACCGAGAAGACAAGAGGAAACTCGCTTTGAAGATTGATTGTCCGACCAACTACGCGATCCGAAAGATAGCGTATACAGCAGGTCAGAATTGACCTGCCAGCTTCAAACGACTAAGTGGATGTCTCCCTACAAGAGTGGGTGTGAATATAACGTATAAGTCTTTGCTTCAAGTTGTTTTGCTTTTTTTGTTCGTTTGGAAAGAGTTGTTTCATTTGTTTCCATCTCTCTCTCTTCGTGTATTCGTCTCTGATACTCTATACACTTTTGTTTGTTGAGGCGCCAACATCCTACAAGGCAGACTGCAAATCGACAATGTATGTGGTATGCATCAACGGTTGACAATCGGTTGTCTGAAAGCTTCGTCATCTGCCGGTTCGCCCGCTCTTTCGAGAATTAGGATTGATATCTACCAGTGCGACGTTTTGTGCGCAGAGTCAACATCAGTTCCGAAACAGAAACAGCTTGTAACCTTGCACTGGCTCTCAATCTGATTGTAGGGGATGCCGCCACTCAACAACGATGTAATCAACCGAAAATTTGAGAGAAAGAAAGAGACTCGGAAAAAGTGCCGCAGAGTGTTCAACAAAAGGCCAAAATAAAGAGGGTGCAGATGCCTAATCTGAACAGAGCTTCGGCAAAAAAATGCTGGCGACTGTACTTGACAAATCGTGTTCAGAGCAAAAACCAATGAGAGCCCCTTGGGCCAATACTTCGGTAAGCAGAAAGTGAACTTTGAGTGAACTTTAATGAGCTTAGAGGCAACAGTTCGAATGGTTCAGATTGTTTCGAACTTGCAAACTACAGCAATGAGAGCGGAATCTATAGCCAGAACCGGTGGGCCCCGAACGCTGATTCGAAGGTCGGAATTGGGGGCTCGCATTCAATCTGTTTTCACAAGCAGCCGGAACCCTTTTCAGTCTTCTAATCCTCTCAAGGACAGCAAGTCTGGCGGGAGGTCACCCGATCAGAAGCAGATTCTAGGCATACTCGAGCCGTCAGGAAACATAAGATGGACACGTTTTGAGAGGAACCATCAGGACTTGTATCAGCCAGCTTGCACTGACACGCCATGTTCAACCGCATTATCACATGTCGATCTGAGGCACTTCACGACCAGCCACAGCAAAGACCAAAGGTCAAAGCAAAAGGAACTGAAAGTTACGCCCATCCCTGCTGTTAATATTTCACTGTCTCTGGGCAAATCGCCAGAGCTGACAACTGCATCACCCCCACTGAACACCCTGAAACCGTTGGCAACAAAGCGGACTAGATGCGGCGCACGGTCAATCAGACCGAGCGAGAAAACGCACCGAAAGCCACAGGCAACCCCGCAGCCGCCACTTCGTCGCTTCCAGGGGGTAGGGGGAACACCGCACTCTGGTTGGCCACTGCCTCCTCCGCAAAAGCGCCCCCTCCAAGGAGAACGGCGCAGACCTTGTCGCCTACGCGAACTCGGGAAACCTTGGGTCCCACTTCGGTCACAGTTCCGGACACCTGTAAGAAGTATATGAAATGGGGGTTTGATCTGATGGGATTTGGGAGGTTCATAATGGTTCCAAAATTGGGTTTGATCGGCTTAGTCAGTTCAGGAGTTGTAAGCTTCGATAGAGACAGCGTAAAGCGCTTGAAGAAGAAAAGGAGTAGGTTTTCACTGAGAACAACCAGGCAGTGACAGCAGGCATAGTCTACGTGGCAGTCTATGTGACAAAAATAAGTGGATTTGATTGCATCTTTCCGTCTAAGGACAGCCTTGAGGAAGCCGCCACATGTCCCGCACCAATTAGAAAGCCCCCTGAATTCTGCTCCTCTGAAGACTTAATACCACCATTGCACTGAAGCTTTGCACAAGCTTAGATGTGTTAGATGTTTTCGTCAGGAAACCTTGAGCAAAAATGCATGCACGTATACACTTGTCAATCGGAACCATCAAGCGAGAACCCCCTAGTCTCAGGGTGACCTTCTCAATCTCTCCCTGCACTTCCGCCCACATCTCTTATCAAGAACCACAAACGTAGATTCTTTATTGGAAATTCAACCTAGAAATCCTTGCCTCAGAGCCTGGAATGAACGGCAGCGGCAGCTTCTCCTGATACTTCCCCTGCACTAGCAACGTGTCTGCGAAGTTGACACTAGCCGCCGCCACTTTGATGCGCACCCCATCTTTGGGCAGCTGTGGGGGCTTATGGTTGGTGTCCACCGAGAGGACAGCACCAGGAGCTGGGGGCTGAGTGGGATCCCCCAAGCGGTTGCACACGAGAGCACGCATGGTCCCTAAGTAAATCGTGTGAGCTGAGCAGAGATTCTGACACGGAAGGTCAAGACTCAGAGCTTCGCCTCTGCATGGCAACAATTTGGCAAACGAAGTTCCACTTCCAAGTACATTTGAAGCCCCAGCCATTTACAGGCTGCTCAGATATGAGATTTCTCCAGAGCAATTTGTCGGACCAGTCCCTTTGATCCGGAGCTGTGTCGGCCAGACTTTAGTTGTTAAGGTTTGATCGAACAATTCTCCAGCCCTAATTACCTATTAGTGAAGACGTATCGAGATATAATCCTCATTTGTCAAATATAGGGATAATATATCAATGCAGCCATTTGAGCTGGGACAGTGTACGCAGAAATACTGAAGTTGGAGGAGGGCGAAGAGGAGGAGCATCCGCACGACCTGCACCATGCAGCGCTGCCAGATTCACCACCAATTGGGGCTGCTTTAGCAAGCCACATTCTTTCTGCATGTACATACTCCACTAGTTAACCAATGGCAGCATTGGCCCGCGCGTCCAATGGGTGCTCCACGCTGGCCCTCGCTGCACCCCTCGAGCTCCAAATTCCACAATGCAGCGAGCGCGCTTTTGTTTCTGGTGGGCACTTCCGCAGACGAAGAAACCCCGCTCGGAATGTGCAAGCGCGCATTCACATGCAGGGCGGGTTGAGCCGAGACGCTCAAGGTGCGAACGGGCGCAAGCCAATTCTGAGCAGTGAAGAAACCCTTGAGCCGCAGCTTGAGAAGCAGCACCCTAGCAGACGAGACCTCTTGCTTTTGACTGGCGCCCTAAGTGTTGCCATCACACAGCCCGCAAGAGCAGAGGATGATGCAGCCCCCCCTAGCGAAGCCCCGTCCGCCGCCCCCCCGGCTGAGAGCCAGAATGCGCCCCCTCCTCCAGACACGCAGGCATCAATTGAAACGCCCCCCGCAAAGCCCGCAGAGACGCCCCCCCTGGCAGAGAGCGGCGCTGCTAAGGAAAAACAGGCGCCAAAACCGCCAGGGCCGAACACAACAATCACTGCAAGGGCGTATCTGGACGTGATGGTGTGTCCGGGGGGGACGTCGCGGAGCGACAGAACGCTCGGAGATTCGAACAACATCTGCACGGCGGAGAGTGGGGGGGAGATGCTGGGGCGCATTGTGATTGGGCTATATGGAAAGCAGGTGGGCCCCCGGTGTGACTTGACGGCTTCAGGTTGAGGCGCTAGCGATGGGCATTGCGTGAGCTCTGTGTTTGTTTGGAAGTAAAGCAGATGGGTTGTCTTCTGGTCAGTCTGCTCGGGCAACATCTCTGAAGTGGAGGGGCGCCGGTCATTGAATGTACTCGAGCGCGACTCGCAGCCATGTTAGATGGCGCCCTGGGGAGACCAAAAAACGTTTTGTTTCGCTTGTATACTAAGTATCAAATGGTGGTGTGGGGAATTTCGTGCGCCTTGAGTTCTTGAAGTCAAATTGTTTTCATACTTGGTGGTCATCGTTTCCTACTACTTGGACCGTAAGGTGTTGCCAATCAAAGATCAAGGGCTGGATAAATGCAGTGCAATACAAGGGCCGTGCAACCTGAGATTGGGGAACTCTCAGGAGAAGGGAGACAAGTCGAATCCCAGAAGTACACACCTCAGTCCCACCCGTTTAGTGGGCCCCTTTCAATGTCACGCTGTTGATAAGGTACATGAAATTGACATGAAGTTGACAGCACATGAACTTCCAGAAATTTCTACAGGATAGTTTGACCACTCCTTCTCTGAATCCGCGGGCGTGCTTGTTGAGTTACGAATCTGTCATACTAACAGTCTTCTTCAAGAAGGACACATCAGAAAAGACAACGTTGTTCCCTTGAGTGGCGAACGAAGAAGTCCAGATAAAGTCCAGATGAAAGTCAAGATGAAGTATGAGTTCTCCAACTGAGTGATACTCGTTTGACCTTTGTAGGTACCCCGGACGGTAGCCAACTTCATTGCAATGGTGACGGGAGCTTCTGGGTCTACCTACAAGGGCACGATCTTTCACAAGTGAGCTTGGCTACAGCGCTCTCTTTCCTGTCTACTCAAGCCTTCTGCGCCTTTACAGAGATACATGGCCCTTACAAGGGAACGATCTTTCTTAAGTGAGCTTGGCAACAGTGCGGCGATCACCAGCACCGTCTCGCTGGGGTTGATCACACTGTCGTAGAAGTATTGCTAAATCTGCTGTGTCACGAGATTCGAGACCGCGGTGTAAACCGTCAAACCTCAGCATGGCGAATAGCTATTCAAAAGATGCCTAGATGAAGAAGGACGCCCTGAGGAATCTTATAAAGACGCCCTGAGGAATCTCATACAAACATAATTCCAAATGCTGAAGAAGGCAGCAGCGCTCTCCTTCCTGTATATTCAAGCTGTTTGCGGTGGGACAGAATTACACGGCCCCCACAAGCAGCGTCTGCAAGGGACTTCTCTCTCACTTATAAAACCCAAGAGGAGCGTTTCGGACCGATAAGCGCGGTCAGTGGATGGAGAAAGCAAAGCGCTACTGTCTTGTCCTTCTTTTGGCTATCCCTTGGGCTTCTCCCTTGGCTTTGGTCCGTAACTTCTGCCCCCCTTCACCGGAACCGAACTCGTGGCAAGCAGAGCTATCGGAACTGCTTTTCCTTTCACTTGACAGCTTGCAATGCCATGCCTGCTGAAGGCTTACACATCGAGGTTGTTCAGACGTCAAGTTGTCTCCAACGAATCCGTTATTTCACGCTGTCTCTGTGCTAGTGGTTTCTTCTTTCTCAATGTCTCCAAACTCTGTCGGAGCGAGCATCGGACTGTTTGTTCGTTTGCAGTATCATCGAAGGCCAAGACGTCCAGGCGGGCTAGCAGGGTGTCACGTTTGAACTCCACTCGTCAGTTACCTCCGAAATTGAATCTGCAGGCCAAGGCTTTCAGCAAACAACAGATACATTGCAGATAGTCGACGGCTTCTGTTCGCAGGATCATAGAGGGCCAGTACACTCAGGCGGGGCGACCTGGTCTTCAGTATTACTTCTCCGTTCCGTCATCCTTCTATGCAGGCAAGGCTCTAGCAATGCAATCAATTAGTTGGATTCACTTTGACGGCTTTTGTTCCGCAGGATCATAGAAGGCCAGTACATTCAGGCGGGCAAGCAAGGCTCCCGGTCAGAGGGCCATGTGTTAGCTCCCTCCGCCCTCGAGAAAAACGGGGAGAGCGTCAAACCGAGCGCATTCGCACTGCCGCACACACGGCCCGGTACGGTCTCGCTATGTCTCGGTGTGAATGACGACGAGGAGGACCGGAAGCTGAGCGAAGAGTATCGGAACGTGGAGTTCCTCATCACGACGGGTAAGAGCCTGTTCGCATGCAGCCAAAATCGACAGATCCTGGCGGTTCTGGCCGCAGCCCATCGCCGCATGCGACCAACACTTTGCCAAAAACTGGAAAAGTACAATTGGATCGCGCAATCGTACCCACAAAACTAACAGAATCTGCCTGCTGGTCGGGGGCACCTATCAGAATCCGTCGGTCCCAACATTCCATACCGAGTACTTTCATGGGCTGAATGTGCAGACTGCTAGGACCCGGTAGGGGCTTCGTCTTTTCCATCTCTTACCCTTGCGGTTTTAAATGCTTTTGTTTGGGCTCGATTATTGGGCTTGCCAACACTCTATCGAGCGCCTCGTCGAGACTCACTTCTTTCAAGCCGGTTTGTCCGTACCGAGATCGTACAGTCTCAACCAAAGTCCACCCACCACAGTCTGTTGGAAATGTGACGATCTTGGCGGCATGCGAACAGGCCTTAAGGCGTCGTTTCCTCCAATATAAAGGCGAAAGACGGGGACGTGTCGAAGGATGTAAACCCTGCGCCCGACTGGTTGTACACTTGAATCCCTCACACTTCTCGAGCGTATTTCCATATTAATCGAAGTTATCAAAGACTACGTTGTCATTTTAGTGTCGTTGAATCTGAACCGTTGATGAGGAAAGACCGACCCACAAGCTGTCGTCGATACCCAGACAGCGTGCGTCAGCAGGATTGTTGGTAAGTCAGTCTCGTGGTGATAGCAGATTCCGATTCTTCGGACCCCTTTCATCCAAATCACGTACAATCTTTTTGCGAGTTGTTTTATTACAGGCCAAGTCCTTTGCGAGTCTTGTGGGGACTCTGTTTGAAAAGCATGACGTCAGGTCCGACTCGACTTTCTCGTCGGTAACCCATCTAAAGTCAGTTCCTGTTTCGGCAGCTCCTATAAAGGGCGCTTCTGAAGTTCTGGGTCTCGCAATATCAGTCCAGGAAAACCCTCCATTCTGTCCCGACTTCTGCCCATTTAGCAAAACGCAATATTCTTCCAAAAATTGGCCCACTTTTCAGTGATTGTGTGTACGGTTGCAGGCCCCGGACCAGCCTCGTCTTTGGACGGGAGCAACATTGTGTTTGGAACCGTGCTCGAAGGTACGACCCTGGTTCCTTGCTGCCTTCGATAATAGCAGGCAAATTGCATACTCTTGCAACGGTGTGTTTCGTATTAATTGGCTGGTGGCATCCTCCGAGCTAATCATTCTTGCGATGTCTTTGGTTACGTCATGCATGCTAAGAAAGTTCCCCCAGATTGTTGAGGTTTGCCTTCAGGACAACGTTTGTCCAGGAGAGAGTCTGAAATCCTAGTTAAAAGCCCCTCACCTTTTCTGTAACTTTTCCCCTGGAGACAAAATGCCCTATGACCGGCAAGAGGCCAATCTTTGCAGTCGCAAAGTGTTACAGAGATGGTGTCAACCGACCGACCTCGCTCTTGCCGTTTGACCATTATTCCAAGGATCGCCTGCCGCTCTTTTTCGAAAAGAGATGCTGAGTCGCCAATCCGGTGGGGCGCCTGATGTGGCAAATAGTGAGATGGGGTCTCGAGCCCATGTCTCTCCCTGTTTCAAATACGAGCAAGCAATCACTCGTGAATCACACGGTGAAATTTTCGTCCCGCGCGTCTTCCTTTCTCCACTTTGTGCTCCTCTCAAGCTTGCATCTTTTGCTCAAGTTCGGACAAGGGGGTTTGAAGAGGGCGTCAGATTTTAAGGAACACTCGTGCATCTGACTCCTTACGGGAAATTCCATCCGACGGACCAGATTCCATCTCAACAATTGTCCCGAGCGACCAATTTGGCTCTATGGGCACTTTGCTGGTCGCCGACGGGGGACCGGTCCCCCGACGCCCTCTTTAAGAGTTTTAGGTTTCAGCTTCAAGGTTACAGATTGAAGGTCAAAGACTAAAGGTTAAAGATAAAAGCTGTTCCCCTCATTCGCACGCAGGAATGGACGTAGTGTCTCGGATCGCGGCCGTCCCCTCCTACCAGCCCAACATCCGGATAAAGCAGTTCAACGAGTTGGCCGAGTTCTTGGGCGACGAGCGCGCGGAAACCGCGCGCAAATTCTGGGACCGGCCCCTGCAGAATGTCGTCATTGCGGGTTGCGGGATCATTCAACCCAAGCCCAGCCCACTACCAAACGGCCAACCTTGACCATCTGAGTTGTTAAGTTTGTGCACCGTGCAGCAGAATTTTGTCCCCGTCCGCCTGTGTACCGTACGGCTTCGCAGATCGATCCTGCACACCGCAACTACGTCAAATGTTTGTGTCTGATGACCGCATCTGGCATCGACAACGGTTGAAGACGTAGGTCTTTTCGTCACCAGAGGGTGGCGCGTTTGGATAGTCTACCTTCTCTCGCCTTCAAAGTAAAGTCGGGAAGCTTATGGCATTTCATTCATGAATGGCTTCCTGCATGCACTTGAGGCCCCATTGGTCCAATGTTTGATCGAGTATCCGGTCGCCGGGCCATTATTCGTGCTTGAGCAACCTACTCAAGGAAGATCGCAAGCTGAGTTGCGACTCAAGGCGCATGCATGCTCCGGGGCCACAGCACCAATACCATGTGATCTTGGCCGCCAGGCTCCAGCATGATTGAGTTCATTGGCTGTGACAACATGCACGCATGTGCATGGCATACCTGATTACTATGGATTTGATAGCGAGGCGCAGCTCCTGACATATTGGCAAGGTTTGCCAATTGAGACCTTATACTTGATAGCGCAGCGGCCGTACATGGTGCGCAGGATCGCGGCCGGCCGCTGAGCCTTTTCGTCAGCTAGCTGCCATCCCGGCCTCACGCCGGTAATATTTGTTCTTCAAAACGCGCGGCCTTTTTGCCGCGCCTGCATCATTGTTGCTTGCGCGCGCCCCAATCGAAGGGCATGGGAGGAGAAGAGATGACACCATGACAGCACTATTAGTCCCATCATGCTCTAGGCTCGTCGGTATTTTGCTCAGTACAATTGAACTACCTCATGCAGAGCCACTGTTTTCGCATCATCGAAGTGTGTATCAACGTACACATCACTTTGCCTTCAAATCAAAAGGTATCTAGGGTTTCTCAGGCTGCTCTCGCGCAATACATGTGTAACTTGAAGGAATGAGCTAAAGTTCCACAAATTTTCGATCTATCGATTCTGGCCGAAATGTTATGTGGCCCTTCCCCAGATCTATTGCAGGTTCGGTCAAACCTGGCCGCCTGACCTGACTCTGCTTTCAGCCCATCGCAGAACTTGGCCGAAATCGAGAACCTGGGCCGTTCGATGAATTTTGTCCTAGCATCCGAGGGTCCAAGTTCTGCGCATCGGGCAAAGTTTTGCGATCGGCTCAAATCGGACTCGGGTCAAGCGGCCAGGTTTGACCGAATAAAAGACCCTTATTTATGTAGACTCAGGCTCGGCCAATCACAGTACCTACTACCAATAATTCCCTACGGTACGGTACGGTAGGGTGACGTGTAAAGAGTCACCCTACATCATCATGTGCGAAATGGGTAATTTGAATTCTGGAGTCTGCCCGGCCAGTGGCTTCATACTAAAAGCCCACATCCACGATGCTCATTGCCGACCCCCTTCCGACGCGAGCGGAAATCATGCAGCGTGCCGCCGCGTGCGTTCGAATTAAAGCACGGTAACTACAGTACGGTACCTAGGCTTTTCGAGGCACATCAATGATCATACATGCAAACGTGTACGGTGTAGGGCCGGGGCGCTCAAAAGCAGAAAAGCAGCCAGCTGTGGCCCGTGGGTGGTGCCCTCTACCTATATAGGTATACCGGTATATATACCTATCAGACTGCCAAGATGGCAAGAAGCTGAGCTTTTGAAAGCTTTTGAAATGTTGAAGCACATGCTTTGTCACCATTCGACGTCTGCCCACAAGTATCAACGTTGCCCGAACTGCCCGAACTTTGACGCAGAAGACTCAAATATCGATCTTGACGATTGGCTGCTGCTCAAGACGTCGTTCACTGAAAATGGCGTCCCGCATCTCGGTAAGTCGCCACAATGCAGTGCAGTAGGCAGTACCTGAAGAAACCTCTGTATAGATGGCATGCTTTGCTTGATTATCTGTTACGGTACTTTGAGCTGTTCCAGCTTGCTGTGCCATGCTTCTGGCAGACTCAACTGAGACTCAAGAAGAAGCATTCTTGTACATTGCAATGGGGACTAGATTCTGCTTCGCAATTATCGTGATCAGACACAACTTCGTAGGTGTGTCTCCCCGACTCACTTTCTACCGAGGCAGTATTGTAAGACGCACAGAAAAGGCTTTGACAACGGAAGGGTCCTTTTCATTGCAGATACAAGAGTTTGCTATCACAGCCTTTCGCTTATCCGCACCTCCTTGACTTGACATACGCTTGAAGAACCTGTCTGGTTTCCTTCTGCATCCGATCGTCACAGATCAAACTTGAATTTAAAGTTTAATATCAACAATATCAATACGTGGTTGCAGGCCCTGTCACAGCTCGTTCTGGTGCTCGTATTGGGCTGCACAGCTCTCACGGCGGCCCAGAGCTACAAGGAGCTCAAGTTGCAGTTCGTGGAGCTTGGGGCGCCAAGCACCCAGGGGGACGACGGCACTGGCTTTGGAAACACGCAGTTCTTCAGGTACGTGCACTTGTCTCACTTTTGACACAGGGTTTTCTAGTATGCAAGTACTGAGTGGGAATGCCTTGTCATCTGAAGAGAAGACCAGGGCTTCTTGCTTTACGGGAATGCTGTCCCTCCTCCATTCCGTCTTGACCTGGAACCCCCTGCCTCTAGTTCCTGTCTCAACTTTGATCACCCCCAATTGAATCCTGCATCACTTTCAAGGGCAGCTTGGTGCCATGTTTTCCTTGCTTTCCTGAGTGTTGATTCTTGCTTTGTGGAAGGTCTCAAAACATTAGGCTTCGGAGGTGTCATAATGCAGTGTTAATTCATTAGCCTACAGACAACAATTGTGAAATTGGGCCATCAGCTGTCAGCACTGATTGCAAGGAGCTTTTGTTTAAACAGGATTTGCATCTATGATCTGGTCCGCCCAACGCTTCAGCAAAGTCCTTAACAAGGTTTGAATGTCATTTAGCACATTGGGTGCGAAAGAGATATCGCATGACATCTGTACAATCCTCTCCAACTCAATATTGGCCCAAATGAATGAAATGAGCGAACAAATTTGTTGTGCGAGCCTCCTCAGAACTTACTATATCTGCAGGAACCCGATTGCTGACTACAACACGGACGCAATCCTTGGATACAATTCGGGCTTCTGCGTCTTCACTAAGGGCTTGGAACGCCAATGGCACTTTTGAGTTCGAATGCACCATCACCTTTGTGTTCTCTGAGGGCAGCATCAATCTCTGGTACGTGCATCTTGACAAACACGTCAAGAAAATCACCTCCTGATTGTCTCAAAGATGCTTGTCTCTGACGTTCCTGCCATCTCTCTTTTCATGGTCTGTGTCCACCAAGAGTGTTGCGTCAAGCTACCAATGGTCCTGATGCTTCACTTATAATTGCAAGCAAAAGGCGAACTTAAGAGAGGAAAGATTCGTCTTTGATTGGCGGATGTCTGGGAGGGATTCAACCAGAGACTATGAATCCGGCTACTCCATTGAAATCCCTCATATTTATGAACAAAAAAGCAAAGGAAAAGAAACGAAATACGCCAGGTGGTTGCCAATGCAATTCGACTACTCTGGTCGACTGCATCCTAGCTGATTGCTAGGCGTTCAACGCTTCCTCGTGACTTGAGAAATCAAAGATTGATCAGTCCAACACAATGTACATTCGTTTCTCTGCCCTTTGGGCTATACTTAAAATGACCACACTGTTCGCTGCAGGGCTCGCTGAAGGACACACCAAGCGCTATCTCAGTTGTTGGTGGGAGTGGCATCTACTCCGGTGCGACCGGCGTCTGCCAATTCAGCACTTTGAGCAACGATGGGGCGAACAACAACGTTTTCGCTTACAACTGCGAGTTCTTCGTTGTTTCTACGCCTCTCAGCCCGGCAACTCTGGGCCCCAGAGTTGGAGTGGCCCCGGTCAACGGTGTCTGCAATCCAGGCTCCAGTAACCCCAACCAGGTGAGACGAACTAGAGCGAGCCAGATTGAAAAGTTGTTGATTAGTGTGCAGGAATTGCAGGCCGACGGACAGTTGGACACAGGGAGAGTGCGACGCAGACTAGCTGGGAAAGCTTTGCTTCGCTCTATCTCCAGTTATTGAGCTGCGTGAACACACGAGATAACAGGGGGAGCGCCTTTTCGACGCCCATAGTTCTGGGTGGGTTTCGAAATTCGTGGCTTGCCGAGGGAACCGAGGTTTGCATGTTGGATGATCGCACATGTGTTTCAACGTCCCTAGGACCTTCGAGAATTCGTTGACGTCATCGGACTTGAGCAGCTTATATATAAGCATTCAAGCCTTATTATGAGTGTAAGCCTTTAGCAGATTGCGGAATTCCTTTCATGATAGTAAGTAGGCCTTGCCAAGGTACTAGGACGTAGCAAGTTGTCACAAGTAAGTACTCTGACGCGTCCGTCATCTTTCTGTGTGCAGTGCTTTGCTGCTGACGGCATGTCCTCTATCTGCTGCCCTGGCAACTGCCCCGGTTCGCCCACCAATACTGCGGCCTGCGCTTAATCGTGTAGTTTTGACAGGGTGAGAACATGACTGGTCAACAGTCAGCAAATGAACAAAGGTTCGACTCAAGTTTTGATTCAATGACAATGATGACAAGGTTCGGAGCTGCCAGAGTTGAGAATTGTCAGAAGGTTTGCGGACACAGGAGTCGGGAATAAATGACAACTCTGCGTACTTTAAGCTGGTGCGGTCATGTATTCGTAGACAGTACCTATAGACACTCAGGCGGCACTGAGTCACTTAAAGGCCCTGAATAACAAGGCCGACCACCTTTTATATACAAAGAGCTCGAAGCCGCCTTGCATGAGTTGCATATGCCATCAGACGTCATGACCCAGAGCGCCGGTCCGCATGGCAGTCTTGATCGCTGCGGGTAACTGCAACGAATCATTTTACGTATATGGGATCCTCGATTGTTATTTGAGTAATGATTATGTTGTAGTAAGTATCCGACTTAAATCTACAGCTTGTATAATGATCGTTGATGAATTGTACAGCTGCTCAGATCGTGCATAATCATGATCACAAACTTTTATGGCGCTGCATGAATGATAGTGAGCTATTCGAAATGGCGGCGCGGCCGCCATAATTTAATGACAACTGCAATTCAAGCAATCATCGTGACATTACAACATTCAATGACATTCCACAAGGAATGTATGTGTATTATAGGTAGCATGTCCGGTCGGGTTTCTTTTGAGCAATCCATTGAGAGGGTTGATTCGATGACCAGTCCATTCATTGCCGTAGAACATGATTGACTGCGACTGGCTTGCGCAACGAGCTCGGACGGAGTGTCTTCTTCTTACAGAAATGCTTTGTGATAGATGTAGCCGTTGCAAGATGCGATCGGATCGTTTGCCGATATTTGCGCCAGCCTTCCTGCCCAACCAAGCAAATCGATTTCTACTCGTAAGTAGACGGCGTAATAACGTCGTCAATCTTGAGGATCATCTTGACGACTTGAGTAGCCAACAGAATCTGCTCCTTCTTGCCGATAAGCGTTTCAAAGACGTTTTGCTTCTTCATGTCGTTGGTGCCCACGTCGTTGCAGTCGATACCCAGGTGCGGAATGCCCTCCTGCAAAAAGGAGGCAAATCTCAGCAGTCAAGTTGTGCCTTTGAGCACTCTTATTGGTACTCGCCATAACGCTCTTCCCGAAATGCAATGATTCCTGTGCGATCGCATTCTATGATCGGGCTCTGTTTACGGGCCCTCATTCTGGGTTATACGAGCCGTCAAAATGAGTTTCCTACTGGTCAAACGGTGTGCCTTCAAGGATCAGATTGTCGTTCTGCCCAGTGAGCGATGTCCGTCCAGCCATCAGAAGTACAACAACTAAAGATCGGAGAGCGGGATGTGCAGACTGCTCAAGTCATGAGATTCTTTCACCTGGTTACAAAGACCACAATCCACGCTTATGCTCAGCATCTACGGCTTTTGATCGAAATCCGTCCAAAGCTTTGACACAACACAACTCAGATCATGACAAGTAGACCCACAGACCACATACATCTTGAAATCTAAAATACGATCTCATCAGTGATGCTAGCATACACTGAGCAAAGAATGGGACCCCGGCGGTGGCATGAAGCCCCTCACCTTGACCTGAGCGGCCTTCACAGCCGTCAGGGTGTCGATGGGCTGCAGGCCGCTGTTCTCGGCCAGCGCCAGCGGGACCGCGTCCAGAGCGTCGGCAAAAGCGCGCATAGCATACTGCAAAAGGGCAGAGAGGCTCCAACTCGGGGTCTAGCTCAGGGGAAGTGCTCGCTATGAGTGGTGAGAAAAGAACAATCGACTTTCGTTGAGTGCGTTTTCCAGAACCGGCAAGGCACGCATAGCGTACTGCAAAAGGGCAGAGAAGCTCCAACGCAGAGTCTTGCTCAGCGAATTATGCTCGCATGACTGGTGGAAGAAGAAGACTCGGGGGAGCGGAATTTTCAGAAACGTCAGGAGCTTTGAACAGGAGGTGGACAATGACGCCGCCAGATTATAGACGTCTTGAACGTCCACCTACGGCCAGAGGCTGACGTCGGGGCGGTTGTGCCTCGAAATGAAGTCTGCTGGATCATTAAGCAGTCTCCCTTCGCACGCCGAACGAGAACTCAGGGGGGCAGCTCGCCAAGGGCAACCATCGGACAGCAACGAACTTCGGGCGGCAAATGCCTCCTGTCAACTTCTTCAAGTGCCTCATGCAAGTCCCAGGACCCGAAATAGTGACAAGTTTTGCCCCCCTCCACGACCCTCTCACCTGCTCCACCCCGGGAACCTTGTCCGCCGCCGCCTCCACCGCGAGCGAGCACGCGATCTCCGCGGAACCCCCCCCGTAGACGATGCCGTTGTCGCGGATAAGGTTGCGGGCGACGCACAGTGCATCGTGGATCGAGCGCTTGGTCTCCTCGATGACCATCTTGTTGCCTCCCCGCACGAAGATGGTGACGGCGCGCGAGTTGGCGCACTTCTCGATGGACAGCATGCGGTCCTTGGTCGTGCCAAACGCGCGCTCGCGCACGAGGCCGGCCTGCAGATAACGTTTTGAGTTTTCAAGGATTTTGGAAATTGGAGTTCCGAAGACGATCACGGGGGGTGAGTTGGCGCAATTCTCCGTAGACAGCATGCGTCGTTGTCATGCCGAACGCCCGTTCGCGCACGAGGCCGGCCTCCGGGCGAAAAGTAACAATTTCAGAGGCTCCACGACTTTTGAAACTTGGGATTCACAAAAAGCACATTATGTAGAATTGCACCCGTCGGCGCACCTTTATTGAAAAGTATGCGGGGCCCAATCATGCCGAAACGCTCGCTCGCTTACGAAGCTACCCTGTCCTGCCAGGTGGGCAATTTGGGTCATCAAGGTTACAGGTCGTTCTTGCTCAAGGCGGTTTGGTGGAAGAGTAGGACGTAAGCAACTAGTACGGGAAGAGAGGCAGCAAATTGTCGTCACATGGGCGTGATTAGCGGCACGCCGCAAAAAGCCCGAAAAGAAAGAAGCGCCCTGAAGCAGGGAATTCTATAGGAGTTGCAGAGAAACGAGCACATCTGTCTGCACGATGTACGGATAGAAGCGGAGACACCATTGAAGGAGCACGAAACCGGACGCGCAGCGGTTTCAAGTATCAGAAAGCTCAAATGCACGAGAAGGAAGAGTAAAAAGGTGCAAGTAAGGGCGTCTGAATGTGGTACACACCTTTCCCAGTTTGTCGGGCGTCAGGTCTTGGAAGCGCGGCACGATGCGGCCTCCTGTGAACACAAACGCAGGATGTTTTCAAAACTCCACAAGGAAAACATTCCACAGACCAGCGCTAGAAAAAGACAGGGGGACCTGACAAGAAGGCACCACCTGGAACGAAAACCGAGTTGTAGTCGCATTCGCTCCTCCTAAGACATCTTTCCGTGGAGACCTCGAAGAAGGACCTATTTTCGCTTTACACCAGCCAACTTCGTTTTAGCCTTGCCAGGTTCTGAACGTAAGGAGCAGCATCAAATTTTGGTGTCCGTTTTGCTTAAAAGCAAACCGGGCCTGACAAGCAAACACAGGGACTTCGGTCGCAAACATACGGCACCATTTGCTATCACCTCCAAACGACGCGGGCAAGTAATTGTCAAAAACGGGATTGTCCTGGACCACATACCTGTAGCGATGGCGATCAGCTCCAGTTCCACGCCCCCCACCCACCGCACTGCGGGCAGGTTCCTGTGCATGAGCAGGTGATTCGCCTCGTCATCGAAGCCCCACTGGCAGATCACGAGCGTCGCGCCCGCGTCCTGCAGAACGAATCCAAAGCATGAGATCTTTCGTTTTCAAAAGGCCGATAAGCAGCTAGCATATGAAGAGCGGTCCAGCAGACGCTTGTGCTTTGTGTCATTCGGAAACGAGATCTAGATTTGGAACATGAACCTGGGGCTGAAACTTGAGCGACCAACGGGAAGTGAATGCCTTTGATGCCTTTGCTAGATGAGCTCGTTGTGCTTGTGAAATCAGAGCAGCGCTAGCATGTGCAGGCAACCCCAGAGTTAAAAGCTTGGCTTCGATCACGGACCCCTTGTCACCCCTTCAAGTAGCCAAAACAGCCTCCCTTGCATCCAAAATTCTTTGCCTGCTCACAAAGAAACAGAACCCTTCCTTGACCTCCAAACGCAGTCAAGCCAGCCTCACCTTGCACTTCTGCACCATGTCGTCGAAGTACTGCTTCTCCGCCTGCCGCAGCGTCTCGAACTTCTCCACCGAGTCGATGTCCACCTTATGCTTTGTCTTCGGCTTTGGGGGCTCGAACGGACATGTCAGAATGGCGATCTTCACGTCCTCCAGTTGCTTCGGCATCTGCAAAACCGAAGCAGACTCTGTCAATACATGCTTGGACAGGAACGTCCCCAACAATCAAGTTGCAATTTCTTATTAGGGACGTTGCAATGGTAGCCACTCTGCCTTGCACAAAAGCAGAAGCCTTGAGACATGCGAGGCAGACACTCTACCCTGACCCAACAGAAACTTGCACAGTATAAGCATTGCAACGTGTCTGACCTCCAATCTCAGGAAAGCGATTGATATCCTCCTAGTACTTGAGCCAAACGAAGGGGAGCATGAGCGTGAGCAAGGAACATAGACGCTCAATCAAGACCAAGAAGAGACGTGATTCCAGCCATGGCAAGGCTCCTGACTTACTTGCGGATGGCTGAAGTCCTTATCCACAATAATCCCGTCAATCAGCTCAGTGTCCTCTAGCCGTCCCCCGACCTTGCCCTCCAGCTTGATGAGGTCAAGATTGACATCACGGCGCTCCAGGTCAGCCACCGCGACAACCGCCTTGACGGCAATCTCCGCTAGCGTGCGCTTGCACCGGCCGACGCTGGCAAGAGTAAAGCCAGCCTGATGTCAGCATGGTTGAAAGCTTGCATAAGAGGTAGATTTGAAGGCTTGCCGTTGCTCGCACAGACCTTTGTTGCTAAAACTTGATTGGTTCAACGAAGCGGAAGCTTCAACGTGCAGTAGTTGGTTTGATGAGGAAAGATACAAAGCACAAGGATCATCTGCAATAAGGACCAAGGGTGATGAGCTGCCCTAATGCTTCAAATAATCTGACTCCCTAAACAAGGCTCAGAGAACTGTGAAGAGTCATTGGTCTCAAATTCCAAGTCGACCACTGCTAGTCAAGACCCCTGGTTGTAGACAACTGCTGGTCGAAGATGTAAGCTTCAAGTACATTACTGGCATGGTGCTCCTTTCCTAGCATGCTGTTACAGAGGAAAGACTGAACAGGGCACCTTAAGAGACTAAGCTACTCCCTCCCAAAGCTCGCGGTTGTAATCAACCTCTAATACAGGCAGAAAAGAGCAAGCAGCCAAAAGTGGTGCATGGCACTCACATCTTTGATGACAGGGTGGTCATGCACGTCTGGATCAGTGGCTCTAGGTTGTCCTTGTCCAGAGGGAACTTTGTCGAAATCTTCTCTAGTTGCTCGACCGCAATCTTTGATGCCAGCTCATACCCGTCTGCCACTCTGATTGGGTGGATTCCACGATCCAGGAGAGATTCCGCCTGTTCTAACAGAGCCCCGGCAGTAACAACCACCCCCGTTGTGCCATCCCCAATTTCAAAGTCCTGACTCCTGGAAAGGTCCACCATCAGCTTGCCAATCTGGTTCTCAACCTCCATTTGCTCCAGTATGGTCGCACCATCGTTTGCTGCAGAAACGAGGAGCGGTTGTGTTGATCAATCTGATGAACACAACCAGACCTGCATCCAAGACTTTTGCTGGGAAAAGCGGGTGACAATCAAAACAATTGAGGGTTGCTTGTTTGCACCACCACATTCAAGTCCACTGCTAAATAGCACATCTGTCGAAGCAGATGAGGCTGCAAGTCTTTAGTAGCTGCTGAATAGCAAAAGCCAGGAAGATTTACTGAACCTGAGGTCAAGCTCTGCATATGATCAGACGGCCAAAGCAGCAATTGAGAACGTTCTTTCATAAGCAGGCCGCCACGTTAGCTTTGACGTTAGGTAATAGCAGGATCACAGAAGAGAAGCACAAAAGAGAGAAATGGTCAAAGATATAAGCTGGAAACAGACTGTCTTTGGAGCAGGATCCAATGAAATACAAGAATCTTTCCTGAACTACCAATTGTTGTTGTTCTGTTATGCACCACTCCGATATGTCTGTTGCAGACGAAGAGAGCGTTGCCAAATCGCTTCTCAATTGGCTTCCTCAGGCACCACCCAAGCTACAGTTGCAGATTGCAAGGAGCTCAATTGGCGCCATGGGGATGACAACGCCAAGAAATCTACATGTTGTCAAGAATGGTTTAACTTTTGAGAGACAGGCTGGGAAGCTCACTGATTGTCACATCCCCGTCTGGACTCTGCAGCATCTTATCCATCCCTTTTGGCCCTAAGGACGTCCTCAGGATTCTGGCCACCGACTTTCCAGCCATAATGTTTGCTTTCTGCGCCTCCAGGCCCTTAACACGCTTTTTCTGCTCCTGCTCCTTGATGATGATGAAGGGCCGGCCATACTCATCGAAGGCGAGAGACATCGCTGCCCACTCCGGCAACGATGCAAACGAGCAGGCAAATGGATGTCAATCAAGGCGCACTCCCGAACTCCCTCTGCAATTTTTTCCTCCCAGAGTTGTACACTGCCTTGCGCGGCGGAGGGTTCTCAAAAGGCAATCCTACAAAACCTCCCAATCGATTTGCAAAATGGAAAGCTTTTCTGTTCTGTGTTTCTCAAGCACGGTCGCTGTGGCGCATTTCGGGTTCTGGAGGGCGACATGGAGAGGCGGCTGTCTACAGACTCTGGCCCTGCGCAGAAAATTGCGAGCTCGATCCATTTCAGATTTCTCAACTGCTTCCTCCCCAACTAGAATGGCGGGCTGTATTCAACAAACCCCAAGCGAAAAATGGATACAAATCGCATCAAATCTAGGAGTATTTGAAAGCTGCTGTGGGAACCGGATAATTGTACAGTAGATTTGCACGAAATCGCCTGTCGGATTCCGATTCCTTCGCAAAGCTGTACGGCACAATTGGCCGTCCTCTTTAAATCAAAAGGGCAAACCAACTTCGCAAATTTCCTTAGACGTAACCCGTCAGCCAAATTGCCAGTACAAGGCGTAACAGCAGGGTACAACCCCTTTTTGGCGAGTAATGCGCGTCATACACTGGGTTCTAATCAAGCCAAGTTTGACGTGACCCGGCCCCATGCATTGTCATGAGTATGATTCGTTGATTAATTCCACCTTTATTAAATGGGAACATAAATCGTTCGCGCCGTTGTAACCGAGCCTTGCCCGGGGCTTCTGTTTGCCCTCCCACCCACCCATGGAGATGAATCCGGGCCGCCCTCCCACCCACCCTCATCGATGCCATATTTCTTATATATTGCCCTCTAAAATGAGGCGAGCTTCAGAATCCGCTTGCGGATTCTTTTCGTCCTAGTTTAAGAATATTGTAATTCGTTGTACGCAATCCCGCTCTGTTTTAACCGTCACAAAGCGACCGCGTCATACAGCGAACTTTTTTCCCAGAAGACCCCACATCCGGATGTGAACGCTATAGCTCGCCCCTAGATAAATCTAGGCGAGCTAAAAACCTTAATAGGGTTTGCATACTATCTCCACAAACCCTAAATTTATCCCGTCATTTATTGCTTGGGATCCTCCAAGCCATAGCTTATGCTGATCAAGAACTGGGTTACAGTCTACGGTACTATACAAACCCGCACGATCTACCGGTGTGCATGCTGCTTGCAGCGTGCTCGTTCGCATCGGGCCCTCGATGGGTGCTTTTATCTCGGTTACGGTTACATCAATTAGGTGCGAAAAATGGCCGTAAGAAATAGCGTATCCTAGCCGGTATTCCTGAGCGGGTTTGCAAGCATTTCGATACGCAGCTCAAGTTTCAACTCTCCATGAGGTTCTGAGAGCGCCGCCATGTACGGTACTTCGAGTCCAATTTCAAGCAAGGGCCTCTTCACCGGCATGCAAGGGCTGTCTTATGCCAGGCTATGGCTCATGACATTCCTTCAACGCCGACGAAGTGTAAAGAGAGCTTCAAAAAGCAAGGAGGACGATAGCTAGCTAACTCTCTTGTCGAGGCTGGTGAGGGACGCGGAGTCAGAATTGCGGGCTACTGGAACGAGGTGAATTGGGAGGGCTGTCTTCAAAGGCAATTGGGCTTGTGACACAATGGCCAAAAAAGTCAGCGCAAAGGCGGGCAAGCATGTGACTATAAACGTGGACCCACCTGATGACATAAGACGAAGCGGCGCCGGCCGAGATAGTCTCGCGAGCACAAAAGCCGCCCTGCGCCAGCCGCTTATCGCCCCAAAACCCCTCCGGCAGTCGAGCAGCTGTCAAATGCTCGGGGACGCTCTAGCGCAATATGTTCATTCCGACGAGGAAGACAAGGCGACGGACTCTTCTAATTCTGATTTTGAATCCGATTTTCCTCATCCTAGTTCTAGAAAGAAATCCAATGGAGTAGACCCAGAAGCAAGCCAAAAGAGGCGCCTTCTCAGGGCCCGCACTGCGCCCATTCTAGCGAGGGGCACGTCGATCCACAAAGTGAAGCAGAAGAAAGTAACTAGAGCGAGGGTGATGATGCTGCAAGCGGCAGTGGCGTTGCTCGTGTATCTCTTTCTTGGGATGCTGACGTATGCGCTCCAGCGGGATGAGTTTCGGGGCGTTACGACCCACCCAGTGATTGACTCAATGTACTTTTCAATGGTCACCATGACTACCACAGGTGGGTGTACATTATTTTTTCCCTTGGGCAGAGGAAGGAACTGAAACAAGGTGAAAGTTGTCTGAGGCCTGCGCTTGTGCTAAGTGATGACTAGCCACTGGCGAAATAAAAGAGAGAGGGGATGCCACCACCTCAGTTTGCTAAGTGAGGGTGAGGTGGCTCGCTGGGAGAGGGAGGGAGGTTATATGTAGGACCTGAATATGTAATGTTTAAGGTCTCGTTGTTTAGACATACAACAAAGCCTTCTAACGTGCTTTACAAGCCACTATTGCATGGAGCTTGCTTGGGTGTGCCTAGAAGTGACGGTCACAACCTTCATGGTGTCGCCCAGTCCGTGTTGCATCTTTGAAACCCACGGGGGTGGTATCCACAATCCTGTAATCCTGCCTGCAAGAAATTCCAGAAGGTGGAAATCTGCACATGCATTCCTTTAAGTCAAAAGGCCGAAATGTCGAATCTCAACCTTGTTTATTCCTTCCAGGCTATGGCGACCTTGTCCCCTTCACAAAGAAAGCCAAGCTCTTCGCGTCCCTCTTCGCCTTCGCCGGTCTCGTCCTATTTGGAGTCCTCATCTCCGGCGCCGGTCACTACCTCATAGACAAACAAGAACGGCTTTTACTAGAAGCGGCCCGTAGGCGCCTCGACAGGGGCAATGAGTTTTCTGGGGGGGAGTTTACACCTGCCGATCAGGCCCCCACGGGGGAGAACAAGTACTGGAAGCTTCTGCGTGCGGGGACGTATATTGGGGGGGCTTTGGCAACAGGGATGATAGTGTTGATGAAAGTGGAGGGCATGGACTGGGTTGACGCACTTTACTGCGCGTGCGTGTCGGTGTCATCAATTGGGTAAGAGTTCCTTAAGTGAAACGTTTTTCAGATGTTAGCAGTTGGAGCTTGGCACTTGCATACTCGAGAGCAACCTGCACTTCGAGGAAAAGTTGAGGTTTTTTTCCCACTTGCGGACAGCTTTCTTGTTGGTAAGTGTCCAATGTCCTCTGCTTGCAAACAGTGACTCAGGTGCCTGAGCAACCTGTGAGCCTTGTCAAACATAGCTGAACCTTTCACGAAGCTCGTGACCTTCGTTTCTGCTCCCGCTGGAGTTACTCCGGCAGCTCGTGTGGAGTTTTCAGATCAAGATTTACACGGTCGATGCTTGTGATGCAAAGCTTGCGACGTCCTCCGTTTAAAATCGATCAACATACACCTTCCAACCTCGTACTTTGCCCAGCATGTGTGCCGCTCTGGGACGCCAACCGGGCTTTCAAAGCTTTCCGGACAGTTTCTGATGCACATGCCGACACTCTGCAAATCGTTCTCCCCAAGCGACGAGACAACATGTGAACTTCGTGGTTATTGGGTGCGCCGAAGCTTTGCTTGAGTCGGCTGTTTTGATGTTGAAAGCAGTTGTCCATTTGTCCGTTCCTTTTGACATCCGCAAACGTGGAGCTTTCACTCGAGATTCGGACTGATCAAAACCGATACGAGTCCCTTGAGGACTACTTGCTTGGTTTCCCCTCGGTCCTTTGTCCGCGGGTCGGTGATCAGAGGCCTTCGGACGCCGTTGAAATGTTCCTTCAGACGTCTCCGCTACTTCTCAAAATGTGGTCGGACACCCGTCACTTTTCGGACACCTTGTACCTTCGCTGAGGACTCCAGCGCTTTGTGCCGTTTCCACTTTTGCATGGGTGTCCGCAGCTGCGGCGATTAGAAGTTCTGGACGTCATTTGGGCGCTTCTTTGTTCGTTCTGGCTGCCGCTGAGAATCTTTCGGAACACGGTCTGACACTGCATTGCAATCTGTTGCATGGTGTCCGCAGGTACGGCGACCGGAGCTTTTGGACGTCGTTCGGACGCCTGTTTGCGACGTTTTGGTTGCTGCTGAGCGACTTTGGGTACGCGATTGGACACTTCGTCTCCAATTAATGGATTTACCTTGTTGTCAAGTCTTCCCTTCGGTGTCCACAGGTACGGCGACCGGAGCTTTCGGACGCCGTTCGGACGCCTCTTTGCGACGTTCTGGCTGCTGCTGAGCGTTCTGACGGTGGCCAAGTCGATCACGCTGATCGCGGAGGCGCGTCTTGAGTCCCGCCAGAAAAAGTTCGTCAAGGAAGTGCTCTGCAAGGGGCTCACGAGCACCGACTTCCAGGCGGCCGACATTGACAACGACGGGACTGTTGGGTGAGCGAGATCCTGATTCGTAAACCCTGGAAGACTTCAATACAGGTTTACTGGGCCTTTATGAAGTTCTTCCAATTTCAGGGCTTCAAAAATCTGTTCGATTCAAGTGATTTTGGAAGCAGGAAGTTCGGCTCTCAAGCAGCGGAAGTCAAATGCTCGGATGATGTAGTGGACGAACCTGGATCGAAAAATGATTTAGCCTCGGGGTTGGTCTGCGCTCATTGCTCAATTCTGCGTAACGATGGTGGGCTGATACTCTGGTACCCAAATGGGTCTGCGCCCCGGCATTTCACACCGTACGTTGCTGGAGTGCGGACCTTTGAGTTGCAATCGGTTGCTGACGCCCATGACGCTTGACCGCCGCACAGAGCAATTGCTTCTTGAATGCCAACTCTCCGACTGGCTTCGCTCTTTTGTCTTATGTTCTGCCGTCGCCGACCGCTCGCCGGTACATGTTTTGTTTGCAGTCATATGTTCCTCCATCTGCTTCAAGTTTTGAGGTTCAATCTCTGGCGATACGGCAGTCGACATCCTTTCGTAGAAGGGCTTGGAGCCATCCACTAACCAAACTTTGACGTTGAATCCCTTGTGATTGCAGGCTGGCGGAGTTTGCAATTTTCAAGCTGCGGGAGATGGGCAAGATCGAACCCGACGACTTGAACCAGATCCGAGCGCAGTATCAGAAACTGGACATAGACGACCGTGGGCGTTTGCACATACAGTCGTTGCCGGACTACTACTAATTCACGAGTAGAGACTGTACAGAGCACAAGTTTTCCAAGGTAGATTCTTCTTGGGTTGCTTTTGGTAGAAGACCTCCGGCGATCTCCGTAGGTTTGACCAGATGTTGAGGAGTTGACAGAAAAAGTTCGCCTCGAGTGCATTGGGAGAACCATTGTTTCCCGAGGCATTTGAGTTCTGAAAAGACTCGCGTATTTATGACCAGGTTTGTAAATTTAGGTTAAAGGAAGGTCACCTAGGTGCAGGTTCTTGAGTTCTAATCCAAAAGAAGCCAGGTAAAACTTGTAGAGAGCACGAGACGCGCTTGTTGGCAATCAAGTCGATCTGTCAAGTGAACTGCCGTGGACCCTGAATCTGCTGATTTTGAAACGGGTATACCATATCGGCAGCACGGAAATTTTGTCGGGCAGCACGGAAATTTTGTCGTTGAGACGAAACCCGATCTGAAACGCTTCCTTTAACCAACCAGAGTTCTGCTAGACGCAAATCTCTGACCGAGTTGGTGGCAGCAATCAGCGGCATTCAATTGAGACGGCCCAAGCACGTGTGATGCGCGTGCAGACCTAGCTTTTCTTGGAAGTTGTCCGCGACTTGTCCGAACAGTGCCTCTGCATGTGGTAAACTTAACATGCTCCGGCGCCGTTGGCGGCCGCCGCCGTTCGATATGTTGCATGCACGAGAATTTGAATGCGAGAGCTAGCGACTCGGACAATTAACATTGAACACCGTCACACGTACATGACTCCATTGTTGAATCGGAATGATCCGGGCGGCACGGATCTGCGGTCGATCAGTTGCAGGTATATACGTGACTTGCCGGCCATGATTCATTATACTGCGATGGCGGGCCATGACTCATGATGCATGATATCGATCGACTCGATGCCGGCCAAAGCTAGTCTATGGTTTGACTGCAAAGTCCGACTACATTGCAAATCCTGTCGATCGATCATGCATCAAACGAGAACGCGCGATGTTTGATGGTCTCTTTTCACACGCCGACGTAGCCAGTGCGGCCATGAGCTTCTCATGGCATACAATATTTGTGATTGTTGTGTTGCCCATGCAACACATTTGATTGCAAACCGTACGCGTTTCAGACTGCTCGCGGCCGCCGCCGGCCTTCCTCATGCAAGTTATTGCTGCCTGCGGGTTTCTTGATCTTGACAACCGAATTGTGAATGTTGAACCGATTATATAGACTCAGCTAACATCGCTTCTGAAGTCAATTGTACATTTTGAGCTAGTACGTACGATTCCAAAGCGGCCGCCTGCATGGTACTCACAAGATCGATTTGCATGGTTACGTACGGATACCTCATGCAATCATTTCATTAGTACACCAAATGATCGACGACCGTCGTGTATCTAGAAAGGATATAATGGTAATATGACGAAAGTGTCAGCACGACAGAACTTTAAATCTAGCGGCCTGCGTCGCTCATCTTTGAATCGGCTCCAGATGCGTATGCAAGTGAGACAGGTTTACAAGCAAGCGTAAGCCGGGGGCGCCAATGCGGGGGCCCCTTGCGAAAGCGCCTCCACGAGAGCATGCTTGTCCCATTAAGTAGTTCCATGAAACACCCAACATGGCGGTGCACTGGATGATCATCCTCTTGTCTTAAGAGAAACGAGGCCGGGTATCCGGCTTCGGTTCACTCTAAGATAGGTTCCTTTCAGCGATCACGTTCAAGGACATTCGGTTGATTCCCTTATAACGAACAGAGTATAAGTACCGTCAGTATCCGATCGGCGAGAGACCACCTTGAATGGACTGCTTCAAGCAGAGCTACTGCAAACGCGGGTCAGTTTTGTCTGGAGCTCAAAAAGGGCCACGTGTGGAGCTGGCGGGAATCGAACCCGCGTCTCTCACTCGAAAGGCAACCCTGGTTGAGGTGCCGCGCAGCACGGTCGCAGGTCAGTTATCCGGTCGCCCTCCAAGCAGCGGAAGCCAGAGCGGATTCGAGGGACCGGAAAGGTCCCCCCCGGTGTGTCAGAAGTGCGCATCTTCCTAGCTCCCCGCGCTGGGTGGGGGTTTCCGGGTTAGTCCTGGGTTAACATCGGTTAGTGGTTAGTGGTTAGTAATAACTGCCTGCGACACTGCAACGGCCCTGCCTTTGAGTAAGCTCCCCGGCGAGGCCCCCGAGTTGGCACTCTGCCACTGAGTTACAGCCCCGAAACAACCAGATTTGCTTACCGATACTACTTATAAAAGGTCATAGAAAGGCGGAAGAAAGTTGTGGGTCACCCAAGATGCGATTCGACCCGTCGATCGAGCATGTAGCAATGGCATGCACGAAGGGAGCGGTAGATCAACCCACAAGCCGAGATGCGTGCGCGATAATCGAGCCGAGCTGCGAAAGAAGCTGCAGAATGTTCAAGCGGCTCGGCCCAAAATTGCGGTAGTTCTGCACTTTCTCTCCCTTTGACGGCACTCGTTTCGGATTCGGTTCTGGATGTCCCCGAAGACCCTACAACGTAAGGTTAGGTGCACTGGCGAAAGAGTTCAGTAAAACTTCCTTGCATTCTCGAAGCAGATCTCAGCACGTAGATCAAACCCAGCTTCTACGAACTGGGACTCCAGATAATTAAGGACCTCAGGAAGGATCTTCACCTGCTCTGTTGATTGGGGCAGGCGCGCAGATTTGGTTGCGATGTTGCAGCTGCCAATCAATTCTCAAAGTCCAGCATGCCAGTAGTGCAAGATTATGATGGTAATATGTTGGTTGCATCTTCTACTCTCATCGAATCATCGAATCGGTCCACCCTAATTAGGGCATGCATTGATTCGAGACAATACCTAATGACCCGTCAAGTCGAGCGACAGGCCCCCTGACATCGAGATGACAGATGTAAATTAGACGAGGGCTGCCTAGCAAGTTGTATAAGTTAGCTTAGCAGTTTCAGAACTGGAGTTTAAAAGATGCATCGAGGGCGCATCAACTGACAAGTCGAATTTCGAATTTCGAATTTCGAGCTTAGAAATAGCTTCTGAGAAAAAGAGCTTATCATGATGCTTTCTTATATACAAACGGTAAATATATGCTCGAAGGTGATAGTAGCTCGATCCAGCAGTCTAGTGGTACTGAAGCATTGGCAGTCTTTGCTCAAGCGGCAACATGATCCACCAATCTCCGTAGAATGTCTCAGATGTCTCCGCCCTTGATCACCACGAAAAATTGAAAAAGTTCCATTCTACTTCTAAGAGTCATGGAAATCTGAAGGCCTGCTTTTGCTGGATTGAAGACGAAGAATGCTGACCAGCGATGCTTTAAGGAAGACGATTACCCACAGCAATCGAAGCTGAAGCGAGCGCAAGCCAAAGCATTTTGATCTCCATCCTAGTTGGCCGACGCTCGGCACCTTCAGCAATTCGCGAGCGCCGATCACGAGCAACCAGACCACGTCCCTTCTTGCAAAGCAAAATAGTTGAATGAAGGAAGTCTGATTTCCCTCACCCAGACAGCGTCCTTTCGCTGAACCAAATAGGATGGCTTCAACGACGAGAGTCTCATGCAACCACATGGTTGCAGCTTTGTTCTTCGGAGCGCTTTGCTTGATCTTTGTAACGCAGAGCGTCGAGACCAACAGCAGAGGCTTCCGCATTTTCAATACCGGCTATACAAGAAGACTCCGGTTATCTGTGATCGATTACAGTAAGTAAGCTGAGTGCTTTTTAACCAAGAAGCAGCAACTATCTGTCAGAAACGATAATCAACCTAGAGCTTGGTCGACCTTCTGTTTCTTCCGCGTCATTGGCAGCTGTTATCCGCAGCTCTTTGTGCTGAACCTCAATTCACTACGGTGCCGAGTCAGAGGATTGTACGTTCTGGAGCAGCAATCAAAAATTATCTGGCTTGTATGTCACAAATATCCGTGCATCTCACCTCACAGTAATCTAATGCAGATCCGAGCAACGTCGTTGACAATGGAACCGACATCTCAATCAAAATGGTAGGCGAATACCTCTTACTCTGCCGGTTGTCATCAAACTGATCCATTCAGCTCCGATAAGTGGCAAATGCCTACGACCTCAATGGTGCAGCTGGCTTTTGATCCCTTGAACTTGAATGAGATGGCACTGGATTCGAGAGGTTGTTTGAAAGAATTTCCCGCAATATCTCAAATCTACTGTTTCCTGCATTGCAGGATGTTGGGGGCTATGCAGCTCGCATCCACACACCAGTAAGGCGAAGGTACGGCGCGTACAGCGCCTGGCTCAAATGTCCAGGAGGTGAGGCGGTAGCATCCGGTTGCATCGCGGAAGCAAGTATCGCTGTCACGAGACAGACAAGTAATAGTATGAAATTGTGCCGAAATTCTTTCGAAGCGTTGAAGCTGATTGTTCTAGTAATCTGCATGTAAGGAGCAGGGGTCAAGAAACGCGGCTTGACAATTTCAGACTTTGAACGTTTGTTCACCAATTGCAGGAGATACAGATGGAATAATCTCGTGTATCTACACAAGCTCGCTGGAGGGTAGCGTTGACCAAGACGAGGCAAAGCCCCATACATCCTTACAAAATTAATTGCCACTTCGTCTGCATTAATTGAACTGCTTTTTGGATTGACCATCAGCGCCATATTCAATGCGATTCAGAAACATGCGAAATCCTAAGGACGGACGCTATCACGGCTCGAGATTCACCGCTAGCTCTGCGCATTGGTCTTGAGCAAGCAGTGATACTGATATGATCTTACTGATCTGTGCATGCGCAACGTCCCCGATGCAATAAAGCCACGCTAGAGAAGCACACGAGTGTACGCTTGATTTGCTTCATCATCCCACTCTTCTTTCCTCGTCGCACTTCCTCAACTTCTGAGTCTGAGATGCCTTTGCAAACTGACTGTCTTCCTACTTGCAGATTGACTTTGAATTTAGGGGAATGGACAAAACCAATGTCCAAACAAACTACTTTGCCGATGGTAAGAGCCATCTTGTCAATTTTCACTCTCTCCCGATCAGAAGACGCTCTTCGAGAAGTCTACAGCAGGTGCAGGATCCTCATTTCACATTCTCGTAACCCGATGTTCACATCTCTCGGTTTTGAATATGACTGTGATTGCTGGGACACGATCATCAGCTGATGTTACAGGATTCCTGGCTTGTTCAAAGAATTGAAATCCTTCACAATGTGGCACGCAGGTCAGGGAGGACACGAGCACCAGATACCACTCGAGTATGACTGCTCTGAGACTTCCACCATTACCAGATTGAGTGGAGTCGACATAACATCAAGTAAGCAGTGAGAGCGCTGGACACGCATTCGTCATCAGGTCTGGTTTTCTCTGTTCAACATACTTTGAATGCGAAGACGATCAGGAGCGCTTTTGGGGAACTGCGGTTGAGTGATCTTAGGGGACCAATCGTGCCCCCCCAGGTCTGGAAGGGTGCTTGAACATATGCATTCCTGACAGTGAACTCCCAGTCTCTGACGTCTTTCGCTTAAACGCCTTGCTGACTGTACAGGTGGCTGATTGACGGCCGTTTAGTGCGTAACGTGACTCGTGAGCGGGGCTCTCCGTACCCTAGCAAGCCTTCCTACCTGTAAGGAACGAGTATACTTGACTCTCTCACTCTTGCAACTGACTACTGTCCTGCAATGCACTCATATCAGCCCTTCGTCCGCTGTCAAGCTCTAATTCCATACAATCTCACCGGCATCTCATCTCTCCAGACGGGAGTCCGATGCCTTCGCTCCTCAGCGCAAAACAACGTTCCAACACTCAAACCTCCGCAAACGCGTCACATTTATCCGGACTGTGGTAGACAGTATCTTTCTTTTCGCAATCCAGGTACGCCAGTGTTTGGGATGGCACACCAATCAACAACGGGACGTGGTCTGGCACGGCGAATTACAAGGATGCACCTTACTTCTTCCATCTGCGTAACGTGTCCTTTACTCCGTTGCGGGTGGCAATTTCACGTCAGAACTGATAGAAAGTTCTGAAATTTGGTAGCCTCGTCCATTGTGGACTCGACCAACTTAAATAAGATGTCCGAATTGGACGACAAATTGTGGACTGCCAACCAATCACACAGCAATTGTAGCATACTAAAGTCCAATCCTTCTAGACGCAAGATCACTGAGACTTCGTAACACGGATGAAGAACGGGGCTCTATGATGCTCAACCAGACGGTCAAGTACACGAGCACGTCTGGATATAGCACATCTGCCATTATGAATCTGGTGTCATCATAAAACGGATAGCGGGCTTCCATCTGATTTGAATTCCTCTTCTTGACAGCGTGGATTGATGCCGCATGCTTTCGGAGGCAAGTCTGCTTATTTCTTTGAGGTACTATATTTTCAGTAGATCCAGGTTTTGGGCTGATTAATAGAGGTGGCTTGCTGTAAGCTCATCACACAGCAGACACAAATCTCCCTTTGTCATGACCAGAGCTCAATCAGATGCTTTGAGCGCGATCTGTAAGCGCCAACCCAGGTAAGGGTCAGATCGAGAGTCGGGCCAAGCAAACTGCTTGAAACCAGAATTACGCATGCGTGCAGTTGATTGGTATGGTACTCCGCAACATGTAAAGGTTGGACCTGGTTCATCTACCATTTTGATTAGTGTTTGAGCGTTCGCCGGTCAATGAACGGTGCAACGGTATAACTATTGGAAACACTATTTGAGAGCCAAAGGATGGACGATCGTGATTCATTCTGTCAAGAAAGCTCCACCATGATTGTAAGGCTGGCCGTTCCTCGAACGGCCCATGCGGCCTCGGCTTACTAAGTATTCAAGAACGTATGATCTTGTCGATCGTGCTCGATCTCTGCCGAAAGTCGGAAGCCGACGCCAGCGACCTCGCCGCGCGGCCCTGCTTTTCGCTAAGCTTAGTGCTTTCCTGATCATCGCATGTGGGCGCATCGTTCTGACATTGTAACTGACTCAGCCCAGTTGCAATGCATAATTAACCGCGTAATTCGACCCTCAGATGCGCACGACCGTCGTACAGTAACACGAAACTGCGTCGACTGAAAAACCATGAACAGCAGGCTAGCGAATCGTATAATCTATCCCAGTCCACCTTATGCATGCCGCTCGGTGGGCAGTATGTACCAGAGCTGCGTACGGTAAGAACAAACCAATTGGACTCAATCTCAATCCGAATCAGCATGAGAGCGGCGCCTTCAAAGTCGGCGCTTCGGCGGTTCCTGAACAGAATCCTTGTGGACGTTGAGGACCACATCAACTAACAACCGATTGGACTCAATACACCATGCCGCTCGCTTCGCCGAAGTCGAGTCGAGTAATGCATAAGGCTCACTGAGCAATCTACTAAGTCATTCACATGGGCCCTCCAGTCAGCCACTCAGTCGCAAGAGCCATTGAGTAGGTCAATTGAACAAAGGTGCATTGAAGTTTAAATGCGTGCAATAGCTTTCGCTTAGTACGTAAGCTGATCGTCTAATCCTGAACTTAGTCAGCTCAATTTGCCGTACCAGCAGAACCGCCTCAGCATACTACCAGCAGCACGCCTCAGCGTCTCACAGAAAACTTGCCACGTGTCCACCACTTGAAACTCCTTCAGGCATGTGCCTTGATCACGCGCCGCACCCACCGCCCGCTCTCGGGGTCAAGCTTGAGCTCCCATGTGGGCCAGTAATGCAGGTCCTGCTTAAGAGACAACACTTTCGGCTTTCCGTTCAAGTGCACCGTTTTCAAGCGGACGAACGCCCCGTGTTTGACTTTGTTCACGGCCGCAAGGAACGCGTCCAAATTGGGCGTCGGACGTCCGTTGACTTCGAGGATCCATTGGAGGGCGTACAGAGCGTACCGGTGGACGGGGCTGCCGTGGCACCACCTGCCACGTGGAAGAATAATGATTGAATGTGACGCCATGTGACGTCTTCAAATAAAGATCCATCGAAGGGCGCACAGAGCGTACTGGTGAACAGGGACTCCGTGGCACCACCCGAAACATGGAAGGAGTGAAATAGGAGGTCACGTCACGTGAAGTCAAAAGCACAGACGACAGAGGGCGTCACAGGAGAGGTGACTTGCTTTGGCGCCCGGCTTTCACAAGCGTGGTCACGATGTTCGCAGAACGGGTGCAAAAAGCAGGTAACATCGTATAAGGAAACGATGATGATTGCAAAGATGGGAGAGGGACTTTACTTCCACGCAGGGACGCTGCAATCGACAGAGCGGTGTGCCAATGTCTCAAAGTCGGCGCGGCGGGCTTCCGTGGCCATCTGGGACTCAGCAATTCGGAGATTCTTATGTGCTCAGGAACTTTGGCTGGGGGCCGCATTAGGAACTGCTTTCTCAACGATGCTTGTCGCAACCTTCCAATCGAATCGACGTACCGAAAAGGTGCCCACACTGATCAACGACTCGCACCCAACAATTCAAACGCCCACCACCAAAGCACGGCCGTCGGAGCTTACGAGCAACGAACTCTGCTCACCTTAAAACAATGTCCAACCGCAAACCTCAACGCTCACCTGGAGATATAGACGCCATTCCCTTCCTTGGGCATGAAGTTGAGCGACTTGACGGCCCGATGCGGTTCTTGCAACGCGGCCCCCGCCCAATGCACCATGCGCGTGGTCCCCAGACCGTTCTCCAGCTCCGTGCCTACCGTCACCTGGAGCTCCGCCCCCTGCAGAATAGTGCGAACTCTATTCAGACCTGCGCCTGTCCGTTTCCCTCGCTTGGACGCCAGAAAGTGGGAAAGTGAGAACGTCGGAAACTCGGAAACTCGGACAGTCATCGAGATCAGCCGCGGTACTGCTTTTCCAACTTTTCTTGTGACTGAGGTATGCCATCTGTTCCTCTCTTCCGCTTCTGGGAACCGTAATTCATTAGCAGGAAGCCGTCAACAAAGCCCGATAACAGTTTTACGACCGCTGCTGTCTTAGAACGGCGAAAGTCTGAGGACCTTGGATCCGAAACACGTGTATCGAGCGGCCTCTGATGACGGTTTTAGTCTGGGCTTTTGTGTGGATCATCTCGACAGTTGCCTCTTTCTCTGATGAGTAACTCTTTCTGACAAAAACCCTACTGGAAAACGTGGTGATCCAGTGGCTTGGTCTTCTTGAAACAAAACCATGACTGGAAGACGTGGTAATCCAGTGGCTCGAATTCCTGAAAACCCGATAGATCTTCGAACGGAAGAGACGAACGACTCAAGCGGCCGAAGCCGCTCAACTTCCTCCGAGAGCTTCTTCCCACTCTGAAAACCTCACGTTCCATTGTCCATCCAAAGCAGGCACCTTCTTTGCACGTGCCCACGAAAAACCCCTGGCTGCCACGTGTCAGATCGTCCACACACCCACCTGGCGGAGCACCGTGAGCGGGAGCGTTTCGCCGCCGCTCCCCTCGAGACCGCTGCAGGCGACTTCGACGTCCCGGTAGCACGTGACCGGTTCCCCGTTGATCGCCAGGATCATGTCGCCTTGCTGAAGGGCCTTCTCGGCCGCAGAACCCGCTAGACATCCCTTGACACGGAGCACCTGCCAGGAGAAAGGTAAGTTTTTAACAGTCTGGTTAAAGGAGTCATTACTCTTCTGTCGAAATAAACCGTTCTTCAGAAAAAGCGCCTTGCTGAGGCCCCAGAACCCGCTAGACATCCCTTCACCCTAAGCACCTGTCAGGGAGGAAATCGAGAAGCTGTTCAGAGAAAGAATCATTGATTCAAATTCCGATTGGGAGACGATGGCGGTTTATGGCCATTATTATCTCGCCCTGCTGCAAACACCTTCGTGCGAGCAGGATCGCTAGACAACCTGCTATGGGCGCACCTGCCAGAAACGAAATGAGGGGAGGTTTGCGAAGCGGAGAGGGTGTTTTGGAGCCGCTTCGAGTCTCCAAGGATGAGGGTTCGATTTTGTCTATGGCTTTTTCTTATAGTACGAAGGGAAAATACCAGAAGCAATCGAAGCACCTGCCAGACATCGAACAACTCCGAATGAACGTGCTGGATTGAAAGAACCACAAAGAAGGGGTTCGTTGTGCTCTAAGGTGGTAAACCTTCAGCTGCAGAACTGTTGTCAGCTTCCTTTTATTGCGAGGAGCTGCTAGAATTTTAAACCCTTCCAGTCTAAGCCGCATTAACCAGATTGTAACGGCCAGCTTTTTTCCCAATGTAAACGTACATTAACCCGCTAGTAACCTGCGTCCAACAATACATTTGTCCGGCATACCTCACCCCACCTTTTGCCGGAAGACGACATCACACCGGCGTCCCAATCCGCTATCACTAACCAGACCTCAAAGCTTGGTTATCCCACCATAATCAGCCACTAACCTGGCTCTGGAGTGAGTCCTTTTCCAACGAATTTCAGACCCACTGTTCGGACACACCAAACTGCATTCCCGGAACATCACTCGCTGTTACCAATGAATTAACGGTTCAGTACCTCTCCGTAACCCGCCACTGACCTGTCTCCGGAGGGGGTCTTTCTCCAGCAGTTCCTTGACCCACTGTTCGGACAAACCGGACAGGGAGCGCCGTTACTGATCAGAACCTTAACCACACCGTAACCAGCCACTAACCTGTCTCCGGAGGGAGTCTTTCTCCAGCAGTTTCTTGACCCACTGTCAGTTAACCACACCGTAACCAGCGACTAACCTGTCTCCGGAGGGAGTCTTTCTCCAGCAGTTTTTTGACCCACTGCTCGGACAGTCCGAAGCTGCGCGCCTGCGACAGCAGCGTCCGAGACATTTCCACTCCGAGCGTCCGTAAGAGGGGCACTCCGCAGCCGTGGATCCGGGACGGAAGTGATGACGTGGCAGGCCCTGGGCCGTTGATGAGGGCGGGCAGGACTTCCGCTACCGGGTAGATGGGCATGCCACGGACGAACTGCTGGTCCTCGTTGGAGTCGCTGTACTTGACCTGGAAAAAAGAAAGCATCTGGAATGAAGAACAGTTGTCGAATCTGCATCATCTGGCACCTCGCTTCGACTCTATGGTTTATTTCATGATAAACAACAGAATAGATACAGAATACTACAGAATAAAATGGAAGGAACAGTCCATCTTCATGTGCTTTGATGGGCGCCAAAGCCGTACAGTTTTCCGTCAACGACTAAGTGCAAGAAAGAACGATTGGAAAAGATTCTAGGCGGACGGGCTGGTCGATTTCAGAAACTCCGCCATGCTTGTGCAAGCTCCCGCGATTACTTTTACACAAGACTTTCCATGGCTCTTAAGACGGTTTTCGAAGGCAAGACTTTCCTGAGTGGCGCATTCGAAGGAAACCAAAAGCGCTCACCAAAAGCCGGTTTCTCATAGCTTACTCTCAACGGCAGCCCTACTCTCCCCTCAACCCCACAGTCTAGGCGTTCCACCTCACCTCTATCGAGAAGCTAGCACGAGCACGCCTCTACTGAGCGTTTCTCAACACCCCAGTTTCCATCTTGATTCCTAAACCCTTTGATATCCAACACCCTACACCCTGAAGCTTTGAAGCTTTGAAACTTTGAAACTCTGAAATCTCTCACCTGCATTGAGAAGCTGGACCAAAGCGCAAGAACGCCCCCCCGGTCGTCCGCCAAAACCCCCGCGAACGACGCGCCAAAGTCCGTATCCAGCTCGATAAGCTCCATGTTCATTGCCCGGTACCGAGGGGCGTCCGCTGAGCTGACGTTCGCCGCGAGGTTCGGGTTAGTGACAACGGACTTCCGGGAGGTTGGGAGTAACCCGTCCGTTAACCCGGTGAGGTTAACCTTGTCCCCTCGGCGGAGGGTGACGTCAGGCCGGAGGGTTGCGGCGCGGAAGTGGGGGGCGCCCGCGCCGAGGTCGCGGGGGTTGTATGCGACGATGGCGAAGTTGTGGACTGGGTGGAGGAATACCACCTGGAGAGGCGAGTGGAACTCAGTACGACTTGTGATCATCAATTCAAGGGCACTTCGGGTTCTCCGAACTTGCGAGATGCTTGAGAATAACCACTGTTTGAACAATGCGATACAAACATGAAACGTGCATAGTATGCATGACGGATGCAGAAGAGGATGAACAGGATCAAAAAGAAGGAGGAGCACGAAGAGGAGACTTGTGACGTCCGAAACGCGGGAGCAAGCAGGATCATGACACGGCGTTGGCAGGAAACGGAACAACATCTGAGCCTCTGGTCGATTAGCCCGTTTCGCTACAATTACTTTGCAAACTTCGAGGCATTACAATTTCTTGACCACCTCAAGCAGACATACAAGCACAGCGAACAATTCAGGTCTACAGAAGGCAACACGAACTTGTTCTCACAAGCTCAAGCCCCACGCCATTCTTTAAATTTTGCCAATGCTTCGCACAGAACTCCAGCAAGGGCTATCTCTCCAAAACGTGCGCACCTCTGCGGGAATCTCGACGGGGTAGGCCACGAACGACAGCATGACGTCACCCACGCTGATGGGCACGGTATTGCGGTCCACGGCCACGAGGCCCAGCGTCGGCGAGTGGTGCACGATGAGGCCCGTGCCGATGAAATGCTGCGCATGCACGCCATCCAGCAACGCCTGCGGTTAAAAAGGCAGTGATCAGATGGTGGATCAAGGATTGCATCAAAAGTGACGAACTTTGGGGCCGTCTAAGTGTTGGAGGAGATCAGAGGTAAGTGGCGGTGCTAAGCGATGGACGAATAGGCCCGTGCCGCTGTAAGTGCTGTGCGTGCACGCCGTCAAGCAACGCCTGCGATTGCAAAGTAACATCTATTTTGTGCATCAAGGAGCTAATCAGAATGACAAAGTTCTTCCAGAGGCGGTCAAGTATTGAGGCAAATACGAAGTAAGTGGCGAGACGAAGCGGTGGACCATCAGGCCCGTGCCGAGAAAGTGCTGCGCATGCACGCCATCCAGCAGCGCCTGCGGTTAAAAAGTGATGGAACAGGTTGTGAATCAAGGAGTCAATCAGAGGTGACAAAGTCCTTTGGGTTATTTCAGAGGCCGTTTTAAGTGTCGACAGAAATAGAGTCAAGTGGCAGTACTAAGCGGAGGACAATCAGGCCCGTGCCGATAAAATGCTGCACATGAACGCCGTCCAGCAACGCCTGCGGTTAGAAAGTAACGCTTATGTTGTGGATCAAACGATTGCATCAGTAGTGTAAACGTTTTTCAGGTTGTTTCAGAGGCCGGCAAGTGTTGAAGAGGGAATAGAGTCGAGTGGCAGTACTAAATGGTGAACAAACAGGCCCGTGCCGATAAAGTGCTGCGAATGCACGACGTTGAGCAACGCCTACAAAATAAGAATGTCACTATATCTGATTTCGACTTGAGCAGATTGTAGCAGACTTATCCAGATTCACCGTGCAGTAGACGATAACGCCCGCCCCAATGAGAGGCTATGCATAGACTGCCTGCAGTTGAAAAGTTTGATTTGAAAGAGCGGATCGAAAGGTGACGTACTCTTAACGTTCTTTGCTTCAGTCAATTTTGGATCGAAAGATTGGGTCAAGACTTCTTAAACGGCTTTAGGGGTCCATCAAGCGCTTCTTGGCAGTAAATAAAGTGCCAATGAAGTGCCCCCTGCCAAGGCAGTGCTGCAAGTGGACGCAGTTTAGCAACGGCTGCGTTCAAAGAGCTAAAAAAGAAGTTTAGATCGAAGGGTTGAACCAAAGGTGAACGAGAAGCCCTCAAGCATTCAAGGTGATCAGCATCGGAGAGCGGTGAATTATGCGGGCCGTTTCCAATGAAGTGTTGTGCATGTGCTCCGAATCGCAATGCTGCCTTCAAAGTTCGAAACGATTTACGATAGGTTCGTGTGATTACCAATTTGAGATCGACTCAGGTGTAGCAAGGGAATGGCATTGTCTCTGCCAGAGGCAACGAGAACGAGAGGACGAAATAACAGAGTAAAAGAAACGACACGAGGTTATGGTGATGTCAGGAGCATACCATGGGCGGTATGTGCACGTCCATCATCACAAATGACGGCTCCAAGATCTGCTCCACCGCATGGGCCGTCACCTCCTGGGGGTCTGCGTCGCCAGCCGTTTCTACCCCCCCGCCAGCGCCCTCTCTCCGACTTTCCCCATCGGCGTCCGGCCTTCCGTTCGCTTCCGGAACGGAACCCTCCGGCCCCTCTAGCCGCCTCCGTTTGTTGGGGCTCGCCCTATCCCCATCAGATTCCGCTCTCAGCCCGGCGGACTCCGCCGCCGGCCCCGGACCAGATCCGTTTCCTTTCGCAACACTCGGTTTCGCGTCTCCACTACCCCCCTCACTCTTCGCTAAACCGTTCTCCTCCTTCCCGGACAAAAGCTTCCTCGCCTCTAATGCGGGTAGATTGCTGATTCGATCTAAATCTGACGACGGGGTTAACTTTGGGGTTTTGGCGAAGGCGGGACGCGGCTGCCAGAGCCCAGTGGTGTCGTCCCGGGTGTAAATTTGCGGGGGGCCGTACCAGTTGTGACGGTCCAGCGTCACTAGGACGGTCTGAGGAGCGAAAAGCAGATTGTCAAAAATGAGAGGTCGGTGATGAGGGTCGGTGAAAATTTCCGGGCTACCGGTTGCTTCTGTGATTCGAAAGGAAGGCAGTCGGGCAACTTTTCTCGCAGCTTTGCAGTTATCTGTTTTGGCTAAACCCAAGAAAGCCAGATGATTCCTTAAAACTCATAAGCAATTCCGTGTTGGAAATATACGTCCATCTTCGGTGTGCAGCACCATAAGTCGGATCGGGATCGCCTCTTCTCGTAGACGGCCACTACGCTTTCCTGCGCCGCACTCTCGAAGCCCACACCCAATCGAATGAACGCGCCAAGCACCTGCCACTGTACACGATACTCAGATTCAAAACTCCGCCACAAATCAAAACCCCGGAAAGATGGAGGCCAGAGCCCCTCCAGACTCCGCCAAAACTTCCGGGGCCTTACCTTGCCCCGGTGTCGGTCCGAGTTGGTCACAAACTCGAGGGGCACTTTGGCGCCCGGTTGGAGCCCCCCGAGCACCTCGATGAAGGCGGCCATGTCGGGCGTCTCGCGGCTGTTGAACTTTTTGATGACGGCGTGCTTCGGGACCGCGGCGCGCGCAAGCGTGTACCCGGGCTCGGCGACGTAGACCAGCCCGCACGGGAAACGGAAGTTGCGCGCCTGGGAAGGAAACATCAATGCTGATTCGTAAAATCAGGAAAAGTCAAAAGAACGGGTATAGGCTATGGACCGTGGTATGCGCGAAAGTGTATCCCTGCTCCGCAACATAGATCAGCCCGTGCGAGAAGCGGAAATTGCGTGTCTGATAGTACCAAGAAAATATTGGTCTCAGTCTTTCAAGGCCTCGAGATTCCTCTGTAAGACGATTTTGAACGGCGAACAGAGGATCCACAGAGATACACCATGCCTCAAAACAGCGGCGCGCAGTCGTCAAACCGTAGTCCAGCCTACAGGGGAAGCAAAATCTCCGAGAAGAAAGCAGAGTAAGGAGTTGGTACCTTTTCTACAGACTGGAAGAAACTGACCGCACCCTCGATTCCCTTCAAAGACAAGCTTCCATATGCTTTCCCATCGAGTTTCAGAGAGTGGGTGAACGAGTAATTGCGCAACCAAAACGAAGCGGAGACTACCCACCTCTGCATCCAAGAAATGCTGTCATGACAGCAAATGGAGTAAAGTTAAAATTCCTCGAATTGGGGGGCTCACCTGCTGGTAGGACAGCGGGTGTACGACCCCCCCGCTAAGCTCCAGGAACCAGTCGGGAGTGATGGAGTGCAAATTTTGGACCAGTAGCTGTGTCGTGATGGCTTGACCCCCCCGCACCACTTCGACGGAAATTCTCTTGCCCACCGAGTCGTCCAGGAGGGCCTCCAAAGCGTAGAATTGGGTTACGATCTGCAAAGGCGGAAGCGTTGCTTCAGCGAAACGGTATGCAGAAGGTTGGGAGCTTTGTGTTGTTTGACAAAAGGTATTGTTATGTCCAACGAAAGCAGCGACTTCGGAGCGTCTTTGGAGGGCAGCATAGCTGTCCCAGAGATATTGCACTCTTTGTTACGTCATCTCCGAATCCTCGTCCCTCAACCTTTCCTACCACTGACTTTCATGGGACAAGAGTCCTTTCAGCTCAATCTCTTTTAGGTTTGAGCGGTTCTGACTATCCGGCAATGTCCAAAAAGTAGCGGCCCAGTCTTCGGCCCGCTCCAAATCCATCTCGGTGCCTCTTCACACATCTTTGAATAGCGAGGCCACACAACAAGCAAGCGGTAGAGCAAGCGAAGCCGACGGAGTAGAAGCGCACGACAAGCGACGAACTTACAAGCGCGGGCACACAACAAGTCTTCCGAAAGCCCTCTTTACCTGCCCCTCGACCCGCACGAGAACATCCCCCGTCTCTAGTTGTCCGTGAGCGGGCCCCGCTGGCACCACCGAATCGACCACCAGCATTCCTGTCTCCTGCTTCGCGGACGCCCGGACCAGGCCCTCCGTCTCGCGTCCGAGGCCCAGGCGCCGGACCTCGTCGAAACCCTTGTGGACCAGGGTGGTCTGCAGAGGCGACACGTGTCTTGGTGTGAGGGGCGCAGACATTTGTTTAGACAGTACTACCAACAGCAGAAAGTTTCTAAGCATTGATTGCGTGGCATTTGCATCGAAAATTCAGCGGACTGCTCAAGATGAAGCACGATCAGAAGGATTTTTCGAGGATCAGCCAAGCGTCACTTTTGACGCCTAGGTTGCAACGTCGAACTTTGTATATCACGAAATTGGACAGCGTATGACGAAATGAGGCGAAAAGACGATATGAAGCGCAAAGATGTTTAAGCCTGATCTGTGAAATGAAGTCGGAGCAATTTCGAGGTCTTCGTATCAAACTCAGAACACTATCACAAAGGGAAAGAGGCAAAAACGAGAACGTCGGAGAAAGTAAAGGTCACGAGCACGATATCATGCAAGCATTGTCATATTCAGATCTGACAACGATTGGAATTTTGAAACAACATGCCACAATCCGCTGAATCTCGGATGTATAGTTTCTACAAGCTTCCAATTAGTGGTGAGCTCTTGACCTGAAAGACTATTATCCAACCTGCAACGTTCCCCTGGGAATCTGCGGCGCAGGCCACCCCGGCAGGGCCGTGTCCGGTCTGCTCGTTTGTAGAAACCGCAGCGCTCGGACAACGCGTCCGAGGGGCAGAAAGAACGCCGACGCGGAAGTCGACTTGCTGCCCGCGTTCAGCGCGACCGCCTGGCCGTGGCAGTCGATGACGGGGGACCCGCTGCTCCCGCCCTTAGTGCCAGACGCGGCCTGGGGGGTTAATGCGAGGGCAGGTGAAGGCTCGGGTCAAGCAAGGGTGAATTGGAGCACGAGATTCGGAGTTAGGTGGAATGAATGTTGGTTTGGCAGCGAGGGCAGGTTAAGGCTCGAGGTAAACAAGGGTAGGTTGGAGCACGAAATCGGGGTTAGGTGGAGTAGATATAAAGTGGGCATTCAAACGAAGGTATAGCCCGAAGCTTCAAACCCGAGAATCGAGGCAAAGTGTGAAGATTGCAGGAGCCACAGCGAATGAACTCCAGAGTAGGGGAAAAACTTTGAAACATAGGGACTTATCGCTACACTCTCGAGCTCCATACGATGACCACTGTAGATTGTCAGTACCCAACCGTTCATTAAACCACCCCACGTTCTGCGTCCAATCGAACGTGCAATCCGCAGATCGATCGTGCTCCCATTACAAAAGACTGGGAATCACGGACGTCAAGTGATGACTTGCGTTGGCAAAAGAATATGTCCATACCTGGATGTAGAAGGTGTTGAAGTCGTTGAAGCCCTCCTTCTTGTAGTGTGGGGCGTCCCGGTCCAGGCGGGCCAGCGTGCCAGCGAGAATGGACACCTGGCAGAGAGAGGGGGTTTCGGAATTTGAGGTTGTTGGAGACAGAACGAAGTAAAGATCATGTCCTTCCGCCGACTCGCCGGTTTCCAAGATTCGGATCAGAAAAATATATGCACTATCAAGTGAGTACGTCTCAATTGCTCATCTCGTTTTGGTCGTTACTTTTCTTTGTCCACTGTACGGGTGCTGTACCTGGTTGCTTGTCGCTTCTCCCCACTTGATTTGAATTTGGTGTCCTCTATCGACTGTTGAAATTTGCGTAATCTGTTTAGAGTTCAAGACAGGTGTGACCCTGACGGAGTGATTGGCTCTGGTCGGGGCGTTCCATCAAGGTGGAACGCGGCATGGAAGATCCATCAGATTCTCCTCTGCAATCGAGGAGCCATTGATTGCAGAGGAGAAAGGGAGCACGGCATGAAGGAGATCAGCAGGGCCGCACCTTTTCTCCTGAGTCGTTCCCAACGACCCTAATTTCCAGTCCAACAGTGGCAGCTTCCGGCACGAGCGGTACCTCTTCCAGGTCCATGAACTGCACTGCTGCCGGGTCGAAGTGCATGAAGCCGAAGTCGTGAACCGGGTCCCGGTACAGCGGGTGCACCGGGATCTCTTCACGATCCAGGAAGACAGCCTCTGCCACGACGGGGCCTGGGAAAATCCAAGAAATGGCATAAGGATATAATTTTTAAAAAAGAGTGAGTATTGATAGAAATAAGTACGGAGGGACTTTGATAGAGGGACTTTCATGGTCCACCGGGTGCGCTGGGATCTCCTCGCGATCCTAGAAGTAGGCCTCTGCTATGGCGGGGCCTGGGGCGGGGCCTGGAAAGAGGACAACTAGCATGGGTTTCTCTCCTGGTGGAAGGGGAGGTGAGAAGGGGTCACTGAATCGGAGAATGTCCAGTACAGGGGTGCACCGGCGTCCCCATACGGTTGAGAAAGACACCCTCTGCCACGAACCCCCGGGGGAAAACAAGAACTAGCATCAAGATAGTACCGGTTGACAACTGGAGATTTGAGAGGAAAACGTTTGAAGAGACTTAATGAAGGGGGACGCGGGATCTCGTTGCGGGCCAAGAAGACGGCCTCTGCAACGACGGGACTGGGGAAGTATACTGCAGCACTGGTTGAGAAGTGGTCTTTGAGAGGGAAGGTTTCAGGGGACTTTTAGGGTCCAGCGGGTGCGCCGTACTCTTCTTACAACAGGACACAACTCCAGATCAACAGAACAGAAGCAAGACTTTCTTTGATTCCAGCAAAGAACTTAGCCAACTGCCACGACAGTGGCTGCTGTGACATCAAGGGTTGTCTGGCAGTGAGGGTTCAGTGACCTCGAATACCCCTGATTGCTACATCTGGATTTGCAGATCTGCAGGTCGTTCTTGGCTGTAACTTTTAGCCTCTCCTCCATCAAATCATATGTTTTCAAAGTTATTGGCTGCCAGCCAGCACCTCCAAGTCCCGTTTAGTAGGCATCCATGATCCTGGATCTTCCAGCGGCGGAAGTGTTTCGTTGGCAAGTCAAGTACTTAAAAGTGCCTGGAGTATAATCACATCCTTGTCCATCAGCTACTATGTGTTCTTCGCATCGATTGCCAGTATATCGGGCAAGCCATATTCTCCATTTCGCAGCCGGTGTGGCTCCAAACGGTGTATCAGTGCCTCTTTGCTGCACTCTTGATGACCGACCTGGTTTGACGACATGCCGGTTGGTGAGAATAAGCCCAAGCTTCTTGTCCACTATAAACCCCGTCGCGTAGCTAGAGGAGGCTGATTCTGTGTCAAACGCACGCACCCCAGTGATGCGCAAAACCACCACTGCCGGAACGACCTGCAACACAAGAAGAAGAACTTCTCTGAGGCAGGATTTCTCCAATCCAGAGGCGTTCGTCTACCCCAATATGTGATGCTGCCAGTACGTTACAATGAGACTGCTTCTTCAAGTGGATTAGATAATGGAGTCTAGTCATCTTCTGTGACTGTGCAACTTGAAGAACGAGTCTGATCTGTTTTTTTCAAGGAATCACAGCAAGATCTCAACGAAGGACTCATCAAGCGGTCGTCAATCATTCCCCAGCGGCTCAGCCTCTATTGTCAACCCAGAAGAGGCGTGTGCATCGCAATCAGGCACACTTCTACTTGACTTGAAGAAATGCTAGATAGACACGCTATGCCAACATCATTGTCGCCATTCATTCGTAGCAACTCATCTGAAACCTATCCAAAACCACCAAAAACGCGCCACCACCAAGGTTGTTAAAACCCCACCTTAGCCAGCGCCTTCCGCCAATCTTCCGCTGTCGCAGAAGCCCCTGGCCTCAGGCCATCAATTTCATTGAGGAGTTCCTTCGCAGCCGCCCGCTTCTTCTGGAAGTCATCGACGCCAGTGTCTGCATTCCCATCCATTGGGTGCGCACTGCCCGCTGGAGAATCCATACTTGCAGCTCCAACACTCCTGAAACCCTTGCTCGTTGTGCGATTGACAGAAAATTGCGCCCTACTGAAGGACTCTAGGCCTCAAGAAACTGAAGGATTTCAGCAAAGTGGTGACACGGAGTCCAACAGACTGGTTGGTTGAACTTGAAACCCTGCGCAGACTCCGAAGAGTTGGCAGAGCTGAGGCTGAACAGTAAACTTGAAAACGACCATGAATTTTAGGGTTTGACTTTGAGTGCACGAGCATTGAGAAGAAGCATTTTGTCAATTTCGATCTGAGAGTCAAAGGAGGAGGACGCTCGCAGGCTGGCTTAGCTGAGCAATCCTCTGAGTTCCGCAACAATTGCCTGGACGTAGGAATCAGGGTGCTGGACGGCGACAATGTCTGCATGAAGAATTCAAACTTCTGTGACGTAAGTACAGTGAGTTGTTGGAGTGTCTCATTCAAGCCCCGTTGATTGTTGTTCCAATAAGGCCAATCCCAATGCACACGCTGCATGGTGGCGCTTCCTGATGACCCCGTGGAGGCGCCTACGGAGCGCCGCCCTCCCAAGTCAAACCCTGACTGCACTCAAGATGCTGAGCTTTGCCATAGACGCCAATTCTGGGGGCGCCAGAACAGGCGTTCTTAGTTTTCCCAGCAGAGGTCTCACCCTGCCTACCCCAGCACTTCTTGTATACACCAGGAAGGGGCTCCCTCTCAACCTGATGCCGGACTTGCTCGATGAGTTGAAGGATGACGGCGTGACGACGTTGCAACTGAACACGATGCATTTGTGAGTTGGTTCACGTTTTACCACCACTTGATCGAAGGGTGCGGAACTGCGGAGGGGAATTGTTGGATGTGAGAAGCGCAGATTGCAATTAAAAGCGTCTGTTTGTGAGTGGTTTCACGCTCTACCACCACTTGGTTGAAGGCCGCTGAAATGGGTCAGGGAATCTGTTGAAAGACTAGCAGTTCGCTTTGAAAAAACTCATGAGCAATTGGCTTTTGACCACCGTGCAATAAAAGTCTGGGGACGAATCAAGGTAACTTCTATCAAGTAGAGAACCGCTAATTGCAGCTGAGTATGATGCAACTGTGAGTGGTATGCAACTACCACCTGTTCATCAACGCTTTGACTGTGGTTAGACAGATCTTCTGATGCAAACTGTTTTTGCCTTCCTTGGATTCAATAGCATCTCAGAAGAAAAAGCGCTGCCTTTTCAGAAGCCACTGTCCATATGGATTCAAGAACTTTCCATCCTATGTCAACCTCCCACCACCAGAACCCTCCTCAATTCTAACCTCTTTTAACCCACATCTCTGCTGGTTCAGTATACTGGGTGTCACAAACTCTTTAACTGCGCGCAAGAGGTTAGAGTCTAGCTCTTCAAATCTGCAGCATTGAGGGGCCCAGCGCAGACACTGTCAGGAAGGCCGGGGGCGCTCATAACTTCCTGGGCGTACAAGACTACATCCTATTGGCCTTGGGACGAGACGCTATGAACTTTGAGGGGGGCGGCCCCGCCAGTGCCACCTATGCCTCATTTGACACCCCCTCAGGACGCCGTCAGGTAGGGCTATTTTAACGAACCTTCTTTTGACTTTCTTCGTCGCCAGCTTGTGCTTTTACCTGCAAGCTTTTTGCCTGGGCAGAGAGACATCTGCATCTTTCCTTCCTTGACTGTTTCCTCAGTCTGCTTGCGTGCTTCCCTGCAGAAATGCATTGTAACTATATTCTAATCGACAAAATTATCTAAAAAGCTGCCCTTTCCAGGAGCCCCCGTTGCCTCCTTTGCTTGATCATGAAGGTATGGTACCGGAAACGACAGCTGGTCCGGGGTCAACCTTCGATGAAGTTCAATGGACTCCTATGACCCTAGAAGTTACCAAGAGTTTAGCACGCAGGGCACCTTCAAGTCCTATTCTTTTGGTTTCGACCAATCAAAGAGTTCTTTGGATTCCTGGATTGCAGGTGACGCCAGAAGCGTATGCTGACATCATCGATGCCCTCCGGCCCGACATCTTCGTACCCCTGGCTGACGACATACCCTCCACATCGGGACGGAAGCGGGTGAAGCAGTCAGTGGACCGTTCGCTCAGCTGGTTAGACGAGTGCATCGAGAGGAATGTAAGCCAATGATCGCATTTTCCGTCCCCAACAAACATAACGAACTCGTTCACCTAAAATCTGGGCCCTGATCAGAGGGGCCGTAGTGAAGGAAAGTGACAAAGCACAGTCAAAATTGGTCAACTGGAGCAATAAAAGACGAGCTTTTATCTGAACTTGTAATGTTGAGGTTGGTGATCTGGCGATGTATTTTGAGAACCATCTTGAGTTCAAGTCGAGGAAGCCAGAGTCCTTGTTTTGTGTTCCGCAGAAGCAGGGTATTCCGATCTTTGGTTCCGTACAAGGCGGAAGCAACCTGTACGAGCGGCCGCGATCGGCAGAGGAGACGGCGGTGCGGGATGTAGCGGGTGAGAGAAGGGTTTCACCAAGTGCTGGAGCATCTCAAGAAATGCTACATTACTAGATGCGAGGCAATCCAAAGATTGGGCTTGAAGCTTACCCAATCCAGACTGGCGAATGATGGACTTGTGCATCGCATCCGATTCCGAATGTTCCGTGCTACCGAACGTTCTTGCCAGTGATTCCGCAGTCCCTCATAGAAGACATTCGTCGCATCTAGTAGGCATTGGAAGGCGTCATCCTTGGACTTCAGGGGATCGTAATTGCTTCTCTTTGAAATTTAACATTGAAATCATTATTCTCACCACCCTGACAATGTTGACCAGCGATTGCGAAATGCTCGATGACCGGGTTCTATCACGGCAGCTTCACAGGAGAGAGTCTTCTTTGACGGACGATTGATGTCGTATTGATACTTCACTGTCACAGGATTCCATCTCGGCGGCTTTGGACTGGGCGAGTCCTTCGATGAGCGGCCGACTCTCCTCGCTGCAGCAATCGCAAGTTTCCTGCTTCTGTCGACTGCTTCAAGGAAACAGGTTTTTCAAGTCTTTGAGATGTGGTTGTAAGAACCAAGTCCATGGCTTTTTGCGTCCGCGCCGGAGGATTGGCTGCTCTGAGGGGTGGGCTTCCACTTCAAACCACGCCATGTAACGAGCTCCAGCTACGAAAACCCCTAAGCGTTCATTTGCAAGTAGACCTCCGATAGATTCTCCCGCCTTCAACCAATGACTGTATCTGTAGAATGCCCCCTTCCGTCCTTCGCAAAGTCAAGAGGTTTGGCTGCTGAAATTCTCAGCCCATCACAAGTCGATAGACCTTGGTTAAGCAATTGACGGCTGCTTATCCTCCGTTTCTTTCGCTGTAGTGCAAATATGTCCCGTTTTCAATCATGGCCACGGCAAGAGATATATTTGCAAAACAGTTGTCCACATCCCAAGAAAGTCTGGTTGTAGGCCAACAAATGCGCAACCACGCTGCGTTACCTGCGCCGAAATCCAGCATCGAGCTCTGAACTCTTATTTGCAAACAGAGAGCAGAAGTCTCCGCTTTGTCAGTACTTCAGGGTTAGATGTGTAACCAATTCTGAGCAACCTTGTATTCGCCGCAGGACAAGCTCCCCCCCTCCAAACCCCGCCATGTCAGCGGCCTTTCAGTCCCCGAAGAAATCCTACAAGGCGTCGCTGCGGGAGTCGATCTCTTTGACAGCGCCTACCCTCTATCACTAACCCTCGCCGGGTTAGCAATGACCTTTCCGGTCAGTCATGAGTCCCCGGAAGTAGGGTCAGCGGACGGAATCGGAAGCAGCGGAGCAACGGAAGGCGAGGGACCCGCCTTGGGGGCGGACTGCTCGAAGCTGAACCTGCTGTCCCTGGCTCTCAGGTGAGGCGGGAGTCCGGGTTCTTGCTTTTACCATTGACGATCAGAAGACAGCAGGCTGAGGCAGAGGTCTGGTTGTATGTTTGAGTTATCGTGCCTGGCAATTTGGCACGCCAATCTACTCGAGAGAAAGCACACAGGATGCGAATGCATGAAGATCGATGGATGCGAACATTATGTTCTAAAGCGAACCAAGGAAACGTGACGAAGTGAAAGGCTCCAGAATTCTGTAAGGTTGCTCGACTTGGCATACCTGGCCACTGCCTGCAGAGAGAAGAAACTACAATCAGCCAAGATAATAATAAGTTCTGACTAACACTAGAATACCCCGACCCAAAGAGGTACCTGCTCCGCATCCATACCCACCCTAAAACCACCAAACCAATCCTACCCGTCCCAGTGCGGTTACCTTATCAACTATCTCGGCTTACTATTATTCTACTTTATTACGGTTGCAGAGAGGATCCGCGCCCGCTGCTCCCCGGCTGCCAGTGTTACACGTGTCGGAATCACACACGGGCGTATTTACACCACCTCCTGAACGCGCACGAGATGCTCGCGCAAGTGCTCCTCGAAATGTGAGCCGCCCAGTGCGCAGCTTGTCTTGGAAAGAGCGGACTCCGTGCTTCTTTTCACGTCTCACGTTTGAATCTCACAAAAATTCTGCTCGGGCGTGTTCTCAAAAAGCTGAATGTTCATGGCAGCACAAAGTTGACCTTCTCCGAGACTATTGTTCTTGTTTTCCTTTCTTTCTATCGCTCCCTGTGTTTCGGAACCACCGAAATACTGAGTGCAGACTCTGTTGAGAAGCTTTAGCTTCCTGACGGATTGCCAGTGCAGCGGGCTCGTCGATGTCGTCTGCCAACCGTCTGACTGGACTATGCACGTGTCGTCCGTATAATTCTGGCTCTAACGGTCAACTTTTTCTGCAGCCATAACACACACCACTACACTCGATTCTTTCGGGCGATTCGGCAGTCCATCATTGAGGACAGGTTTGACAGGTTTCGGCAAGCTTTTGTTGACAGATGTAGAACGACTCAAATAGACGTAAAGCCAATGGCACCGAAACCATCTGGGAGAACTTCTCGCATAGATGGAGTCCATGAACTGGAAAAATGCTAAGCCATCCTTATCCCTTTAATTGTTAGTACCTCGGAAGCACGCGTTGAGCCATTGTATCTATCTTACACACGACAAGGTTCCTTTGCGAATAAGAGATCCATAGGTAAGACGGCTTCAGGCCGTGCAAGCCAGTCTGCAACAGGTATCTACGTCATCACGTTGGATTTTGAGCACTTGTATTCTACGGAAGTGGTACACGTCTTTGATATGGTCAGGATCCGAGTACGGTACGTTTGTCAAGCATGTACATATTGCATGGTGGCCATATGCATCCGATCGTCTTGCACTTTGAGTACAGGTCGGACTCACAGGCTCGAATTCAGTCACCTTTATAGTGTATTAGTATACTACTAATAGGGACAAGCTTGCAGACGGTTGCACAGGCATGGCAGTGACTCAGGTGGCCCCAGTTCAGCCTCGGCGGGCTGCAGCATCTTGTCATATATACCGTCTTGGCCGGGGATCGGAGTCAATTTCAGCCTCATGGCTAGCTCGCCGTCGGCGGCCCGGCGTTGGGCTGTAGGTTGTACTGGCACCGGGAGCTCACTGACAAAGTCGATCATATGCGTTCGATCGCTGATACATGGACGATCACTCCGCGGGCGGCCGCCGTCTCTGTTCAGATTGCACCGTCAGACAGGCTTTCATGAGTGCAACCGGCCTGGTTTACCGTGATATGAGGGTAAATGCATTCATGAGAATCATTAGACATTGAACATTATCGATCATCGATTGAAGTATAGATTCCCGGCGCCATCGGAGCCTGTATACATATACTACGATAATGCACTAGGATGCTCGCCTCTGCACCCGCGGCATCGATATGCGGCGGCAGCGGTCGACTCGCGAGCGAATGATTGAGAAAACATCGATCGGACCCCGGGTCGCCGGATGTTGAGTCTCGCTAGGGCCATATGTGCATGTGCATTCAATACAGGCTTGTTTACTGCATGCATGCCGCTTGAGTCAGACGGTGGCCGCCAAACATGCAGGTAGCTTCGCCTTTCAAAACTGATTGAGCAGGACTCAAGGGCCGGCCTTCAACTAATATCCACAGGCTTGGTACTCAGTGGGCATGTGCTCCTAGCTAAACTTAGGATGCAGCAAGAAAAAAGCATTGAATCTTCCGAGAATTTGCACAATGCGGCCCGGTCAGAAGAACTGGCAACCAACTTCATCCAGCAACCTACTAATTGTAGGATTCAACGTAGCCGCCACGAATGACCAGCTCTGACTTTCCTGCAACAAAACTCCAATTTGAAAATGTCGCATGACACGTTTGAATGTTTGCTAAATTAACTTCAGCCCTTAGTGCACTCGGTCAACGAAACCACCACGTTACAGCAAGAATCAACGCTTGGCGAACTTGCACTTTGCTCTACAATCAACCTTCTCCCCTCTATTAGGTATACCAATAAAGAATGTCCTACGTATTCTTGTCTACTTAACACTAGAGCTTTGCATGAATTGGTCCTCAATGACCAGCTCACAGCAAATACGTTAACCAAATATACATTACATACTAAGCCACTAAAGTACCACCCTGTATTTCAGAGCGCCTTCTTACAGGATTGACTGCATTTCCACGATGCTCGAACTAGCAGAAAACCCTACCTTGTCGTATAAACTAAACGTCAAGTCAATGCTCTGGGCGTATCCAAAGCCATGACTCATTCCCTGATCCCGATCCTCAACGCTCTCAAAATCTTGGACTTTGCTCCGAGCCAATTACGCCGGTGCTTCCTCGGCTCCTCTTTATTAGCAGGCAACTCGGTTAGCCACACCCCATCCGGGCTTGGGACGTCTGCAGCCAACCAATCGTGCACTTTCATTCGACTCTGTTCCTCCGGCGCTGATGCAGCCTCTAAGCTTCGCCTCATAACCTCCAGCCGGTCCTGTTGCCTCTTCCAGGCGCTCAGTGACATCGACTGGCCCAAAGACTTTTCGCTCGCGAGCATAGACAGTGGGGGTTTGATAAAGGAAAACTCGGCGTCCGCAATCGAATCCGGGGATGCCCCCATTTTGTTCGGGGGAGAAGGCGTCCCGAGGGGTTGTAATTCCGCGGGAGGCGCCATTGACTTTCTATGCACCGTCCGCAGGCGCACTTCCGGCGCACGTGACGGCGTGGGAACGTCCCACGAATCTCGGCTTATTTCGTTCTCGTTCTGGTCCGAAAGCGGCCGAAGGTGCCGCCCGAGGCGCCTCCGGACGTCCGCAACTGTTTCCCCGGACGCGAAAGTGAGCTTCAATGTGCCCACGATCCTTCCGTCACGGACCCGCATCTGCAGAAAGGGGGAAGCCCGCATGAGCAATGAAAGTCGACTGCCATCTGGAGCGCTGCTCCGACTTGTTGCATTAGGACAACCCGCCACGATGCAATCAGAAAGGTATAGAAAGAAATCCACTTCTGACATTGCAAGATTGCGAATGCCCGCCTGGCTTAGCTACCCAACCAGCTCCTTCCGAGCACCTTCGAATTACAAAAGTAGAAAACGGGGTGTGATTGGCAGGACGGAAATTGCACAGAACAATCTGTCAAGTGCCTTTAGAAAACGTTTAGACACAAACTTCCGCACCTGCTGCCCCTTCCAAGCACGCCGCAGAATACAGTCAGCCTTACACTGCCACTACTACCGATAGAAGGTGTGCATCATTCTCGTGTTAAAGTTCAAGCCTTGCTCGGACACGGGAGGTTTACCGTTATGGCTCTGCACTCGAACATTCCTTACCAGCTTGATCTTCCGCTTCTTCCTGTTTCCGTTCTCCTGTCCGTCCTCCGGCGGGGGTGATAAGAGCTCCGGATGGAACTGCTGCACCCTACCCTCTGACGATGTCCCATAGCTTATGGAGCGGAGCAAGCTGCTAGAGGGGGCCACATGGAGGGTGCTATCATGGGAGACCGCTGCGTCCCATAAGAGCCACGCCTCGTCCAAGGTCTTCCCATTGAAAGTAACCTGGCAGCAAGGGGAGGCGAAGACTTAACGACAGAGTCTAGGATGCGTCAAGGCGAAATGCACCACCTTTCGTTTCTTGTTGTATCATGGCATAGCATGCAGCAAGAAAAGCCATGAGAACGTGTTTAGATCCAACTGAAGGGGAATGCTGTTGCAGGCTGTTCGAACTGTGAAGGTCAGCCTGGGCAGCGAGCGAGGCGCAAGAACGAAGGGAAGGCAGAATATGAAGATTGCCTTATGTGACCGGCTCATCTGAGCTGTGTCACATGCTCAAGTAGCCGCTCAAACCAGTGACCTTGACCACCTCAGAACATGCATTCCGAGTATCACAGATCCTACTCTGGCTGTCTTGAGCCCAAACCTCAACCAGCGCAATATAGTGACAACACGCACTCACTTTCTGCTGGTCCGCCGGCAGCCCCGTCCGATTCTCCACCGCTACCATCACGTCTCGAACGCGATCCCTTCCAGACACAACGACCGACACTTCCCGGCCGTCCAAGGTGCTGACATGGACAACCATCCGGCGGTGGGCGCGCTCCTTAGGAGCATCCCCCGTGCAGCACAGATCGAGGACAGAGTCGGCGTAAACGGCGTGAAGGCCTTCGAAGTCCGCCATTTGCGCGTCATCGTGCATGATGCACCCGGCGGAAGAGAGGGTTTGGTGGTGGACGGGGGTGCTGAGCAGGGAGCAAAGCATCTGGACGGGGGATGAAAGTGAAGGGTTAGGAGAGAATAGCAACAGGGTTTGTGAGGAATATCGGACCGGTACTCAGAGGTTTCTCAAAAAAACTGAAAACATGGCTGACCTTTCTGCTCCTTGATAATGCATTTCGGAGTCTGATGAACCAAGCAGAAGAGTAAATGACGAGGCGTTCGAAAAGGTGGTGCTACAGCAGTGGTTAACAGAGAGTGCTTGAAAGGGGTTAGGAGAACATTGATACCGGGGGTTGACATTAGCCACTATTCACGATGTTCAGAATGCGACAAGGAGAAGGGGGCTTTGCGAAATTGGAAAGAGCAGGTGCGTCATCAAAGCAGTTCTTTCTTTGCTGACGTAGATGCTATTGTTGTCTGGGTGGGGAAGACAAGGAACCATGCATATACCTATTGCAGTGAAGCGAGGTGGTCTAGGGGATCAGGTTCTCAAATTTTTTGGGGTCAGGATGTGCCGGTCTTCAGAAGCAAAACTAGCGGACCACATCAAACATCTACCAATCTGGAGAGATTGCATTCCAACATGGTTCTCTCACATTCATTTCCACCAATTTGCCGCCGACAACCACTCCAAGTGAACCGACTTCAGCAGCAGAGCCGCTCTGCTTTTCCACAGTGTTTTCTTCAAGTGCCTAATCAGAAAAGAGCGGGATCCACCTACCTCTTTCAGAAACCGGACCCTCGTCGTGGGCCTTATCCCCAGCAGCGGCAGCAGCCCCGCCTTTGTCTCAACAAACACGCGCCCTCCATCGTCCTGATCCAACAGCGCCGGAAGCACTCTCAACCTCAGAACCGCATGGTCTACGATGTGCTTCTCTGCTAATCGGTCATCATCAAAAAGCTCAATCTGGCTCGCTGCGTGCGCGCCCCAGAGAGACAGCGAGTCCTCGTCGACGAAGAGTTGGGAGGTTTCGGCGGATGGTTCGCAGAGGAAGGCGTGCGGAAGATATGTTGCGGGCTGCGAGTCGGCGAGCTCTTCGAAGAGGGGGGCGGTCAGCTCCTGAAGAATTGAACGGGGTGAAAACATTTTAGCAGATTTTCCGGATGAGAACTACAAATGCTGGAAACATTTTGGTTGAGGTCATCAAGGGACAGAAGATCAACGGATATATGAGAAGGATGCGGCTCGCATGGCAATGCAGGCACGCAGGTGCTAAGTGATAAGCTGGTCACAAAGCGCAACTTCCACAGAAAAGAAAACTTTTTAAACAAACAGGCCTCAACCCGCGCCAGCAGCTGAAGCCTCCTGATTTGAGGCCATTGTTGAAAAGCGTGTTAAAGGCCAGTGAAACCTGATGTTCAAATGCAGAGAGCCTTGAAGACAAACTCTGCTTTTATCTTCATCTTCAAGTGTCCATTGACCCATGCAAACCAGCAGCGATCAGCTCCTATTGGATCATGATTTTCTTCGTCGGTAATGCAGGATGACATAAATAATGTGGGGGACAAAGAATTTGAGAGGTTACCAAAACCAAAGCTCTGGAGCACGTAAATCGGGATGAGCGGAAGGAGCAAAAGCACAATGACTCGTATGCTCCTGAACCAGTGCATGTCTTGGGCAGTCCAATCAGCTACAAACTCCTGGAAGGATGCTAACCCCACAATGTTAGGTATCCATATCAATGCTGTCGCCCATGAGTGGATAGCCCAAGCTAAAAACTCCTTGCTTTGTTAACACGGACACTGCTTCTTATCTCTGACAGGATCGGGTAAAAGAAGAAGGCTACACTATCGCCAAAGCGAGTTGCGCTGATCAAGACAAAGTCTGTTTTCGAAAGTACGGCTGTGGCAGACCTCAAAAATAGGTCTGCACTGCGAGCAAGTAGACAATCCAAATCTCCTCAATCAAATCGTACCCAAGCCAATGCCAAGCACAGGGGTTCGCGCACAAGGAAAAGAACTGAAGCCAACAATATTGCAGGGGAGCTCAAGTTTGCTGGGTTGGGTTGGGTTTGACCAACCGAGCCAGCTTGGGTTGCAACTGCAAATGGTTGTATAGAATGTGTATACAACCTCGCAGGATTTCGGACATACCGATGGCATGCACTATTCTCTGTTTAATGAATCTTCCAACAAAGCAAATACAGACCATGCAAGCATAAAGTTGGGACCTTTTCCCTTCCCTCCTTCCCCTGTTGGAAGATGGTTTGAGCAGCAAGAATACAGAAACCTTACAGAAAGCGCGTGAAAGCAAGGTGGGATTCCAGTTACACTACAACTCATCGGGTCTGTCTGTCCGCTAATGTCCTTCACCAACGTCAGCCCTCACGGACTGGAGGGGTGGTTAACAGCAATGTAAGAACAGATCACTGCAGATCCCTGATGAAACACAGAATACGCCTCACAAAAACACAATCAACATTGTGTTTGAGTGATGCGGTAAAAAAGGAAACGCAGCTTGCCCTTCAAGAGGGGATCCACAATATTCAGAATCAGAATTTGGGAACGGAATTGTATTTTGAGACGAGGAGCTCTGCAAAGAGTTGTGTGCCTGAATTGAAGGACTCCACGTTGTGAGCTCACACAAGCTTTGAGACAAAATCGCTGACCAAAGTCAGAGACTTCAGCTCAACCATCTGTTGAAAGTGGTCAATCTCAGACTTTCAGGTTAAACAATATGCAATCACATCATGCATGAAAGTGACAGAAATACTTGGCCTGCGACTACACAGGAATGTAGCGAACACTTTGCAGCAATCCCTTGCCAACAGGTCAACTGGCAAGACTTTGAAAGTTTCAACTTGTTGTCAGAAGGTGATGCCCAGAGTCGTACCTGCAGATCAAGCGGCACCCCAAGTCTCTCCTGCACAAAGCCCTTGATCTGCTCGCCCACCGTCCCCCTGGGGTCCACATTGGGAATCACAATCCTCTGATCTGCCGGTGAAACCACCAACTGCCCCTGCTGTGCCGTATGATAGACCTGTAGCAGGACAGTGATCGCCATACCCCGCGGCGCTAATTTACACACAAACACCTCTTTTCTCAGCAGACCCAGACCACGATGCGCCTGCTGTCAGCTGGACTCCATTGCCGGAGGAAAGTCCACGTCTTGTATTCATCCCTCGTCCATCTCTTGATCAGCTCAACCCTTGTGGTTGCAGCCGACCTTTTGCAGCTTCGAAGCTTCTGAAGTCTAGCAACCGCGAACAAGCTCAACAGCAGTTGCTCAGATACCGGTACCTACCGTACACGGTACAGAACACAGTGCACATGCACCCCGGAACGGTACCGTCTGGTCCAGTAGCGTAGACACGGACCACGGACCTCCACGCCGCACGGTACAATGTTCTCCGGTCCATCGTACGGTCGCTGTGCTTACGATACCGTACCATAGGTGATAGACATCAAGTTTACGACGCCCAAGGCTACGTTGCCCAATGGTAGCTACGATTTTCAACATTTGCCGCGATTCGGCGAAGGACCCCCCTCTCTGCCTAGACAACATTGGGGCGCTCGGGTGGAGGTCCCAGCGTTTCAGCGGCGGCCGGTCTGGGTCCAGGCCCGTTATCCAACCAGTAATCGGTGCTCCGCAAAGTGGCGCCGGTGACGATCGGTCGTACAACGTACAAGAGATGCCGGCCAACAAAAGCACCCGGGAGATTGAAGATGTCCACCGAGCCTGGAGGCCTGCGTACCAGGCGCTTAAGTCTACCGCGGTACGTACTGCCGAATTCACCGGGCCGTAGTGTCTAGAAAAGACATGCTCGGTAACCTGGAATTGTTGTTCCCCTTGGTACAAAATAGCGTGCAGTGAGGGTCTAGCCTTGAACCGTCAGATGACATCCGCTATCGATCGGAGGGCTCAAGTAGGCCACGCTGGCAAAAGCAGTGGCACGTCATCCTGTATCGAATCGTGACCAAGTTTGGGCGTCGTAGCCTTGGGCGTCGTAAACTTGATACCTGTATCTATAATTCCAGCTCCCTGCCACCTGGCCCCTGCGCCTGTAATGTAGAAACAGGTACCGCGGGCCTTCACATCCCCGCCTGCAGGCCCGCTGGGGCGTGCGCAAACCCCTCGTAACCAAGTTGTCCACGTGGTCAGAATAGAGAGCGTTCATCGGCCTGACGATCTAGAAAACACGAAATGGGTTTGGCCATAACCAGAATGTAAGGTATCCAGCAGAGCTAAACGGTAAGTACCTTCTGAAGTACCGTAGTACGTGACCGGTATCCGGATTCCGAAAGTCATCCATTGCTGTGTGCACGGCTCCTGCCAGCTCGCTGCCTGGGATGCACGGTACCGGTAACACACATCCAATAGGTAGGACGGTAGGTACCTGGTGGACTCAGCCTTATACGGTACACCTAAAGCCGCCCGCTTTTCGCATACGGTATAGAATTCAGAATGCAAGACAGACGGTAGAGTCGGGGAGACTCGGCTACAGCACTGAGCAGCTACCTAGTAGGTATACCTACCTATATCTCATTAACCAATATGAGATATACCTATACGAAATGATGAGAGTACACGTGTCAAAGGGCGCCAGGTATGCCAACCATATGCCAGATGGCCACTTCTGAGCCCCAAAGTCCGGATAAGCAGGGAAATCTCGTTACAAAGCTCTCTGAATCGTCATGATGTTTGTGACCTGTCCTCGGGAAATTTACCGTACGGCAATGGGCAATGATTACTCAAAGGGTAGCCGGCCGGCTCCGAGGCTCCGGAGTCCGGACGTTTCCCTAACTAAGGCCTAATGCTACCCGCGTTAATTAACGTCTTTCTGGCACGCTTTCGGCGGCTGCGTGCGATCAGTTTGTATCCATGATCACTGGCATTGGATGATCTGTGATCATTCTAGGCCTTCCAAGCCTAATTCAAAACTCCACACTACCGTCGGCAGCATGGTGAGCTAGCTGAGTGAAAACGTCTTCATCCCTTCCAAAGTAGCCGATTGTCGCAAATTGCAACACCACGAGCTCAATTTGTGCAGATGAATAGCCCAGAGTCATTCGCCCTTTTGAAATCCCAATGGCTTGTTCCAACTGTATTGTAAGTTGAAGTCAGCATTAATTTGCGCCTGAATCCCAACCAAAAGTCAGTTGAAGTCCTAGTCCCCTTAGACAGATGTAAACTGGAACTTGCATGGATGTACAAAGGTTAATGATACTCCGACCACAATCCACACACATTGGAATCATCCGGATTTGAGAGCCTGGTATCCGATCTCTGCTAGGACAACGCTTTTCTTGCTTTCCTTGCTTCTTCAAGAGTACTCTAGTCTCTCAGTTTGAGGAACATTCTCTTGAGGATCCTTGCTTCTTGCGAAACGGTCCTTGGGGCCGATTCACCCTCCCCTCGTCCCGCACCTGGCGCCCCGTAGCCGCTGCCTGGGTCGCCGTTGGTTATGCGGGTGGGAATACTCTTCCCGTGCAGGTCGGCCGCGTCGAGAAACGCCATAATCTCGGTGAAAGTCGCATCCTAGAAATAAAAAGGAGCGTTAGACTCGGAGGCTGGCCTGAGCGAGAAGCTAGTTTCGGATCGAGGGTAATTTGACATTCTTCCGCAGGATCCGGCGATGATGGTTTGAACCAGACGCCATTTTCTTCAGCAATACTTTGTGTTTGGGCGGCTTTCCGGGCTGTTTGCAGAAAACCGAGAAAACACCTGGCCGATCAAAAGGAAGCCTCAACGAATAATTTTTGAACCCCCACGAGCATCCTTTGGGTGGTGGGATAAATTGAATACCTGTGGCTCGAGGCCTCCCCATCAGGCGCACATAAGACCTCCAAAAGTCAGGACGCACAAAGGCGATCCGGTTCGCGGAAATTGAACGGATCGCGGTGCAGCCCATAACACGGATACTGAGAGCAGCGAATCCTGGGATAGAAACGAGTCGTCGCTCACCTTGCACACGAGCATGTGTTTGGAGACGCTTTCTATGAAGGCCAGGAAGCACCGCTTGGCGTAGAACCACGTGTCCGTCTCGATCTTCTTTGCGTACGGCTCGAGGCTCTTGATGATCCGGCTGATCCCGAACTCGAAGTTTTGCTTGGCGCAGTACAGCGTACCGATCACCAGGTTGACGATGCACAGGTGGAAGCATAGCTTATACGGGTCCTGCGACTGGACCTTCTCCTCTTCCTTCTCGATCTTGCGCATCAGCTCCTCAGCCGACTCGTTCTGCGGGGAAGCCAAGAGGATTTTAGGGGAGCGGGCAAAGCGTGTCAGGAACCGGAAGCTGTAGGGGTGGTTGACGATTGCAAAGAAGTCTCGTTGGCGCTTTGAACAAGCACCGTGTTTGGACGTGCTGAGAACGGCTGCGCAATTATTATGAACCAATGGTGGATAGAGTGTTGTCATCCGGTGCGGACACACTTGAGTTGAACGGAGCGCGGACGCAAAGGATTCAGCGTGAGCCAAATCCTCCGAAGTGCGGACAAGTCACAAGGACGGATGCGGACGGGAGCAGACGAGAGCGGACAGGACCTGAGGCGGACGGAACGGGAACGGAACGAACTTGCCATCCGACATTAGCGGGCAAAAGCGGACGGGATGCGGACGAAAGCCTGAAACTTATGCATCAGCAACGCAGGCGCTACTGGACGGATTGGCGACGGCAGCGGACAAACTGCGGACAAAGTGCGGATGCGATAGAGATGCTTCAGAAAAGGTTTGGATGGAGCCGGACGGATGCGGGCGGGTTGCAGAGGTTCGTACCTGGCTGGTCATGATGTAGGAGACGCAGAGGTTGGCGAGAACGATGGCACTGACGCTGAGGATGTTGTCCGTGTGCTTTTGGACGATCATCTCGTAATACTTGAGCGCCTCCTTGAACTTGGTCTCCTGTACAAACGGAAAGGAAAAACGGGGAATGAGTTGAACAGTCGAAGAGGGATCAAAATGATTGGCATTGAGGAGTGCGAAGCAGGCGGCTGAGAGGGTCACATGATCGTCCCGTAGTCGTTGAGCGCCTCCTTGAACTTGGTCTCCTGTGACAACGGCAATCGAGGTTGGGAATCTCAAGAACGCAGACTCCTGACGTTATTGTCGAAGTACTAAAAGGCTTCCTTGAACCTGGTCTTCTATGGAACAAATATTGAAGTCACTCATTGGAATCCTTATGTAAGTCGAAGATGACAGGGCTGCGGGGTTTGAAAAAGGGCGTCTGAGCAGGCAAGCCAATTCCTTCGTAATACTTGAGCGCCTCCTTGAACTTGGTCTCCTAGGGATGCAAGGAGGAGGGTCAGTGGCCGAAGTCTGAGAGTGTGAGGCGGCGGCTATAGAAAGGGGTGGAGTATTTTAAAGAGGGGGTCAGATTCCAAGGTGCCCGCACTTGAGACCTACGAGAAAGAGTCATCCACGGCCCACACTTTGCGTCGAGACCTTCGTCGGCGACTCAGCTAGTCCCGGAAGGATCAAGTTGGTCGCCCAGAGGATCGGGATCTTTCTAGGGCTGCCTGTCTGCGCGGCGCCTTCCTTTCGCAACGAAGGCACTCTATGACAACGAATCTTTTGATTCTCACTTGGGTTCAATCTCGTCGCCGACTCCCAACAAGCGTCATGCAGGAAATGGCAAAGAAGCATGCCCCAAGCACAAGCAAGCAAAGCTCGCGAACCGCAGAGTGCATGGAAAACAAGCCACGTGTGCACTGACCTGCATGAAGAACGTGTGCGCGACGTTGAGCTTCCACGTGTCGTGCTCGGAGCAGAACTCGGCGGACTGGCGGAAGATGAGCTCCACCTGGCTGTAGTTCTCCAGGTCCCAGTAGATGCGAGCCATCGCCATCAGCCCAGGAATGTAACTCTGCGGAGAATGGAGTTCAAGTATTACCACTCTATGATCAACGGCTGATGCCCCTCTTGAATAGTCGTCGAACCGCTGAGGAATGTCTTACCCACATCTATCTGTTGAGACTACACTTGCAGTCGAGAAGCCAATTCACGAGCAGACCTTTTATCACGATTGGACCTTGAAAATTCAGAATCCCCTTTTAAGAAACAATCATCTCAGACTCCCACTTGAGTTTGACTCCCGCTCACCTCCAGTGCCTCGTCGTACTCGTTGATTGCCTTCTTGATTGCTTCGTTGTCCCTCGCTTTTCGGCCGTCCTGGATCGACTTGGTCAGCCGCCGAAGGACGTCCACGTGGCGGCTCGCCAGCTCGTCGTACTTCCGATACGCCTCCTGCAGCCGTCCGATCGACACGTAAGTGCCAGGACAAGGGTTTCAATTCCCCTGCGTGCTAGAGAAAGAAAGTTGAAGCACAAACACTCTGAAGCAAGCACTCCCTTCAATAGTGATCGCGGAGACCCGCTCAAGATCCCCCTGGGATTTTTGAACGTAGACCTCGCAACAATGTTGGACAGTTGTTTGGAAGCAAGCTGCCAAGTTGAAGCTTCGAAGACGTTGACGCCTTCGCATGACGAGACGCGACGAATGAGATTATGCGCTTTCCGAAGCTACTGCGTTTACGCATTTCAGCGCTCCAGGGATATGGCTTTAAAGTAAAATGTTTAGAGGTTAAGAGTCCAGGAAATATGAGTTTAGGGTTCAGGGTTAAGCGCACCTCCGGCACGGTCTGCCGCAGAATGGTCGCGTCCAGGTAGTCGTACAGGTCACGTGACAGGTGCGTGTACGTCAGGTGCGTGTTCTCCGCCATGACGTCAGCGGCCAGATCGTAGAACTGGTGCGTCGGCTTGCAGTAGAGCAGCAGCAGGTTGCCGAACGTTTCAGGGGGAAACGGAGGGTTCTGCAAGGGGAGTTTGGGGAAGGACGAAGTCAGAGAGACTTGCAGGGGCAATAGTAGGGGCAAGCGGCAACGTTTAGTTGGCCGCTGTTACACGGGCCCATTACATTGAGAGGGAACGAAGCCACAGGTTTTCGGGCTTGGCTCGAGAAACCTTGAAAGAGCGCCTGAATGTCCAGCGTCGCTTGATTGTCGGTTTGCTGTGTTAACTCTCAGATCTGCTCTTAGGCGCTCACGCGCCTGGAGTCATCACCGCTCGCTCACCCACCTCAAGACGGTGAAATGCTTATAGGCCCATACCGGAAGAATAGAATAACCGCGCACTAAACCCCACCTCATGGAAAAGATTGACTTTTCTGAGTCCGGTGGTCGGACCCTCGTCCATGCACATAAGCTCCTCATGGTCACTGGTTCAAAGCTTACCTCAAAATTGCTTGTAAGCTCTTGCTGATTTACCCGAAGTGATAAGCGCTCGCTAACCCACCTGAAGAAGGAAGTCAAGCTTCCTAAATCCGGTCGTCGGGTCCTCGTCCATATACATAAGCGCCTCGTTGTGCAACGTCACCAGATCAAAACCCGCCCCTTAAGCCCTCAACACTGCTCATAAGCGCTCACTAAATCTTATTAACCGCTCACTAACCCACCTGAAGAAGGAAGTTGAGTTTCCTAAACCCGGTGGTCGGGTCGTCGTCCATGTACATAAGCGCCTGATTGTGCAGCGTCACCGGATCGAGCTCCTCCTCTGACCGGGGCGGCATGTCGTTCAGCGCTTCCTTAGCCGCGTCCGTGCTTTTCATGACGTATTCGATGGCGGCCTTCAAATTGAACGCCTCGATGAGCGCGCTCTCGCGCAGCGTCTGGCTGTTGCCCACGCTGCGGACCTCCAGGCCGTCCATGTAGCTGCGGACACAAATTGGACGGTCAATTCGGACGGTTTTCTAGTCCAGGCCGTCCAGTAGCTGCGGAGGGATCACAACGGGCGTTCGATTCGGGCGTTTTCCAATCGAGGCCGTCCAGTTGCTGTGAACGGACACAAAATGGACGGTCGATTCCAACACTTTTCAAACCAGGCCGTAAAGTGTAAATTTGATTTTAAAGCGGACGGTCGATGCGGACGCTCCTTGAAGTGTCTGGCTGTTGCCCACGCTGCGGACCTCCAGGCCGTCCATGTAGCTGCGGACACAGATCGGACGGTCAATTTCGGAAGTTTTTTTATCCAGGCAGTCCAGTAGCTGCGGAAGGACCACAACGGACGTTTGATTTGGACGTGTGTCGATCCAGGCCGTCCATGTAGCTGCCGACGCAGAACGGACGGTCGATTCAGACGTTTTTCAAACCGGCCGTGAAACTTTGCTTCGGTTACAAACGGACGGTCAATGCAGACGCTCCCTAAAGTATCTGGCTGTTGCCCACGGTGCGGACCTCCAGGCCGTCCATGTAGCTGGGGACGACAAATCGGACGTTCGGATCGGACGGGTTTGGATTATTGGCCTCCACTTAGCTACGGACACAAGACGGACGCTTGATTTCGACGTTTTGCGACTCAGGCCGTCACTTAGCTGCAGATGGAGACGAAACTGACGGTCATTCCGACCTTTTCAATTCGGCCATAAATCTTTGCTTCGAATACAAAACGGACGGTCAATGCGGACACTCCTTCAAGTGTTTGGCTGTTGCCCACGCTGCGGACTCCAGGCCGTCCATGTAGCTGCGGACACAAAACGGACGTTCATTTCGGACCATTTTCAAGACGGGCGTCGTGAGACCTGTAACGCTTTGGCCACCAGATTGCCCGCATGCAGTATTCCGGGTCGCTCGGACCTCAAGGGCATCCATTTACGTACCTGCCCAGACAAAACGGACCTTCGATTCGACAGATCTCTTCAGGCCGTCCACTTAGTTGCGGACACAAAGCGGACGGTCACTTGGGCAGTCTTCTAAGGGCGTAAAATGGATGTTTAAATTGGACAGTCGAGAAATAGGCGTCTCTGATCCAAACTGCGGTTGGAACCGGATAGGTCGAGACTTGGGAGTAGCACGACGTGTCTACGCCCCCTCATGCACAGTTGAAAGGTCACGGACGTAGCCGAGCGTTCCATCCCGAGTATTGGACCGTTGAACCCGGTAGATGCGCATTTTGAGAGATTGCATTTTAGACGCCACTTCAAAGCTCGGCATCACCATAATCTCGTATCAAAGGCATAGGAGTGTTGAAGGGTCAAAAGAAAGGGGTATTCTAGGCAGTGGACGCCACTGGGGGGCCAACGTGTTGTTTCCCTCGAAGAGAGTCTTTTGACCAACCCAGGGCCGCCTTTCGAGCGGGGGCGGTTTCGCATCTTTTCAGAATGCGATTTGTTCTGCCCGGTCAAATATTCTGCAAAATCCACATGCTAGCTTCAACGGCCAGCGCAATTGTGGATTTCGAAGAGACTCACCTGCCAACACTCAACTCCGGGTGATCCCTCACGCCCTTTTCGATGATCTCGGCGACGTGCTTGAGCGCCGGGCCGAATTGCTTCTGGCGGTAGTAGCAGAGAGCGATGTTGTACGTCAGTTCCGGCTGGTCGCCTAAAACCGACGCCGCGTCCCCAAACCTGCGGTTTAGATTCGGGTTAGCGACGTAACTAAGTGCAAACCAACTGCTTCTGGCGGTAGTAGCACAGCGCAATGTTGAACGTCAGCTCCGGCTGGTCGCCCAGAACCGACGCCGCGTCCACAAACCTGCGGTTTAGATCCGGGTTAACGATGGTTTTGAGGTCCATTTATACGAGACTAACAAGCTGGATTGGGAGCGAAAGAGTGAAAGACAAAGGCGTTGGGAGGACTCGAAGCTTTCTCTTGACGGAGAGTGCCTCGAAAAGGAATCAGACGTCTTAGTGGGGTCGCAGGCGGAATAAGTGGAGCAGTGTCTTTGGGTGCCGGTGTGTTTTTCTGACAATCAAAATTGAGGAACTTCAATCGTCCTTTTCAAAAACTATATGGCAACTACCCAGGTTTGAGCTTCGTCTTTGACCCTTCGCTTAGACATTCAATTGAGGCAACTGCTTTTAACAGACGGAAACCTGCTTATCATTCTCGATCGCTTTGATGGACTCTTGCATCGAACCCTGGGCTTTCGCAGATCAAAGACGTTCAGCTTGCGAGGTCTTCAAGACTCGCACCCGAAGGAGGACCTTTTCAGATAGGTAGGCCCTTACTTGGCGTGCGCCTCGGCGTACTTGCCCTCCTTGTACAGGACGCACCCCATGTTCACCGTCACGCTGACGTCATCGGGCGTGCACTGCTCGAGCATCATCTTGCAGCCTGCGTTCATAGTCGTCTGCTTTCGTCAAGGTGTGATTCAAGAACCCATAAGCTATGGTCATTCACGGGTTTCTGTAACGGATCGTGACTGAGGCTATGTGCCGTCGATAGCAGCAGAGACGTCTACGAGTAGCCATAAGCTATGGCTGTGCTCAGGCTGTGCAGTAGACTGCGGCTGCCCTTTGAAAGTTGAACAAAGCATTGCAAGGATTATGACTATCCTCAAACTCGCGTCCACCCCCCTTTTACCTTCCCTCATCTTTACCCCCCTCGCAAGCTCTTCCTCGTTACCTCCGAGTCCGCCTCTACGTCCGTATCTTATCTGCCTAATTACGGATTCCTCGTACCTCTGTTCGCAAGCCCTTGTAAGTCTCGTAAGCTCTGGCGCGCTGCATAATGCAATCACGAACCTCTGTGCATAAAGGCGTACCTGGAATATCGTCCTGCTCATACTTGATGCACGCTTGCAGGTTCATCATCCGTTGCCGGAACCCGTCGACGGCCGCGCCAGCCTTTGCAGCCTCCGGAAACATTCCTGCCTGCATGAGACAACCTTACTTAACTAAGTGATTATGTGAATTATGAACCGTCAAACGAAAGGAGAAAAACCAGTCAAGAGCCGAGTTAGTAAGGATGACTAGGAAGACTGGACCGCATCATTGGGGGACTCCAAGAATGCTTCGGTAATGTGAGGTCGGGGCGCTGCAAGTATGCACTGGAATGGATATCTTCAGAACTACAGGCTTGTCCTTTGACAACCCGTTTCCACGGCTCTGCCGGAACCTCCTCAGTCAATTCAAAAACTCTGAGTCCAGTAACATCTAAAGCCGTTTCTCCAGCCAACCCGTTCATGCGGATTCTAAGTCCTCCCCCAAATCGATCCCTGAAAGCCTACCTTGTACAGAGACTTTGCATAGTGCACTTTGTAGTCGTCGATGTCGGGATGCAGCCGAATGAGCTGCTCATACATAGACGCTGCCTCGGGGAACATTCCGAGGTAGTAGTAGCAGTAACCCAAGAGGGACAGCGCGGCGCGGCTCTCGGGATTGAACTGCAGCTGCTGTTCCAGTACTCTGCAAAAGGAAAGAACAAGACTTCTTTGATTGTTCCATGCTTTGCAAGTGGAAGGAGAAGACTTGTTTGTTACCGGACGCTGCCTCGAGGAACATGCTCAAGTAGTAGTAGCAGTATCCCAAAAGGGACAGCGCTGCGCGGCTCTTGGGATTGAAATGTAGCTGCTGTTCCAATACTCTGCAAATGGAGAAACAAGACTCTGTGTGATTGTTTTTTAACGTGCAACCGGAATCAGAAGACTCTCTGGGATTGAATCTGACCTACTGAAAGGCGATTCGTTTCAAAGATCCGTTACGTTGCTTACTTAACATTGGAAGCTCGCAGGTGTGACTCACGATTGCTTCGCCCGGCAAATATAGCCGGACGCTTTAATCTGGGCTCTATTCTGGGACACTTTCTGTCCCAATGAATGATGTTCTCAGAATGAGAGTCATTTGACAAATGTTTGGAAAATGTCGTATGTTGGTTCCTTATTGGGCAGCATCTATTATGATAAGGTGGTTGAAAAAAAAGTAAAGTGGCGAGGGCGTTGCGGTGTTGTAAGACACTGCTGGACGTGCATTTTTGAAGGCAGCTTTATGTCTCCAGGTAAATACAATGATCAAATACATGACCAGTATCCCAGCCCTTTGAATGTTTGGCATACTCTTTCTTAGTTTTGGAGAAATCTCTGCGTAGTAAGGCATCAAGATCCATGTATTGGTGCTTGCCGTGATAGAAAGCACATCGAAGAAAGCACCACCACTGCAAACTGATTCAGCGCCTCCGCAAGGCGCCCGCATTCAATTCTTGGTACTGAGCCTTTTTACTGATTTAAGACAACTTCTGAAGTGCTTAAACACACCTGCTTCTTGGAGAAACAAATCGTTTCTTATGCATTGAAACAATCCAAATTTTATGTGGCCGCTTCAGAGACCATCAATAGTCACACGAGGAGAAAGTCTTTCCCTCCGCTCCTTAGGTTAGCTGATACTGCTCTTGATAGTGCAAAAGGTGCCCCACCAGCGCAAATTGTGAGAACTATCTTTCTTAGACACACCACCACTCGAAATGCATAACACTCCTTGACCAGTTCCACATACGTGGGGCTCAGCCAACTCAAATTTATAGCAGGCTTACTGACAACCACAACCACCTCAAGACATTCCCAATGAGTTACAAGTAGACAGGAACCAGAAGATCAAATTGAGCACGATAAAGAGCTGCAAGAAGTGCGCTAGGCAGTCTGCCACCAAGGACTTGTTCCTTTCAGACTTTTTAGGGTTTGCACGCCACCGTCCAGCTCTAGTTGCTAGCTCCAGATTGATGAAACATGCATTGAACAGAAGGAAGTGAGACTCACTGAGCAACTTCTTTGTGTTTCCCGTCTTTAATCATGCCGTACACGCTGCTCGTGACCTGCCCGTCCTGTATTCGGACCGGGGGTGGCCCGCTCCCCAGGCCCCCAGCCAAGGGCCCCCCCATGCCCATAGCTGTCCCCGGGGGGCCACTCATGCTGAGCTGCCTCCTTTACCAGCTCAATCTACGGTCGCTGACCATTAGTTCGAAACTACATAGCTCTTGCCTAGCACTCTTCGGTCAAAAGTGTTCCGCAGCTTTGAAAAGGGCTCCGGAACGGCGTCCCAAACTCCTGCCAATCAACGTTGCCTGCAAAGCTTTGTAATTAGCTTCCTCTCAAAAAATACTGCTTGCAGGTTTTGGAACTTGCTGCAAGCACATTCGGGAGCTTTCTGTAGGTACCACATGCATCAATTCTACGAGGTCGACCGAGAAGCATGTATCACAATCAGCTACTCCAAAATCTCCTCAAAGTTCAAACAGATTAGCAGGTTATTCCACTTTGCTGTAGACCTGGAAGGCCCGTCTTTTGTCAAAGAACTTGCTGGCAGTCATTGCTCTTGGCAAAATGCGTTTTTGACGTTTTTTGTTCAAAGTACCTACTTCGAAGCGCAGCAAGAGAAGACTCGGAGAAGACTGGGAGATGCCGGCCTGCAGGGGGCCTTGCGCCGGCGGCCTGCCTGCCGATTGATTCATCTCGGCAAGGTGACGCACATTTTTGACGGACCGGATGAGCGTTTACATATCATCGAGCGGTTGTGACTCGCGCCCTTGAAGAGGGGGACGGTCCATTCGACATTGGGACCACATGATCGATGCACCGTCATTGCAGGGTATAATACTATTGGTATTACCAGGTACGGTAGTATTTAAGTAGTATTAGCTTTTGCCTCTGCAGCGCAAGGGATGGCGCTTCCTGTGAGCTTTGGTGACTGCTTGAAGCTAGTGCACTCAATCCAGCAGATTGCTGCTGACGTTCAGGTAAACAAGAATCTCTCCCGGCAGCTTGCTTGGTGGGCCGGCATTGTCCATGGCGTGCTGTCTGAGGCGCAGAAGAAGGCAAGCTGAGTGCAATTGCCCAAATTGCAACGCTTAAATCGGTCCTCACCGATGCGCAGGCCCTCCTCATAGAGTTTGCGGGCACAAAATGGATGCGGAGAATGTGGACAAGGGCGAAGGATTTCCAAAGTTTTCAAAACATCCATCTTCAGTTGGATGCGAGCGTCCAGGCTTTAGCACTGGAACTGATGCTTAACATTGCAGTTCCAACGGTTAGTGTTGAGGAATTAGAGGAGAACGAGGAGGCAGACCTGGAGGAGGACAGCGTCACAGTCAAGCGGCTGCAGGAAGTGGCCAATGAGTTTCCTAGTCAGGATGGGAAGATGGAAGCTTTGTTGGCAGAGTGGTCGGAGGTCCTCAGCATGAGGCAGAGCGCTCCGAGGGCAAGCAAGGTCCCTGAACTTCCTGCAGGTTTGAAAAGGGAGGAGCTGACAGTTGGATCTAGGATTGGGGCGGGGGGATTCGGCATTGTGTATGAGGGGCAATGGAACGGCACCCCCGTCGCTGTCAAGGAGCTCCCCTACGGTGCAGACCTTAGCGAGGATGAGAGGTATGCCTTCAAGAAAGAGGCTGCTTACCATGCCGATCTCAGGCACCCTCACGTCGTTCAGGTCTTTGGGACGTGCACAGACGACCACCCATTCTACATTGTTATGGAGCTCATGAGCGGGGGCAGCCTGGCGAGCCTCATTAAGAGGAGAATCAGCGGGCATGCGGCAGGGGGGGCGGGGAGCCCTTTTCAGGTGTAGGTGGCCCGTGACATAATGCTCCAAATTGCCAGAGCCATGGTCTATCTTCACAGCAGGCAAATTATCCACCGAGACTTGAAGGCGGCAAACATCTTGGTCAGGGTTCTGGATGAGAGCACTGGAGCGTGCGATGTCAAAGTTGCAGATTTTGGCTTGGCCACAGTGAAAACAGCAACTTCAGTGCACATGTCAAGGGCTGGCACAGGCCGCTGGATGGCCCCAGAGGTTGCTGACGACGGACCCTACTCAGGGAAGTCCGATGTTTACAGCTTCGCGGACCTGCTTCGAGATCCTGAGTGGGGGCGTGCCTTTCAGCAGCCTGAAGACAGATATGGCCGTCATGAGGGCGGTTGACAGGGGGGTGCGGCCGGAGCTTCCTGAAAGCTGCCCTGCCGAGCTGCGGGCGCTCGTCGAAAGCTGTTGGCAGCAGGACGACAGGGTGCGGCCGGGCTTTGCAGAGATCTGCAGCAGGTTGGTAGAAATGGGGGCGCTCGATAAGCCAGAGGGGGTTGTTCAACCGGGCGGCCAGGTACTTCCACTGGCAGCCACAACGGAAGGGGAGCTGGAAGGCAAAATCCCAAGCGAGACGGCGGTTGAGAGCCTAGACGATGTCAAACGGAGGGCTGCGGGAGGAAGTCCGGGAGCGCAGTACGAGCTGGCGCTGTGTTACTACGTTCCTCGGTTAGGTTCTCCTCTAGATTTCAGCCAGGCGGTTGAGTGGTTGAAGAAAGCGGCGGATGGAGGGGTGTCAAGAGCTCGTGCATTGCTTGCGAGATGTCACTTTGATGGGGTCGGGCTTGCAAAGGATGAAGTGAAGGGTGTCCAGTTGGCAAAGATGGTTGAGGAGGACCCCCTGGCAAAGTGCGTTTTGGGAGGGGCTTACTTGGTTGGCCAAGGGGGTGTCGAAAAGAGTGAAGCAACTGCAGCGACTTTGTTTGCCTCTGCAAAGGAGCTTCTGGAAGTACTTGCTCAAGACTCTGAGGTAAGGGCAGAAGTGCATGTTCCGGCAGATTCGTTTGGCCTGCTCCTTATTGTGGGCATTGTTGCTTGAAACATAAGTATTCATTGTGGGAGTACACAAGCACTACTTTCTGTGGACCTGCAAGGGTGACTGCAAAAGTCAGGTGTTCTGCTTTCTCATCCATTGAAGCTGACCTTCCGCTTATAATTTGATGCAACAGTTTCAGCAGTAGAGCACTTTTTGCCACGTTACTACTTCACAGTAGTCAGCATGCGACTTACTACTTGCCTTGCATCAAGCACACGTAGCACAACAAAAACAGAAGCGATCAGGTGCCCCTTCTTACGAGTATGCCAGAATCCTGTGGCTCAGTGATGGTGCGGTATTCCTTCTGGCTATGGGTTCTTCCTTTAGATTGTCAACCCAAAGTCCTAAGAAGAGTTACTTGTCAGCTTCCTTTTCTGCTAGAAGTCATGCAGAGGGCCTACGCAACCTGCTGATTTTTAATAATTGAGCTTGGGTTGACAATTTCTCTTGTGATCCTCCAAACCTTTGATTTCATATATGAAATCAAAATGTCCAGCAATTCTTTTCGCCCAGGTCTCCCAACCTCTTCTTACATTGCTCTTGGATCTTGCGCAGTCATAGTCTTAAAGAAACAGAGAACTGTAAGTCTATGTTTTTGTCACTCCTCAAGGACTTCCTTGAAAAAGCTGATGCTTGTTCCGGTTAGTTTTCTCTTGGTACACTTGATTCAACGTGCGCGTATGTCGCTTAGTCCAGAAAATTAACTCGTTGTTTCTTATCGAAGGGTTGTGCTGACGGACCCAATGCTTTCCCCGCCGTAGGCACCAGACCTCCCCGTGATCCAGGCGAGCCTTGGAAACTTCTTTTTGTACGGGCGCGGGACACCGACAGACTCCGACAAGGCCTTGGCATTGTACGAGAGGGCTGCCGAGCAAGGGCATGCTGCCGCGCAGTCTGATCTCGGTGATTGCTACTTCATCGGCCAGGGAACGGAGCAGGACGAAAAGGTAGCCGTAGCATGGTACGAAAAAGCCGCCGAGCTAGGGTTTGCAGGCGCCCAGTTCCACCTAGCCCGATGCAAAGAGCGCGGCCGGGGCACCTCCCAAGACGCGATCGGAGCTTCCCGGTGGTACTCCACTGCTGTGGAGACATGGGGCAGAGGGGATCTTGCCCGGTGGTTCCGTCAGAACACCCGTGCGGGCCTTGGCGACGCACTCAGGGTCGACGCTTTCAGCAGGGAGTTAGTGTGGAGAGTTTCTCAGATGAGGCTTGCATGCTTGGGTCACTGTTCTCTCAACACGAAGGTTCTGGCGGCCACTTTGCAGCAAGGAAGCCCTGCGTTGCAGATGCTGGACCTGAGTAACAACGAGATTGGAGCGCAAGGGGCCCTCAAACTGGCGGCTGCCCTAGAGCAGGGGTTCCTCCCAGGGCTGCAAACGCTCCACCTTGGGTGCAACAAAATTGGGGAGAAAGGGGCCCAAGCGCTGGCAGGCGCCCTAGAGCGAGGATCCTTCCCGGCGCTGCGGGTTGTGGACCAGAACGAGATTGGAGTGCGAGGGGCCCAGGCGCTGGCAGTCGCTCTAGGACGGGGGTCCTTCCCGGTGCTGCAAACGCTGAGTCTTCGGAAGAACGAGATCCGGGAGGGGGGCGCCAAGGCGCTGGCGGCCACCCTAGAGCGTGGGTCCTTTTTGGCACTGCGGGCATTGCACCTCAGTTGGAACATGATAGAAGCGCAGGGGGCCCAAGCGCTGGCGGACGCCCTTGAGTGGGGATCCTACCCAGCGTTGCAAGAGTTGGACCTCGAATCAAACACGATAGGAGAACTGGGGGCCCGAGCGTTGGCGGCTGTCCTAGGGCGGAGGTCCATTTCGTTTCGGCTGAAGGTCTTGAACCTCGGTATGAACGAGATTGGAGTGCAGGGGGCCCTTGCACTAGCGGGCGCCCTAGAGCGGGGATCCTTCCCACAGCTGCGGGCGCTACACCTAATGGCCAACGCGATTGAGGAGCAGGGCGCCCAAGCGTTGGTACTAGCACTCGAGCGGGGGTCCTTCCCAGCAATGCGAGAGTTGTCCCTCAGTAAGAATAAGATCGGAGCGCTGGCGGCCCAGGTGCTGGCAGGCGCGCTACAGCGGGGCTCCCTCCCAGCGCTGCAGGTAGTGGATCTTGGCGAGAATAATATTGGAGCGCGGGGGGCCAGAGCGCTGGCAGACGCCCTAGTGCGGGGGTCCCTCCCGAAACTGCAAGAATTGGACCTCAATTGGAACGACATTGGCGCGCAGGGGGCCCAGGTGCTTGCAGCCGCCCTAGGCCGGGGGTCTTTCTCGGCGCTGCAAACGCTAAACTTCGGGGGAAACGGGATCGGGGCGCAGGGGGCCCAAGCCCTGGCAGGCGCTCTCGAGCGGGGTTCTTTCCCGTCACTGCAGACGCTGCATCTACGGACAAACGCAATCGGGGATCAGGGGGCCCAAGCGTTGGGGATTGCCCTAGAGCGGGGGTCCTTCCCAGCACTGCAAACGCTCACCCTTTGGAATAACGAGATTGGAGCGCAGGGGGCCCAGGCGCTGGCGGCTGTCCTAGAGCAGGGGTCCCTCCCGGCGCTACAAATGCTGGACCTCGGCAAGAACGAGATCGGAGTGCAGGGCGCCCAAGCGCTTGCGGCCGCCCTAGAGCGGGGCTCGTTCTCGGCGCTGCTCGACCTAAGGCTCTCGGGCAACGGGATTCGCGAGGAGGGCGCCGAAGCGCTGGCGGCTGCTTTGAAGCGGGGTTCCTTCCCGGCGCTGCAAACGTTAAACCTTGGGGGAAACGAGATCCGGGAGCGGGGCGCCCGTGCGCTGGCGGCCGCCTTGAGAAAGAGACCCTGCCCAGCACTACGAAGCCTTACCCTCTGGCACAACGGGATCAAGGAGGAGGGGCGTCTCATGCTGGAGGCCTCACTCCCCGGTGTCGCTATAGATTGGTAGTGCACCCGTTTGTATGACAGGTTCGTATTCACGCTCCAAAGCAAATCTTTGACTCGAATTGCTTTTCCATTTAGACGCTCGATTCATCACGTCTTAAGGAAGCAGGCCATTGCGCGAGGATAAGATCAGGTCCGTTTTGCTTCACAATTGCACACGCGGATCATGATCGCAAGCGTATGTGTACACCCTTTGTTCTTTTCTTTTCGCATGTGGAGAGCCCACACCCTCTCATTTGGAAAGGGTTTGCTTACGGAATCGTGATTCTCTAGGTAGTGGCTCGGACTGGTAAAACACCGGATCCGTCCCCGGAATCATCATTAGTTTTCGGTCGATTTCTTACACAGAGTTTCATAAAGAAGTGTCTCTGACCTTTCCGAGGGGCCCTGAACAATCTCTGGGTTTGGTCGCCTCAATCATATTCTTGGGTAGGGGTAACAGTTTTTGCCGAGTCTCCCTAAAGCCAACTTCTGGGTCGGTCGATGGCAGTCGATTGCTGTCGATCGTTCTTAAGGTGATTTGCGGCTTGACCATAAGGTCGGATCTTGTCTCCAAACCAGTTTTCTGAGCTGACGGTTAAGGAGTCTTGGCAGCGACGGTCGCAGTCTTCGCGGACTTCAGAAACAACGTGTAAATAACTTTTCAGCTTTCAGTGCCCGGTATTTCGCGAACTGGAATCTGAACAACAAAGCAAAGGGAAGCTACTAAGGTGTTACTCTCGAAAAAGCGCTTGTTCAGAGGTTTCCAAAAGCATTCAGTACTACTTGGAGCATAGGACTGCCCTCTGCGAAAGTCGAGACCCTTCTAATGACTAGATCTTTCTTGAGTTTCTTTCTGGTACGCTAAGCGTTGATCAGAACCACAAACGTCGTTGTTGATCGACCCCTAGTCTCTGCTCCGCACTGAAAAGGACCCCCGCCCTTCTGCAGGAAACTGTCGCTGCCTGACGTCATTGCGTCTGCATTGCTGTCGAGGATCTGGTGGAGTTAACGTTAAGTTTTGCACAGGTGCTTGGTGTGCATAGTCAGTGGTTCTTTATCTATTATGTCAGTGTTCGAGGCTTGTAGCTTGTTGAAAGTGGCCTTCGGAACGCTTGAACACCTTCGAGTGCACCAGATGAGTGCGTGGGACAAAGTAGCCCCACTGTAAAATCTACATTATATGCTGTTCAATAGGTATAGGCCTAACCCTGACGTACCAAGCCTAGGGTGGCACACTAAATTCGGGTTGCTTGGTTTCTCGGGTAAAGCATACAAAGCCGTTTTAGATAGATCTGTTTGTCACCCTACGAGTACCCTGTACATCACAGAAGGCCAAAAGCTGGTCACAATTCGGTCGTCCATCGCAGCTGCCGGTTTTGACTGCATTAGCATAGACCCGCCCCCATTCAACATGACTGGCACGGTACTAAGTATTTAGATCCACGTGTACGCTGATGCCGTGTATATAGACAACTATACGTGTACCGTACCGTTCGTGCAAGGTGTTTTACAATGGTGGCTGCGCGCGGACCGGCGGCCGCATGCGCGACTTGTTTGTTTCCATAAATGATATAGGAACGTCTGATCATGCCATTTTGATGTGTGACTATAGCGAAGTGCGCGACCGTCGTGCATGCATATATGCCCAATATCCGGAATATGAAAGTATTGATCAAGTCGATCTCCAGCATGACTATAGTGCTAGTGTCACTAATTGAACATGTTGTCCCGACTCCTGAACAGGGACTTACTGCCCAGCGCACGTATCATTACGTCCGACCGACCAGCTCCGAGTCGATCCACGTCGCGAATCATTCGCGCTGACGAGATTACTTGCCGGCATTGAAACTTAGGGTGCAGCTTTTGTCCTTGGGATTTGTCGAATCCATATAACTGCTTCATGATGCACTGAGCGCAAGAATCACCAGTACAGGCTCAGATCGACGATCCTGGCTAACGAACATGGCGGTCTGGTGTTCCAGATCCCCCATTTCAGCGAGCGCAGTTGGAGATAAGATATACCATTTCCTCAAAGAGCAGAGAGCTCGCTAGGGCATCGAAGGTCCATCAGTGGAGTTAAGGGTTGCATCCATGTTGCCTTGATAATTCCAAGCACCGATTTTCGCTTCCAAGTTCCTTGATTCATGACCACTGTTTCCGTGCATTTTTGCCAGGAAAGGCCCCTTACCTACGTAAATACATCTCAATAGCATAACAAGTACCTAGCTAAACCACTCTTCCGACAAGCTTTATGCGATTCCCGGACACACTATGAGCCATATGCTTGCTGCGCCGGCGGCCGAGTCCCTCCCGCCCCAGACACGTCTTTCAAGGCCCCGGAAACTCTTTCTAATATCTCGGGTGTGTTGCGCTTGTCAGTCAGCCACAGGACGATCTCGCGGTTCTCCTTGTTCACGAAGTCGGGCGCCTTCTCATTTCTCTGCAACAGTAGATAAAAGAAGCCTTTCGAGTGCCAAGCGAAGGATGCTTTTGATCCCAAATTCTAACACGCCTTCAGCTATTGTGATGAGTCGACTTCGAAGCACTTCGCAAACGCAAGTAGAGACGAGCGTGTTCCACTGCTCATCGACGCTTTCTGCTTAGCAGTCATACACCTCAAGGTAAGGGCTTGAAATAAAAAACACCTTCGAAGCAAGTCAAGACAAGGAGAAATATGACCAAAGCATGGAGCCGCAAGTCCCTTGCCCCTTTCTCAGCAACGACAACGACCCTTGAAAGCTAGCAAGCCATACGCGATACGACACCGTGCCCTTAAATTCCTTTCATCCTGCTCAATCCGTACGGGGCCCAGACTGGGCTCTTACCTTGCCGACCCGGTTGTCGTACCAATTGTGCGGGTTCTTGAAAACGTCCTCCCACAGATCCATGTACTCTTGCCGCTCCATTTCGGCGACGTACGCAAACCTGGACCAAAGATCGTTGTGACGTAAGTTCCTCTAAATGGCGGGTCAAAGGAGTGACGGTTTCCTCTGTGCATCTTGCAAAAGATTCCTCTGAATTGATTTGGGTCAGTACTCGGAAAGCGGCAACATAATCAACAACCAGGACATTCGAACGGAACGCAAGACGGCGCTAAAGCCGGGACGTGTGCCTATCTTGGCAAGCTTAAAGAGGACGATGCGCTGAGATTTTGCTGAGGTGTCAAGAATTGCAACACCTGTTTGACAACGGTGCGATCGACGACACGTCGCAGTCGTTTTGGGCGTGCGACCAATCGTTAATTCTATTTTGGAAGCTTCGGAAGCTCTCGCGCTTTAATTGACTCACATGTTTTATCCAACACAAACAATTCAAGTGTCTTCGAGATAATTTTCCTTGTTATGGTTTCCTCCTCACCTGCCGTCTAAGTCTTCCAGCGCTTCTCTTGACACCAGGTAGTCGGGCGCGTTCGGGTCGCTGATCTTGAGGCCTTGTTTCGTCTCCCGGTGCGTGAAGTCGGGGGCGTCCGGGTATTTCTGCGGGCAAAACAAGGCCTTAGAAACCTGCCGGGTCTACTCCGTTTAGAACCGCTACTCTTCAGAAGGATTGCTTGTCCCTCACCCATTAGACTTTCTGTTCCGAGTAGACTTGGCTTTGTCTGAGGCCAATTCGGGTTAGCAGGCACATCAGTAGATACAGAATCTGCCGCGCAGGAGATAGAAGGTTCAAGTACGACGTTGACAGGTCATATATTTGTCACAAGTGAAAGGAGGCAAATCATGTGCTAGTATGATAAGTCCGGCTTTCAAATGTTCTAAGACCTGAGGTTGTAATTTTAGATTGTTAAGACGGAATCCTTAAGGCCTCGAGATGTCACAGCTGCGGGCCCATATCGTCATTCGAGAAGCGCTTGTCATGCTCGCTGGGATACCAACAACTAGAAGGAGGAGACACAATAAAAGGAAAGAGGAAACACCCGCTGGACAAGATGGTAAAACCACCATGGAAGATTCGCGGAGGTATCAAGTGGAGAGCTTGAATCAAAATCAAATCAAGTCACCGGAAGCCGCACTCAAAGAAAGGGAGAAGACAGAACGAAACACGAGAATACGAAGAAGAGGAACTCAACTTGTTTCTCCAATTGTTCCGTACTGTCATTCGACCAAGCCGGTCTTCAAAGGTGCGCACCAGCATGAAAACCGATGAGCAGATGAAGGGACCGCAGAGAACGAGGACACCTAACAACCGCAGAAGTAGGTGCTATAACGGCAGTCCGAAACCAACTCAGTAGATGAAGACGAGGGTAATAAGCCAACCTTGTTTCTCCGGTTGTCCCACCACAACCAATAAAGATAACAAAGTCGGAAAGAAGAGAGATACAGAACGAGAGAACGACAGACGAACAGACCAAAATGAAAACGTTCAAAGCCCACCTTGTTTCTCCGGTTGTCCCACCAGGACCCAGGGTCTTCGTACAGGTTCTCCCACATTTCCTCGAGCGTCCAATCCATTTGAGGCCCCGCTGACGGGGTTTCCTCCGCCAGGCGGGTCAGGACGTACGGGGGCGTGCGCCGGTCGTCGATCCACAGGGCCTCCTTGGTTTCCTTGTGCTTGAAGTCGGGGGCGCGCGGATTGGTCTGCAACCAAGAAAATTTCGTTAGGACTTTAAACTAGTGGCCTCAGAAGGGGACTACGAAAACAATTACCACTTGAGACAGGAACTCTCCGGATCTTGTAAGTGGCTGGAGACTGTTTGGGCAGGGAATGAAGAAGACGGAAAGTCAAGAGAGAAAGGGAGAGAAATATGAGCTTGTGAATCAGGGACAATTTGCATGATTCCGGTTTCGAAGTCGACTAGAAAGCCTCCAGGTTTTGATCAAGTCGGAGGCCGCAATTCAATTGAGCGGAAGATATCCTGAGGGCCAAAATCGCGAATAGCTAAGTACTGAAGAGATCTCTGTGACCAGGTGACGTGAAACGCAAAGATCTTTCCCTCACGCGGACTTTGCTATATCAAAGCTGCAAATCCTGATCTCGAAACCCTCTCTCCGCCCCCAAGCGCTTATGTTACCCCTCGGTCCAATCAGTGCAAAGACCCAAACCTCAAGCCAAAAGCCCAAAACCCAGAAACCGGACCCAAACCTTAAAACCCCAAACCCCAAACCCCGAATACCAAACCTTGGACCCTCACCTTGCCCTGCCGGTTATCCCACCACTGCGACGGGTCAGCGAAGTAACTCTCCCACATCTCCTCCTTGGTGCGTTGCCCTAAGGGGGCGCTTGTAGCAGGGCCGGCGGTTGAGGTGGAGGCGTAACTGGACCCCCCCGAACCGAAACCCCCTCCTTGGGAGGCGTAACTAGGCGCCGCTTGAGAGTTTTCCATGCCCATAGGTTCCGCGACTAGGGCCAAGTCGTCAGCCACGATCTGGAAACGGGGGGTGAGAGGGTATTGGCGGTTTGCTTTTGAAAGCTGGGATTGAAAGACGTGAAACTGAGCTCTCCGATGTACCACGCTTGAAGACTTCGTAAGTCCACTTTCGCGGACTGCTTTTTCGTCACGGTTTGAACGACTTTGCCAAGGAAATTTGTACAAAGTAGAGTAATTTGCAGCGGTGAAGTAAGTACGGATTTCATACATCCCGCGACTGAAGTCTCGGACTTTCGCCATGGAGAGTCCAAAAAAAATGCCAGTCTCGCTGAGCATCAGCGCTTCTCTCGTATCTGCGCCCCAACCAGGGCCCCAAAGATGGGAACGTCATCTCTGCTCAGCGCAGCAAAGCATTTCATGGGCGAATGCCTGATGGCCTTCCACAAAAGGATGCAGCAATACAAGACACGCAGCCTGAGCTCAATCCCCCTTTTCGCATCCGGAACAACCTTCCTTTCTACCAACTGTCTGTAGACCCAAAACCAAAGAGCCGACTTCAGAGAAGAGTGGAACTATGCTGGCCATTCGCGCGAGCGTCTCATTACACGGGCGCAAGTTCCGCTTCCAAAGCGGGCGGCTGGACACCATCTCACGAACTCGCATTGCACAGAGAGGAGGCAACGCCAGGACACACTTGCAAGGACGCTCAGTTCGGCATATACGGGGTACTGAATCTCCGACACAAGATCAAGGGAGCTAAGCTCGTCATAAGCAGAACCACAAAAAGCCTTTAGCAGCCATGACCCAATCCATAAGGGCACGTATCGGACCACTATGACCAATTGGAGACACCGAACATGGACTGCTTGCCAAAGGGCGGGTTGATCAGCTCCGGCCACCAAAAGGATGTGCATGGAGCCATTGCATTGGTTCCAGGCGGTTAGTGGGTTTGTCATTGCTGCGGGCGCACCTTCTTCGACCCTCCCAGATGCTCGAACCTCAACCGATTGCAACTTCAGCAATAGCATGACAGCACCGTTGGCACGGGTCTCGAGGCACGACATTGTTATAAACAGCACGTGCTGCGGACATCAGACAGGACTCCAGACGTTCGTTTGACTTATCACCTAAAATACGTTTTCCATGATATGATTCAAAGGCCACAATTATGACTGAAGACTTGGTCGCCACCACTTCGTTGGCTCCACAAGATGCGCACTGTGCTTCCTGCAGGAATGCGAGGTATACTGGCCAATGCGCGCCAGTCTTCGCAAATCTCCTCATAGCAACCCTCCAAGCACTCTAGCACAGGAAGCAAACGCAATCAAGCAGAGTTGAAATCTTCCCCGCAAATCGAGCGACTCGACCCCGATTTGGTTGGGGCTGCTAGGTTTGGCACCGAGTCTGGATGAATTGGTCACTGCTCCAAACGTGGTTTGTTTGTGCCCGTGTTTTAAATCTGATAACGTTGAACGGTCACCCAACGCCAATCGCACTTTTGGCCCCTGTGTGATGCAGCCAACAGCAAACGCTTGTTGAACAAGTATTCGGCATGTCTGACACTCAATGCTGAAGGCAAAGCTTTTGCAACAGAGCAGCCACCGCTGTGCCAGAACGTTTACTCTCTGCTACATTTTCCAATCTTGACTTCAAACACGTTTCTAGCGGCATGATATTGACCCTGCTTTTTTGTAGGGCTCAGCCTGAATGGCTAACACACAACCCAGATTCCAATCAAAGGATTGAAGGCGGGAGAAGAAAAACAGTTCGGTGATTGTGCGGCATCCATGTGGTTTTGCAGAAAAGACGTCATCTTGCTGCTCAGACCTTCGGAAGCAAGCTCCATTGGCACAGTGATACGGAAAGTGCCAGAGCGCAAAAGTACATCATTGCGCACCCTGGCATCTCTCGACCCAGCTCTTGAAGCACGGTCTAAAAGACCAGTACAACCGACCCAAATTTTTTTTGATGGGCCAAAAGCATCCGAACAAATCCCACGCTTTTTAGACCGGTGACTGCTCACTTACACAAATCCTAGTGCACTCCAATCTGATTCCAGAGATCTAAAAACGTTTATGGTAGCCTAAGGCGCCACCGGTTTCAAATGCAACGACAAAATATGACAGATTTGTTGGGTGGCAATCGAAGCACACTCACATACAGGGCATCGCCAAGACGGCTCACTGTGCGGCTTCGCAAGCAAGAGTCAGATTCTGCATTGGGATTAGACCATTTACTGATCTCGATCTGCTCACGTGTTTCGACACGGGGCTCAGCGAGCGAAGCGACATCCTTCTGTCTGTCAAGTGCAGTTGCCAGTGTTGAAGCGGCCCATCGCTGCCCATCTTAGAGAAACCTAACAAACGGCAAACCCCTGACAAAGGTGCTGCGGGAATGTTAGCATGGCATCTTGACACGTGCCCACAAAGGGCGGATAATCGTGAAGGGGACAGAAAGCCAATTTTTTGTCAAAAAAGGGACTATGCAGGAAGTACGGCCTCCGACAGGCTGATACTCAACTTCGCAAGGCAATACGCAAGCACAGGAACACGGGATCGGACACATTGTGCAGAAGAGTAAAGAAGGCAAGAACAACGTGGGTTGGGAATAACAAGATGGTTGAAGGATTGTCCACCTCTATATGCAGATTACCAACGGCGCTTCACCGACCAGAAAGTCAGGAGTCCAACGATTGACCCCCAGATAACACAAGATGGAATGCAGCCAATTCACGCTACTCAAGTAAATGTGAAAATCAATCAGTGTGTTGACCCGCTCCTTCCCGCGAGGCAGAGGACTACTTGAATACGTGAGCCCCAGAAGTAAGACCCAAAGGGGAAGGGTTTGATGCGGCGCAGCGCCCTCTGAGGACGGTTGAAGAACTAGACTCCAGGTAACCGGCAAAATTAGCTCCTCTTCTCCGTCCAAACCGGGCTTCAAGCGCAAGATAAGCCCAATACCGAAGTTGCTTTGCAAAACACAAGCGCACAAGTCAAAGCGTCTCAGCATCAGCCCGTGATAAGAAAAAGGACACACTCTGCCGGGATGAGTGCGATACGTGCCCATCACTGGACCGCAGACTGAAAGATCGTAAACCAGCCGTCGCTTGGCACTTGCAAATATTCAGATTTGTCGGACCCTGCGAGACCACAGTATTCGAAACGCCCCGTGACGGCAAAGGCTCGACAATAAAACGGCGATGGCGCGTATCGCGCCATCTCAAACTCCGTCATTGCTCTTGGCCCTGATATGCGTCAGCAAGCCAACTTCCTTCAGACAGCTACATCTACGAAACCCCCACACGAAATATACGAAGCCCATGCGACCAGCAACTGAGGCGTCGTCTCAAAGCCCTTCTTGTCGACTTTGATATGCGACATACACGAGCTTCTGGTGGTCTCTTTTGAAAAGACGGATCAGTGGAGATAACCGGAAGTCGATCAACAAAACGACTATGTTATGTATGTAAGTACGGCAAGGACTTGATTCGGAGTGAGAAGGCATTTCGGCAGAGGTGCCATCTTCCGTCGCAAAATCCTGGAGCAAAGTTCGCCTGGTTGTCGAAATCAGGGCGCAATAGAAGTTCTACACACATCGACCATATCTTCAACTTCGAACTGAAGTTTATCTGATAGATCGTCTGATTGTGATCTTTTTTCAAAATCAGACGAGCATGGGCAAACACAGAACACAACAAACGAACAGCCAGCTAACCCACGACTTCTCACCTTGGGCTTGGTTTTCGTCTCGCCGCTCGTCCGGTCCTGCCACTTGTCGATTTTGAGCCGCCCCTGGACCGCCACTCTAGTTCCCTTCCGCAGCTCCGTTGCCGCCAGCGTGGCAAGCTCGTTGCCCGGGCTATCCCAGCTCTCGACATCAATCCTGCATCAAAAATGTCCCTTTTGTTAAGCCCGGGTGTTTTGTTTCCGCATACGGTGGAAGCTGATGCGGAACTTCAAGGAGGCTGTAGGGCTACTCCGACTTTCAATATGTCTCCGTCGGAGAGAACGGTCTGAGTCGAAATCTGGGCGCTTTCCAGAAAGGGTTAGGTCCCGCTGTATACAAAGAGTGGGGGAGCTTGAGAAGTCCCAAACCTCTGACTTCCTATTCTGAAGAATGTCGTTTTCTGGCCGGCACCCAGATAGCATTCCAAGACGCCTTTGAGAAAAAGCAGAAAGGAGCTTTGAGTCCCTTACGTGGCTGATTCGGAACGGGATTGTGATCACTTTGAGATTGAGGCGTGACTCGTATCAAGTATGACGCTGATTTACCATAAACCAAGTCTTCCAATTCGGTAATTGCTGCGTGGCACATTAGGATTGTCGACTCCAGGTTGCGGTGGCGCTCCAAACTTGACAGAACGAGCGAATTGACGTATCCAATCTTTCGGGGCCCAGCTTCCAATCCTTTCAATATGCCAGATACATTACAAATGGAACCCACGGAAACACCCAACTGCAACATGACAATCTACCTCCCAATCAATCTGGTTCCCAGCAAAAGAGAACAAGTCAAACAGGGTTATGCCCCAGGTTGTGGCAAAAGATTCGATGCAAGGGCCGAGTCACGCACCATTCGGCCTCATCTGGGCTGTCCGAGTTCACGCTCTTGGGCTTGCTGAGCGCGATGCGCATCTTGGTCACGGTGCGCCCCGTCTCGAGGCGCTTCAGCTCGGGATCGAAGCCAAGGCGGCCCATCACGCGGATGTGGTTCGTGATGTCCTTGCTGAACGGAACCTGCAAAGCCAGCGGAAGTTGAGCGGATATTTTCAGGGGTATAGCGGAATTCAACGCAAACGAAGCCGAGGCGGCCTATCACGCGGATGTGGTTCGTGACATCCTTGCTGAACGGAACCTGGAAGAAGGAGCGGATTGCAAGCGGGATTTGGAAACAGCAGCGGGATCCGGACGAAACAAATCCAGGTCGAAGCCACGTAAGGCACGTCAAGCGGATTTGGCTCATAAAGTTTCTGCTAAATGGAGACTGAAAAAAGGAAGAGACACGCACTTCATCTGAGTGAGGTTATTAAGGAAAGGACTGAAGAACGGAGCGGCCGTACTTCATGGCGTTTCTGATGGAAAAGTGGAGAAGTGGATATGAGGAAGAAAAGCTGAGGGGAAGCTGGGCGCAATGCCAAGCGTCCTGATAGAAGGAGTTGACAATGAGACGGCCCCTGACGAGGTCAAACGTTGCTGATGTCCTTGGTGAAGGGAAGTCAAAAGCACAAGCACAAGCGGAGCGGGGGTGAAACAAATTCATGACTATGTGTAAGTAGGATGGAAAGATTCCAGTACCATCATGCACGACATGGACCTTCGCATGTGCAATCCTTCTCTCGGGCTTCTACTTCCTTGGATAAAACAAGTCACATTCACTTTGGAAAAGCAGGTTAGATCTTGAACATGACGGTATTAAGAACATGGCACTAGATCTTGTTACCCCCTTGATTGAACAAGAGCCCGTCCTTGGTGTTAAACTAAGTACTGACCTCACGAAGGCCCCCTTTGCCGCTCTGACTGGGAGGGCTCGCTTCTTCCTGTTGGGGGGGCTGGGCATATCCTACGTTCTGCCGGAATTTCCCCGCGAATGATGCCAAAGTCCGGGCTCCATTTGCAGTCCCTGGACGAGTAAAAACTTTACTCTAGTTTCCAGTTCGGGGTCACCTTCACAGACCTTGTGCTTCTAATCCAGATCTTGAGACTTGGACTTAACAAAGATCTGCACTTGCTGTCCCTCCATAATCTCATACGAAAAGTTAGAGAAAGTGGGTAGCGCACAGTCCACTTGGGAAACTCAGGAGGGGTACCTGCTCATATCAATTGGCATGCGCCCTAGATTGAAATCTTACTGCTCAGCTTTTCTGGTATCTCGAAGTCAGAAATACTCTAAGAAGGTGTCCGGGCCGAATTTACACAAACCCAATGAATTACAGAGCATGAAAGCATGGATGGTGCAATGAAAGGCCTCGGAACGAGTTGCAAATGCACTGACAGCCTGGACAAGGAGGCAAGAGCTTGAACTGGTCATGATTTTTGTGACTTGCAGCATACACTTCTCTAAACGTCGCACTTAAGCTGGCCGCAAGAATGAGAGCGCATGAGAGGACGAGGGAACTTGCAAGCCGCAGAGGTGAAGAGCTTTGTTAGTGGTTTGCTTGAAGAAACTTGAAGGAACTTGCACAGTCTTTTGAAAGAAGTGGCCCTTGCCGCCACAAAGTGCTGAAAAGAGCATCTGAAGCGGCCCTACAACGGCCTTACAGTTACAACAAAATGCTGGGAATTGTGCGGATTATTGGCTTGCCACATCACCAGTTATTTTTGACAGAGAGAGAGAATTGCAAAGCTAGCCCGAGAATCAGAGTGTTTGTTGTCACAATTGTTCAAGATGAATGGTGCAGAGAGAAGCTCAAACACGGCCGCTTGCCAGAAACAGAGAATGAAAATCCAGCAAAACATATGATTGAATAGAAAAGACATTACTCACCTAAGACCTCGGTTTTGAGGCTTGAGAGCTGCAGACTTCTCCCCAACTGGGCGCCCAACCGACCGAGCATCTTTGAGCGCAACAGTGGTGCGGCAACCACAGGAACCGAGGAGGCTTTGCAGAGCAGATTGGAGGAAGAGAGGGGGGTCAGGGCCGATGCCTTGCTCAGAGAAGCGTTCAAGGAAGCGGCCATTCTCAACAGTTGCTTACGACTTACACCACCATGACCTTCTGGCAAATTAGGAGCTGGCCGAGTCGATCACAGCGCGCGCGGCTTGATGCAGGGTTTTGGCGCCAAACCCTTCTGAACCCCTTGGAAACCCTAAAACCCCTGAGCAAGCTGCATATCCTGCCTCCACCAGGAAAGTTGTCAACAGTCGAGGCGTGCTGTAGCAACCCTTTTCGCCCGGGGGCTACTTGGAGGTCATCAGCAGATCGCCGGAGAGAAGGTGCAAATCATGCAACTGGCGTCGCAGCCAGGATTTGAACCCGCGATCTATCGTGAGTCGATGTTCGCAGAGTCCCTCGGTCTTACCACTAGACCATCCCCGAAGAGGGGTTGCCACCGGGCCATTCATTCAACGTAGTGTACCATGCATTGGCATGGCATTGCGTGTTCATACTTCGTCTTGTGAACAGCATCGCTATTTGCAATTGGCGCAACAGGCAAAAGCTAGGCGAGAAAGACGAAGGAAGCCATGCTTTGAGCAAGCTGAAGAGCATTTCACATCTTGTCTGAGGGTTGAACAGATGATGCGGTGAGCAGCGGTGTCTTAAACTTCGTTCACAATGGGGAAGAAGGCCAAGAAGGCTACCAAAAAGTTTCAGCGGAAGGAGTTGGGCAAGGAAATACAAAAACGCAGAGCTCACAAGATCATCAAGGGACAGAGGGAGAAGGCGACAAAGCAAAGGAGGCCCGATGAAGGTGGGATCACATCTCCCTTGCTTTCATCGCTTGTGGTTGTGAAAGGTTTGGAGTTTGCTGCCATCTTTGCAAGAACTGCAGCTTGTGAAGAAGCAGCTTATAAGAAGAGCTGCATTTTAGGCGTATCCAATCAATCTGCCTGGAGAAGCTGCGAGTTGTGAAAGCATTCTCTTACACCAATCGCAATGTCGCATTGCAGATGACATGGAGATCATACGGGGCCAGGACGGCATTGCAAAGAAGTCCGGCAAGATGGCCCCTAAAAAGTAAGGGTCGAATGACTTTACCATGTTGAGCTCACATATGTTTGTTCGATGCACAATCTGGAAGAGCCGTATACCATTACCGCCACGGATGGCTGTATTTCAGATCCACCACCCCAGCATCGGCGCTGTTCGAGTTGTTTCTTCCATTGGTTCGTCGTCAGCGAGCAAGCAACAGGTTGGCTGTCTTGAGTGTCGTAGTCACGTCTCTATATATGCACATTTTACCACCATTTTCTTCGTATGTCAAAAATAATCCATCAGCAGCACCAGCGATCGCATGGGTTCTCAGTTTTCCTGGGTGGTTTGTGAGCACTTCTGCATGGTTTGAATAGTGTTTCCTGTCTGAAAACAGATTTGTGGACAGAAGACTATTCTGCTGACCCTTTTTAGCACCACCTTTCAATGCAAACTCTTTCGTCACTCATGCTTCATTTCTGTATTTCATTGTCTTCTTGTTATGGTGGCAGAGGGGTAGGATGATCAAATAGTTATCCCTGTCCGAAAGCAAACATGTGGACAGATTACTACGGTGCTGACCTCTTGCACCACCATTACGTTGTATCATCAGGAAAAGCATTTGGTTTTCTACCTTTTTCTCTCGTGTCGCTTCTCCTTTTTTCGCCAACAAAGTGTGCGTCTTACAACATTTGTCAAATGTTAATCGAGAAGACTTCAGTTTGGTATGGGGCGTGATGACCAAATAGTTATCCCTGTCTGAAAGAAGACGTGTGGACACATTACTACGGTACTGACCCCACCTACAATCAGTAGCTCTCTTTATTCCCGTTTTTTCTGGAGATGTGCGGTTTGCTCAATTGCTTGAGATATATTGATAAAAAGATTCTATACTGCTTGTGTTCTGGGGAGTGATGATCAAATAGTTATCCCTGTCTGAAAGAAGACGTGTGGACAAACCATTGGTACTACTGACCCCAATATCAACCACCCGCTTTTGTTTCATTTTTTATCGCTTCTCTTGCACTTCCTTATACGCATTTTACTCCAAACCAGTAACCGTCAAGAGACGTTTCTTACTCTTCTGCTGAATCATGGGGGCGTGATGATCAAATAGTTATCCCTGTCCGAAGGAAGACATGTGGACACATTACTACGGTACTGATCCCCACCATACTACCGTCAAATCCACTTTCTTCACGGTGCAAAGTTGCTCATGTGCAAAGTCTTTCTTCATTGCAAGCAACGGGTTGCTCCTTTCCCTCTTAGGAACACGAGAGGGATTTCTGTATCTGCTGTTGAAGAACGTTGGGACAGATCGCAAGCAGACCGTCTTTTCCTCTTTGTTGTCTGCCTATCTATTCTGAGCCCGTTTGAAATCAATGTTGACATCCTGGAGCATTGGTGTTGCTTGGTTAAATGCAAGTGGGGAGTGATGACCAAATAGTTATCCATGTCTGAAGGAAGACATGTGGACACATTGTTCTATCTCTGACCCTCGCTGTGCCAGCCAAGCTTCAACATCCCTAAACATCCCTGAATATTCTGTTGAAGTTACCAGTTTCCCCGACAGGGTCATGGTCTGACTGTGGCTATACGGAAAAGTATCATGAGGTGACTCGTTAGCAGATGGATCTCATTTGGGCTGCTTTTGTCGCGCACTGCCCGGTAAGAAAATGTCTTGGGCGTGTTTTTCAAGCTCTCTACAATCTGTCCAAATGCAGCGCACTCTTGAATCCAACCACCAAGCGAACTTTCAGTGTCGCCTCCTTGAGTTCCTAGCACATTATCTGGATAAGAAGAAATATCAAATTTGTAAAGAGGAAAGTTTCGATATCTTTGTGTGCTTTGTGCGATCGCAGGCCGGTGGCGGACCTCGATGTGGACGAGCTGATGAAGGGCGACTTTCTGGACGGGAGCGCCTCGGACGACGAGGAGCTGTCCGAGGAGGACGCTGCAGCAGGGGAGGATGACGACCTGGATGACGTAAGCAAACCAGTGTCTTTGTCGTTGAGCTCCCGTCAAGTCCGCGATCAATCGTATGCTTCTTCTCCTGGATTGTCGGAAGTACAGGCATCTTGTAATTCAAGATCCCAAGTCTGACTTTACGGATTGCCTGATCTACTTCAGGACTGGTGAATGCCAGAAGCCAACTTACTACGGCCAAATGTCTCAGCCTTCTGAAGACTCATTTTGTGCTTGTATTTTATCAACTGGATTTGCAACCACGTGTTGGATTCAACGTTCGTCCGTTAGCGTGGGACCTGCAGAGTGTCAGTCGATCCAGCGGCTGCCGTCTGTTTTGCTATACATCTTTAATGAGGGTTAAGAAGCTTCGGAACTGTCCCAACTGACCGAAACCTGCGGCGGATATAGCTTTTCCTCCAACGGTTGAAGATACGAGACTCGAAAGGATCTGAGAAACCAAATTGATTTTGTTGCAGGTCGAAGCTTCCGACGACGAGGACGCCCTGGCTGACATCCCCCCCGCGGAGGAGCCCGCCTCGGACGACGACCTGGGCGAGGGCGAGTCGGACGTCCGGGGCCAGAATCGGACGCTCAAGTCCGAGATCTCCCAGCACAAGGCGCAACTAGAGGCGCTGAAAAAGAAGGACCCCGAGTTCTATAAGTACCTGGAGGACTATGATAAGGAGCTGTTGGACTTCGACGAAGAGGAGGAAGAAGGGGAGGGGCCGGAGGACGAGGCAGAGGAAGAGGGGGGGGAGGAAGAGCACGAAACTGAGGGGGTGGGCGCGGGAAAGGGAGGAGAGGAGCTGGTGCTGACGACGGCAATGGTCGACGCGTGGTGTAAAGCCGCCAAGGAGGTGGGTTTCTGCAGTGTCTGGAGATATCTGCTTTCTTCCTTTTGAGTCGATCTTCTGTTTTCAAGACTTACTTGACCGAAGTTGTTGCATTGGAGAGAGGGGCACTAGTCTGAAATGAAATAGCCGAGTCGTGGGTGTAAACCGCCCCGCCGCGTCTCCTCAATCAAACCTGCTGAGTGCAGATTCTTTATCCATTTTTGAGCTGGAATTCCACACAGCGTAGGTTCTGAAGTTTTTTAATAAGAGAATTGTTACCCTTCAGATTCTGCAGAAGCGTTGCAAATATTCTCTGTTGTCGATCCTTCAATGTTCGTTGGAATTGATGTTATACCCAAGGCCTGAAATTTGTTGAAGAAGGTTAAACATTCTCAACCATTTGACTTTTGCAGAAGCATGCGTTTGGCGCAACCAAGAACCTGCTACGCGCTTTCCGCGCCTCGTGCCACTACGGCGATGGGGACGGCGAGAACCTGACGTCACAGATCAGCATTGCGAGCAGCCACGTGTTCAACCGCGTGATGCTCTTCGCGCTGCGGGAGATGGACGGCATCCTGCGCGCGCTGCTCGGGATCAACGGCCAGGATGAAAAGACGAAAGTTGCTGACGTGGCAAAGCTCCCGCGGTGGCGGAAGGTGGAGCCGCTGGTGCGCTCGTACCTGGGCAACGCGCTGCACGTGCTGAACCAGGTAGGGTCCTGACGTCATATTTGCCGACTTGATTGAAATGGCCGTCGTCAGTCTGACGTTGGATTCCGGTATACTTTGGTTTTTTAGGGTCAAAGAGGATGCGGTTGAAAGGGCCATGGAGGCTGCAGGCAAAGCTGTTTTGGAAGTTGAACAGATTGTGCTTCCAACACTTTCTCCTACCGTTGACAAGTAGCAATTGGTGCTCCGCATTGATAGGAGCTGAAGATCTTTGGCAGCTGTACTGAGTGTGCTGGGCAGCGTCGTCAACTTCGGTAAGCTGGATTCGAAGCCTTGTTGATTGGCAACAATCAGATGGTGAAGACGACAACATTGGGGGTTGCAACGGTTTTCGACAGGCCTTGACAAGAGACACGGTTCCTTCGAAGAGCGAAGTAATCTTCTTTGTTACAACACTTGTACCCTCAGTGCGGGAAGAGAATCTGGTATTGAAACGGTCCGAACCTGTGATCATCTTTGCCCATAAGCAAATGGTCTTGCTTCGTGCAGATGACGGACACCGCCATGATCGCCTTCACTCTCCGTCGCCTCAAGGCCTCCGTTGCGCTCCTCTCCCCCTTCCCCAAGTTCTCCAAAAAGTACCTCAAACTAGTTCTCCACTTCTGGGCCGGCTCCGAAGACTCCCTCCGTCTCCTTTCAATCCTCTTCCTGCGGGAGATGGCGGTGCAACTAGATGGCGACTTTTTGGACCAGTGCCTGAAGGGGATCTACAAGACGTACGCGTCGAACGTGAAGTTCGTGAACGTGGCCGCGGCACCGCGACTCGCCTTCATGTCTAGTTGCATAGTCGAGGTGGGTACAATAAGTTGCCGGTCTTGACTCTCAAGGGATTCCGTACCGGTCTGATATTTTGGGGCCTTCTGTCTTGCCGTTTCTACCTCCATCAGCGCCTTCACTTCTTCGCAAGTAGCCCGTATTTCCGGTTCAGGTCCATCTTCTGCAGTCGCCGTACCGATTGGTTTATCGGGCAGCAGCACGCCATCTCCCAAGCAAATCATTGCCGGTCTAGAAATTAAGTACCCTGAATCATGCCTGCACGCCTGCCTCTGACCTCTGACATCTGAATCAACCCTAGGCGAAGTGTGAATCAAAACACCTGAAAGAAAAGTGCAGAGTGATATAGCCGCATAACGTGTCTTTAGCCTCTTCAACTCTGACTCTGATTGCTCGGTATTTGTCGACCATCTATGAGGCTCAAAAGCCATCTTTCTCACAGCAATTTCGAATCTGAGTTCGTTGCTAGAACGCTTAAAATAAGAAAGTTTCAGTACAAGACGCCGAAATCCTCTCTCCCGCAGCTGTACGGCCTCAACCCGGCCGCTTCCTACCAGCACGCCTTCGTGTTCGTGCGCCAGCTGGCGCTCGTTTTGCGGACGGCGCTCAGCACTAAGGGCGCGGACGCAAGGAAGACGTCCGAAGCGTACCGCCAGGTCTACTGCTGGCAGTTCGTCAAGTGCCTAGAGGCGTGGGCCAACGTGCTCGCGTCACATTCTGACAAGGTGGGCGAACATTTTAACCAAGTTTGAAGTCTTTTCTTTCTGAGTGTTCCTGGTTCTGCCTATTTGACTCTTTGTCGTCCTTAGCAGCGTGTTAAGAGCAGCTTTTAGAAAGACACCGCCACAATTTCTTTACTTGGCGAAGTGGTCGCTCAATTGTGACTATAACGTGTTATGTGCTTTGACGCGCTGCCGAACATACCTCTTTGTTCTCTGAGATCTTTCCCTGACATTCTGGCTCACAAGTCGGTCTCGGCGAAGTTAGTTTGCCAAAGTTTCAAGCTCTGTGAATGCTTCGGGGAAAACACAGAACAGTCAGGGCGCGAACAGTTGATGTCCAAGGAGCTGATTCTGAGGCAAATTTTTCTTTGATTGAGAATGAATCGATGGTTGAGGAGAGCAAGCCCTTAAACTCGAGGCAGAGAGCGGCACTGGGCCTACAGTGTGCTTTATATCCGTCTTCGGTAGAAGAAGGAAAAGTGGGTTTGCAGACTGGCGGCCTAAACCAAGCGAGTGAACTTTTAACTTGGCTTCCGTTCGGTCTCCCGACGACTTCCGCCCACTCAAGTTAGCGCATGCGAGTTGGAGTTGAAGTTTCATACGGCGGTTAACGACTTGAACTTTCTTTTGCTCAGCGTCCTTCTTCCTAAGGCGGAATCGCAAACCCTCACTCCTAACCCACCCTTCCGTTCTGGGCAGAACGACCTGCGCCCCCTCGTCTACCCCCTCACCCAGATCATCACCGCCACTGCCCGGTTGGGTTTAACCTTTGCCTTCTAACCCGATTTCATTCGTGTGCAGGACGACCTCCGTCCCCTCGTCTACCCTCTGACCCAGATCATCACCGCCACTGCCCGGTTGGTCCCCACCGCCCGCTACTTCCCACTGCGCCTCCAGTGCGTCCGCATGCTCAACCACCTGGCGAACTCTACCGGACACTTCATTCCGGTCGCCCCCCTTCTTCTCGACGTCCTCCAAATGAAGGAGCTTCGGTCCCCCCCCACGGGAGGCCCCGGCGCGGCGGCGGACTTTTACACGATTCTCCGGGCGCCAAAGACGGCGCCCAAGACGCGCGCGTTCCAGGTCAGGGGGCCGCTTTGGTTTCTGGGGTATTATCAGAATATCAGGTTTACACCAGGTTCTTGGTCCTTTCTGACTTTTACATGGTCCTCAGAACGTCAAAGTCTGCTCCCAAAACACGTGCGTTTGAAGCTAGGGGCCCCTCTAGGCCTTGTGGAACATCTGCACAATGATAGAAGCTCAAAAGTTCGCTGACCTCAGTTTACTTCGATTTCGAGTCTGAGCGACGTCCCTCTTCGGCCTGGCTTGTACTCGGCAGATCACATGCATCTCCGGTCGGCGTACGGCATGTATGCGCCGTTTATTACTGGACTTCCGGTCAAGTGCCCACCAGCATGTGTGCGTTTGAGGCAAGGTACGCACCTGCCTATCAAAGATCCACCCGTGTCTCTTCCGGAGTTGAAGGTGCTAAAGGCAGGCAGTTATCTGATCAAATCCGATTTCTGACATCTGCTTTCCCGTTCCAGGAGGATAGCGTCAGTCTGGCTTTGGAGCTGCTGTCAGAACACCTGAGCCAATGGGCGTACTCCGTGGCCTACCCCGAGCTCGCGTTGCCAGTTTTGATACAGGTGAGCGTCCGAACCATGCACTTCTGGACGTCGAAGTGTCGAAGACAAGCGTCCCAATGATGGGACCTCCTGCGATTGGGCATTTTCTTACAGCGTACCCCCAGCTTGCAGTGTCAATCCTTATGGAGGCAAAGCTTAACCCAAAAAACGGACTGCTCAAACACTTGTACTTAAACATCCGTCTCTGGTTTCCTGTTACCAGGCTTTTGAAGTTTCTCCATCCTAGAGTTGCGCGAGCTCTACGAGGACTACGCTCCACTCAATCAGAAACCAACCTTTCAACGTTAAACCAGAAGAAGCGCGTGTTTTGATTAACCAGGGCTTCTCATCTTTCCCTATTCATCCTGCAGCTGCGCAAGTTCGTCAAGGCGACCACGGTGGACCGTTTCCGCAAGCAGGTGAAGCAGCTGATTGACGCGGCCGAGCGCAACTCGGAGTTTGTCGGGCGGCGACGCGACGCCGTCACCTTCAGTCCCAAGGACGCTGCGGCAGTCAAGAGCTTCTTGCAGGTGAGATCGCTTTTCGGCAGTGGGCTCGTAAAGAGCTAGGGTTCGCGACCGACTCACGAGAATCATGGGCATTGGGAGAGAGAACAATCTTTCGGGGGTGCCTCTTCCGCCCGCGCCGAGGCTGCGGACGTTGAGGTTCCTCCGAAGGGGTCTTTCGGAAGCATTTCATCGAGTAACACTCTCCGAAGGAGTCGAGTTTGAATTGTCGTGTTGAGTGAAAAGTGGTAGGGTTTCGCGGCCTCTTATCTGCGGGTTCAAATGCACTCGTGCTCCAGCCGAAAAGCGTGCAAGCTGTTTGCTGACAAAATAGGTGATTGATGGGGGCCTTCCAATCCGTTCGAGAACTGCAGCTGGGCCCTTGCTATTTCCGGTTGAGGGGGAACGCTAAGCTAACGCTCTGCATTGAACTCAAGTTTTGCGACTGTTTCTGATACGTATTTCAGAGTCAATTACCCTCAGAAGCCTCGATCAGAGTCATCAACTCCCCCGTCCTTGATGCCATGAGAGACAACGGATGCTGTAACGTTTGACGGATCGAGATACTCCCGATTCGCGTATGCGAATGGGAGCTTAGGCTCATCTTTTGGTAGAGGCACGAGCGCCACTCAATCTGGTTGGATTAGTCCGAGGTACCTTCTTTTCAAGAAACATACGGGAGCTAGTTGATGAACGGTCTCAATTTTGAAACATTCTCAGGTGCAAGAGGGCGTATGTGTGGGCGGAAGTTTCTTCAATCAACTAATCTGAGTTTTGAATTTTGCCGCCTCTCCCGCAGGCCGAACGCGAGAAGAACCAGAGTCCGCTAGTTCAGTTCCACGCCGGGCTCAAGCAGCGTGCGGACGCCCGGCGGCGGCAGCTCCAGGCGTCGGACGTCCAAATCGACGGCCCTCGTCCAACTTCGGACGGGGCTGAAGACTCAGAGGATGAGAACGGGGAGGCGGTGTTTGGCGGGAAGTGGCTACCGCCCGGGCCGAAGAAGGAAGTCGTGGAGAAGTAAGCGCGAGCGTTTGAGTGTCTGCTGACTTGTTACGCACTTGAACACGATTTCTTGAAGCTGGAGGTTGTATATTCAAAGAGCCCTTCTTTTGACTATCCAGTCTGTGGTTTTGGTGTGTCAGCGCTCCCTGCTTGCTGAGTGCTTCTTCCAGTCTGAGAGTACCCGCATGACATTGACACCAAGGGTAGCATATCTTGAGGGGCGTCCATCATATGTGACTCAGTGTTCCTTATTGTTACTCAGGATTGTGTTTCTTGCTTCGTATGTATGCCGTGGAATGAGTAGAACATTCCGCTCTGTGTGCCTGTTGACAAACTAGCCTGGTGGACTTTTGCAGGCCAAAGCTGAGAGAGGAGCACCCGTTCGATTCGGACGACGAGGACGCCGCGGACCTGGTCGAGGACCTTGTGCTGTCCGAAGACGAGGACGAGCCAACCGCCAACGGTGCGGCGTTTGGGGATTCGGACGAAGAGCCTTCCGGGTCGGATCGGGATGACTCGGATGGGAACGAGAGCGACGATGACGGTCCGATGCCGAATGTGTCCAAACAAAAAGTGAACAGCAAGGGGAAATTGGGAAAACCGAAACAACTAGGAAAGGGGAGGAGTCCAAGTGGCGGGAGTAAGAAGAGTGGTGGCTTTAAAAAGAAGGGTGTGGGTGTCAGGGCAACTCCTGGGGTTAAGAGGAGGAAAGCAAAGGGGCCAAGCGCTGGGCCAAAGGGCCCTCGGCCGAGCAAAAAGGGGAAGCACTAGGACTACAGTGTTAGCTGCAAAGGACTATGTGTTGCTTCATGGGTTACCATGGGGTGCACCTTCAACCAAAATTTGGGTTTGGTTCATACCCTCGACTAATCAATCAACTGTTGTATATTTTCCAAGTAAATGCATCCATGCTTCTGCGGAGACGGCTGCTTGTACATCCTCGTGCACACGAAGTGACCAGTTCCCCACTAACAGCGGGGCGGCCCGTGCAAACCCTCTTGAGACCATATTGTATGATCATGCAAGGTTTTCAAAAGCTCGAGAAGAGTCATGCATTCATGTCAATCTACTTAGCCACCGTGCAGTTTCTTGATCAATGATAAGCGTTCAGTGCATTTGCTCACAAAGCTTGAGCTTGTGCAAGGACCGGTAATTCCGCCACTGGACATCCGAGAAAAGAAGTCGGCCCCTCTTGAGTCTTGGAGTTGCAGTCTCGACTCGAGATAGTGAGTCGGTGACATTGTCCAATAATGGCCCCTGCACGCGAAGTTGCGGACCCATGTGCTCCCCACAGTACCCTGACGTGTGGGCGTTTTCCCCCAGCACTGGAAAAACGGAATGGCAACAGCCGAGCTTGTTTCTGACACAAAACGGACCCTGTCAGATTTGCACGAGCAAAAACGCTACAACCCCAATAACGAGATCAATCCGCAGCTGCCACGTGGGTTTTTGCAGATATTGCCTATGATGATCCGTACACAGGCCTCCGTACTGATACTGGTGCTGGTTGCGCAACTAGTGCGCTGCTCGCATGAGAACTTGTCCAGGTGGCAAGAGATGTCTCCTTTGTCCAATCAGTCGTTGCCAAGTCCAAAATCGATGCGGGTGTAGATTTTGGTTTTGTGGCCAGATAGCCCTGCCCACGTGATTTGACGATCCGGCGATGACGCGTCTGAGATTTTTGCGGGATTACAATTTACGATTTCGGTCGATTATATCTGAGGTTCGAACTTATGTGTTGCTGACTCCTGTGATTTGCGTATCCGCTGTTGACCAGCGCGTATGCACGTGTTCCCCCCAGATATACCAATGCCTTATGTGAGGATGCGGATGGTGAAATTTGCTTGCTGCCAGCCGGGAGATGAAAGTGCCGGGCATAGCTGGCCGGACCGTCTGTCATTCCACGGCCGGTAGGCAGCCCGGGGCAATGCTGGACCGGGCGATTTGCTGGCCGGCAGGATCCGGCCTAGATTGAGATCTTGTTTATGTGTCTCTTTACCCGCAGGGAGATACAGTATCCCTGAAGATATATTTGAGAAATATAATGACGATTGATACCTGTAGGTCAAAGTAGCAAATTGGTCAAAATTTGGCGCTTAGCAAGAGGATCCCGGGTGGCAGCTTCCGAAATATCGGGAAGGGTTTGCTTCACACAGGTTAGCCAGGGTCCGGTCGCGAAGATTCTTACCGACCCCGAAGCCAACCACAATCGCAGACTCTACAGAGGCCGGGGACATGAGCCAGGATGGTTTCAACCGCCTGGCAAGTTGGAACGGCAATACAGAACCGACAAAAAGGGTTCCGAATTCTTCGGACACCGGGGAGAGCCTGGCACAGCTGGTGACTTCCAGGATTGTTCTGCAGGGCAAACTTGAGCAGTTCAGAGGTGCTATCTGACGTAGCTGCCTGTCACCCGCGCTGCCTAGGCAGCCATGATCCCAAGATGATGTTACCTGGCTAGCTAGATCGGATAGCTAGGTAGCTCCTAGGAACCTCTAGAGATATCTAGACAGCCAGCTAGCTGATCCGAAGGGGGTACAGCTACAAATGTCCGGGCTGGGTCTGTAGGTACATTGCTTCATGGAAGCGTTTCAAGTTCAACTTCAAGTCTCAAGGACAGGTTTTAATAATAGATCTCAAACAAGAGCGTGATGGGTGCCGGATTGCAAGTGTGCACGATGCATGAATGGTGGTATTTGCGTTTCTTATTGGACGAAGGGCCTAGGGGTGCGGCTCACATTGACAGCTGTCATCCGAGTCTTCAAGTTCAAGATTGATGGGATCTCGCATTGACCTTGTGCGAACGGAAGGGCGGTGGAGCTGGCGATACGATTCGTCGCTGGGGTGCTCCCTCTAATAATGTTCGCATTCTTGCTTCTTTCAAATAAGCAGCCAGGGCTTCGACAGCTGGCGGACGGGGGTGATGCTCCAAGTCCTAAGGGTTTGAGCCATGGGCTTCGAGTGGGTTGATACAGCTGCGAGCTGGGGTGAAAGCGAGACCACAGCTCATTAGAACAACGCACGCAAGGACGTGTTACGATGTCCTTAGTGCTGCAGCAGACCCTCCGGGGTTTGTGCCACAACACGCCGTGGTCATACGCCGTGTTTTGGAAGCTGAAAGAGCGGGCCAGGATGTGAGTTTCCAGCTCAGTCCTCGTTCTTTCCATCCCTTCAAAGTTGGCGTCTCTAGCTGAACTGTTCTGGTCGGACTCTCTTTCATGCATGCCCTGGAGTTTGTTCACATAAGAGGTGTCACGCTCTGACAAATCAAGAGCTGCATCAGTAAGGTGTAGCTTTTTCTCGATTATGTAGACATACTGAGCTAAGCCGACAAGCAGTGTTCAGAAGTGAGCTGGTGATGTCCCTCGTGACAAGTAAGTTAGCAAGCGCAAAGCTGACGCGCTGTTGCTTTGAGCTGAAGAGGCACGTCGGCCATCTGTCTCGTGATGGAGCTTAACTCAGTCAAAGATGGCTTGATCACTGCATTGGTGATGTTGTGAACCCTTGCGCCAGTCGCTGCTTGGAGTTTTGTTTGCTTGGAAAGTAGCGGTTATGGCTGAGTAGAAAGAGCGCTCATGGCAGTACGCAACTCTCAGATTGAGGTGCACTCTTTGGTTGACCCAAAGCTATGGAACTCTCCTTCGCGCCAGCTGTCCAGCTGTCGGTCTCTTGTGCACAGCCGTCCGATATTTTTTGCCTTCACTTTATAACAGCGCACGGTTTGAACATAAACGCTACTACCACTGGCGTCCCCGTTGGATTGTTGGTACATGTCAAGGCTCTTTGTTGGTCCAGCTGCTGGGGTTGGTTCACTTAAAAGGCGCCGCTGGCTTGCAACCCTCAAGTAACCGCTGGAAAAGTGTCAAGAGTGCTTTACTTGGGCGGTACCAACGAGGGGGGTACCTTCTTCTTATGCTCTTGTTGGGTGTGTCTAAAGTCCATTCCTCATTTCAATGATTTCACGAGCTTGCCTGATCAGTTGATTCTTCATAAGCCTCATAAGTCGGGAGGATCAACCACCAGGTTGACATGTTCTCCTCAACTTCGCTAGTCAGTTGTGAACCTGCTTATAGGAATGGGCAAAGAACGGCAGGTTTCCTTGTTCAATTCCAGAACAGCCCACCTTGCTGTTCAAGTGTAAAGGAGTTGCACGGAGCAGTCTTTTTGGGATTGTGGGCTCATGTCCAGTGCATGCAGGTTTTTCAGTGCCCATTTTGATCGGCGCTTCTTGTTTGTTCAATTTGAGCAAGTCGGCACAAGTATTGCCAAAATCATGAGAGTACTTTGGATATCTTCAAGTTCATTCCAATGGCGGTGTATTCTTTCGCGTGACGCACGGGTTCAAGTGAACCCAACTTCGTAAAGCAGGGAGTGGGGCATTTAAATGATAGCCTAAAACCTTACTTTGGAAGTTGGCGCCAACTCTAGGGGCTTCTTACAAACACTGCAGTTGAACCACCGCAGTGCTTCTTCCTGCCTATACAGTCCTCAAAGACTTCCTCAAAGGCTTCCAAACAGCTCAAGCACCTCTTTGGGAGGCATCTAGCTGGATTCTCCGCCTATGTCCAGTCACATGAGAGCAAGTTTGAGGATTGAGAGAGGCGCCTAGAAACCGTTACGCTAATACGTTTACTAACAGCCCCGGGTGTTGGTGCCTTTGCAGCGTCCTGACTTGGGAGGATGGCTTCTACGATTACGCCAAGCGCAACCAGGCGCCGGCGGGTGAGGGCGACGAAGTTGACACGGAACTTTTGGGCCTGGCGGTTGCAAAGATGTCGTACCACGTGTATTCATATGGGGAGGGGTAAGCAGTCTTGTATCTTCTCTTTCTCTGATTTTTCAGTCGGTGTCCCCATCTCGTCTCCTGTACTGGAACCCCTGGTCGCTGTCTTGAGGGGGGTGCTCAAAAGTGGGGTTTTGTTTTTCTTGAGTCTTCAGCTGCTGTCGCCCTTGTTTTTTGGTTCTTTTAGGGGGCGTATTGCTTGTTGACAGGGCGCTCTCTTGGGCAAAGAATCACGCTTCAATGAAGATGTTGCACTGGGTCTGTAGGGTGGGGGGGGCTCCTCGCCCTTCTCCTGAGATGCTTCTTGTTTTTCAAGAAACATTTCTTGTTCCTTTCTTAGCCTTCTGCTGCTTTCAACCAGGGGGGAAAGGTGGTGAATGAGTGAAAAATTTAGTGGCTGCTTCCACTAACTGGCTCTGTATCTTCAGAGCGTTCTACTGTTTTTGGCGTATGCTCCTGATGTGAGGGATGCGCTTATAGACTGCATCGGCGCCCAACTTTTGGATAGTCTTAACCAACCTTCAGCGTTTGTATCTCCTCTGCCACAGCCAAAGACATGCCCCTGGTTGAGGTTGCTTGTGCATTTGTCATGTATTCTTAGGGATCAAACGTGCAGTAAGATCTCCCGCTTAAACCTCTTTTGAGACCAATTCAGCTGGCGCTTCTCAGTTAACAGGTCCAGCCTTTTGGGGGAGTGTGCCTTTTGCTTTTCGCGAGTGAATCTATGAAAGGTACTGGATATCTATCTATTTGAGAGTTGTTCAGGCCTGTGCTTCTAGAACAGATGGAGGGATTTGACCAAAAACCTTCTGAGCAGGCTCTCATTGCAGGGAGGCTTGGGGTAATCCATCTCAAATTTAAGCCTTCTTATCATTCATCTGCAGCATCATTGGCAAGATTGCGTTCAGCGGAAAGCACCAATGGGTTTTCATGGGCGCTAGTGTCAACACCGACGAGAAGCACCCAGTGGGCTGGGAGAATCAGTTCATGGCCGGGGTCAAGGTTGGTGTCAAGCCCTCTCTGCTACGGACCACCTGTTTAGAGAGACACCAACTGTTCCTGGAGTAGAGTGCTTGATGCTCTCTATGAGAGGTGTCTGAGGCAAGGGGGTCCGTTCACCAAACAGCTCTTCTACTAGCAGACTAAGGAGTGGAGCAGTACCTTACTCTGATTTCCTCTAGTCAACTGAGATCGTGAGTAAGGGCCTTTGACCTACTTCAAGTCCATCTGGGAAGGGGGGCCCTGCAGAAGTCGAAGGCGAAGGGTTTCTTTCAGAGGTTTCAAGAAGGGTCTGCAAGGCGTTGAGTCCTTGAGTCAGGAATGCTGGTTCAGAGCCTGGAAAACTTCGATAAGGTTGATACGGTTTGGGGCTCGTAGTCAGTATCTTCTAGAAGGTCAAGGCAAAGCAGAATCGAAAGTTACGCATAGCTCACCTCCTTTTCCAACAGCTAAGTCATGGGTGCAGGCAATGTATATCTTGGACTAAGATGGAGAAGCAGTTAATCAACCACAACTCTTACTCCGAGGCGCAGACTGTCAGGGGGTCAGGCAGATGTTGACCTTTCGAATCAGGGTACAGACAGTCAAACATTGACCAAGTTAGGATTCAAGTCAGCTTACTAAGATTTGCGTCCTAAATGCAGTCAGCTTTCTGTTTCTCAGGGGCACACTTTGCCACCTTTGTTTCAAGCAGGGAACCAGTAAGTCCCTAAAGAGTTCTTGAACAGCCACTTTCTTACGTTTATCCTAGTCATCAATTTCCGCTACCAATTTTGCGTACCTTTGCCAATGGGAACTGGTAATTTTTTCTGGACTCCACTTACACATAAGCTTGTCCCGCACTCACAATGAGGCAAGAGTGTCGCAAAGATAGCTGATTGGGTTCTTTGTCCTGCAGACAATCGCAGTCATTGCTGTGCCCCAGGGGGTTGTCCAGCTGGGCTCAACTAGAGTGGTGAGAAACTCCCCCTTTGCGTCTTCTTATTCATGTTTCTGCGCTTGGAATCTAGTAAAGTTGGTTAAATTATGTGTCAGTGTTGGGCATGTATCCTCAGCAGCCAGAAGTTCAAGCGCTGACTTCCTGCGGCTTTTGGGAAGATGAAGATTTGCTTTCCTCCAACAATAAGGTCCCCAAGCCGTTCAAAGCTTGATTGACGCTGACAAAGGTGTACCTTCTTCCTTTTCACCTGCAATCAAGAGTCCTTTCTGGCGATTGATGATCAAAGCAGAAGCACCTGTTGTGACACCGCAATCGCTCATTGAGAAGGGGTCCTTCAAACCTCTCTGTTTGCCGGACACTGAACATTTCTCTTACAAGACACTCGTCACCACCCTGCCCCGCGAACCCCTTTCTGCCAACTACCCTAACTATCTTTTTCTTTTCTTTCTCCAGGTCCAAGAAGACCTGGCTCTCGTTAACCACGTGCGGGGTTTGTTCACAACCCTCCGCTCCATCCCGGGGGCCTTCCTCTCCGACCTCATGGCGGAAGGCCCTGCTGGCGCCCAGTTCAACCTGGCCGCGTTCCAAACCCCCCAGTGGGCGCCGCCGCCACGGCCCCAAACAAGGCCTCCCCAGCCCACTCTCAGCCAAAACCCCATTCAGGAGGGCCCTGTAGCCGCGACCGTCGTACCAAACCCCAGCCATTATTTCGCCAGACCGCCGCCAGCAGGGCCCCTCCCTGCACAGTCGCCCAGGGGGGGTCCGGGGGGCAGGCCGCCGTACCCCCCCATCGCGCCGCGGGGGGCGTGGATGCAGCCGAACCAACAGATGGGGGCTGGGTTCTACACCCAGGTTACGCCGCAGCTAGTTGCGGAGGGATCCCCCTACGGAGTGCCGCACCCGTATGGGGTGCCCATTTCTGCGCCGGTGTACAGCAACCCCCCCACTCCGACAGAGGGGGGCGGAAGTCAGGGGGGTTTCAGCATGGGGGGGATGGCGAGGAGTCAGCGGAAGGGGCGGAGACGTGGGGGGGAAACGGCGTCGTCGGGGGGCAGCCGGGGGGTGCCGGAGCAAACGGTCTCCGAAGCACGCAGCAGTGACAGCACGCAACCCCGGATGCAGCGCCAGCTGTCAACCGGCAGAAAGGAGCCTAGCCTCGGGGGGGGTTACGAATTGCGGGGTTCTGAGGTCGAGGGGGTTAGCTTGACCCCCCCCAGTTTGTCAGACTCGCAGCTCGAGTTTGCTAGGCGGCTAAGCCCCCCTGGGGAGATGCCGACGAATTCGGGGCTCATGTGGGGACTGCTGGTGCAATCCCGTCCGAGCACCTCTTATCTCCGCCACTCTGTGGGGTCTCTTCCAGACCGTTACCAGACGCTTTTGATGGGGCCCCATCATATGGGAGGGCAGCCGTCGCCTCCGCCTGGCAGGTTAAGCTTGTTAGCACCTAACCCGATTCAGGTGCAGCAAGCGCGTGTTGAGTTGCCCCCGCAGGCGATTCTCGAAAAGGGGGGGTACTTCCGAACGCACCTGAGCAAGGGCCACGTGTCGGAGAAGGAGGCGAGTCCCAGGGGTGACACCGGTTGCTCGACGGTGTCAAACGCGCAGCCTGACGTGCACAGGCCGCCGCTTGACACTCGGTCGGAGGGCGGGTCCACGGTTGGCGAATCTGACTTTCCCGCTCTTGGGAAGCTCCCGGAACCGGGTCACGTGCAGTCGAACTTTTCGGGGGGGTCGAGCTCACTCAGCACGCAGGTCTCGGCGCCCGCCCCCGAGCTGGGGAAACGGCTGCCGGCGCTGCCTAACCTGCGGGTTAGCACCGGGTTTACCAAGATGCTGAGCGAAGGGCAGAAACCGACGCTAGAGAGTGTGGAAGCGTACAGAATGCAGCAGCAAGCGCAATTGGAAAGCTTGGAGAAAGCGGGGCTGAAGGGAACGGAAGTGTATAACATGTGGGAGGAAATCATGAAGGAGAACTACCGGGTCGGCCTTGCGCTGGCCGGCTTCAATGGGGAACAGGATGCGCCGGTAAGTGGGTCCCTTTTGGCATTTCACGAATCCGCTTTAAGAATCAAATTTCGTGGCGTGCGTTTCTCGATCGTCTCTTATGTATGAAAGGCGTTGGGTCTGCAGAGTCTAGTTGGGTGTCCTAGGCAACATCAATCTGTGCAAGCAACAGGTAGCAGGGTCAAACTCGGAGAGCGTCTGAAAGTCCGAACGCTGGTGCGCTTGCTCCGTGTTCAATACGGCTTCGCCTTTTCTTCTCTTCGCCTCCCTCGATCGCTGCATTCTCCTTTTTTCCTTTCTGCCTGTTTGTGACTCTCGTGTGCCCAAAACGTACTTTGAAATTCTTTTTATGTCTACAGGTAACGGCCCCGCTTTCCGTCCAGCCCTCCCCCGCATTCCCCCCCTCCAGCTTGTCAAACTTCGACAACACTCCGGCCACGATTCCTCTTCTGGGGCGTCAGAGGTCTGGTGCCCTCCAAGGGATCCCTTCGGGGGGGCCGATGCAGGCCGTTTCCGAGACCCCTCTTATCAGTTGCGGCGCCACCGAACAGATCCAAAACATGCACCTCAGTTCGGGGTCGCGCTCTCCGGACCCGCTAGAGGTCAAGTCCGACCGGACGGATCAACCCGAGCCGCGAATCCCGGAAGGGGTTCCCGCCGGGCGCGTCTCCCGCACGTCGGTGAGGGGCGGGGGTCTGCCCCGCGGGGGCCCCCTAACCGGAGCGGAAACGGTGCTCGAGTTGGCCGCTATGTACAGCCACAGTCCATTCCTCGCTGCTGTCAACACCGTGGCAAATGACGAACTAGGTGCGGACGGGATTTTCCGCGGGGCGACGAACGTCGGGCTGTCGCGCATGATGCCCACCCCTGGGCTGTCCCCCACTCCCACCGACCTTGATCTGCCGGCGTCGGAAACGCCGAGCCCGACGGTCGACCCGCCGCCGGGCCCATCAGGTCAGGATTGTCCCCTGTGTTTTTCCACAGTGAAATCTGGCCCTTAACCATGGATGGTCATGGGCTGGCTATGGATTGGTTTAAAACTGGTTGACTGTCCAATGACCAGAGTTGGCCGGGAACCAGCCTTGGAACGAGGTTAAAGCCCACTTGTTTGTCCAATAAGCGGAGACTCAGTCTGGTCATCAGCTTGGTTAGCAGCCGTAATCTCCTGTGCTCTGGGATCTCCTCTTTGCATCTCTTTCTCTTGCAATCCTCTCAAGTTCTTCTTTACGTGCCATGGGAAATTGCGCATTCCTGTTGAAGATTCCTATCTTGAGCTTTGCAACTCCAGCTTGATCTGTGTCTTTGCCATGTCCAAAGGTCAGCTTCAAGGACAAAACCAACATGTTGATTGTGACGTTTGCAAGTTCTAATGATGTAAGCTGACGTCATCCTGTTCCGTGCCCCCCTTTCAGAGGCGTTCAAGCCACGGAGCAGCCCCCCAGTCCCGCTCTTCTTCGCGAACGCGCGCACGCCCTCCCCGTTCGCGGGCGGCCGCCCGGGCGTCCCGCTGTTCAACAACGAGACGATTGCGTCACTGCCCACGTCATCCGTCTGGGCGATCGCGCTGAAAGGCAGCGGGGAGGCCGCCGCTCGCCGGCGGGCGGGGCTGGCCCCCCCCTCGGAACCGTCGATGAGTCACCAGGGGAGCGCGGCAACGCAGCCGATGTCGTATTCCATGCAAGCGTGTGCAAGCTCGGACGTCCAGGCGAATTTCCCCTCGACGCCGTCCGCGGTCCGGGTGACGTCAGCGCTCGACGTCACCCCCCCGAATGAGGCCGAGAGTCCCCGGAGCAGGTCGCCGGAGCCCGGGGAGATGACGGTGATGTCAGCGGGGGCAGCGCTGGAGTCCCGCGGGGGGGGCGCGGATTTCGCGGACAGTCCGGGGTCGCGCCTTGAGCACGCAATCTCCGCCCCTGCGGGGTGGGAGACGCCGAGCGTGAGTGACGTCAGCAAGCGGACGGTGTCGAAGCGGAAGGGCGACGAGTTTGACGATCGGGCGGAAGCGTCCGATGCGACTGGGGAGGGGGGGGGCGAGTCGGAACGGGGCGGCGCGCGGGGGCGCAAAAAGGGCAGGTTGCGCGCGCCCCCGGATACGTTCTCGCCGCACGAGCTGACGTCGACGGGACGGCCGCGACCCAAGGACCGGCAGCAGATCCAGAAGCGGTTAGCGGAACTTCGGGGGTTAGTGCCGAACACGGGGAAGTTGCCGATCGACGGCTTGCTCGAACGGACGATAAAGCACCTGGAGTTCTTGCGGAGCGTCAAAAGCGAGAAGCCGGTTAAGAAGGAGCTGTCCTTACCACCCCTCCTCCCCCTGCTGAAATTCGACGAGCCTCAATCCGCTTCAGAGATTCTCCCCGGGTTGACTGCTAACCCACGGAAACGGCCGGCCCTCCGTGGGTCGTCCTCGCTGCAAAACCCGGAGGTTAACGCGAAGCTTCGCCCCGAGAGGCCGGCCTTTTCGGAGGCCAGCGTGCTTAACCCGCCAAGCCTCAAACCCTCAAACTCAACCCTTAACCTACTCAATAACCCGCCTCAGTCCCCGGAGTTGAACCTAAGTCTCCTGGCGAACCCCCATCTATTCTCGAGCCTTCAGCACAGTCTAGGAGAACCTTTGCGGACTGAGGGGCCGGTGGACACGTGGACACGACAAAACGCGCCAGGTGGCGGCCCGGGGTTGGGTCGCAAGAGCAGCGTTGAGCAGTTGTTGAGTTCGTTGCATTCGGAGCCGGTTATTGTGGAGGTTCTAAAGGATCCGCGGCAATTGCGAATTGAGGTGGGCTGTCTTGTCTCGTCAGGAATCATGCCCACTGAATATATGTTGGGCTATATCCAAGAAAGAGGAATTTGGGTTTGCCCGACTTGTCTGCGTCTCTTATGCTACTTCTTTCTTCCGTCCTGCCTCAAGCGATTCGTTCTCCCACTTTGTCGGTTTCCCTTCCATATTGGGTGCAGATTTCTTCAATAGGAATGAGAGGTGAAGAGGAAAGTCAAGCGTTGATACGAAACTCATGTTCTTCTTCGCACAACTTCTTGTCTATCTCTGCTTCTTGGTAAGATGGCGGTCAGGACTCAGGTTCAGCTTGATTTCTCTGCCAACCAATTTGTGTCAGCTCTTCTGTCCAATTTTCGATACCTGGCATGTGCCTATTCGCTGACCCCGCCCTTTCCTCGCCAGGTCCTTTGTAAAGACGAGAGCTTCTACGCCGAGTTGTCCGGCTTCCTGCACGGGTTAGGCCTGCAGGTTAAGCGCTCGGTTCTGCAAACCGTCGCAAACGGGCAGCAGTGGGCCCGGTTCGTGGTGGAGACCGTTAAACCCATGGACCGCCTCGAGGTTTCCGTGCCGCTGCGGCGGTTTATCGAATTGAAAACGGGCGGTTTTGAGGGGCACCTAGAGTCAAGAGCGGGCGAGGCTGGGGGTAGCGGCACCCAGCTGAGCTTGCTCCCCCCGCTAGACTTGGACTTTGGGGCTCACTTCCCCTCGTCCCACTGGCAGGGTTTGGAGGGCGTTTTAGAGCACGACTTGAACATGTACCTGGACGATCCGTACTAGCAGTGCATAGGGAGGTGCGCAGAGAAAGAGAGGTGATGTGTAGAGCGCGGTCGCCGCACAGAGGTGTTAGGGCGTTGGGGTAAGCTAAAACCCGTGGAGTTGGACAGAATAACCATAGTGTGTTGAGTCGTAAGACGCGGCTGCTCTTGCTAAGGTCGACAGGCAGAAGAGGTGCAGGCAAAGTGATTAGCCTAGGAGTGATTGTGTTGCATGGGAGATTGAATATGATTTGAAGCTCGTCGAAGGAGACTAGACTCCAATACTTAGTTTCTAAGTTTGCATTTGGACGTTATAGGGTTCAGGGCTGAGCATAAGATCCAAGGCGGCGGTGTTTGCATCCAGGTTACCAAGGGTCACCCGTACATAACGGAGACAATAGTCGGTTTAGGTCGAGTACCCAGCTAAAAAAAGTTGACTCTCTTTAAAGGTGGAGGCGACGTGAACTTCCAAGTGTGTTGAGGCCGATCTGAAGTAGCGTATATCAAGCTTGAACATGCTTAGAAGTCAGGCCGCCACTGCTACTTCGTGGCTCGAGCATTTGAGCTCTTCAGGCCTCATGCCAGCTGAAATCAATGAATGTGACGCGGAAGATGGGGTTTTCATGATGGGTACACGTGGGTACACGCTTCAACTTCAGGCCGCTATATTATTAGCTTGACAGTGACTGATTTTAAGTGCTTCAAGTTCAAGTTTGTATACCATACTTTCCTTAAGTTGGACGGTCATATGAATGATGCGGATAATCCATCATGAACTTACGGTGGCCAGATATATCTGGATTGAGAGTCGATTGCAGGCCATATTACCATCATGTTCTCTTATAAGATCGGATGTTTGATTATGAGACATCATTGATACCGTTGGACATGCAGGATCGCCCGCCAGCGTTGCATGGGCCAAGTTGGGAAAGGCACGACTACTTATAAAGCATGATACACACTAGACAATTGATTGCTATAGGTACTATATTCGGATCGACTCATATATTGCATGATCATTAATATTCGATCGGATCGAGGCGCAGAATATTTCAGTACATGATCAGTGCATATACCTGACCGGACATATACGACCAAGCTCGAGGGATGCATGCGTACAGCAAAAAGAATCGATCTGAGTCAAGCGCGTCGGAGATCGATCGAGCCTGCGCTCAGGCTCCGAGATCATGGCATGGCGCGGCCTGGCATATATTGTATACTGTACCGTCTTATACTTTGAACAATCATACATGTATGCCAGCCTGTCTATTACTTAGTCATGCAAACAATTATATGTTTTCATTTATAGTATTAGTTAGTACGTCGGATGAAGTTCACGTAGCTGCGATCTGCATGCAGCTATATCCACCGTGCACCGGCTGGCACAGCAACATTTGCCGGGTTGAGCTGAGTTCGAATCTTCTTTCCCGTTAGTCCAGTCCCGCGCGGGAGGATACTTGACAGATTTGCAGCGCAGGCTTGCATGTGTGACTTTGGCACAGTGCCAGTCGATCATAATTGTGCCAGAGCTTGCATCTCATGTGTGCTTAGCTCTATGCGGGCTGGGATACTACTTGATTTGAAATAGTCCGAACTTCAATGCGGATTTGCATTCCCTATGCAGTATGGTCAAGCTGTTGGTACACTATGATACAATCTACAAGCGATGGCTGGCTGGCCTCAACTTAACTGAGTTTGGCTTCTGGAGCGACTCTAGGGCAAATGACTGGCTGGAAGCTTTTGAAGCGGCTGTACAACAAATGACTAGCTGACTTTCAAAAAGGGTTTTGGACCCGCTCTAGCAGACTTTTCGTTTAGCAAGCCCGTCAACCAGCGGGAGTTTCCTCAAAGTTGACCTGCCTTCGACTTTACCATCCCATTGACCCAGGGATTCCCTTTATGGGCCCCACTATGTCTTTGGTCACCCAGCCCCCATAGAAGCCACCCGGTTGGGGGCTAGCTTTCTCTCCGTCTACATAGCAGCCGTCCATCGGGGCCGCATACATAGCGATATAGCCTTTGATGGCCGCAAACGGCGGCGTTGGGTTCTCGTAGCTCCAAGCCACATCGCGAGCCTCCTTGTCGCCAACTTTGATCGACCAATACGTGGCATGACCCTTCCACTCACAGAAGGAACGCTGGCCGGGCGACCTGTACGAACGGCGTCAAACCTCAGGATAACGAAGATGAGAGGATGCAGATTGCTGCTATTGGCTTCCATTCGGCCCCTGGTTCCGGTCACGAAAGACAAATATTCACATTCCGGAAGTGTTCAAGGGCAATATGCAGGCCTGCAACCTAGAGACGCCTACTCCATTCAGCCCCCACGGACTCCAATTCAGGACGCCTTTCAGTAACAAGAAGCGTTTACAAAAACTTCGCGTAAGAATAAAGCCTTCGGGGCTTGTGCGCAAATGACTTTGCCCCTCAATTCTAGTGAGAAAGGACACGGAATGCAAGCGCCTGTACGTCTTCCTTTTTTCGTTTCCTCAAACTCAAGAGATACTCAAGAAATGACGTTCAAATGGTTCTGATTCTGTTTGCCTGCTTCAGTTTTGAGCGGGTTTCTTGATGAAGGCATAAAACACTCAGGTCTCTACGGAGCGAAGAAAGTGCAAAAACATCCTGACATCCTTCTTCAAGTGCCTGGAACCAGGATCCGAACAAAGCGTACCATACCTGGTAAAATGCTCCATTTTGAGATCCCCTGGGGGCAGGTAATAGGTCGGGGGGTGCGACGTTTCTAAGACTCGGTACGCGTTCTTTGTATCTACGATGGTGACGCCGTTAAAGTCGACCTTGATGTGCTTTGGGGTCTTCTCTAACCGGGGCGGCCGGGGGTAGTCCCACACGGATTCTTGCCCGGGACCGGGGGCCTCTTTCTTGATCGCGGGGCTGCCCCACATGGCTACTGTACTTGAAAGCCTGGACAGAGATGTAGAATCGACTTTACGCATACAGACAGGAAGCTGAGGTTTTAATATAGACGCAAATAACCGACAATGATGGGTTGCAGATTGGAAGGGCAGATACATTCCTCTTAACCGAGTTTCCTTAAACGTGGCTTATCTGAGAAGGCCAGCTTTCAAGGTCTTTAGGGCGGGGCTGAGGGCCAGGCCAAAAGGAATAGCGAACCTCGCTGGATCAGTCGGTAAGGGAAACAGCAATTTGGCTCTGGGATTTTTTTTGGGGAAAACATCCAGAAGAGGAATCTTTCTGCAGCTCCTACAACTGTAAATTATGATGGAACAACACAGTCACAGGCATGCCAAAAGGAGCGCCAGTCCTGGCAATTCCGATTATTGCGGGGCAGGATGTCGGGCTTGGTCAGCTTCGGGAAAATATATCAGCAGCCATTGATGCTCTGCCCAAAGCTATCATCATGCCAAGCCCTTAGCACCCCACACAACATTCGACCAAGGACAGAATGTGTCCGCAGCCTACGCACTGGGAAAAGCACGGCTTCTTTGCAACCAATTGAGTTCACTTGAACGACAGCAAGGGCTTGGTAGCAATCCCGTCTGGTTCACTTACATATCGAAACACTAAAGTTTAGTGTATTGCGCAGTGGCCAAGGAGATTAAGGAGGAAAAGATGACTGATGATTGCCAAGTTCAAAGCACAAGCATCGCAAGCATGGAACAAGACGTTGCTCTGACTGCAGATCCAGAATGAGCGACTGGGGCCTTCAAAGACAAGCGTCAAAACAATTGACGATGCCTATTGCAACATTGCACTCCGCTCACAACCAAACGAGCTCTTGCAGAGAAAAGGAAAAAAGACAATTGTTGCAACACCCAGGGCTCAGAGGCAGGTGACTCACTTCCAGAGTCTGCCCCCCACATAAGCAAGGAACAGAATCCCAATGACAGACTTGAGCTGGAGCGACGCAGTCATTCTAGTGGTTTGCTGCAACGTAGACCACATAACCCATTAAACGGGATGCACGAAAGCACAATGGCTGCTGAGAAGATCTCTCTGATGCAATCAGGGTTATGAAGTGGAAGGAAGCTACAGGAACATGCAGAAGACTTGGAAGATCACCGGACTCCTACTTGAGACTAGAGTCAATGAGAAAGGAGAGGATTGATAAGACTTCTGCAAGAATGACTTTGAAAAGAAAACCAACTTTGATACATTTATCACTGCGTTGAAAGAAGCTAACCAACAGTCATCACAACCAAAGCGCTGTCTCCTGAAGATAGTACTATGAGAGAGGATGTTTTCGATCTGATTGATGCAAAAAAAGAACTTTCAGAGAAGGGCGTTGTCCAGTCTTGCTGATGGGAACACAAGCAAACGTCGTAGGCAATCATGAACAAGGGTTTAGAGATCCATACAACTTAAGTTGCAAAGTTCTAGCATATCTGGCGTAAACATCACCTCAAGCACACCCTAAACTCCAGCTTTTGACTTCTATTTGCACAATCTGTTGAGTTCACTCAACCCCAGCGCTTACTTACCCTAGGGACAAGAAACCAGCATATCTGACAGCGGCAATAGCAGCATTGCAGTGGAACTCAACCAAGAAGCCTACAAACCAGCCCTTTGCTATCCAACGACAGAAAAAAAGCAGATCATTCAGTTTTAACAGCACTTTCGCAGCATTGCTCAACCAGGAAGCCAGGTCAACAGCAAGGGATAAAGAGATGGCCGCTTGGACGACATCAATGGCAGAGACCCTTCCTTGATGCTTATGGCGGACAAGCCAAAAGGCCTTACCTTCTGGACTGGTGGTCAAAGCCAGACTTCCTGCTGCCTTGATAAGTTCCTTTCCTGGTGGAAACTCTTTCTGATGGCGGTGACCAAGTAAAGACTCTTGGCAACGTGCTCTGTCTGCATGCAGAAGTACTTAGCAAGCCAACAGTAAAGGGTGGTACAAACGAGCGTCTACATGTCACATCTCTGGAAACAGAACAAACTGCTGTTCTTGAAAGTGCCGCAGAGGCTTGGCCACAGGAGAGCAGGACGGGCATCGTTTTCAGATGAAGGCGCTACAAGCTTTTCAATGGACGTCAAGCTCGGCGCTGTTCACATGTTGTCAACAACCAGTGGCTCCTGCATGATAGTAATTGATACCTGAAGCTCTACTTCATGCTTGAAAGCCTCCCGCCGCGCGGCGCGGCCGCCAGCCCGGCTGTGCGCGGACCCGATGGCCGCGGACGTGGACGTCCGGGCACGTACTGGCAAAATTTCGCGCGATGGTCAGAATACGTCGCCGGGAGACACGGAGCTATAGTCTATCATGGCCGATCGAGGAGAGGGAATCTGCTCGGACTTCCTGATGCTTGTTGAGACTCTATTTTGTCTTCGAATCGACTCACACATGCGCTGGCACTACGCCACTTTGCGTCGACGGTCGACGGTCCTCTAAGCGAGATTTTGGTCTTCAAGCACAGTGGCACGCTGCAAGCTCTGGGTACCACAAGAAAAGGATCGTTACATGCGTCATGTGACCGAGACTCAACCATGTCGGTCGATTCCAAGTAGCATGCGAAGGTTACGGTGATGAATGTGTTCATCAACAACGCACGTAACAGCTTCCGCGGGGCTCCGATCGCAGATCATTCAAAAGTGCAAGCCAGCTCTGTGTCCCAGCCTATACTACAGACGGCTTTCCGGCCTTACTAAGGTCGCAATTAGTTGCAGATTGATTGTAAGAAGATTGCAACGAGCGGGCCAGCCACTGTAGACGTTATGCTTGTGTTGCGGATTGGTCGGGGCTTCGCACGATTCCGGGTTTCACAATCTTATAAGCGTCTGAATTTGGCAGCCGGCCTACATATCGTTTACCTGCAAATTACTTTGGTCGAGCTGGTTGCTAGCGCGCATGCCGTATGAGGTACAGTTCCAATCTCACGTCTCTCATCTCGTCTTCATAGTGCGCCATGATGCTCTCCGTCGCTGTTCTTCTCAAGTCTCTCTGTTGTTCTTCGACAACAGAACAGTCAAGAAGTTCACACGCAACACTTTCACTTATACAAGTGCCCTCTTCCACTCCCAGACCATCTATCGCAACCACTCGATGACTGAAACCCCCTGTTCTTAATAACTCTCGAAACCTTTCGACGCCAGCGCGATGGTGTGAATGCGGATTAACAATGATGGCTAACCCGTTCGGACGCAAGAATCGTTTCAATACGGCGAGGACGCCGTCAGCCATCCCCTCCTCGTGCACTACGTCACTCCCCAGAACCACGTCGAATCTGTTCCCGGTTGAAACCCCCTGGTTCTCCTCAGTATCTTGGCCATCCTTGTTCGTTCCCTCGGTTGGCGCCCCTGAGAAAACGTCCAGGGCAAGTTTCACAAACATTCAAGGGTGCGGACGATGTTTGATCTCCGACCAACGATTCCAGCGAAGTAAAAGAAGCCGTCCCCGACTGCAACATTTGACCACTGTGTTCTGTGACGCACCAGTCGACCTTTCGGAAACGAGGCTTACAGTTTGCTGTCACCGGACAGGAACGAAGCTCAAATCGCTTTGAAGGGCAACGATGCAAGTCAGCACCGACAATGAGCTGCGGCATAATTCGTCCTGTCAGACCATTACCCAAAGCAGCCGGAAAAAGTACGAACTTGTCGTGTTCGCTTACCAGCTTCGTGCTCGTCCTTCGGAAGGTCGTACCAGTCGAGCACCTTCGAGGTGCAGAAGCGGCCATCCGCCCTGCAGATTAAAGGAGAGGAGACCCATTTTTGACGACTAGCTTGAGTGCACTCGTCCAGCGGTTGCCCTTCCAGGTCGACGCGTCAGGAAGTCCGAAAAGATTGGTGCTTCTTCGTTCGCTTATTGCAATGAACCTGATTTCCATAGCGGAGTGACGTGATTGAAATGCTTAACTGTAGACCGTGGCATAAGTTCGAGAAGCACGGAACAAACTTGCTCGATTCGAAAGCCAGGGATGGCGCTGCCAGCTTCGCTTCTCTCGCAACATTGTATACTTGTACATAAAACGGCGCTTCCACAGCCTTCTATCCCTGCCCTGCTGACTCGACGACCTTGCTCTTTCTTTTGGTACCAAAGTGCAGAACTTCGGCACCCCAGGATCCTGCCTCCAGATCGTCCGGAAGTGTGCTTCCTGCAAAGTCTGAGTATCAATACAGATGACGTGCCACAACGAAGGATTTTAACCGATTACGCGTCTTCTGTCGCCCTCAGAAATGTCGAAGTCGGATATATAAAGAATGGCGACTCTGGGATCATGTGCATAGCACGAGACGGTCATTGACGCGCAATTGATCACATACGCTAACCGTCACTTTGGACAGACGTCGGACAGAAATGTAGCACTGGATGCAAAACCCTGTGCGAACTCGATTCAAGGGCTAGCAAACACACTGGGTTCGTTCCATCGAAGGGACTAGATTAGAAAAGAAGACAGTTGCGCTTTTGTCGAAGTATCTTTGAAGGCATCGAACTAAAACCAGTCGATGCGCTCACAGCGCTCGACTTCTGGCTTCACTCAGTACCGTTAAATGTGATATCTGCTTGACAGTCATGCCCCTCTTTCAGCAAGTAAGAAAATGTCTGACACCAGTATTTGATATAATAGGAAACAAGCATCACTGACCCCTAGTACAAACCGGGGCGAACAGCAGATTATATTCCGATATTGCTAAGTACTTGACGTGGCCACAATCGGGTTTAATATCGCTCTCACCAAGGAATAGAAACACTGACCTGAGAAGATGCCTGTTGCAGCGCACGTTATACTCCAGGTTCCTCACGATTTACCGGGTCAAAGTCGGTCAGGACCACCGAGCTTGCGTACCGCCCCGCCACAATCCCGCACAGCCCAAGCCCCGACCCAATCTCCAGGACGCTTTTGCCCGCGATTGCTGTCCGTTCGTTTCGTACGATCCAGCGGCTGAGAGCGATTGCAGATACCCACAGTATGTTGCCAATCTTCTTGTGGCCGTCCACGAGTTCGCGGATCTTGCGGAGGCGGATTCGCAAGGTCTGAGAATCTTTGAGGGAACTCGACTGGGGGGGCTTGCGTTTTGGAGAGTGGAGAAAGGTGGACTGAGCGAATCTGAGGGATCCAAGATCCACCAAGATGAACGGGTCTGCATACGGGGTGTCAAGCCGTTTGGCGGTCATGGGAAAGGAGACCCCATGGGGACAGTGGTTGATGCAAGCTTCAATTGCTTGAGCGGCCGCCTGCATATACACTTGTCTTCATCAGTAACCTTGTTCTGAAGCACTCTTCCACACACCTGTACAACCGTTGAAGGAAGCTGGGAGACTGAACTTGAAGTGCTCATGGAGTCAAACCCACCTGTTAAAAAGTAGCAGAGTGAAAAGAGAGGCAACAAACATGGAGCCTGAAGTTCCGAATCTGCCTTCATCCCTCCCTTCAAAGCAGGGTGCATTATGTTGCCTTCAAAATTGCCTTCAAAATTCTGTTCGGACCAGGACGAAAACTACTTTGTGTTTGGTCTGCACAATCAGCTGGGCTATGTGCACTGAGTCTGAAGGACTGCGTCTTGGCCACCAGCACAATGGAATTGTCACCAACCTAAGGGCAGCTCAAAAGAGACCATCTGCCTTTCCTTTTTCCCTTCAACACAGAGGAGAAACAACTGCTGATGAACGTCCCAGCAGACTTGACCACGAAAAAATGTTAGCAGACTCAAGAAGATTGAGGCGCACGTATCTGACAAGCGCGGGTCTGACCTGTAACCATGGTGGTTGCAGACTCTTGAGACGGACACACCCACATTTGCATATTGCAGAGGTTCTGAGGTCGTTATCACTGATAGAAGCAAGTCAGCAGGCACCAATCTATCAAATGTTGATTTGTGCAAGGCTCAGAGATCTCGTCGTCTGTTGACATAAGCTGCCTGTGCAGCTCATTGTGAATGCCAGCCAGCCCCATGTGCACCACCACCTCCTCATCATTGGCAACGGCTGAGCAGATCAAGGAGAGCGCTCTGCAGACGCGCTTTTCATCGCTGCACCTCAGTTCCACTAACAGATCTTTGAAGGGCATGG